AAGGCAGCCTAGGAGAGGGTATAGTTGTAACAGCACAACTCCCTTAGCCAGATGGTTGTACGTCACAAGGGCATATAAGCAGTGTTGACAGCAGGGCTTGCACGCGTGCAAGCACTGACGGATCTTTTGGGTCAATTGGGTCAATTGGTTAGGCCGTAGAGTCAAAGGGTCCTTGCGACCGACGTCACTGTCAGCGTCTGTTACACTTAAACTTATATTTATATTAGTAATTTATAGTAATTAGTTATAGTAATTAGCTTATCTCTTTAATTAATTACTTAATAGTTAACTTAAAGTCCTAAGTTAAGTAATAACATTAAACAGTATAAAAAAAACCTTTACTTTATTAACTTATAATAAAGTAATATTAAAAAGTAAATTACTTAAAAAATAATTAATTAATAAAGTCTATTAGTTATAAAATTTTAATTTTACTTATTTCTTTTTTTAGTAGAAATAAGAGATAATTTTTAAAAGCTTATAATCTCTAGAAGTAAAGACCTTCTAATACTTAGTTAAGACTAACTAGAGAAAAGATTCCTCTTTTATAAAAATATCTATAACAGTTAATAGACTTTAACTAGGCTAAAGAAAGCCTACTTTAAAAGTAACTTTAAGGTAAATAAAAGGTTAAACCTTTAAGTAATAAACCTTAATAAAAAGCTAATTAAAAGCTATATACTAATAGTTAGTTATATAGTAATACTCTTAGTAAATAAGATCTTAGTTTTATTAGTGATTTATAATAATCTTTTATAGTAATTATTTACTTTTTTATATTTAGTAATAAATACTTATATTTTTTACTAAATATTAATACTTTTAATAAAAAAAGAACTAACCTTAAAGTTATAATAATCTTTAAAATTAACTAACTTTTCTTCTATTTATTCTTCTAGGCTAAAAAAAAGAATCTTTTCCTAGTTATTATTATTATTGTTATTCTAAATAACTTAATTATTATTATTAACCTAAATAAAAGCTTAGCTTCTAGAAGAAGCCTAATAAAAACTAAGTTATATAGTAATAATTCTTAGATAATTACTTTTTATTTACCTATTTTTAAAGTTAAAAATAAGTATAAAATAAATAAAAAAAAAGTTATTTATGTTATAATAGTAACATTATTAATTACCTTGGCCTCTATATTAGCTTTAACTAAAGTTATATTATTAATATATAGCTAAGACTTCTTAAAAGTAACTAGCTTATGATTTTTCTAGGTAATAAAAAACTTTTTAGCTCTCTTAAGCTCTTTTATTTTCTCTATTATTTCCTTAACACGCTTACAAGCTTTTTTAATATACATATTCTTAAAGTAGCTATTATTAGCCTTTTACTTTATACTAGTACTAAAGCCTAGTAAATAGCCTAGAGAAATATTAGTTAAGTTATTATAATTAATTACTATAAATAAATAGATATAAATAGACCTTATAAAAGCTAAAAGGAAAATATCTTTAATAATAAATAAAAAACTAAATAAAAGTTAAAATACTTTTAGAATAAATAAAATAATTAGTTTTTTATCTCTAAATTAATTTTTTTTTAAAGTTATTATTATTATTATTAAAAAAAAAAAAGTAAAGTTAAAAAAAAAGAAAAAGTAAAAATAGGTTAAAAATAATAAGTAAAATAACTATAAATTACTTTATTTTTTATACTTTCCTTAACTATTAATTATATTTACTTTACTTATATTCTTTTACCTATTTTCTTTTTTTTTTTTAATTTTATTTTTTCTTTTTTAATAATAATAATAATAATAATAATAACTTTTATAAGTTATTTCTTTTTTTATTTTATTTTTCTTAAAAATTATTAACTATTTAGACCTATTATAATACTAGTAGCCTAAGCTTTCTACAAATACCCTTTAAAAAAGGGTACTAAAAAGCCTTTTATAAAAAAAAATAGCACTAAAAAGTCCTCTACTATTAAAGCCCTAATAAAGAAACCCTTAGCTAAAAAGGCTACTAAAAAAACGCCTAAAAAGATTATAGCTACCCCTTTAAAAAAAAGACATTAAAAGGCTAATAGTAAGTACTTACTTAATTACTATAAGTAATTACTATAATACTAATTTACTTTTAACTATTACTTTTTATAAAATCTATAAATATTAGAAGTTAATTAACCTTCTAATAGCAAAAACACTCTTTTAACGTCTTTATAAAAAGATTATATATAATATTTCTTAATAAAATAACCTTTACTTTTAAAAAACAACTATTCTTATACTTTAAGAGGCTACTAAGACTTATTTTATAGCTATATTTAAAGGTATATAATTACTATAATTAATTACTATAATAACTAACTTATATCTTTCTAGTTATCTAATTAGCTATTATTTATACTAAAAAAGTTACTATTATAAAGAAAAATATAAACTATATTAAGTCTATTCTTCTTATTATAAAGCTAATAAGTAAAAACTAATACTATTATTAACCTCCTCTAAAGTCCTTTTAGTCTCTTAAATAAAAGCTATCTAGTTCTAGTTTTGGTTTAAGTAAAGGAAAAAAAAAAACTAGCTTAACTACTACACAAAAGCTTATACTTAAGTAGTACCGCAAAAGGCTTTAGGAAGAGAACTATAGTCTAATAAGGCTTTAGAAAGAGAACTATAGTCTAATAGTTAAGAGAAATACTATAGAAAGAAATAAGAATACTACTTAAAAAATATTTCTATAAGTAGACTAATACTAGGGATTACTATAAAGAATTATTATAAATAAAAAGATTTTACTACTAGTACTTAACTTCCTACCTATAAACCTCTATATAATATACCTTCTTTAACTTATTACTTAGTAATAAATTCTAATACTTTACTCTTAAAACTACTAGTTTCTTTTCTTTTATTATTAATTAGTTTAAAATAACTAAATAAACGTTATAATTAAGATCTTTTTTAAACCTTATAAGGTCTTCTATTACCTTATTAACTTTAGCTTTTTTTTATAATAGTTACTTTTTTTCTTTTTTCTTTTTTTATAGCTTTAACTCTAGTATCTTTTTTTTACTACTAAAGTATTTATTTCTAAGCTCTTATATTAATTTATTAATATAAGTATTAACTTTAGTAGTAGTAAGTCTCTTTTTTAGTAACTTATTATTATTAATAAAGATATACTATTACTAGAATTATCTATTAGATTACTAGTTTTATAAAAATATAAAAGTACTAAGAAATAATATAAATAACTATAATAATATATAAAGAGATTAACTTTCTTGTATATCCCTTAAGTTATTATTATTATTTCTGTTATTTTCCTTATTCTTATTTACTTTAAAGTTAATCTCTTAGCTATATATAACCTTATTAACTAATAATATAGTGCTATTTTTCTTAGTATTTATACCTTATATTTCTTTATATAGATCTAATAGTCTTAACCTTTTTTTAAAAACTTATTTATACTTTAAGTAAATAATTAAGAAGTTTTCTTTTACCTTATTACTATAAAAGACTTTTTTATTATTTTTATTAAATATATTACTTAACTTATAAGTAATAAATATTTAAATAAAAAACCTCTTTTTTTTATTATTATATTTATTTTTTATTTATTTATTAGTTATAAAACTAGTAAACTAGCCTTTAATATTAATTTATACTATAAAATCTTTAAAGACTAGTTTTTTTATAATAGCTTTATTAATATTAAGGTTTTTATTATAATATAAATTAAAAAGCTTTTTTATAAAGTAATAAATAAGCTTTAAAGTTTAAATAATATAAAAGTATATTAATATTTATTAATTAAATAAATCTTTAAAAAAAAATAATATATTACTTAAAGATTTATTATTAACTTTATTATATTCTTTATTATTATTTTTATTATAGACTTTAGTAATATCTTAAGTAACTTTTTTATTAAGCTATTACTTCTTTATTAGCTTTCTTTTTAACTAATATAGTAGGTCCTTTTATTTATTAGTAATAGAGGCTAAAGTAATTAGTTAAATAACAATAAAGCCCTCTATATTAATAAAAAGCCTTTCTTTATTCTATTAGTTACTTATTATAGAGGTATAAGTAATTATAATAATTATTTATAGTAATCTAATAAGAAATAATAATATAGATAGAAGTAAGGGGAAATAAAGCTTATTTAGCCTAAAGAAAAAGGAAAGTAGTAAGGATAATAACCTCTACAGGAATAACAGTAATACATTACCTAATTTAAGCCTTAATAATATAGGAAACTCTACTTAATTTCAACTTGAGGTATTTTTTTACTACAGTACAGCTGTTACCGCACTTATAACGCAGTCATCGATCAGGCTCTTAAGCATGAAAGAAAATTGGGATGAACAAATGGTCCCGGCCGTCGCCCGAGCTCCCTCGCCGGAGCGGGAAAAAACATGGGTTCAGTCATGCCTCAACTTACCTCTGGAAAGTAGAAACTTCACTCTCCATCAACGCTCGACAACTTTTGTGATGCGGGCTCGCTCTTCAGTGACACAATCAGCCCGGTACCGCCTCAGAATGCATTATGGGGCCTCGAAGCCTTGTACAGCGTGTCTTGTCACCAATTGTACTCAGTAATGCCAAATCCGTCCACAAGCCACGGTCTTGCAACGGGAAAGCCAGCGAAGCACAGCAGCTTCCATAACGTCTCGGGGCATCTTTTTGACATCCGGCCGGACTGCGACGAGGTCCGGCGGGCTTGCACAATTTCTGACACATAAACTCACAGCTCCTCCGGGCTTATCACATTGGAAATGCTGCATGATTAGCCTGCTGCTTACATCTCGTACACATTACGGAGATTAACTACCGGAAGGACTATATAAATCAGGCAGTTGGGTCTCCCATTTCTACCGTTTCTCTGGTACCGGTCCGCCCGCTCGTCCACAGGAGCTGGGCTCGATGCAACGCTTTCTCGAAATAGTCGGGTAAATGAATCCCCCCAAACCCCTATATGCAGTTTCCCCTCCCGCCCTTCCGACTCTACACACACACGACAAAAGAAATTACGATATTACCGATAATTCTCGGAGGGCATCTCGTACACATCCGGGACCGGGCCAGAGTTATACGGCCTCCCCGGCGCCGGCCTGTGCTGTAACGGCTGCTGCGGCCTCGGCTGCGACTCGCCCATCTCAACGACCTCGTCGCCGCCCATCTCCGCGGGCATGATCCTCGTTCCGCCGAGCTCCTGTGCGCCGCCCGTCGGCGGCCTGCCGTACCCCGCGCCAAAGCCGTTGGTGGGCGACGCCGTCTGATTCGAGAGCGGGCTGACGCTCTGCGACGGCGGCGAGAGCTGGTGCTTCGGCACAGGCTGTCGCCTCGTGGTGCCCGCTCCCGCAGCCGCGAACCCACCGCCAGACTCCGACATGCCCGCCGGCTCGTGCAGGGGCGAGGGGCCGTTGGGGTCGTAGGCGCGCATATCGTCGAGGTCGGAGCGGCTGGGACGGTTCGCCTTGTGGCGCTTGTAGGCCCACCATCCGATTCCAAGGAGGGCCGCGAGGCCGACAATGCCGACGCCCACACCGATGCCGGCCTTTGCGCCGGTAGACAGGCCGCCCGAGTCGCTGCTGCTCGTGCTCTGCGCGCCGCTGGTCTGGGTGGCTGTGCTGATCTGGCCGGTGGTGGGACCGCTGTCGACCGTGGTGGGCGCCGCGGTGTCGATGGAGGTGGAGGTGACGGTCAAGGTGGACTCGACGGTGATTGTCGCCTGGGCGTTGTTGAACTGGGTGGACGTGAGGACGGAGGTGACGACGGTGTTGGAGGTGGTGGTGAAGACGACGGTGCTGGTGCGGGTGTTGAGGACGGTGGAGACGCCCGCGGCGGAGCCCGTGACGGTGAAGACGACGGTGACGAGCGCGCGCTTCTCCACAAAGGCGTGCCTGCGGAAGTCATTGACGGCCGGGGTGATTTGAGCGGCGGCGACGGCGACGGGGGCGTCGAGCGGGAGGACTTCGAGGCTGCGCTTCGCGAGGACGGTCGACGTGACGTAGTTGGTGACGGTGGCGGTCGCAACGTCGCTGCTGGTCACAGTGGTGGTCTCGAAGCTGGTCGACGTGACGAGGATGGTGGTGGTGATGGTGCGGAGGACGACGGTGGTCGCGGTGGTCGTTCCGCCTCCGCCGCTGCCGCCGACGGTTGTGGTAATCGTGACGGTGGTTGTGGCCTCTTCTTCCGTTGAGGAGCTTGTTGTCGGCGTCGGCGTCGCTGCTGTCGTCGGGGTTGGAGTAGGCGTGACTCCGGTGCCCGCCTGTCGCGGGCGGAGAACGGGCATGGGCCTGCCATCATTATCGACGATGGGGGAGGCTGCTGCGAGGGTGGTGACGGTGCTCCAGAGCAGGGCCGCGAGGCCGGCTGATCCGAGGCGCATTTTTGGCGATGCGGTCGCGCCCTACGAGGCGTAGGGAACCAGAACGACGGCGATGCTTGATGTGTCGACGATGAGGTGAGGTTGTGCGAGAAGAAGGGTTTTTAGTTTGGACAGGGGAGAGGGGAGGAAATTTGGGGGTTCGAGGGAGGATGAAGGATGTGACCCGAGTGATATGACGAGGGTCAAGGACGTGAGAGAGATGTGTGGTATTGTGCCACCGCGGCGAAACACGGCGGAGTGGATCGAGGCTCGTACAGTCGCAGAAACGGGCAACGGTACGAGCAGACGACGAATGGACGACAGAGGGGGAGAGAAGAGGAGGATAACGGTGGGTGAGAAGGTTGGTCAGGATAAGTCAATCACGAGAAACGAGGAAAAGAGGGCTGGCTGACTGGACTGGATTACAGATCTGGGTGCTGTCCATCTCCCTCTCGAATCCATGACCGCTGAACACGACCATGACCATGCAAAAATGCAAAGTACAAGTACACCATCCTGCATACAATAAGACACTATGCAGAATCGGTCGAGCTTAGCGTCCCGGCCGACGGGTGCTAACAGGAAAGCCACTCGTAATAGCGTCTCCAGTTCGAGGTGGCGCGGCAACTGTTTTTTTTTTCTTTTCCCTTTTCTGCAATGGGCTCGCATGGCGTGGATGGGTATCCCCCTCTTCCCTTCGGATCACTCGCTGAACTCCGTCTGCTCCGTCTCTGAAGGGTTTGGCTCCAGTTCTTTTCTCTCTGCATCGTTACCCACAGTCGGAAACTGGAGGAGATGCCGATGGGGCTAGTATAAAAAGGGAACACCTGGAGTAGTGTAATAAATGGCTAGAAAAACAGTGGACGGGAGGGGCGTCGAGGAATTGGACACCCTTTCCAAGAGGCAGACGGCCGAATCCTACCCTTGGTCGCGGGCTTGCGGGATCAAGGGGCCGAAAACAAACAGAAGAAAAGGAAAAAAGCCAATGCTTAACCTAGATGTCCCCGAGTTGGGAAACACAATGACACAACTGTACAAGGGGCAGAAGGGCCAAACGGGACCGAGATGGCAGGTGATGGATGGTAGAGCGCCAACAGGGAGACCCGGCCGACGGTTGCAAATCCCTATTAGAGCAACAGTTCTGCCACTGAACATTGGCCAGGCCTCTCCCCGCCATCCGAACGTTGCCCTGCTGTGGTGGGATGATGTGCGCCGCGTCCTGGGTCCAATGCGGATGATTTGCTTTGCTGGCAGTGCTGGAGGGACACCTGGCAGCCCCCCTACAGCCAATTGTCAATTAGCAATGGCAAATGATGACAAGCGGTGGCCGGGCGCTCGCATCATGGTTTGGCCCGTCTGCCAGATGATTGGGGTTGGTTTGTCCTCTGGGTAGACCCCTGGACCCTTGACCCCGGGATGATAACATGAACCGCAGGCGCGGTGCGCGACCCTCTTCGAGGATCGGGTGAAACTGGAAAGAAAGTTGGCACGCTGGGAAGGGGAAGAAATGTCCGACGATGGCGGAATTCCCTGACCATAGGAGACACACGGGACAATGGGATATCAGGGTGCAAACACGAGGAAAAACGGACCGATCGTCCCCGAGGGGTCTTGTGACTGACGAGTTTCCCCGTTAACTTTGGGCCGCCTGGGCCCCCCTTTCCATCGTGCGGGTGAGAAAAGAGTGGGCAACATACGACGGCTGAATAACAACGCTGTGCGATGGCCGCGTGTTAAAGAAGAAACCATTGTCAAGCTGCGACGAGAGGGAGGCCTCGATCATGGTGCATGATATGCCACTCGAGGTCAGAGTCGCGAACGAGTAACGTGTCGACGGCCCAGGCACTCGAGTTTGCAAAAGCCCTCAATTGACATTCAGCCTGGGCTGAGGAAAGACAAGAGACCCTTGATTCCGTCTGCGCGTCCGCCCAGGCTTGTCCCAACCCGGCGATAGACTTTGCCATCCACGCCGCCGTGGCGCAGGCTATCCCATCCCCGTCAAGCGGAACGCTCGAAAATTATCGGCCAGTAGCGCCCCAAGCTGTGCGTGCTTGTTGTTATCCGAGGTCTCCCTGAGACTAAAGAAGCGGACAAATAGCTCTGGAAGCGCGCACGTTTGGCAGCCGTTCACCGTACCGCGCGAGACTGACACATACTGCACGGCACTCGGGCGTTGCGTCACAGATTAGAAAGAGAAAGAAAAAAAACGGAAAACAAACGCGGTGTGCGAGAGAAACGACCGTGCTCCACGTGCTTTTCTCGGTTGTTGTTCGATGGCCGCCGTCATGCGATCAGCGCGTGTGCAGAATGATATCAGTCGTGGGCAGACACACACATGTAACAGCACACACACACCTGCAAGAACAGGAGGCGGAACGGTGTGGAATACGAGCTGCAAGTTGTCGATTAAGGGAGGTGTGCTAATGCACCGGCTGGCCAGCAAGATGGCTCTTTTTGACGGCGTCATGTTCCCGCAGATCGACGACGTCTGCGATAAGAGAGTCAGGGATTGGGAGGTCCTTTTGGAGTTTCGCGAGGTTGCGAGTGTGCTGCCCTTTGCGGCCAAAGCTTGATTGGCAATTTGCTGCTCACTCAATTCCGTACGCGGGCTGTCTCCAGGCAAGTCTCACATCAACTCCGCTGCACATGAAAATACCGATGTGAAGACTGCAGAAGTCTCGCCGGGACCCTCGGACGCCTACCCATAATTCCCGGAAATTGCCCAGAGACACAGCGTCCACCTGTCGGTGGTCGGTGAGTAACTAATCGAGTTGAGCCACACACCAAAAAAAGACATTAGGCCGGGAGCACAGCCTGTCACCTTCCAACGTCTGTGCTCTTAGCTCAGCCTGTCGCTGCGTCATACGCTGAATGGAGTTCGAGCTTTTGGTTCTGCGGCTTTGCCAGTTGCGTTTTTCTAGGCATTCGCTGTCAAGCCTCAGAGACTGCTTGTGGCCTAGAGCCCGCCAAAGTTGGAGTTGCCTCCATTCCTGCCTCGGCATACTTTTATGTACCTTGAGTCCAGAGTGCGCCTGGGAATTGGACGCGCAGCAGGTCCCGCCTTTTGTCCCGCGGATCGCCGGAACAGGTAAAGATTCTCAGTGAGATATGCCCACCTGGGCTTTCGCCTCAATCATCAACTCCGCATCGTATTTCTCATGACGGCCTTCTATTTATGTTTCAACATTCGCGAGGGCCCCATTCAAACGGAAATATTTCAAGCCCGGGTGCGCAATGACGTGTTATGAATCATGCTCGCTCCCTAGACTTTGGAGAAGCTTGACTCTACCTCGTTATAAATGAGGATCAAATGACTCTTCTCGTGTGCCTAGATCTACTGGGTGCCCTTCGGAAATGCTTCACAAGTTTACATCCTCGTGCAATAGGAGTGAGCCGTGAGTAGTGACGGGAAGAAGTAGTCGCTACATCGCAAAGGCACTGAGAGTTTCCGTTTAGAAACTTGAGTCGACACTAAGGAGCGGTGTGGTTATACTCTGTAGCTATGTTCTCTATTGATGGTAGCCGAATTGATGTAGAATAAGCAGGTAGATGATTAGAAAGCAGCAAAGGCTATTCAGGGATGCATATAGTCAATCAGTCTCTTAACCCGATTGTTCTAATACATCATCTATATGCTCATCAATAGTATAGCATTGTTTGAGTATAGTTGGAGACTATGGACCTCAAAATGCCGATACATCCCGTTGAAACAATCACTGGGGATGACCCACTGAGCAAGGACGACAGGCCTTGACCTACTCAACAAAGGCGTAGAGTACAGGAACCCAAGATAAAAGAGACTATAGCAGGTCACGGAATCTCATCATAAAAGCAATGACTCTGCAATATGATCAGAATGGGATTGACCATCAATCGCTGCCTACGAATGAGCCACTAAGCATACAAAGTGATTAGTCGACAATGAGCTTTAAGAGTACAAGCGATTAGTCATAGCCAAGCTTTAAGCAGTTTACATGAAGATGACCATGGTAACCAAGGACCAAGTAAATGACTAGAGCAAAGAACCCCCTTAATACGGTTCCCATGGCTGTTCAGCAATCAACATGTGGTGTTTCCTTTTTCGTACTGATCAGGCTTGTGAGCTTATAGTCCACCAGCCATTATGCATACAATCAGTTACCGTACCTCTCAAGTCCTTGTATTGATCATCACAGCTGCAACATGTGCAACACTGTTCCAAAGTATTATCCGTCTATACCTATTAGCAGAAACGACAGTCTGCTACCACTGTGTATCTGATGGCTTGATATACCACCCCTCTGCTGGAAGATAACGTCGTTAGGTAGAGGGTTGACGCTAGATACTAATAGACTAACTCTGAGTAATGAAGCAAGGGTCTAATCGATGTGAAAAGGCAGTTAATTCTTGTACGGATAAGCCGAACATTCTCCATTTTATTACGGGTAAGTACACCATGCTTAAGAAGAGAACACACAAATACATACACCCTCATACATTTAAGTATGCGTGTCATACTGTTTCCATTAACAGTGTCTACTTGTGCTTCGCAACGTATAGAAGATATGGGTGTGGGTCCCTGCCTAATCTAGGTATCGCTTACGGCAAATCGGCATGTGTAACGTTTGGACTGTATGTTAGAGAATCGTCAATTTGACTTTTCGCTATCACGCTGCGTACACAAATCATTACATCCCTACCAACAGACTAAGCGGACGGATTTAATCTTTAAAATCCGTCGCTCCGCCATATTGCATTCACAACTAGAAATACAACTTCGTTATAAGATTCGCTTCGCCCTCTTGGAAATATAGGATCATCCAACATTACCTTTCGTTCGAAAATTCGCATCACCAAAGGAACAGTATCCGCTCACAGCGCCTCAAAATGAGTACTACAAATTATACTATTCTTCTTACCGCCGGTGGCGGCAACATTGGCTCACAACTCATTCCTCACCTTTTGAAAGATCCCTCGAACCCTAAGATCATTCTGCCCACGTCCAACTCTGCCAGCCTCCTACGTCGACTGCCGTTCGTCTCCAACGAACAAGTGGTCGTGGAAGAAGGAGACATTCAGGACGCTCGATGGTTCGAGTCTCTCCTCTCGACCCACTCCGTGGACGCTGTATTCGTCTGCTTGACGGGAGAGAAGGAACTCATCACGACGTTCAACATCTTCGACGCCATGTTCAAGACCCCTTCGATCAAACACCTGGTGTACATTTCCGCATGCGGAGACCTCACCCTCGAATCGGCAGTCAACAATGGCCGACTCCTCAACATGTGTGCCGGTCACGTCGCTGTCAAGATCATTGCCGAGGGCAAACTTCGGTACGGAATGCCCAGAGATAGCTTCACCTGGACCATCCTCGGACCTGCCATGTTCACCAGTAACGATCTCCTTTACAAAACATCCCTGCTTGAAAGGGACTTCTACGACGAGCCGGTCGGCTCCAAAGGCGTAGCCAAGGTTGATACCGCCGATATTGCTCTAGGGGCATACAAAGCACTCATGGACCAAGGCCGCAAGTACAACCGCCAGAAGATCATGATTGGCTCCTTGAAGACATACACTGCTACTGAAATTGCCGCGCTTTGGTCCAAGGCTTTGGGCAAGGAGATCAAAGCAGCCGAGAGCGACGCTAAGACCCTCAGCGCCTTTGAGAACGTCTTGGCCAAATATACGAGCCCGGCATGGGGTAGAGACTTGAGACTCCTATACGAGAGTTTTGAGAAAGAGCGTTTTGGCATGACTGAGGAGGACTACGCGTGTCAAGTCGAATTTCTAGGCAAAGAGCCTCATGGCTATGAGCACTTCATTGAGGAGACTGCAAAGAGCTGGTTGAAGTGATTTGTCATGCAAATGCACTGATTGTAAATTAGTTGGATATTTGGCACATTTCGGTGTCTAGGTAGATCTTTCATAGGTCGAGCTCGTGTTTCGATATGGTTCTAATGCTGTTAGTGCTCCGACTTATATCTTGATATGGACTGATCAACTTAGTGATGACAGAAATGCGTCGATATTTCCCACTGAGGCGGTTGGAGTTCCAGTGACAAATGTGTTAGTCAAGTTTAATCAGATCTACTTCATTCCTTGTCCGTGCGAGGACCAATAGCCCAACAAATCACATACCATTCACTTCGTTGGATCAACGAGTATAGTCGAGCTTCTGTCCAAGATCCCTCTCTGATGTTATCTTATTGTAGTTGTCCCGCCGCGATGTCGCAAAACTGCATTTAACCAATCTCCAAACAGTTCTCAAACTTTGTTTGCCGCTAGTTCCACCTCAAATGCGGCTTTCTTTCGAACAACACTCGCAACATTAAAGGCTTTCAACCAGCCCAATCCGCCGCATAAACGACAAGATGACGCCATAGGTGATGACAGTCGACTTTGATACATCTGGAAGTTCTCGTACAATAGCACAGGCGATGTATGAGCTCCGCAAACTCCACCCCCCATTGGCTAGTACTTGGTGGGCAGTTGGCATTTATCGGAAGTAATAGTCCACAAGGCTACACCTTGACCATCATGTCAAGGTCTGGATTTTTCTTCTTCTTTTTGTGTATCAAGAGCTTGTAGTCCGATGATTAGAGCATATGAAACACCGAACAGAGACAGCTCGCGCACAACCGCATCTACATTGATACGACGGGCCGCCGCGAAGGGACAAGCGTGTGGACCGTTCTTCGCGACGCGTGCGCCGACTGGCGCACGCGGGCATTCTGCCTCATGTACCACCTCCACCTCGCACTAAACGGCTTCCAGAACTTCCTCCCCACCGTCATGCAGACACTGTGCTACAGCAGGACGGTCACCGTGGCCCTGACGTGCCCGCCGTACATCTTCGCCGCGCTGGTCGGCATTCTAACCTCGTGGACATCGGGCCGCTGCAACGAACGGACCTGGCACATCTCCGTCATGAAAACCATTGCGGCCGGCGGCTTCATCGTCGCGGTCGCCACGCTGAACGTTGCGGTGCGCCTGATCGGCATCGTCTTCTTCGTGGGGGCCACTTTCGGGATCAAACAGCCTGACTCTGGGCTGGGCATCCAGCACGCTCGGCCAGACGGACAAGAACTTTATGTGTATTGGGCGCATACATGATTTCAGTGGACACGTTGAGGTGTGTCCGATGGATTCCTAGCTTTCTTCTATGGCCATATTCTGACTATGAGCACTGCTGTCATCCAGTGCAACGGATCTATTTGATGGACTATGATTAATGTTGAACAATATCACTTCTAAGCTGTTCGTGTTTAGCTTTTTGCCAAACAAAATCTGTTACACAGTGTATGTCTTGGTGAAATTTGAACTTCGAGTGCATAAAGGTGCTGGCAGGCCTTGATTTAACGATTCAATGCGCATTTTACGAGCTTGTGGCTAGAAGAGGGGAGGTAGCCTTTCACTGTACCATCCGGGAACTTGATGGCATCCCGTCTTATTACACCCGCTCGTCAGCGACGAATCTGCCCCCTCAAACCTTGTGTGATGAACATCTCCATGATCTGATGCCAGTCTATTCAGAATTCATCACGGGTATAGGCCCTTGCGCGTGTGTCCAACTCAGTCTTTTGTGACCACAAAGCAGGTCGCGACATTGCTTCTTGATATGCTCACCAGTCCTTTTCATCTACTCCAAATGCAAGCCTACCATACCCCTCAGATAACAGACTTTCTATTCCATCTTGCCAGCGACATCAACCACATGCTCACGAGGGAAACATCCGACCCCATCAGCAACTCTCCAGCACATCCCACACCAGATCCTCGTGCACGACGTGCGCGCCGACGCTCAGCGGCGCCCCCGTCTTCAGCAGCGCCTCGCACGGCAGCTCCCGCCAGCCAATGTGCACCGTCCGCTTCCAGCCCTCCTCCTCCTTCCACTCCCACCGCTGCGCCGCGACGTCGTCCCCGACGCGCAAGAAGCCCTGGCAGAACCGGCCCAGCCAGACCACCAGCCCGCGCGACCGCGTCGGCTCGTCCTCGAACCGCAGCACGATGCACTCGACGGCGCCGCCCGCCCCGGCGACGGCCACGGGCTCGACGTCCCGCCAGAGCTCCTCGTAGTCCGTCTGCTGCCCCGTCGCCGGGTTCGCCATGCGGCCCTTTTCGAGCGTCAGCCCGTCGGGCTGCTCGTACATGTCGCCCTCGTCCGCGGCGCCCTCGGGCTCCGTCGTGCGCGAGTCGATCCAGTGCTCCCACCGCGAGTGCCGCACCTGGCCGCCGGCGCCGTCGTCGCGCACCGTCGACGACGAGGTCCCCGCGATGCCCCACTCCAGACGCTCAACGCCGTGTGTCGCTGAGGGGGGAAGGGCGGTGTCAGATCCGGGGTTGTTGAGTCAAAGTTTCCCAATGCGTTCGTTCGCCCGAGTGGGACACTCACCTTGCGCGCCGTCGGCCGTCGGCGCCGACTTGAGGATGCGGAGATCGACGAAGCGGCGCTGCGGGGACGTGAGCACAATCGTCGACGTCGGCTCGCTCGCCTCGTCGGGGATCCAGCGGATGTGCTCGCGGAACGAGATGCTGCCCATGGTGGATGGAGTTGCGTGGTACGGTGTTTCCGGGAGTCGGGACGATTGGCTCACAATAAGGTTGCGAGATGGGGTGTGTGTGTGTGTGTGTGAGTGTGTTCCGCACGGGAGTGCGGGGGATGAGGTGTGTTCGCGCGCAACGCCGGGCGCGGGCGTCGATGTCGCGCAGATTGGCCCCACTTTCAGCCGACCAAAGCCTCACGCCGTCACAATCGCCGATCCGATCCGGGGCCGCCACGTGTGTATGCGCTCAACGGCGCCGACCCAACCGCGTCTATTAGTCTATGTGTGTATATGTGTGTATGTTTCTCGGCGGGAGATCTATCGTCTAAGTCTATGTACGCTCCCCTTCTATCCCGTTACCACCGCCCTATCCCACCACGGGTGTGCCGCCGTGCTCGTCCAACTCCCCAGGCAAATCAATCTCACGCGGCCTTCTCCAGCCGATCCACGACCTCGAGAAGCCCTTGGACCTTCTTCTCGCACTCGGCCCTGCTCTTCTCCTGCGCCGCGTACGTGTCGCGGAGGTGGTCGACCATGAAGGGCTTCAGCGGCGTCCTCTTGGCCGTCTTGTAGTCGTACACGACAATATCCTCGAAGCAGCGCGCCGCGGGGCGGCGGTGGCGGTGGGAGACGAGGAGGGCCTCGAGGATGATGTAGTCGGACTCATACGTCGGCTGCGAGACGAGCTTGTGCAGGACCGTGACGTGGTCCGGGTAGGCCATCGGCTAGGGTCATCAGTATCTCGTGATGCAGGCGATGAGGCCGCGGGATGGAGACGGGAGGCCGTTCGGTCTTGTAAAGGATGGAGAGGGGAGTACACTCACAAACTTGTAGTCCGTCTTGATGCTCCTCATGATGAGCCCGACGTCGCGCGGGTACATGAGCGCGTTCCACTGGTCCGCGTGCGCCGGGTCCACCGTCGTGGCGAAGTTGCGGAGCCAGTTGAACCGCGCCGACTCAGCGTACTTGTTGTAGACGACGTTGTTTACGTGACCTGTGACTGTGAGCTGCTGTTCGCGCTGTGCCTGACGAGGTGCGTCGTACCCTGCGTCGTGTTAGTGGGCTTTCCCCGTGCAGTGGTGCAGGATCAACTCACCATTGCGTCCTAAGAAACCCCAAGCAAGTCAGTTCAGCATTCTCATCCCGGCCTCATTGCAGTCTCATCACAACGGGATAACGAACCTGGTCTCCCCACGTCACAGTGTGCCTGTTCAAGCCCCTCCACCCGTGCCCCGTGAGGAAGCCTTCGCGCCCGGCGAGCAGCTCCAACCACTGCCCATCAACGGCCTCCTGCAGCGCCTTCAGCTCCTCCTTCTGCTGGCCCTGCAGACCGAGGCCCGCGCACCGCTTGATGCGCGCCTGCAGCTCGGACAGCCATCGCGGGTTTAACGCGGCGCCGTTGCCGTTGCCGTTGGCAGGGCCCGAAGGCGGCGCGGCGAGACACGGCGCCGAAGTCGTAAACGAGCGCTGGGGGATCCGGGCAGAGGCGCGGGCCAGACGGGCGCCGAGGGCGATTGGGGTGCGCATTGTGGCTTTTGGGGGGTATCTGGAGCGTGTTTAGACAGAGATGCAGGAGAATAAACGGAGAGTCATCGCTAGAAGCCGGGCGTGAAGAATTTTGATAGGGGCCCCGGCAGGGTGGATGTTGGGATAGTGAGGGAATCCGGCTTCCGTCGGCTGCGCGCCAGCAGTGAGTCGGGAAACCCTTGGGCTGCGCGATAGCGGGCGAGGGAGGCTCGTGAGTGGTCCCGGTGAGGAGGGTCGCTGGCCGTTTTGGGGGGGGTTGTGCCCAGTTTAATCCCCTGCGTTATGGCCAGTTGGTTCGATTCGGTAGTTGGCCGCGCCGCCCTTCTCGCTGGGACGGTTTGCCTTTACTACCTAGGTACCGTGTGTACTCATGGAGAGTTATGGGGCGTGGGGGTACTGGCTCGGACTCTCGGTGCTTCGGCTTGGTGAAGGTGCTGTGGCCGGAGACCAAGGTCGGCAAGAGAATTTGTTCACCGTTGCATGTTTTCGAAAGCTTCAGGTTGCTAGAAACGTGGTGCAAAGTCGTCTCGACGAGTCACGGCGCTGGTGGGCTGCCAACTGAACAAACTAGTTTGGTGACCGTTTGATATCCATACATAGGCTCGCAAATCTGATGCTCTTCCACACCGAGCAAGGCTTAGCCTTGAATCTCCCCTTGGTGTAGTTGGTTCATCACGTTCGACTGTAATGGTTTCATTGTCATCGAAAGGTCTCTAGTTCGATTCTGGAAGGGGAGAATTTCTTTTTTCGAGGTTTTTGTCTCCGTACCCTCGAGAGCACTCCCGATCACATAACGGATTCCTCTCGAGTGTTGCGAAATACTTTTGGAAACTGATAAGCTGGTTGGATTCTGCTGCAATGTAGCAGCATATTCGAGTTTATTGCGTGAGGCAGTGCAACTTCATCGCGTTATTGGCACCAATTCTGTGTTTTTGCGGAAAATAACATGACGCGACGTTGAATTTGATTTACGAGATGCACTTGCCAAACTCGCAGGTCCCAGGAATATCATCTTCCACCATGTGTTAATCGCGGTGAAGACCTACGTCACGAGTCGACCTCACGTGCTGAAGATTCCCGCGCCACGCCCGCCCAGCTCAGCCACCGACGAGTTTCCTCAGGGAAGGAAGAAGGAAAAAAAAAAAGCCATGGTACAAAGGTACATGAAAAACAAAACTCAGCCCGTCCCAGAATGCCTGTCCGGTGGAGACGCCGACCGACAGCCCCCGACACCCGTGGCCCAGGACCACACCTGGCAAGCCTGGGAAGGCGCGCGCGCGCGCGGGGACCAGGCGGGAGCTCCGAGCTGCAACGGGAGGCAGTGGTCATAGCTTCTTTTTTCCTCCTTCGTTGCCCTCCTGCCCCACCTTCCCGATCAGGGAGGGGACCACATTTTCCGGACGACAACTGCACTTTGGCTGCACCCACTGACTGCAGCCGCGACGCAGGTCCAGCGCACCAAGAGGACGGCCGCCCTGCGCGCGTCACGTCTTGATGCTTCGACCAGCCGTCGAGATGCAGCTATGCACGCCTGCTTTGAGGCGGCAGACCATGTCCACAAATGGTTCGAGTTGTCCACGAACGATTTGCCAACTTTCCAGGCCACAGGCTTCGACGCTGTCGACCTGGCCGTCGCTGGGAAAAGGGGCTTGGGCGCACGCGTCGGCGAGCCAAAACAAGCACAGCACGGCGTTGAGCTGCTCGACACAGCACCAAGACCCCCGGAAATAGACAACTCCCTATGCTTGGTTAGCCTGATTGATGGTGCTGTCTATCAATACAACTCATAGGAATGTTATAGTCGGACTGTAGCCAAGTTGCCCGCAGTATCGCAGACGACGCCGTGACTTGGGCTTCGCTGGGCTTCGCTAGTCTGGTCTGCCTCTGCGGCTGCTGGGGATTTGGCACGTCGCAGCCCAGAGTTTCTATAGCCACGAATGCAACATCTCTGGATTGGTTGAGACGCCGGAAGATCCTCTCTGTCGACGTGTCAAACACTTGAGAATCGGTTGCGTTGCTTGAAGTTTTGTCAGTTGTAGAGTTGAGGCGCATGGAAGACCAACACCACGTGACACGTAGCCTTCCCTCCATTTCCAGTTGCCGCGGTTCGCATAATGCGCATTCGTCGACGGGTTTCTTGTTGTCAAGACTTTAGGCACCTCGAATTCCAATAGACCATCATCTCAACGATGATTGACAACAAATTTGTTGACTCCAGGTCCGTTTCAGGTTGTTGGCGACATGCCGGTAGGCACGAGTCGCGAGGCGGTGACGAGCACACGTGTTCTCCTCCACCTTGGGCACACATGCGTCATACTTCAAGTGGCAGCGACGAAGCAAACGACGACCAGGATGCACGAAAAAAGAGGACGAACATGGATCGAGAGGCTTCAGAAACCGGTTGCACATGTTTTTATGGCCATAAACGCGTAAGAGACGGTGGCAGTCGCTACTAGGCGAAGACGCTGGTCAAATGTGAATAGCTTCCATCGCGACTCCTCTTCCGGGAGCTTGCGTCGATGCTGGCAGCCTCGTATTGGCCTCAAAGCGTCCAAAAAAAGACGGAAATCAATCAAGACCATGCGAAAAAGAACGTGCAAGAGGCCACGAAAGAGGCTGAGCAACGGCGTGGTCGTGGGCACGTGGAAGAGACGATGCACTGGTTTTCACCGGTCGCGTGGCGCGATCGCGATGGGTCAAGGGGCGATACTCGGTGTAAGTCAAATCGGGCAGGGAAAATGGGAGAAATCCAACAAAAATACCCCCGACCAGATTGTCGACCTAGACGATGGAATCGCGTGTTTCCCAGATGCAGCGACGGGTGTTGGTGGTGATTGCGATGGAGGTGGTGCAACATGTGCGGATAGCTTCAATTTGGACGAAGCGCGACCGAATCACGACGGACCGGTCGGTGCCCCGGAGCGCAGTGCGCGATATCCGGGCCACAACGCGCGATAAACAAACGAAAAACAGCATCATACGATGGAGAAAAATTCGAGCAACACAATGATGCGACCGGGCTGAGATGAAACCGGAAGTGCGAGGGAAGAAGCCGGATGCGACTGGTGGTATCCGTGGCCGACGAGATGGGCGACGATGCGCAAAAATCGGCAACTGGGCGGGCGAAAGGTGTTGAGGGGCGAGGCAAGTTGGGGCCGGGTCGGAGGGCAGTGGATCGGCGGGTGCAGGGCTCGAAAACGTGGCAGTTGCGAGGGCTGAGTCATTTAATTGTAATGGAGGGTGAGCGAACGGCATCGAGAGGGAAAAGAAGAGAAGGGGAAGAGGAGAGGGACGAGGAGACGAGAGGGCGGTTGAGGTGGGCGATGAGGATGAGTTTGGTGGGATGGCGCCGTGTGCCGGATCAGAGAAAGCAGGAGGAGCGGGTGAGAGAGAGAGGAACCCCGAACACTGGCAGGCCAGGAAGGACCACGGCGACGGCGATGGGCTCCTGCTCAACTTCCCTACCAACACGATAATTCCGGCCAATCAGAAAAATCGGATGAGAGGGAAAGCATGACAATGAAAAATGCGACAGAGGGAAATGCACAAAGGTACAAGTGGCATGTATCTTCTGAACTGTGGCAGAAACATGGCAGTTGTGATGGGAAAACGGGAAAAAGGGACGATGACGGGGGTGGAAAGCGACGGGGGAGAGGAGGAGAGGAGAGGAAGAAGGTGAGCAGTACACGCTAGTGGGCACGGAAGGAAAGGAAGGAGGGGCCTAGGAGGGCGGCGGCGACATGGCGGCGCCTGCACTGACGGGATGCATGCACTGATACTGATCTTGGGTTGATCTGAACGAGACGGCCGGCGCGAGGAATCTCTCTATCTGGTCGGGGTGGGTGTGTTTGCCTTTGTTTGGTGGGCTCACTGGGCCTTCGGACCCAGGGGGCTCGACATGAAGTTCACACTACATTAGAGAAGGCGGCAGTGGCCTGTCCGGGGTCATCTCACACACATTCTCTCATGCTCTCGCGAACTCACCAAGGTGGATGGGGGCGAGCTAGCCGGTGGAAAGCCCCAGAGGCCAGAGTAGGGATAGGGCCGTGGAAGGGCACCAGAACAATAGATCCCGGCGCGTCCAAGGCAGATGACTGGCCCCGGGGAGCTCTGCTCAAGGTTGCAGCGTGGGATGGTGAGGTGTTCGAACCGCTTGCAGGGGGCAACAAGGGGACCGGCCCTGGGAGTCCAGGGTGTGACAGCAGACCGACTCCAGAGACGACAGAAGCTTCAGAAGCTTCATGCATTGCCATTGCCCAGAGCTTGGGGCGTGGACGGCAGAGCTGGGCCGGAGGGGAGTGGGAGTCCGGTCTGATGAGGAGCTCAGCTGCGAGGGGATCTGCCGTTTGTTGGCACCTCGCTGTACACCACCACATCCTCCATCACATCTGGGGTATTTTGGTCGCCACATGACAGGTGGCTGACCAGGAGTGACGGAATGCTAGGCAGAGATCACGTTCGCGCGTGTTGGAGAGACTGGACAGAAACAGATACTTCGAGACCGGCAGGTAAAGGTTATATCACGACAGGACTCGGCCCTGATCGAGGGCGGTCGTCACGCAGAGGAGCTGGCGGCCGTGCTGGATCTGGCACCGGGCGATGGATCATGGTTTCTGAGGAACACGGCCGCGCAGAGCGCACACGTCCAAAATAGAGACGCACGTTTGTTTGTCACCGGGCCCGGCGCTAATCGCCGATATAGGTTGAAGCAGGTGAACGGTGGACAAATGAAATGTGACGGCCGAGAAGGAGAGGAGAGGAGAGGATGTGAAGATGTGTGTGGTGAAGAGGGGACGAGGGCGAGGGCGAGGGCGGAGGTGAGGTCGACAGTGAGGAGGGTGCGTCGAGCCAGCGGAGGCGCGGAAGCTGGGGCTCTGCCGTCTGTCCTGACTGTCTGTCCCCTCGCTCCTGCCTCGCCATGCACCTGCTGCATCTGCATCTGCCATGCCACCTTAGTTTAGCTACCCGACTCGACGAGACCTTGCTAGACCCAACGGGAATCGGGACGGTGACATCTAAAACTGGTCTGGGCTGTCATGGTTACGCCTCGGCTGGTGTGGGAAAATATTGAGAAAATGCGGGAAAGAGGAAAAGAGACGGGGGGAAGGTGCGAGGGTGTGTGGGAGGCTCGAGGTGGGCGAGAGGGAAGGAGGTGGTGGAAGGAGAGGGGAGGGGCGCCCGTCCTCGTGGTTCACTGTCCAGCGCCCATCACCCCCCCAAATCCCCAAATGGCACCCGCACCAGGACAGCACCCGAGAAAAAAAAAAGAGGCAGACCCAACCCGCCCGGGGCCAAGGGCCAAAAGTTACTGATTGCGCACCGCGCCCAACGGCCCCCGCCCATTTATAAAAACATGCCCCGTCCCCTCCACGCACGCGCTCCCTCCCCTTCTCGTTCCGGATCCCTTCTTCTCTTGTCTCTCTCAACAACCAACAACGCGTCGCTACTTTACCTCTTCAACTCGTCTCTCCATCGACTTCAATCGCCCTTTCGATTGCATCCGCTTAAGTGCACAACTTTCCAACACCTAACCCGATCCCACCCCACCCAAAACAACACAATGCCTCCCAAGAAGACCGAGGGCGCTGCCGCCGCTCCCGCTACCAAGTCCAAGCCCACCCACGCCAGCTACCAGGTTCGTACTCCAATCGCCCGGGTTTTTTGCATGCCGTGTTCTTTGCTAACGACTTATAGGACATGATCACCGATGCCATTGTTGCTGTATGTTTTGCCGCTCCTCTGCCTCCGGCGCAAAGGGTGACGCGATCCGGAGGCCTGCAGGTCACCTGCCTGGCGTCTTAGTGCCTTGTGCCTCGCCCATGGCTTCTGCACCTGCGGTCCCTCCCGATCGCTCCACCGCCCTCCGCCATTGCCCTTCAAAGGCATGTTACTGACGCGTATCCCCTTGTAGCTCAAGGACCGCAATGGATCTTCCCGTCAGTCTCTGAAGAAGTACGTCAAGGCCAACAACCAGATCAACACCGTCAGCGACAACATGTTCGACTCGCTATTCAACAAGGCCCTCCGCGCCGGTGTTGAGAAGGGTGTCTTTGAGCAGCCCAAGGGTATGTCGCCTCGCCGCCTATCGTTTATGTCATGATATTAACTGTCACAGGCCCCTCCGGTGGCACCAAGCTGGCCAAGAAGGCCCCTAAGCCCGCCGAGAAGAAGGAGAAGAAGCCCGCTGAGAAGAAGGCCCCCGCCAAGAAGGAGGCTAAGGAGCCCAAGGAGAAGAAGGCCGCTGCTCCCAAGAAGGCTGCCGCCAAGAAGGAGACCAAGGAGCCTAAGGAGAAGAAGGCTGCCGCTCCCAAGAAGGCCGCTGCCCCCAAGAAGGCTGCCGCTGAGAAGAAGGAGAAGAAGCCCGCCGCCAAGAAGGCCGCTGCTGTATGTCCTGACCGTCGCCACCTAGATGCGCTTCGTTCACTAACACACTCAACAGGAGAAGCCCGCCAAGGAGGAGAAGCCTGCTGTTCTCAGCAAGATCAAGACGGGTCGTGTCACCAAGACTGAGAAGAAGGCCCCTGCCGCCAAGAAGGAGACCAAGGAGCCCAAGGAGAAGAAGGCTGCCGCCCCAAGAAGGCCGCTGCCCCTAAGAAGGCGGCGCCCAAGAAGACGGCCGCCGAGAAGAAGGAGGCCAAGGCTGAGGCTCCCGCCGCCGCCGCATAAACGGCATCCGTCCATGCAACCAACCGTTACGATGATGCAATGTCGGATTTGCTCGGCTTTCACACAGCAAATGTTTGGTGTCACGAATCTTCTCCAACGGCGTTCACGGGAGTCTCGATTATTTACTGGGAAAGGGCAAAGGGCCGGGATGGTTGGTGGGAAACCAACCGGGGAGGGAAAACGCGACGCGTTTCTGTCTTGAGTGTTTTGTTAACTTGCTGCTATTGCGATATATGTGCGTGCGTGTCCCGGGTTTCGGGGCTGAGAGAATGGGACGGGTCGGGTCGAGTTGATATTGGGCTTGTCTTTTGAGGTTTCCGCGTCGTGCGCGCGCCCCTTGTTTGCGTCTGACTTGTGTTCCGCCACGACGTTTCGTGGCGGCGTCTCGTCTTTTGCCGCGACATGGACTCTTCCGACTACTGTAACTATAGCTCGCGCGATATACCAATGATGGGAGCCTTTTCACTGTTCACACCGGTCTTACTATGTTGCAATGCGTGATGTTGGAGCCGTGATGATGGGACTAGAATCGCAATGGGCGGGAGCCACTGAAGAATGGGTGGACTGGTTCAGGGGCATGGATCGCAAAGTCGCGTGTTTGATTACACGCAACGGTCCCAGGAAATGACTTGAAAGACGACATCTCGTTTGACGCTCACCGAGGGCCCGAGCAAGCACGCACCGGCTGGGGAAATGAGTCAAAATAATGAGGTATCCAAAGCAAAAGGGGTGGAAAGGGAAAGGGATGGTTACGAAAGGTGGCCCACGGCCTGCGACGCCTCCGGAGGGGAGTTGGAGAGTCTCGGGGTGGGGTCGAGACGCGGTTCGCTTTTTCCTTTTGTTTACATCTTGGCCAACCCCCCCCCCTCCGGGCGGCGGACGGGCGGGCGGGCGGTCGGTGGTCTTTAGCGCTGTATGCTGCTGCTGCTGCTGTCGAAAAGCGCTGCAGGAGAGTGGAAAAGAGAGGCCTGAGCTGCTGGCCTGCACCGCCGGCCGGTGCTGAGGGACCATCACGTGGTTCCCCGCGGGGGGGCGTCTTGTCTCGCTCCCTGACACGCTGGAACCCGATTCCCTCTCTCTCTCCGTGGCGTCGGAAGAGAATTGTCCCAAGCTTTCGTGTTTTTATGCTTTACGAGTCGACGGAAATGGGGCTTATGGTTAACGCCTGGCTGCTGCGTCTGGGCCGCGGGCGACGATCACCCCCTTCTGGCGTTTATGTCGCTCGTCTGGGGGAGGACCGACCTGGGGTGACATGACTTGCGCCGAGACTGAATGCCCGCTGGTCGACGTTATGGGACGGGCGGTGTATAGCATCGCTCCATGGGCGGCCGGAGTCGAGTGCGCTGCTTGGATGGGCGGACGAGGGGAGGGCACAGGCCGCTGTGCAGCTCGGTGTGCAACTTACCAAGACTCTGGAAACTTGAGGGGTTCGCCGTGGGTCTGGCAGGTCTGGGCGTTGAAGAAGAAAGAGTCTGGCGATCCGAAGGGCATACTTTCCTGTCGAGTGTGATTTTCATGGATGAGCTGCGCCGGCTGCTTGTAATTATACACTGCGTGTTCGCGCGAAGCAGAGCAGCTGACGCAAATGTACTGTAGACTGGGCTGGAGTTGGGGGGGGGGGGTCGTCCGTCAACGCTGCGGGTGCGGTGTCGCGACTGGCCAAGGGAACGTTGGTAGACACGTGAACGAGAACGGCGCCACACCGCACCGCATTCGAATATGTTGTTCCCCATCCGCACTGATCATCTGGACGACGCCTCACGAAAGTTGATATTTGGGCGTCTCACAGTTGGCTTCGGTCATGTATAGTGTGTCTACATTTGCGAATGGAGTCGTTTCGAGGACTGGCTCGACGACCTAGGCTACGCTGCGCACTACGTAGGTCCCTTTCGCGAGGGACTCTGACAAGGCAAGCGAAGACTTATGCCATGGGTCTAGGAATACGTCATGTTCCAACCGACTCGCAAGACGCTCAATCTACCTACGGCCGCCGATGATCGCCTCTCAGCTGCTACTTGCCGTTCGGTTCTGGACCGATGAGAGCGTGGCGTGGCGGTGCGGTGCGGGGGGACGCTTGGAAGGCGATGAGGACGAGGGGTAGAGGAGGAGGAAGAGGCAGAGGTCATGGGCCGGTGTAACGGTGTCATATGTTGAGCTCGCGGCTTGAGAAGTGCGCAAGTTGCAGACGTTTGCCCGCGGCTCTTCTGCCCTTTCCCCTCTCCAAGCCAGTTTGGTCCGTTGCACACTAGGTAGCAGCATCCGTCGTCGTGCACGCACAGGCGCACCCAAGACGCCTCGGTGCGGTGCAGGACCTGACGTGCAAGGAGTGACGTGGATAGCTAGCCCCGAGCTTGCTTCCCATTGGTGTTCCTGAAACAAACCTTGATCGTTTGAGGGTGCGATGTGAAGACATGCCATTTCATCGTCCGCCGGCCGTAGTGTTCGCCTTGTACCGGTACTTGGCTGCGCGTGAGAGACACTGGCTCGACGAACGAGATGAGATGCGGAGGTGTAAGCGTCCAGAAGACGGTCAACGCAGAAGATGGCATATGGGGTTTGGGATGGAGGACAATCCCATGACATGGTTCCAGACTTGTCCTGTCCATTATTGTTGCTGCTGCTGGCGCGCCAGCCCTCTCCCTCACCCACTCGCCTTGGCAGCTTTTGGAGAGTCGTCCGTGTCCCGAGATCCCTGTTGTCAATCCGGAACGGCTTGGGCGGCAGGTGCAAGGGACAACCGTACAATTGGGGGCGAAAGGCGATGGATCAAAGATGGAGTGGTGAGGGAAACGGAGGGGTCCTGAGCGTCTACGAGGATCTCAAGGCCTCAAAAGTGCTGGGGCGAGGCGGTTTGAGAGCACCAAGGTGAGGCGAGATGAAGAGGAGAATGGTGGCTGAAGAAGCGGAGGAGAAGGAGACGAGTGAGTGGTGGGAGAGAGTAAGTGAGCGAGCGAGCGAGTTTGCTGTTGAGGGGAACCGTCTTCTGCGCCTCGTTCCAAAGTGAGATTGAATCGAAAGGTGAGAAACACAGGGCGTCATGAGGCAGAGCTTCCCTACCTGCTGTGGCTCCATGAGCAGTCCCTGGCTGGCCTGCCCGTGTACCGCAGTACAGGGCGCTGGTCAGGGCTGGCTCGTGCGCGCCTTCCCGCTCGTTTCGGGGTATGTGGGGGAGGAGCAGGATGAGGGAAGGGACCGCCGGTGCGCCAGTCGAGGGGAGGAAGGTACCGGGTACATTGCACGAGTGTCTCCTTCTTCCTCCCCCCCCCTCTCCTTCCTTTCCTCATGCTAAGGTAGGTAGGTAGGTAGTCGCCCGTCAGTTGTGAGCAGCTTCCGTTTGTGAAGTCATGCGCGTGCCTTTCTAACTCTGCTCTGCCTCTGTCCTTCCTGGCGTACTACCTAGGCAATGCACCATGGTATCGAAAATGCGTCCCGTCTGGATCTGGACCTGCAAAGCTGAAGCTGGATCTGGAACAGGGAATCCGAGGGCGGAAACTGCAACGAGGCAAATGCCAGGAGGCAGGCCTTGGACTTGGCCCCCCACCGCCAGGTTCCATCGGGGGGTCCCATCAAAAGTGTCGTCAATCACCACACACACAGCACAACCCAGAAACCAGCATCAGTCCCTCCCACCACCACCCCGCGGCAGCTCCCACCAGCACAGCACGGCACAGCACAGCACCCACGCCGCCTCGCAGGGCATGCGATAAGCAGAGGCAGACAGACAGCTCCTCCCCCTGCCCGCTCGCCTCATCCCGTATCAGATGTAGTGTACATATCACATCGCATCGTGTCGTGTCGCACCGCACTGACCGTCGTCCCCTCCTCTTCCTCTCCCCCCCCCGGTCCGTCAACCTCGACCAGAACTGCCTGACGTCTTGTTTCTGTCCAATCTCATCTCGTCACCCTCCGACTGGCCGCCGCCGCCAACCTGATCGCGGACTACTCACTCGCATCCAATCCCTTCTAACCCAACATCCACCGCCAGCCCAGCACTGCCACTATACCAGCACACCACCACATCCACATCCACTGCCTTTACCGTTTACTGCTTCTATCATCACCGCTACAATACAATACCATACCGTACCAGCCGTACGGACCATCTTCTAGGCGCCCAGGACCGCTTCAAGCCCCCGACAGCTTTTCGAATTGGGCACGTTGCTGTCCTCGTCCTCGTCCTCTCGCCCGCCGCTCAAGCGCCCTTGGTAAGCAGCAAACATGGCCCCCATTTTCCCTATTAGGCCACCCGTCATCCCGACCCCAAAATCCCTCTGCAAGCCGCGTCCCTTGCGACTGATGTGCGTCCCAACCGATTGTTCCGGCCGACGAGACTGACCTTCACCCGCAGTACCCGTACCCATAACCAATACTCGCTACCCCTGCCCCTCGATCTGCCAACCCAGCGATCCGACTCAGTCCGCCTACCCAGCCTTTCTCCCACCATTCGATCCTCTGGCGACTTTAACAGCCTCGACCGTTGAAACATCGTCGTCGCTGTCGTCGTACCTCGCGTCGATAGCGTCATCCGGCGATTACGACACGCGTCCACGCCTCTCCCGACGGGACATGACCATGGCGGCTGCCTAACTCTTTCTTCGACAACCCTGCACTACGAGATTGAATAAAAAAAACCCCCGCCTAACTCAAGCCTGTGCCATTGCCCGCCGCAACCATGGCGTCCGAACACAACCCCTTTCGCAAGAAGTCCGCTTCCACTTCCTTGTCGTCCTCGACGACCCAGCCCGTGACGACCTCGGCCTTCCTCGAGTCCATCACATCCGGCATCTCCCGGCAGAATGTCCCTCCGCCCCCGGAGCCGCGGCCAGTGAAGCAAAAAGTCGTCAAGAAGGTCAGGGTGTTGTCGCCGCCGCCCTCGTCCCCTTCCTCTCCCGAGTCCGTACATAGCAGAGGCTTCGGGCGCCAAGACGACAGTAGCGACGACGATTCACAGGACGACGACGACCAATTTTCGAAGAGGTTTCCCGAGCTCCCTGGAGGCCTGCCCGAAGCAGCGCCGCTTCGTATTGCCAACGCAAGCGGCACCCCCGATAACCCCTTTGGCAAAACGTTGCAGGATTTGGAGGGCCTGACGGAGAGGAAACCTTCGCCGGGCGCAGCCGGCAAGTCCATGGATGTCAATGCATTCAAGATGCTGCTACTCACCGGTCAGGCTGGTGCCGGAACACCGCCTCCGCAAAGGCCACAGTCACAATCGCAGCAAGACAAGGTCATAGGCTTGCCGAACGATGCATCTTATGCTGCTCCCGAGCTAGACACGCCCCGGACATCACAGGAAATCGCAGACGACCGCGCAGAGGATCAGCGCTCTCTGCTAACATCACCGACGGCCGCGAAGAAGAAGCCCCCTCCGCCAAGCTCAAGGCATGGCAGGAAGATCAGCGTTCAAACACCACAACGTCCGCACATCTCTTCCGAGACAGCGTCGCCTATATCGCCGTCCGATGTGAACAAGCCACTCCCGCCAGCTCCCAGCGGCCATGGCATGAATGACGTGGAGGATGTATTCGCCCGAGAGGCCGCGGGCAAGGTGCCGGAGCAGGACTCCCCCACTCCAAACACGACGCCTACCCCGGCTCTTCCGGGGAGTGGAAAAAAGCCGACGCCTGCCCCTCCACCACGGCGGGGCCACGCACGGAGCCAATCCCTAACAGCCTCTGCCGGAGTGAACGCTCCGAGCACGGCGAATTACGAGGCCGACACGCCGCCTCGGTCATCGCTGGAGTCCCAGCGATCGCGGTCAGAGAGCTTTCGGGGCATCAATGCCCCGGCCCCGCCGCCTCCCCGGCGTCCGCACGCTTCGCACCGGCAGTCTTTCCAGCTAGCATCGCCATCCAATGCATTTTTCAATGGCGCCAGTCCGGCTCTGTCTGATGTCGAAAACCCTCTACATGCTGGGGGAAGCACCCCTCCCAAGATTTCCCCTCCACCACCCCCACCGGCGCGTAACACATCCACGCGTCGGCCTCCAAGCCTGAGAAGCATCGAAGCGCCCAGTAGAAAGCTCAGCGGCGGCAAGGAGAACGGCGCCCCTCCACCGCCGCCTCCACGGCAGAGAGGCAGCAGCCGCGGGAGCATGGACGGATACGGGACGAGAAGAACAAGTATCGACAGTACCAGGGCCATGGGTAGCAACGTACCAGAGGAGCCTGCGGCCGAGGACAATGCACAGGACTACGCCGCAGCGGATGCCGGGAAGGCGGCGGACATTCTCGCCGACTTGGACGCACTGCAGAGAGAGGTGGATGCACTCAGGGCAGCACAGGGTAAATAGGCGAACAGCGAAGGCGCGATGTAGATTGATGGTCTGGGTATAGAACTGGCCGACGAGCCACTTGCCATGCCCTCGAGGGGCTGCTGGATTATGTTAAACAGGCGCTTGTACATTGACGCACGTACTGGGATGCGACATGAAGTAATGCAATGGTTATGAGTTGATATTTTCATGCTGCGCCGGGCTGCTTTGTCCACTGCCGGGATGATCAGGTGTCTGAAGTTCTTTGTCTTGTTGGTGCACGCCGAATAGGTTGGAGATGAGATGAAAGTGACGCAGAACGGTGAGTGACTCGGGGAGAAAGCCCGAAAAGGTTGACGGAGCGTGATGGGGGGCTGCCGATGACATCTCAGAGGACGGGGTGCCAGCTCGCAGGCGGAGTGATGACCCGATGAGGTATTCTGACGGAGGTCGCATAATATCGCTTCTTTCCCCACGACGGGATACACGAATACCATATTTTTTCTGTTATTCTTCTATGGCACCTTGAGTCTCTCCCAACCAACTTGCTGGCCCGCGGCGGCCTTGTGGATGGTAATATACATTCCCGACGGGCGGCGAATGATTGGTCCTGGCAGCGGTCGAGTTCAGGGATGTCAGGTGTGGTTGGTAGGTGCTAGACAGCCTCGTAGGGACAAAGTAAACCACCGCAAGAGAAGGAAGCATAAAAGTACACGCGGGTCCTAGGTTTTGTTGTCGAAGGTTGTGTGAAGCAAACGCCTGAGATGCATTGCGGTTTGTGCGCGCCGCACGCCCGCGGAGGTGTCCAAAGTTTTGCGCAGGTGGGAAAATGGAAAGCTTGCCTGGCACATTGTTTCGAGGGCCACGAAAACTATCTGATCGACGATGGGAGGTGTCTTGGCTGCCTGCGTTTGTGCCGCTGGTGTTGCCTATCGAGGTATGCGTAGGGTTGAGGCATAAGAGAGGTAGGGCTGGACTCTTGGGGAAGAGCGCAAACGGTATTCCGCAGAGTGCCTAAGGCGATGAATGGGAGTCACGAGAAAAGGGTGACGGCCGGCCGATGTCCGCGGGAGTTGAAGGTTTGCTGTGTTAGACACGGATGTGGATGAAGGATAGCAGTGCATGGATGGAGAGGCGACTTGCTTGATTCAAGGCTGCAGTACAACACCTTGACATGGCTATTGAGGCTATCGCAAAATGCTGTCCAAGAAAACTCGTCCCATTCTAGACGGCCTTCTCTGAAAAGGGAAGGTCCCGTTGGCCTTGTCACAATAGCCTTTCTTTAGAGGTGGACGTGATTGGCCGGCGGCTGTGTACTATTTAGCAGCATCCGAGCGTCATAACAGCCGCTACATGGTAAAAGCGGATAGCAGCAACTGGGGATCAGTGATGCCGAATGAAACCCGGCCATGAGACACGCCAACAAGCACCAGGATAAGCTTGGCACAAGTGCCGCGAACACGAGCGGCAGCTGTTAGAGTTCTCAAGCTCTCCGGGCCTCCGGTATATGCAGCGTCGCCCACAAAGGGACGAACCACATGGCCGTATGCAGTAGAGGTTTCCACAACCTCGGTGCCGTCAACACAATCCGTCATCCCGCCATGAAAGCCACCGAAGAGGCATTCGACGGGCCCCTCCGCTTCACACCATCACAAGAGCGACCGGATCCCAGAGCATTGGATCTCGACATTAGGATCTCCCCAGACCCGGCCCCGATATGAGCCTAATCGAGCTCTTGATACACATTTCGCAAGCTTCTCTAGGTATACTCGCCGGAAGCTTTTGGCTTTGGAGTCTGTATCATCAATCCTTGTCCTTTCTTTAATTTATATTTCTTTATACTTCCTTTTAAATAGCTGCGGGATTCTATCTTCTGTATCAATGGTAAACACTGCGCTATACTACACTCGTGTCTGTAAATCATCACTTAAACATATTCATTATTGAGGCCAACTGTCTTCTCCCACCGCTTAAAGACATCATATAACAATATCGTCACAATGTCCTCCGTCATCAGCACCCCGAACCCCCTCCCCATGGGGCCCGAGGTCACCAAGAAACCCAATAACCTCACGGCCACCCCGTCGGCCAGGCACGCCGCCGCCGCCGCTGTCGCCAACAAGCAGCAGCAGCAGCAGCCCCTCAACGCCGCGGGCGACAAGGCGAACCTCGTCGAGTTCTGGCGCAGACCGGAGGCAGGCAACATCTACCGCCACGCCGAGCACTTGACTCTTCCAGTGACCCCCTGCCTCGTCGAGCACGCGCAGCTGTGCCAGGCCGTGAGCGCCGCCAAGGCGCCCCTCAAGGTCATGGACATGGCGTGCGGCACGGGCGTCGTGTCGTCGTACATCCAGAAGATGATGCGCGAGCTGCCGCCTCACGAAAGGGAGAAGCTCAAGTTGACGTCCGCAGACTCGAGCGAGGCGCAGCTCGGCGTCGTGAAGGACAAGATGGCGAGGGAGAAGTGGGTTGGATGTGAGGTCAAGCAGACTGACATCATGGTAAACAGTTTCCTTCTCTTGTGACGTCCATGTGTGCTTTTGAGGAAGGGGTGAAGTAACTGACAGTGGGGAATTAGGACATGGTGTATCCGTCGGATCATTTTGACATTGTCATCGTCGCCATGGCGCTGATGCTCATTTCTGACCCGTACACATCGCTTCGAGGTAACGTAGTCTTGCACCTCCCTCCTCCGCGAATTTGTACATGTTTGCTAACCAGCGCCAGAGTGCTACCGTGTCACGAAACCGGGCGGCACACTGGCCACGTCAACCTGGATCACGGAAGGCTGGGTCCCCGACACCCGCGACGCCGTGGCGCACCTCGCCCTGCCCGGCGAGCCGCCCGTCGCGTGGCCGCAGTCGTCCATCGAGCTGACATCGCTCTGGGGCCCGGGGTCGTGGGAGTCGCCCTCGTTCGGGAAGTCCATGTTCAGGGCAGCCGGTTTCGTCGACGTCGAGACCGAGGTCGTGACCAAGTGGATATCCTTCACTAGCGTCGATGAGTGGTGCACCGTGTTCCAAGCCTTCATGTACGGCATCACGGACCGGTTCTGGACGCCAGCGCAGAGGGAGGGACTGAGGGGCGAGCTGATGCCGGCGTTGAGGAAGTACATGGAGGACAAGTACCAGGGGCAGCCGTTTGAGATTGAGAGGACGGTGCTGTTGGTGAGGGGAAGGAAGCCCGAGTGAGAGAGGGGGTGCGTTCATGGCCGGAGCTCTTCTCTAGCAGTGGTTCTAATGGGTCGTATGAGCCAGTAGTCCTTTTTACAAGTATCAAGCCCAGCACTCTATTGGCGGAAGACATATCGGACTATACATGTTTCACATACAAACGCACTACAAAAGCGCGCGCGGTACAGATTTCATCTAGTCACACTATAGTAGTTTCAAGATGTAGAAATATCTTAAGAAAGACGTGTCGCGGCGGTGGCGTGCGAATACTTTTGCCACGCCGCGGCTAAACTGTTTATCAAATTTGATAACCTATCATATCTATTGAAAGCGTGCAGGGTGATCAGGTCTATAGAGGGCGGTGCGGTGCGGTGAAGAACCACAACCTACCCCTATAGCTACGCAAGATGCCTTTAACCAGCCGCGAATCAGCTGTCTTGATCGTGTCAAATCTGCCCTGATCAGGCTTGGCCGAAACACGATGAATAAGGTAGAGACTCCCAAAGTTCTTGTGTAGATGTGATCAGGGTATTGGCAATCGCGAAAGACAGAAAGAATGCTTCCTTGAGCCTAGAAAAGTCCGATGAGAGTGTGTTGATTATGTGTCTGATCTAAGTTCCTCTGTATCATAGAGGTTTCTATACCCTTGATCAGACTCTGCTAAGCTAAGAAATCAAAGAAACTAAACGCAAAGACCACCTCAACGGGAGCAGGAAACCCTGCCCCGTTCCACTATATTCGTAAACTTCTAAACGCGGCCTCTACAAGGGCTTCCTCCCGCTCACAAGCACGCTCGTCCTCTCAAAGAAGAAGGGCCTCTTGCCATACTTCTTGTCCAGCCCGTCGCGGATCGTTTCCTGGAGTAACTTGCGATGCTTGGCCCGCAAGGCCGGCGACCACAGGGCCTCGGGGACGCAGACGATGTGGCCGGCGCACAGTTGGCAAAAGTCCTCGCCGTCGGCGGCGCGCACCCAGCCCTCCTCGTACGTGGCATTCACTTCGCTGTAGCCGGCGCAGTTGAAGAGGTGGGCGACGAAGTCGGCGCGGTTTACGAATCCCGAGCCGTACCAGATGACGAACTCCTCCGAGGTGCGGAACCACGGGAGCCCCGGGGCGGGCAGGGCAGAGAGGGCCTCGTAGATCTCATCGATGGCGCCCTCGCGGGAAAGCAACGTCCCGGCGACGACGCCCCCGGGTTTGACCACGCGCTGGAATTCTGATGGCTTTGATGAGTATATGGTACAAGGGGAGGAGAAAACAAAGAGAGGGGGGAGGGGGGGAGGGATGAACGGTTTAGAGGTTAACTCACCGAGAATAGCAGACATCATGGGGTTCATCAGCGAGATGGCGAGGCCGACAACCACAATGTCGAAGGTATCCGAGGGCAAGTTGATGGACTGCAAGCCAGTAAGCACGGGGTATCATGGGCGGCGTCAGCGGATGGAAATGGGGAGACTGACTGTGGCATCGCCTGCCATGGCTGTCGTGTTCGGCCAGCCCTCGCTCTTGATGCGCTTCTGCAAATGCTCAATGACCTTGGTGTTGATGTCGACGCAGGTGATTGTCACGTACTCCTGTGAGTCAGTGGCCTTGAGGAGCTCGTGAATGACTTTGGTGACGCCGCCGGTACCGCACGCCATGTCAAGGATGGCTGTCTTCTTGCGGATGGGCAGGTGCAGCCCGACGCGCCGGAGCATCGGCATCACACACGGGGCGCTGATGCGCTCGACGCCGTTCTGGAAGATGACCTCGGCGCTCAGCTCCTTGTCGGCGAAGAAGTTGGCCAGGGTGCTGGCGTTCTCGGGCGACGTGTAGTTGTCGGGTTTGTTGGTGATTGAGACGGCTGACGCGCTGTTGGTGATGCCATTGATAGTCCTATCCATGTCTTCTTTTTGGACTTTATGGCTTTCCCAACTTTGGTTGGTTGTAAAGATCTCGGGGCTGAATACCAGAAAAAGAGTTTGATGATGTAAAACGATGTTAGTGTTTTTGCTCAGTGGGATAAAGAGCATACGAGGTCAGTCAAACTATCTGTTAACCAAGTAGGAACGTGTCCAATTGCAACTTATATATACCGCAAAGGAAGACAATACGTACTGGTATTCAGCTCAAGGTTTTCCTGTACGGCCGTCACTCAACATCATCTTAGCTTCATCTCGGACTTGACTCCCACTCCATCTTTCCCCTCCACGCATTTTCCAGCTCCCCAATTTCCTTTTACGGGCAGTTTTGCAAGAGAGATGGACGTCCGGGACACACAAAGGCTATTGCGATAGATTCCACCTTTTCAAAATTTACCTTCCAAGAACCGGAGTATATGAATCGGCCCATGCGAACACTCGGTCGACCCCACCGCCGGGAAGAGGCATGCTTTGCAATCGCGGCGGATGCCGAATCGGACGGGCGGCTTTTCTAGAGCATCTCGCATCGTCGCGATGCACGGCCTCCCGCGGGATCCACCCCGATAACCTTGGGTTATACGCTGGATTCGCGGCACCAGAAACCTTGCCAAACCGTGGGTGAACTTTGCCTAAACCAAACAGGACTTCTCCAAATGTGTTAGCACCGACTGAAGGAATATTACCCTTCGTCCTATCCCCCTCTGGGCTTCGCGGATGGATGGGTCAAGTACCAGGAGGCATTGGGTGCGCCTCTTAGCGGAAATTAGGAACGAGTCCGACGGGATTGGACGAGCGTGATGGAAGTTTAAGACCGACGGGCTAATGTGGTGCCAATGAACTCCGTCCAGTTGAGTCACGAAACGAGCGACCGGACCAATACTGAGCACACAGTACAACGCGACCGTACGTCGTAGATATGGGTTAGGCTAGTGGATAAAGTGCTGATGTGGCGGCTTTTTTTCTGTCTTAATCTTTTTCTTTTTTTCTTGTACCTCTGCTTTGCGAGATGCGGTTTGTTGCGAGTTAGAGACGCGTTGTTAAACGGAGAAGCAGACTAACGGGATCGTTAAGGAGTGGCTACGGCCGCCGAGTGGCTCCCCGGAAGAAATGGGTCTGTTCGGGGCAGCATCCCGGAAATGCGCACCATGCCACGGCGGATAGGAAGCATGGCACAGTCGGCGCCCAACCCTGATACATGAACTAGCCAAAGTCGGATTTCCCCGCTGATTCTGAGAACGTCCTCGTTTACAGCCTCGGTTCCGTCGCTGCTTTTTTTCCAGGAGGTTGTGCGCTGCGAAGCGAAATAGACTCACGTGAGAGGTGTCTATTTGGACTTAGATCTTGGTAGAGAAGGCAGCAGGATAGTCCTCATGTACAACAGGGTAAAAGTTTGACACTTGCTACATGTTTCAGCAGTACACTTGAATAGTTACTTTCGAGATAATATATATCTATGGACTCTAGGATGCAAGATATTCACGTTCTTCTCAAGGCATTTTCGGAGTACGTCGCTTTGCGACCATAATCTAACGTATCCCGCATATATCGGAGAAGCTATCGTCACACCCACGAGGGGTCAAGGAGTAACATTTGATTGGCGGTCCTGGGAGCTGGACTAGGAAGGTGTGATGTGACAGGCGGGGAAGCCAAGATGACTTATCATGCGGCCTCACAGCAGTTCATTGACATTGAAATGTCAGCGCCTCTGAACGGCTGCCTTCAGGAAACGTGAGGTTGCCTTGCCTTCCCAAGGCCAGGTTACCTCCACCGGTTCGCAATTCCTCCGCGCGATAACCTCACCACATCCGAGCAAGTTGCTATGCATTGGCTGCCCGGGGTCTAAGCCAATAGCGGAAACCACGGATTAACAACGATTCTCAAATAACCTGATTTGAGGATCCATTACAGCTGCTACGTTACGTCTGCATCTTTATTCGGGCGGGAGAAGAGATGAGTAGACTTATACATGGCTCAGCATACCCTATGCCATAACGGGTAGATGAGGCATCTTTAAAAGAAGGGTCTTGGACCTTGTGAGGACGCGCCATCTGTCTTGACTACCCATTTTATCGATAAGCTTCCAAGGTCGTAATGAAGTGTTGGGCAAACATTAATCTTTTCGCCATAGCGGCGGTATTGCTGCTTCATGGATCGTTTTGCGTTTATGCGGCAGCCGATTCCAGTGTGAAGTCCATTTTCCTCTTCAAGGACGTCCTGCAGTCGAACACAACGGCTCTCAAGACTTGTGGGTTTGAAAGCCTAGTCATCTTCCGGATTGGTGTCCTCGACAACGGTGATCTGGTCTACTACTCAACTGGAGATGCTGGCGAGGCAGTCGACGCTCCCGTCGCAACCAACGGCACATACATCGGCGGAACAGCGCTAGCCGACAAGATCCAATCCTTCAAGACTGGCACAACGAACATCAACAGGGTGGAAATTTCGCTAGTGTCACACGACACGACGTTCCAGAACATCCGCGACTTGGTCAACGCAGACGGGACGGGCCCCGACGCGGTCTTGTACAGGAACTTTGAAACCTTAAAGACCGAGTGGGACCTCGACGCTTTCAACAACGATGACGAGGGGGTCTATGATATTTCGAGCACAGTCAAGTTCGCTCAGCTGCTCGGCACGATCGGGTACCAGTATTCCATTGCGCCGTACACCAACAGCGGCTTCTGGGCGAGTGTCAAGCGTCAGATTGACGCTGCGGTTCCCGGCTTATTCGACCGTGTATATTTGCAGGTTTACGACGGCGGAGCTGGCAACAACCCAGGGACGTGGCAAAATACCCTTGGAACCAAGGTTGTCCCCCTTGTGTGGGTGATCAACGATGCGAAGCCATCGCAAGGCGTTACGGCGGCGCAGGCTCAGCAACGATTCCAGAGCTGGTCCTCGCAGTACACTGTTGCTGGGGGTGGATACTGGAATGACTACGACATTGAGAAGATGGATTCGTCGTATGTAGGACAATAGTTACATGCACGTAACAGCACTGTAGTGGCCACAGGTGCAGACACAACATAATCATCACCGGTGTTTTCGGGCTGTTATAAGATTAAGATCAAACCCAAATTTGCCCGATGCCGAAATTTATCAACTCTAGTTGTTTCAATCTAGTTTTTTGAGTTGTCTCACTCTTCGCCAAAATAAATGCGATGACACCTCAAACGCACGGGTCATTTTCTGTCACGAATTAGAGCGCACGCACAGCGAAGCACACGAGAAATGGGGTGAAAGATGGTTGTTTCTCACAAATGCTGACAAGCAGTATATAGCCTACATATATACCCATACCATGAGTTGAAACCCATGGGTAAGGCATGTGACAAGACTGATGTTATGAACCGTGTAAGTGAGGCATGTGAAACCGCTGAGAGTTTCCTGAAAGTGAGGTTCTCGTGACATTTTCCTACACACCAAACTGGGGTATCTTGTAACGCAATGCATAATAGACACATAAGAAACACGACTGAACTGCAGTGACATTCTTGGCAAGGGCATCGTTTTCGGAAACCTTTCTGTCCATATGGCCCTTGCAACAGAGTTGAGCGTGAAACCTCCATGGGTACATCAACGACTGCTGTCAACTATCACCGCCACACTCAGCTTACTTTTCGTTTGGGATCCTGCAACCTCGCCATTTCTAGCAGAAGTCTGTATATATAGATCGTCAAGTCGACTTCTCGAAAGGCTTCAGAATACCAATCCCTCCCTTGACCCGCAATCTCCTGAGCTCTACGCTGGCCGGCTTCAGTCATGGTGAGGTAAGTGACCAGCTCAGGGAGCTCCTCCATGCCGAGACTGACAGGCACATAATGCACCCATGGAACAAGTCTATCGTCATGCCACTCTCGGAGCAGGGTATGTTTCAGGGGCGTCGACTTTGAAGCCAAGAGCTTGTAGTATCGACCGCTGATGCCGTTTCCGTCAACATCAAAGACGAGCCGCGAACGAAGTGCTTCGTCCTTATTGGCCCATGACCTAAGGTTGAAGTATGATTTCTGGTCTCTGCATTGCGCTCTCCCGCACTGGAAAATGCGCGTAAAGGCAACGTCGTATAGTCTGCTGTTCAAGAAAGACGACGTTACGCGCTCAACGACGCCATCGATCTGTCGTAGATAGACGTGCTCCTGTTTCTCAGGTTTCTGCAAGTTCTGTGCAAGCGCCACGAATCTCTGACGTTGATAGTTCCGCCAACCTTCGTCAGAGGCGAGACCGCCAGTGCTGGAACCCGCCCAATAGACGTTGTTACGCTTCTTAGACCACTCAAAGTCGTTATGTTCATCGTATGTAAACTCGTCCTCCATGTATGCTGGACTTGGAAACAGGATATCGCCCATTGTCGCAAGAGACCCCGTTGAGAGCACTGGCACCAGTCCCTCAATGAGCCGAAAGGATTGTGGGCGCGCAATGAGGCCGTGTAAAGCACTTTGACTGGGGTACTGACACAGACGCGCTGCTGATGTTGAGTCTGCAACAAAAGGAAGGCCGCATGTTTCGACTCGGACGTTGCCAGCTGAGGCCGTGCCGTTTCCGTATTGTGGAAACACATATCTTTGCGACTCGCAGTACTTCATGACCTCGTCCTCGACAGGTCGTCCTGACAAGTTTTTCAAACGAAATCGTTCGCTGCCAAAGATGTGTCCTCCTCGGGCACTCCTTGTCGATGGAGACGGCACCAAAACCCGTGGTTCATCAAGATGGTTTACGAGGAATTTAATGTCGGGGATTGAGACTCCATACAGGTCTCCCAGCCTACTGTTGAATGAAGATGCAATGTGTCGATCGAACGTGCGATAGGCGTGCTCGCAGCGGGTCTCAGCTTGTGCCCCTGAGAACGAGCAGAGCCAGAGGTCGCTGCCTGGTGCATGGTATGCATCCTGAATCGTTTCAACAACCTCCTCTCCACTTACGTCCAGGAACGGTGATAGAGTGTTGAAGATCGAGTCGAAGTCATCGATTACGGGGGATTGGTTGGCCGTTGCGAACTCGTACCACGCTTCGAACCCTGGAGGTGGCTCAAGCCCGTACCGTCGTTGGTATTCTTTATGGGCTGCTGTGTAGTTCTTCGACTGGGATTTCAGCATGTTGTCAAAGCTTGCGTTTGCGACACGACTAAGAAACTCAACGGGGTGCGTGTAACTTTGGCTGGCAAAAGTCTGGGCTGCAGATCTCGCGTTGGCCATAGCGATGATGTTGGCGACATAGGGCCCTAGAGGCGCAAAAGCTAGAACCCAAAGCGTTGATCTTGATCTTGGCCCCTGAGGAATCAGATGGACAATTAAAGCTAGAGACACAACTGACGCTGCGACATGTGATAATGCTTGGAACTCTGAGGGTTGGGAGAAGGGGTTGCGGGTGGACAAGATGCCGAAAGTCCCGATGGCGGGTGCGATGCGCCAAGACGTATCTTTAGCCTAGTTGTATTAAGACCAGTTGTTAACAAACCACTATTCTTTGATGTGTGCCAGGCCATACATACCGCTCTGGCCGTAAAGTACCAAGTTAGAGCTTTGGTAAACCCTAAAGTAACTGTGTTCGGGATATTGACCTTTCGGAAGCCGAAAAGAACGGTATCGATCACGAAGTAGGCGACTAGCAGAACTAAAACCCGATATGATAGCGGCAGTATTGATTGTTGAAAGTCTACGCGTGGGAAGGACCGCGTACGTTCAACGGCGTTGCCATGTTCGAAGGCGACGTAAATGACCAACAACGCCGCGATCGGAATAATTGACAGCGCAGATGCCTGAAGGTCCCAACTTGACAACGTGAGCATTGAAAATCCCCCAGCCAATAGCGCCCCTGATATCGTATCAAAGGTACAGCGAGCAATTCTGAAATAGGTCGGCTGCGGAGTAGTGGACGACGCGGAGTCAGGTCGAAGAGCGTGTTTCTGGACCGCTAGGAAAAGGGGAGGCAGAAGCGGCTAGAGTTGGTTGTCAGTTTAAAGATTAGAATAGTTCCTAAAATAGAATAGGTCTGTGTTGAAAAGGCTTACGAAGAAAGCTATTGAGCTTTTGCACTCGGCTCTGTAGACCGAGGCTGTAGCAACTCCTATCGCAATCAACCATATAGATGCTAGATATGGCGTAGGTTTGGCGTCCTGTTTGACATTGCGAGGGAGTCTAGCTTTCGAGGATTGCGAGTTGTTACTACCGGAATCCTTTGCATGAGCGCTTTGAAAAAGCACAGGCAGTATGAACCAGCAAAGTAGCTCAGACGATATCTCGGCTTGCTCAGAAGAAAAGTATTGTGTCACGACCGCATAAATCCCAGCTGCCCCGGCAGGTCCAGTGATAGAACCAAGATTCTGTGAATATGGCGATTTCCACATCATCATTTCGAAAACGGGTTAAAACCCATTAGACTATTAAGCTAAGAGATCAGCATCAGTTTGGATTCAGGACGAAGAACAATATCGTGGGTCGTGTCTTTTTGGGATGCAGGAAAGTATCGAAATCAGAACGTCTTCAGGATGGTTCATCGACTTCGGCAAGATGGTTTGGCATATGGAGAAGAGAGAAAACCAAACAAACGACTTGATAACGCAGTTTTGGCGTGTCATGCTGGGCAAGGACATCTTATGGCTTCTTGGCTTGGACCGGAGAGGGTTGGCATTGTTGAGAACTTCTGGGATGTGAACAGGGTGCACGCTTCCATGGCATAACTAGCTTAGAGGACCAGAAGTACAATGGCCCGACTACTCAGCGTCCAAGCCATACAATCTAGTACTCCCGTATTAGCACGTTGCCAGTGAGCCGGTACTCGGTATGTACTCGTTCCGATGGGTCTTGGTAGGCGGAGCCATCATCGTCATTCCCCACTTGCCAAGTTGAGTTAAATTACCCCAAGCGGCATAAAAGTTTAGGCAGCAGCATTTGGTTGTTAGTTTGTCGGGCAGAATACGGGGTATGACGCGGAGCCGAGTTTTCAGGGGCTCATTATTGGCAAACGTTTGTTAAGTACTAGAGAGCAAGAGGGTTCTTTCGGCGAAGACATAACAGCCCGGGCGGAAACAGGAGATGATGCCAAGGGCCTCGCAGCACCCTGCCAAGGAGTCGTATGCGCTAATTGCTAAACTAGCTGCTTGGAGCGACTCGTAAAGCGGTGGGAGATCAGCTTGATGGGTTGATGACAAGATTCAAAGCAGGACTACTTGCCACTGCGGTAGCTCGATGAGTCTATGTGGTGGGTAAGAGACAAGCTGTTGGACTTAATGTTCGAACGGCCAACTAGAGCCAACCAGAGAATGATAGAGAGTATAGCTCGTATAGCGATAATTCTTCTAGACTATACGTGAAAACGAACCATGATGCCGTTGCAAGTTGGTACACTTTGCCTGTACCATCAAATTAGCGAACATTGCTGTCCCTAATCCTGAGCTCCACGTCCGTTCGACTACGCGTATGAATTCTCCCAACAATATTAGGTTCAAGAATTGATTTAATCGTGTAGTTGAGCTGAATACAACCTGCATTGCTCGCGATTTGGAATGTCCCTCTCACGAAACAAAGTTGAGTGCGTGACCGCCATTGAAGGAACGATGCCACTTGGCAATGTGGCCATGCTGATCCCTTTAACCGCCCAGCCTTTATGTCCGAGACTGTTCATTTCTAGAAAGGGATGTCACTTGCCAGACTGCTTGGCCTAATTAGCTACATGCAGACTTTGGGCAGAAGACGTCTTGATAGATCATAAACATCTCAATGTCCGTTGTGCACCTCAGTCAAACCCATGCCAAAATTATGTTCCGCCATATATTTTTGAAACAGGCTCTTAAGGAACGGCTGCAACAACAGCTACTCGGCATAAATATGATTAGACCTGCAGCGGCCCCAAAGTTCTGAGATCACCCCCTAACGTCAGCCGCCTGCATTCTCACCATCACGCCAACTGTTCAGAAAACCGTTAACTTGTGGAATTGTATGGTAATTTTACGATCAAACTGAAACTCTTGATTCGATCAACAGCCTTGCATAGATCTACCCTAAAATTACTGAATGATTAGGGTTCTTCAGCGCGGCTTGTAATCACTATTGGTCCGGTATTCCACTCTGGCAGGATCGTTCCAACTAGGGGTTTGTTTTAATAGTCTCTTCTATGGACCGGCCCACTCTCTGGTGACCGTGCTCCACGAAGCCCTAAGCCCTTCTGTGTAAGTTGGTATTTTGGTGGTTGCCATCATCGACAACTGTATGGAAGGGTGGCCGAGTTGGTTATGGCGCCAGGTTAAGGTCAGCTTAACATCTGTTTCCTGGTGGGGCAACCCGCGCGAGTTCGAGTCTCGTCCCTTTCATTTTTGATGCTTCTTATTTTAATATCGCGTGTTGTTGACACCCTATAACATGCAACATTGATCATGATATTACCTTGTACAGCACATGAGGTTTTTATGTATATGAAGGCATCGAACATAAATTTGTAACTTTTTAAGTAGGCTTCGGTGACTAACATGTGTAAAAAGGGGTAAACTAGGCATTCCATAACGTGATAACTCATTATATTTTTTTGTATTTGTACAATGACTGACCTCAGACATCCTCAAGCGTCTTCTTTAGAGCGGCTAGGCTTCGTAGCAAAACCACCTGTGATTGCTCTAATTTCTTCAGACCCCTGAGTTCCACCCCGGCCACCTGGCTTCCCCGTAACTGATTGAGGAATATCATGACCGGTGGCTGTAATACCTTCGCCAACACCAGAGGGCCTGCCCTCGTCATCGTGGATTGGGTTGTCGGCGGCGCCATACAATGTCGTTGAACCGAGTCCACCTGCGGCAGACGGGTCCTTTTGATGAGGGTTAGGGACAGATTTCAGAATGTTCTGCTTGCCCGCATCGCCAGGCACTAAATAAAGATTTAGTGTATGCTATCATTAGATGATTGTCTCATACATGATGCCACAAACCTTTAGTTCCGTCCTTTGCCATATCGAAGAGATCACCTCCTTGATCTGCGTCAGCCATTTCGTAGATCAAGATTACTTTGAGTTGAGTTGTGATTTGGGATTGCCAAGTAATTGAATTTTATGGTGAAGATCTCCAGTAGTCAATAACCAATACAATAGTTAATAGCAAAAGGAGTGATACGGATGCTGTTATCTCGTGCAAATGAGGACGCATATGTTTTATGGTGATACCGGTACTGAGCACACCACAATTATGTGGAGGACTGATATCATGATGTCATCATAAGTCGAGGCGCACATCCAGACGATCACTCTCCCAACGTGACGTCAAATCGATACGTCAAAGATCACAGGATTTCAGATGGAACCCTTCATTTCAATTGCATCTTCATGAGCATTACATGTGTGGTTCATCGTGCGGATGTTTGGCGAAGTATTGAGGGGTGTAGGATTGTTCTCGTCGCTGCTAGCTACCGATCGCTGCTCACTAGCCTCGCCAGTCTCATAAATGTTCCAAATGGAGTCTCCGGTTATTTTATTGCACATATTATTCAAAAAAACAATTGTCTTTGCGTTCTCGCAGTAATCTCGAAGGGTCCAAAATGGTATGTGTTGCATCTCGAGTTCGCACTTAATAGGTGACAACTAAACAAGGTTTAATTGTTGTGTGACCCGGGAAAGTCCGTCATAAGATGGGATAATAGTCGTGACACAGAAGACCGCGCAAGCTCAAATATCACACTTCAACAAAGACGTTAGACATACGAAAATAGTCAGGATATTGGAATCACTTGTTGTAATTTGAGAAATGCTTTGAAACGCCGTTGGGAAAGCGTTATAATATCTACATCAGGGTATTGAATTACAACTATGATCGTGCCTCTTCAAAACATACAGACCTGTTGATACATATAAATATCCGTAATATACATAAGCATATCATAATCCCATTCCTTCTCATATCAGGCATAGCCGTTCAACAGTAAGCTAATCATCGTTATCAACCTGCTTGGCTCCCTCAGGGTTCCAGACGGGTTGATCACGGTCCAGTTCGTACATCTTGTCCTCCTCGGCATCGTAATGACGGAAAGTGAAGTAGAAGACGAATCCAATCACGAACGAGAAGCATGCCACACCAGTGTACATCCACAAGAACTTAGGGTCAACCGCAACCGAAACTAGGGCCTCGGAAATGGCTGAACCGAAGGCGTTGGTGAAGAGATAAATACTCTGGACGAAAGACTTCATGTTGGGAGGGGCCTTAGTGTATGCGTACTCGAGACCCGTGACTGAGATGAAAATCTCAGATAATCCGATGAAGACGTAAGCAGGAGTTTGGACTGCGATGTGGACGTGGTTGGGAAGCGAGGCACCCCCGCTCATGCCCTCGGGACAGTTGCCAGGAGATTCGTAGCAAGGACCAGCGGTGTAGATAAGGTGCTGGACGATGGCTGCGTAGGCAAGGCAGATGGCGGCGAGCCAGAAACCAATGGTGATGCGCATGATGGGCTTGAGCTCGATGCCAAACTTCCGCAGAAGTGGGTAGATGGCCTTTTCGAGGAGCGGGGTGAAGACCAAAATCGAGATGGGATCGAAGTTCTGCATGAAATCGTTTGGCATGCCGTGTCCCTCCATTTGTCCAGCTTGGGTGACAAAGTTGGTCGAGAATTGGCCGTAGCAAACCCAGAAAATCGGGTCTAGAGAACATATGAATGTTAGCCAGGGGTTTGAGAGCGGCATTTTGCAATCATAGCCCAAGACCAGTGCCCAAGGCTAGAATGCAGGTTGGTTTACTTACAAAACACGAAGACCTTGCAGGCCCTGAGAGCACGCTTAAGCTCCTCAACAAAGTGATCATTCCAGGGAACGGGCTTCTCCTTGCCATTGGCAGCACGCCATGAGGGTTTGGCGGCATCCATGTTACGAGATGCAATCATCATACCAAGCGCCTTAAACGCATCGGTGATGACGGACCCTTGGGGTGGGCGGTTGACGAATGTCTTACGACGGAGCACCAAAGTCGCGATTCCAATGTTGAATACACAGAAACACATCAGGTATGCGGTCCAGAAGCCCTTGTACTTCTCCATGAAGGGAGTGGCCATCAGCGATAGAGATCCCAAGTTAATACACCAGTAGAAAATCATGTAGATGCGCTGGTATGTGATGGCGGGGTCGATGATGACGCGCTCGCCGTTGGACTCCGTCTTGACGGCCATGACGCGACGTTGATACTGGTCAGCGATCAAGGGGGCGATGTTGGATTTGATGCCTCCAGTGCCGAGACCGATCACAATGATGGCAACAATGTAGCCAGCTTTGCCAGCACCATTCTCCATGGCCACCGGCAGGGACGTAGTCCAAAGAATCACCAGACCAACCCAGTAGAAGGCGCAGAAGACCAAGATGGTCTTGTACTTTCCAAGGTACTGATCAGCAATGATGGCACCCAAGATTGGCGTAACTGAATGGGAGTATTAGCCTTTATCTCTTTACAGCGGATATCAAATCCATAACTGAGGGACGACACACCATAGCAGAACCATTGGAAGAACAAGTTTAGACCAGTTGCGGCCTGGTGTCCCATTCCAAGACCCTTAGGGCCATCGACTCCATTGGGGTCATTGTTAATGTAGTTCTGGAACAGACCCTGAGCGCCATAGTAGGTAAAACGCTCAGTAAGCTCAACAACGGCAATGAGGAAGGCTGAGGCGGGAAGGTTCTCCCCGATACGGCGGAGGGAGCCCTTCTCGTACTCATTAGGCTCATCGCCATCAGGCGTTGGGCCGGACTCTGAGTCTGCGTTGCTGGGAGACATGGGCTGCTTCTTCTCGGCGTCAGCTGGCATAATGTAGCCGCCTGCTAGATCAGTTATTTCCTTGTGTGGCAGACGCTCACCCAGCGTCTCGTGGAGCCTGCGGATACGAGTTGTCAGTGACGGATTCTTTCGTGAGCCGACGATATGCGCATGTTACGTACTCGGCGGCCGTGTCCTCGTGGTTCTGGGCCATTTTTACGCAATGGATATCTCAACTCAGGCTGATCCAGGAGAAGGTTTGGGAGGGAGAAGGTGAAGAAAATTTCGAAGAAAAGTCCCAGGGCAGGCTGAGTGGGGAGCATGGAGACTCATTAGTATCACCACTAGAAACATGCCCTTACCCTTGGTGTCGGTCGACTCCGAGGGGTTCGTTGCTCATCTTCATGGTTCATTGGTTGTTGTTTCCACTGTAAAACTTTTGTCTGAGTCGGGAAGTTGCCCCAGGGACTTTTGCAGGTTCACGCCACAAGCCGAAGACCGAATTGGCTGCCGTGCTCCACTCGGCCGAGTGAGCCGATCTTTTTCATTGATAATTACGGACACATCGGGTGGTATACGAGGATAAAAAGTGGGGGTCTTGGCAAAAGGCCCGAACGGGTGGCGCCAAGCGAGGTTAAAGGGAATAAAGCGGCCTTAAATCCGACCTTACCATTGGTCATCGACCTCACTATTCGTCAATGCTGCTTCATACCGAGGTTCACCACCCAGAAGGGCGCTTCAATCTGGGGTTTGGGGTCCTTCCTACGTTCCTCCGCAAATGCTACGATGCGGACAAGGCAGATTATCTGCAGCTGTCAGAGAAGCTACTACTAGTTGCAGGAACCGTTTGTGAGCGTCAGCGGAATCCTCTGCAACCTTCCCTTCTCGGGAATGATTGGCATAAAATAGTGCGGGTGAATGCCGTTGAGCCGTCGGCAAAGTCAGCAAAGGACAAGTCCCATTTCCTGTTCGGTCGTTATGTTTTGGTTTACCTTGCCCTGTGGACAAATTCGAGGAAGGAGACGTATCGCAACTGCGAGAGGGTGTGTCGACGAAATCTCTCATTGATACGACGCACTTACAACGCAAGCAGCGGTCTGTGAATCTACACGGTTTTCAATTGTCATAGAATGCAGCTTACAAGAATTCGACTCTAACTGCTGACTCTAGACACCTCCACGGACAGGTCTGCAAAGTGAACCAGGTGCCAAATTTCGTTGCATGACATAAACGGAGATTACGTACACGTGTTGAGTGGGCCACCACGCCATGAGCTTGATTCTTATCGGTGAGCAACTAAAGTCCCTTTGAAATGGCTGTTATTCATCAATTGGGGCACTAGCTCCAATCGTAGTGTGTCCAGTCATGACATCACCAACGGCTCTACTCAGAGAGCATTTTCACTCAGTGTCTCGGATGCCAGTCATTAACCACCTTGCTGGCGCAGGTTAGAAAGAATAGTCCTCTGCTTGGCACGGATCTTGACTGATGAGGTCATCGTTGGGCGAGGATAGTATGAGGTTCGTCTTCAAAATTCAAATAGACACAGAGTATTGACGGTGAAACAAGTTGTTCAAGAATCCTACTGCTATTTATGATCCATAGCTGAGTGTTACTGAAGGCCTTTAAGTGATTCAGATTTCTTCTCGCGACTCTAAATCCTACGTTCTGTGTTTGAAAACGAGTTGGTAATGTCTTACTTTGACTGGAACCATTCAGCACTTCCTCGCAGTGACGCTCTACTCAATATGATTAAATATATGTGTTTGCTAAATCTTTCAAAAGCACAGTCAATTACAAGATCTTAATCTAAATTTTGATAAGTAACCGGATATTTTCACGAAAAAAGAAGAACGAAAAAAAAAACAATATGCATTTGGATATTGAAACCATAAGAAGACAGAACTTGTACTTCAAACTCTGATTCCAGCGATCGAAGCAAGTTCTTGTAAACTACACAAAACCGCCAGTGACTGGCAAAGTAATAACATGTAGCATTGAAATCCGATTATGAGAGGAGTGCAGCAGGACCCTGGCCTCTCAAGAGTAGTTAGATTGTGGATGAGACCACGATGGCCAGATTCACGTGTGCAAACCAACGCAAACACAGGCGGGGTATACGTCCTATCGAGATCCCATGACAGACCCATCTTAGCATTGCAGTAGTTCCATCACCCATCCTCCACACCATACTCGCAAACGTGGGGAACAGCCAGGGATCAGTGGCATTGCAGCCTTCCTTAGTTGATGACGAACGGTGTTGCAGCTTTATTCAGTCGGAGACGATCACACGAAAGTTAAAATCACTGCTGCTCAGAGGGTTTTCCAGAAAACTGTTTCAATAAAACTATGATCCAAGAATACAACAACTTCTGACTACCCACAAGCTTCCAGATAATCTTTATGATATTTAAACAACCTTTCCTTATTGTATCGCTTGTATTGATTCTTTAGTTAAGTATGAGATACGGAAGCTATCTTAACGACGAAGCGAAGATTTTCGACATTCGGGTGATGATCTAGGTATTATGCTGTCAGATACATCTCAAGGCCAAAAAAGCCAATGGACCACTCTAAAACAGTCATACAACTATCATGGCAGATTTCTATGCTTATGCCTTCGGGATCTGCCTTTCGGGTTCAACAGCAGCGCAAACACAACGTTTCTTAGCTGGCTGTGCAAATTTTGGCTAGTTGAAGCGAAGCAATGTATTCTCCAATGAAATTTGCAAACCCAACGGCTACGATAAGTATTCATAAACATTTAATATGTGTCATATCCAAGAGCCATCTATGACAGAATAGTCAAAGTAAATTCATTAATTAGTTCGTTTGTACGAGATGATCACCGACTAGTCGACCACGAGAAGAGTCCAGCACTGCGGCCAGAGACTCGACCTTGTTCAACGTTGTGAATATTTTATATGATTATATCAGCTCGAAGTGACTGGCTGAGTGCTGAACGTGAATCGAACGAGTTTGTTATGAATCTATCCCGCCCAAGACATACTTGCGTTACTTCGTGGTGAATCACTTTGTGCTGTTCTACATCAACAATAACCAACACGAAGGAAAGACCGAAGGAAAGACCACGGTTTGAAAATCTTGAAATTTAACGTCGGATATAAAAGAAGGTGCCTCACGCAGAAACAGCGTGGTCTAACAAGAGAGTCAGATATATCTCATCAAGAAAACAACATATGTGTTGGAATAGAGATTCGCACGCATTCGTACGCATCCAAGCGGTAATGCCACCTGTACATTAGTCAGCAGAATCCAGCCTATATAAGGGCCAGATCTGCCAGATATCTAGGACTTAGAACATCATCGGCAACAAATACAGTGACGGTCAACCCCTATTATCGTGTGCCTCCAGCAGCGCGCGAGCTATTCCGACAATATGATTTCAGAATATGACCACTTCTTTGAGAAGCTTCAATAATTATGTTCACTATAAAGAGCCCAAACAATAGAGAAATGATATGGCGTTCGAAGTAAGCACGACTTGGTTGAATACCAGGATTTCCCAGGCCCTGTCACAAGGTTGCTGCTTAGTATTCATTCGAATTGAGCCACTAGCTGATATAATGACTTGGTGCTTCTTAAAGTGAGAAATATGCGTAAAAAAGAAAAAAGAAAAAAGAACAAAAGAAAAGAAAAAGGCCATTCATGCTGTAGACTAAACTTTAACGCAGGTCTCTATGTTTCTGAAGTGAGGCGACTTACAGTGGTAACAGAACATTGAAAAGCCAAGGATTGGTGGGATATTGGCTACATCTAGCGCAAATGATGTGGCAAAACTCCTCTCTCAAAATTAACAGATCTATTAAAGAATACAATAGGAGTCAGTCTATGTCCATTAGTCTAGGTATTTTGCTCTTTTACATATCTTCCCGAGACTTTCGGATCGCTTGGTAACTTTGCTACTTCCTGAAGTGCTACAGTCTCCCATCAAAACTTGGGAAAGCAGTCACTATGAACTGAAATAGCCTACGAGAAATTTACCTCAGCTTCTGCACAACTAGCCTAGGCAGTAAATATTGTTTCTTTTTGTATTGAAAAAAGTTTCTCGATTCGTTTGTTAACAAGTATATAATATCCACCATTTGAACAGAGCGAGTATAAGCAGGTTTGCCACTGCAGAAAGATACGAGTTGTTGAAGTGATACTTTGCCCAGGATGTGCTGAAAGGGAAGGGCTTAGTGTCACCCAAAAGAATCGTGACTATTTCGCAAATACCGGTGGCCGTGGTCGTTGTATCTTTGACAATCATGCAAGTACGTAACGAACCAGCATGCTTCTCTCAAGTACAAGAAAATAAAGAGCCATAGATGCATCTATTCTTCCATATCTGCGTGGAGACTGAAACTGAATGATATCTAGTAAACAGAGACGACTTTTATGAGCAGTTCCGAGCACTGTGAAAATCACAGGATGGCCCGAAAGGGGACAGATATCACCAAAACCCTATGAATGTGTTCGTGACACATACATTATCTTTTCTCTTGTCTACATCGCATTGGTAGACTCTTACTTAGAGCAGAGTAAAGCATGTTTGACCTGTGGACTGTGAGTGGGTGTCATTATACTGGGATACAGAGTAGCACAAAAAGCATTGCAGATGCTTCCCGAAGATACTCAATGTACACAGATTTTACTCTATAGCTCTTGTAGATAATTGGAAGTTTGAAAGTGATTATCGTTGATACCCTGGACAGTCGTCTTGCATACATCTGCTCCGACCTGCAGTAAGTTCACCTTGAAGCTTATACAAACAACATTGGCGAACATACGGTTACAGTTTACACTCCAATCGATGGCGTCTATGGCTGTGCCAATGTCATTTTGTAGTGATACCCTTCAATTGTTGATAGAAAGCCACGCATGCAATAGGTCGGTTGATCGGATTCCTAGACAAAAGACACTAAAGGGATATGTGTCTTGAGTTAATGTAAATGCTACAAATTCAAATAGCTGGCTACGTCTTCGTTGACACTATACCAAGTGAAAACTCGACGAATCTCGAATATCCCATTGATTGTGGACTTAGTCGAAACCCCTATGTGCGGGATGAGCCAATTGAATTATTTTCGACACTGCCAAGTCATATTACCCAATTGAATATCTAAGAGTGGAGATCTCAGTGGATAGAGGTTTTTGAGGTAAGTCGCAAGTTTTTACACTCGAGAACCCAAAGCGCTTCGTACTCGGCTAAAAAAAAGTGCCGACGGCGGCGCCTCACACCTGGAGGACCAAATACTATGTACAAACATTGAAGCGTCTCGAAAGAAACCATGAAGTCTTTGCCGTCCCTTGAAGCTGGAAGGTGGGGCTATTGCGATGCGGCTGCGTTTCGGTATAGTACAAGAATCCTATGTGGGCAGTACAGTACAGTAGTGAATGACTGACTCATGGTGTTGCTTCAGTTGGAAATCGGCCCAGAAGTGATCCGTTCACTAAATGAGATGACTTCGCACTGGCCAATGAGATATGCAGACTTGCTCTTGACGCAAATAAATTTTGCCGTTGTTCGTGTTTGATGGTCGTACGTATGTTTGAAAAATTGAAGCCAAGCGAGGAGGGGTCTTAGGCTTGCACCCACACGACGTGACCCAGTCTATATCATTGACCTTTTTTTTCAATCAAGGCCTCTAAGGTGCAACCAGAGTAGCCAAAATACATTTGTCAGAGGTATTAGTTTCCACAGGCAGCGCTGTTGAATGAGAGCTCGCCATGTTGACTGCAAAGTGTCCTGCAATTTCAACTCGGTGTGCCTAATCAGCACGCTGTTTCTGGTACCGACGCCCGGAGTATTTCCTCAACGTTACATAAATGAAGCCAAGTCTTGAACAACCGGTGGCCCCCATTTCACAGTGTCATGGTGGACTATATAACGTCAGTTGGAAGCTAATTCTAAATTGTTCCGACGTGTGTAAGCCTGTGATCGACCAACTGCGATAACAAGCTCGTACGATGATTCCGTCGATCCCTAGTGTCGGAGTTGCCAGGTGGTATGTACAGGAGAAGAGCATGCTGCTGCTCAGTACAAGGGTTCTGGTTAGCCAGCACCGCCTGATTGTGTAGTGTGTGACATGTCAACCTAAACATGACGGGTGGCGCCGTAGTCACTCACCCCTACGTCTTCAACAGACAATAGAAAAGGGGTACATACATACACCCTAGACCATGGCTTAAGTCACACTGAAGAGCTCACTAGTGGCTGGAATCTATGTGCCGGCATTTCGTCAAAGCAGCCATCACCCCTGCTTCATGGAGCAAGGGAGGGTTCCGTTAGACTAGTATTGGCTGATGCTCCGATAATTTCCCCATGCAATTCGTACAAGTGGTTGGGTTCCCTGTCTAACACCCTCAGCTGTTGATGATTCTTTCGGTACATAGGATCTTTAGGCAGTTTGTGGTTATTCTTTGGTGGACCTTATTCATAAATATGCTTGAATTATGAGAACATCTTCGCTCCAAACACCTAGCGATGCAATACTCATGTGAGCATGCCGCTTAACGGACAAAAGCACCACCACCACTAGCACCAACAAGGTTACCTGTCATCCATCCACTCTCCGGCAAGCAGCAGACTCCAACAACACCTGCAACCTCCTCCAGGTAGCCAGGGCGGCCGCCAATGCTTTGTGCCAAGTCGAGAACCTCCTGGCTGTCAATGCCGGGTCTGGCCTTAGCCAGGGGAGTAAGGATGTTCAACGGCCGGAGAGCCTCACGGGGCTCGTCGGGCAGACCAGAGTAAAGTCCGGTATCCATGGGACCAGGGGCAACGGCGTTGACCGTCGCCCTCTCAGCAAGCTCACGGGCCCAGACACGGGTCATGGCCTCAATAGCACCCTTGGTACCTGCATAAGACGTCTGCCACCAGACACCCCAGGTGGTGGTGGCGCTAGAAATGTTGACGATCCGGCCAGAACGATCAGTAGGCAGGTAGGGGAAAGAAGCCTTCACGAGCAAGGCGGGTGCCTTGCAGTTCAGGTTGAAGGTGGCATCGAAGAGGTCGAGATCTAACTGATCAATTCCCTGAGCGTTCACAGTAGCGGCGTTGTTGATGATGATGTCGATCTGGAAGCGTCCGTTGGCGTCGGTGAAGTGAGCCTTCGCGGCGTCAACGAGCTGTTGAGGAGCTTCAGGCTTGCTCAGGTCGGCCTTGACGGGAAGAGCCTTCACGTTGTACTTGGTCTCGAAGTCCTTAGCCAGCGCTTGAGCCCTCTCCGTTGACCCGTCGGTGGCGTAGTTGATGACGACGTTGGCGCCTCTGCTGGCAAAATGCTCAGCGACAACGGCACCGAAGCCTTATGAATCAGTCAGTCCAATCTTATCTCTGTGCAATGCCTCGCATCCTGGCTGTTGATAGTCTAACGATGTCCTCAAGAGTTAAAGTACATACTTCGCGAAGCACCAGTGATGATGGCAAGCTTGCCCTCGAAAACCCTGAAAGGAGCCATTTTTTTCTCGGAAAGTTAGAGGAAGCAAGACAATCAATGTGACGTGGCGGCGGGGAGGATGTTGTGCTTCTCTCCACGTGATGAAATGTGCGCTTTATATATTATCACTCGCTACCATTGTCTTTGGCCTCCTGTCCGCATTCCATATCCACCTTGCGAACTAGTTTAGTTGTCTGGTCTATGCCTCCGGGCCGCATCCTGCGTGGATTCCGAACTGGAGCCCAGACCAGGGTTTGAGCAGGATCACCCGCCTTTGGCACCCCACGCAGCCCTGTCAAGTACCCAGAGGTTCTGCCGATCTCAATATGCATAAGCCGTTCATGAAACTCGTCAGTGACAGCTCCTTGGCACCAGTACCAGGGCCGGACTGGAATTCCCTCAGTGGTGGAGGCGCACGTGACACACCAAGGCTTGGCTGGAGTTTCGCGAACCAGAGTCTCCTTTTCGATTCAAAAAATACAAACCATAGTGCGTGTGTGATTGGTTATGCAACACGTAGTCTGCCAAGGGGCGCAATATGATTCGTTTTCGGATATGGTTCAAGGAGGAGTTTCTATGGGAACTATGGATGCAGCCGAAATTCCAAACTCCACACATGTAGGCACAGTGTTGAAGAATCCAACCCATAAGTATGGGTCGCTGCAAGGTTGTACGCTGCTTGACACCGCCGGAAGCCAACAAACGATGTCCCGGTCTTCGGAAAAGATCTGCCAGAAACGGCAGCGATCTGTCTAAAACGGAGCTGTACGTTTCGAGATGGTGGGATCGATGCTACTACATATGTGGACTTCATGGAAGCACGACTCTGGTACTCGGGAGAGCCACCGATCTCGCTCAGCATCGAATGTAACGCTGGATACGGATGTGAGCGCCGAACAGCGACGTTGGTGCATCTTTTTGGGTGCATCATGATGGCCTTCGATAGGAAGGTCCAAAGCAGCGTAGCTACAAGTTTTGTTTGAGAACATTATGAAGGCGGGTAATATGAAGCCGATCCAAATTTATCAATGAGAACTATAAGAAAAATATCAGAGTAATCCCAATGTCACAAGTGTTTGCCGGGAGACACTCAGGAATAGAAGCACGTGAGCTGGCACGGAGCCAATTCTGCTCTAATCTACCATGTCGGGCTAGGCCCAGAAGTCTCTCTGGGACAAGTCTGTAGACGCTGGAAGAGAGTTTTGAAATGAAGCTTGTGAGATTAATAACTTGATCTAGGCAAGGGGGTTGAATTCTCTTCCCAGGCTTGTCCCCTTCGTGGCAAGGAAGGCCACAGTGCCACAACGCAGAGATCCTGTGCTGGGGTTTGGTGGATCCCATCTTTCACTTTCGTAACTAAAACAATCGGGCCGCTTTTAAGTAATCGATGGACCCGTGCTGGCTGTTATGGTTCTGCTTCTCTTATAAGTTTTCTGGGTCGTTGAGGTTTTGCTGAATTCAATCATTTGTTTGGTGGTGCTTCCATCCCCCCGAGACGAACGCGTGGAGTACGAAGCCGGTTCTTCAGTCATCGTATCAGTGCAGTTCAGACACCATGGGCGCGGCTACGTCGAAAGATATGGCCACCGCGGTCCTCGTGCCGTTGCCGTTCGACCTTGTCACCATGGCACTGCGGTTCTGGATTCGGGCACAGAGGAAAGCTTGGGGCCCGGATGATTGGGCCATGGTAGCCACCATTGTACGTTTCAATATACCCGGCACTCGAAAAAAGCTGCAACTGACCAAAATCAAGCCTGTATGGGCTGTCTCTCAAGTTGGGCTGATAGGCATGGCCTGGAGCGGAGTTGGGCAACTCGATGCAACTTTGACTGCAGAGCAGACGGCCAATTCCTATTTTGTGGGTTAACTTCTAGTGTGATAGGTACAGTTAGCCTCTAACATGAATTACGCAGTGGTTCTATGTTTTCCAAGAGTTTTGGTGCTTTACCTTGGTCAGCCTGAAATGGTCCCTCGGATTCACTCTGTTGCGTATTGGTAATGGGCAACGTTGGGTGCAAATCGTGATCTACGCTTGTCTTGCGTTGGTCACTATTTGCACTGGCGGCACTGGGATGTACCTGTTCTTTCAATGCTCGCCAGTTGAGTAAGTTAATATACGACCCATCCCGGATTCGATTTTTGCTGACTGACTAGGAAAAACTGGCATCCAACAATGGAGGGTACTTGCCAGCCCCGAGAGATACAAACAGCACTTTCTTTCTTGGTTGCTGCTGTATCCATCTCTACTGATTGGATTTTCGCCATAATGCCTTTTGCCCTCATCTGGAGACTGCAAATGGCTAACAAGGTCAAGGCATCTGTCATTGGACTTTTGGGTTTGGGTTTTTTGTGAGCTTTTACTGAGGGAACCCCTAACATCGTTACTTGTTTCGCTAACAAAAGGTAGCGCATCCATTGCCCCGATTGTTCGACTAAAGTACCTCCTCTTGTTGAACGACTCCACCAAGTTCCTCCAAGGCCTGAGCATCATCCTCGCTTGGGCCCAGGCAGAAGTCGGCATCGGAATGCTCGTCGCGAACCTCCCCGCCTGCCGGCCCCTTCTTGAACGAGCACTATCGCGTCTTACATCTTTGACCAACTCGAAGAACAAATCCACAAAGGACCCTGCGACATCGGCAGCAGTCAAGAATAGCTATCTTGAGCTGGGCGAGAGGGACACTACCAAGAAGAACATCAGCGCCAACCGCTCTGGCGTCGAGACGAGAGTATACGGCAGGGATATGGGCAATGTTAGTAGTGAGAGCTTGCCTGATGATCACAGCCAGAAAAGAATTGTAAGCAAGAGCGGCTTCGGCGCGATTCGGGTGCAAAGAGAATTCGACATGGAGATTGAGAAGAAGCCTGGCGACAACGTGGTGTGAATGATACAACACAACAGGAATTTTGATGAGTGTACGAGGGTCAAAGGGAACACTAAAGTAATCTATTTTATTCTAGAACGCGTTCGAGATATCTTGGCAAAGCTGACTGGTCAGCCACAATATCATTTTCTTCGCCCATGTCGATTACAACTATTGCGTCAAACGCTCATGTGCTCCATCCTAAGCCAATCGTGTCCGCAAGTAGAACCATTGCCAAAGTCTAAGTGATCCAAAAAGATGCCACTGGAATTTCAAAGTAACTCCTGTGCCCTTGTTCTCACGCTTTTCGACTTGTCAGGCTGTTTTGACGAACACGATACTCATTTCTGATGTTGGAGCTGCATTATGCGAGCCCATTTTTGGCGTGTGCAAAGTGGAGTCAACTAACTGACGGCAGTTAGCGTCCCGCGGGATCCGCGGCCACCAAAGACGGCCCGTTAGCGTCGCTTATAGTACTAAGTGATATGGTCCGTTGTGTGCAACTAAGACTAGTGGAATAAAATCGAGACCTGCAGTAGGTAGCAGTGCGGTGGTGGGTTGTATTCATGTTTTGGCTTCTGTGAGCTGCAATCGAGATTTCCGACGCACCAGATCCTAAGCGACATACAAATGTGAATTTCTTCAGACAAAGTCACCGGAGCAGCTAAGCCTAATTATGCTGGAATTGAAATACAGCTACTGATGTCGAGTGTCAGTTGTGTCTTTTATCACTACGTGTTCGCAGCGGCCACCGAAGCCTTCACAGGCGTCTTCTTCCCCTTAAGCCCCAGTGCACGTTTGGGGAAGATCACCCGTCCGTTTCAATGTCGCCATAGTTTGGAGAACAGTATTTCTAGCGGCCCGAAGTATCCTGATCTCGAGTGCAATTTTATGCCGCCGACCCATTTTGGACACTCTGTCCCCGACTCCGCTCCGCTGCTTATCTCCGTCTTCGGTGCCGCATTCAGCCCCACATTCCTAGTTGTGAGCAGCACGCTTCCTCAGAATGGCGCAGAACGCTCAACTAGGTACAGTATAGCGCTTATAGATCAGAGTTTGAAAGGACGCATACAAAAATGTTAGAAGTTTCCCCGCTTACTTGAGCTTTGTCGGGGGAGATCAGTATTTCCTCGACCTTCTCGGCAGCCGAGATGCGCCGAGCCGCTGTGCAAAAAGTAAGATTTAAAGGTTTGATCCAATGAACGCGATCGACTTACATCTGGGAAGGGGAAGTTCCTAGAAAGCTCTAGGCAGCAAAACAGCTCGCTTTCGGATTTCCGAGCCCAGAACTATATCCGATGCCATGACTGCAAGTTACTTTTGTTGACACGTGCCCTGGAGACCCTTGGAGTTAGTATATAAAAAGGAGAGATGATAACGGACTTACAAACTGTCGGCACGTCCATTACTCAACTATTTGGGTTGATAAAAACTTGGCCATTCTCACACAATGTCCACTGCTGAGAAGAACACTGTCGCGGCCGCCATTGCTGTGGAGGACATCGCGCGCAACAACCTCCTCCCGCCAAACCCGAAATTGGACAACGCTGTCGCAAACTCCCAAAAGAACAATCTGCGGGAAATTGCCGTCTCCCCTCTTCAAGGCCAGTTTCTCGCCATCCAATGTCAGCTGATCGGCGCCAAGACCGTACTCGAGATCGGTACACTCGGCGGCTACTCTACTATCTGGCTAGCGCAGACAGGCGCGAAGGTCACCAGTATCGAGATCAACCCCAAGCACCGCGATGTCGCACTGGAGAACGTCTCAGGCCTCGACACCGAGATCATACTTGGCGCCGCTCTGGATGTTCTTCCAAAACTGGCTGCAGAGGGCCGCAAATTTGATATGGTGTTCTGCGATGCTTCTTGGGGCGAGCAGGAGAAATACTTCGACTGGGCGGTCGCGCTTACAAGACCGAAGGGGTGTATCTATATTGACAATGTTGTCTGGAATATGCTTGAAAGTGGCGCCGCGGAGACAGGTAAGAATTCGCTCTTGAGTCATGTGGGCAATGACAAGAGAGTCAAGGCTACGCTGATTCCTATGATATCAACGGCGCACACGGTATCTAAGGGGCGCACTATTCTAGATGGTTTTTTGTTGGCGGTAGTAAACTAAGCGAATTTCGCGTTGCGGTGACGAGTTTAATAGCGTGGCTATCTTGCATCTGATACTTTTTCTTTCTTGATTCCTCGCGGGACTACTTAAGCGGGTATACGATAAGAATGCGAACACAAAACCCAGTTATATAGCCAAAGATAATGCTATAAGGTTTCTCTACAGACTGTGATCATCGAACTAGAATAGAAATTAGCCCAGAAAAGGGCCACTGCACTCGAGTGACCTCTAATAGTCTGTACATTCTACATCTCAAACCCCGTTTGCTTATACGCTCTCTGCATAATCAGATTCCTTGGCTGGTGCTTTCTTCTTGTCAAAAAGCTTTTGCCCAATCTTGTCCGTCATCTGGTTTGTCTTGTCACCCAGGAACGTCTTGATGCAACCATAAACGCCGGAAATCAACCAAAAGATGGCGTTCACGAGATCAATCCAGACGGCAACCTTCATCACGCTAGTTTTACTGCCCTTGTACGAGTCTTCGCTGTCTCTCTTTAGAAATATCGCCGCAAAGATGCCAAAGACTACGATCCACGCGATAGAGAGAATCAAATCCCAGGCGAATGCGCGATATGTCTTGAATATCTTGATCTTGCTGCCGATGAAAGGGATGGCCCCGAGAGGTGTGGCAGCAACGAACAGCACAGCTGTGACGGCCGAGGCCCCGGCGACTGTGATGGCGAGAATCCACTCGGGCGAGAAGCCGTCATCGTCCTTGCGGTCTGCGTCGACACGGTTTCCGTAGAAGCCGCAGGCAATGAGGGCGAAGAGAAACTGCAGCCCACGGCACACGAGGCGTGGCACGACTTCGAAAGTCTTGAGCCACGTCTTTCCCATCGTTTTGCCAGTATCGGCACCCTCGTTGAAAACGCCGCGGCCGGCTTTGCGGCCCATCTCCCTTTTGTCGGCAGCGCGGAACTCGGATGCAGCGCCAGCGAGGCCTTGGACGTTGCGGCCCAGTTCAATGGCCGTCTGGCCGGCCTTGAGAGCGTTTCCGAAGTTGCCCATTGTTGCGTGGTAATGAAAGAATGTATGGGTCTCACGAAAATTTCGTGGGAAATTGGTAAAGAGAAAAGTCAGGTGCTCTATGAGACAGACGGGCGCCGAGAAACGTATCAAACGTTGATGTAACAACAAAACGATGCAGTAATGCGAGACCGGCTGGCAGTGCGAAACAAAAAATACCCCGAGGAAACACAGGCGCTGAGTGATGGAGAGGGGAAATGAATGGACACAGATGGAGAGTGATGAGGTTCGACGACAGTATTGCTTGTGCCTCTTCTTTATAAAGTCTAGAAGACAAAGAATCATTCATCCATGACAGAGACAACAATGGATTAATCACGCCAAGTAACACGCACACAAATAGTAACAGCAAGTCTTTGCGTGTTCGCGCTGGCGCCGTTGCAATGACTGAACGACGACAACCAATCATTCCAGAAGCGGTCGTCTTTCGGTCCCTTGCAGGTGAGTATACATTGGAGACAGCGGGGCACAGCGTCTGAACTGCTCTCAATCAAAGCCAATCGTTTTTGGCCGCCGCCTTGGACGCGGCGCTTATCGAAACAAGTTGCTTTCATACACGCCAACAGTATGCAAAGCGTTGAATGAGAGGACTGAACCTACGGGAATTTGGGCATATCTGGCGACACTGCACTCATTCTCCATCCGCCTTTATTGACCGAATACATGCTGGCCGTAGCGTCAGCCAACAATGCAGGCGCCAGCTGAAATGTAGGCGGCCCAGTGCCCTTCCTGAACAGCTTGATCGTTAGCGCCGAGCGGAGAGTCGGTGGGTGGAACAAGGCTGATTCAGGCGATTAGCTGAGAATGGCAATGTGATCATGCTCGCAACAATGCTAGCCGCGGCCTGTGGCTGTGAAAACAGTGATCTCCCGCAATACCAACAACTGTTCACTTGCTTGCTTAACACTTTGGCGGTCCTGGTTACACCTTTAGATGCGATTTCAGGATTGTCGTTGAAAGCTAGTCGAGACTACCAAGAGTCCTCGAGTTGAACCTCTTTGGGATGGGCCATTGGCACTGGCTGTTTGCGCAGGGCGAAGTTGCGCTAGACGCCCCTGAGGCGGAGGGTTCGCGACCTCGATTAGCGACTAAGGTACCTCAGCCAGCTGAGCCCTACGGCGGCAATTTTCATCTAAAAGCTTGAAACAAACGACTGACTGATCCGGGTTCTAAAGTGGCTGTCGTACTGAAGGGGTCGTACTGGGTCTGGACACGAGCGTAACTTGACAGTACTTTTTCAATGTAATTACATTAGTCTTGGATCATTTCTTGTTGCTATGACATTCGGTTCGAGTCAGTCAAGCACCTGTCATTTTTACTTAATGCCTGCTTTATTAAGTAAGTTGTGTCAAGCCTCCCCCTCCACATCACTATCGCCATCCCCTAGCCTTCATCAGCCAAACTCCCATGTATCCCCGTTGCGTGATGAGGCACCGGCGTCCAAGAGCGTGTTTCTCTAGCGATATGTTATCGTCCCATGTTGTTCTGGCGGTACGATCGACGGTTCTTATTTGTAAACCTCGATACCAGCGTCTGTCCCTTCTTCTAACCACACAATGCAAGCTGTGTTCAATTACACCGATGCACCACACTCAATGCGGCTTCAAATGAGGTTGTGTTTTCCTTTTCTTCAATTCTATTCTTCGCAAGCCGGGCGAGACTGCTAATCAGTGGCATGCATCAACCTCGGCCCATTGTGAAACAATGATCCGAGCGACTTTAAACCTTCGATAGTTGTCACTGCCGGTCATTCCGTGACGAGTTCTGGTATCAACCTCCTGGGATTTTAGATGAAAGGCAATGTTAAACATCCGATGCAGTACGTATATGGTCAATCATACTGAACAACCAGGACTGTTGAATTGGTTTCCAAACTTACCCCCCCATCACCCCGCATCATCTCTAGTACAGCGCTCCGTATTCCTCCTACGAAGCGCTCGTCAACATCGTCGCCGCAATGTCTACCAAATCGACGAGCTTGTCGGCAGAAGAACTCCAACAACACCCTGCTTTCAGCACGACCCGATGGAACTTGAAACCAACGTCCTCGGGCTACGTCAACGTTGCCGAGTCTCGTCCTGGTGGGCCGTTTCCCATGTGGTACGAAGTTCACGGCAATGGCCCCAAAAAGATTGTCTGGATCATGGGCCTCGGCGCTAGTCGAAACCTCTGGAAACACCAAAACCGCTATTTTGGACACCAGCATGCTCAACAGTACAGTTCTCTAGTCTTCGACAACCGCGGCGTCAGCAAGTCGGCCAAGCCTAACTGTAGATACACTACTTCGGAAATGGCCAAAGATCTGGTTGAGCTGCTTAGACAGATCGGCTGGCTCGACACCGACTCTCAATACTATCCCCGGGATCTGAATATCGCGGGCATTAGCTTGGGCGGCATGATAGCGCAAGAGTTTGCTCTTCTCATACCTCAGCGAATCCAGTCGTTGATCCTCATATCTACTGCGCCTCGCCTAATCCGGACTGGCCATACGCTGGAGCATCTGAAACAGCGAGTTTCGATGTTTTTCCCCTCTGGGGTGGACATTGAGCTCAACAACAAAGCACGCAGAATCTTCACGGAAAAGTTCCTTGACTCACCCGACACCGGGTCTCTGGACCCTCAAAACACGTTCCCCACCAACCTCGATCGATTTGTAGCTGAGGAACTAGTCGAGCGTATGGAGGATACCGACTTTTCGCGCCGAAAAGGTGTCATTTTGCAAGCTATTGCCGCTGGATGGCACTACAAGAGCGACGTAGACCTTGAAAAAATGAGAGACGGCGTCGGCAGAACACGGATTATGGTGATGCATGGGACTTTCGACGAAACTATTACATTTCCGCACTTCGAGATGACGAAGTCTGTTTTGGGCGACGGGCCAATGTATATTGCTTGGAAGGATTGCGGTCACATTCCTTCATGGGAAAGGGAAACTGAGTTTAACGAAGCAGTGAGAGACTTTATTGATAAGGGAGCCGCTCTTCTAGATAACTCATAGCTGGTACCCGTATCTATTCGTTGCGATGATGGTTCCATGATCATAACGGTTCTATTGTAGAGTAAGTAAAGTAAAGTGGTTCCCTCGTTTTCATGGAAAGTCACATTTGACCATGAATAGCTTGACCCATTTTTCGCATCGAATCTAGTCTGGCTCGACAAAAAGTTCAACGCTTTGAATCCATCCAGGCTCATGTGAACTGCTACGTTGATCGGATTACTAACACTATGTCTCAAAAGTGGAGGCAAAGACCATTCAGAATAGACAGATTGAGGTTTTGCCTTTGTGCTTCTGCTGCCCGTTAACGACCTCCTTTAGTTTCATTGACTCTGTGTCTATCTAGATCGACGAAGGTCAGTTCAGTTGGGAAACTAAGCTAGGCTTCACTGTCTCTAACATCTCGCATGAGATATGTTTCGAGGCAATCTATCGTTTCAAGGGCGTTATGTACTAGATGCTTGACGACTACCCAAGGTAGACTGCAATGCACATGCCACCTTGAAAAAGACCCGTGGTAGTTTTGAAACCATTTTTGGCATCGTCAAAGTATTCGATCAGCTCCTTGTAACCTGTCTGGCTGGCGATGACGTTATCCACGACGACCAATGCACCTTGTCTAAGTTGCGGCTACACCACAGCCAATGTGGGCATAGCAAGAGCCGACCAGACTATGAAAGGTCAGAACATCAGTGACTGAAAGAAAAGAAGAGAAGGTTGAACTCGATGAGATCTTTGATACTCATCGTCTAGGAGCAAGAAGTCGATCTGCTTGGGTAAATCGGTCTTCAGCGTCTCTCGCAAATCGCCTTCTCTAAGTTCGATATGCTCATGAACCTCAGCACCAGCTCTCTTCCAGTATTCTCGACCATTTTGAGCTTTGGCTGACTCGTTTTCCGTGGCTATGGCTTTGCCAATGCAACCTTGAGCTGCAGCATTCTGCCCCACAGCAATAGCGAGCCAGATGGTACTGACGCCAAACGATGTCCCGGCCTCAACGACATGCGTCACCTCCGTGGCTCGAAGAAGCAGATACACCAAAGCGCATTTGTCTGGCTCTAGTGCCACAAACCTTTCTAGTGCAACTGAAGCAGGCGGGCTATCGGTGCTCACATATGGTGGTTCGGTTATGGCTTGGGTGTGAAGGTCTTTGAGAACAGCAAGCGTCCCAGGACTTGCTTCCAACGTGCCTAGATGCTTGTCAAGGTCTTCGAGACTAAACATCGCGTTAGATATCACAGCATATTGTTATTGAAAGAATTGCTAAGAATGGGTCTCATGGCCGCTGATATCATGCGATGGAAAAAAGCTGCTTGCAGTATGTCAATAAGGTTACTTGATCTAAGCAAGCGATGAGACAAATTTGGCCCTTCGCTCATTGACTGCAACCGGATATCACGCAGGGTAGGTTCTTGCTTTTGTCTTGCTATTGATTTGGTAAGATGGAATCCGTACCCAAGAGCGGGGTTGGCTAAAGCGGACAAGGCTTTCGGCAAGCGTTGACCGGGTCAAAAGGGTCGTTTGAACTTGCTACAAATTTATCCCCACTACCCACCAATGGTCGAGGACAACTACGCCCGACTAAGTCGAAGGCTTGCCGATCTGCAACATGTCTTACGCACAGAGGTCTCTTATCAATTCTGTGAGCTTCCAGGACAAGTTGCAGCCTCAAAGAGCCTTCGGTCTGGATTTAGCCACGGTCTCGTTCTGCAGAACGACTGTTGAAGACTTCCAAAAAATCTAGTCATTCGCTGTCGTAAACCACATTGCTCAAGACAAGCCAAAGTAAGCTGCGAATCCAATGTTGGGGGACGAGGCTGGGTCAAATCAAGCGACACGCCTCCATAACCCCTACATCAAGTTTGATGCCTGGCTATGATGTTATTCCTCATAATGCACTCACTGCTCTTCCCACATTTTACCACGTCCATCAGAAGGGCATATAGGCACTTTCTTTCCTGGACGCTTGGAATGGGAGTCCAAGCCGGGGAACGGATCCGCAAGGGTTATGAAATGCACCTTAGTGGAGTCTGGCGTGGCTTCAAAGCAAGTAATCGAAGTCCAGCGGGTAAGCAATTCAAGACATACCTGGTGTAACTCCAACATCAGCTACCGCCACGGATGACAGGCGTTTACGATACTTGAGGGAACCACGCAAGGGATGCTCAGATGCACTCCCAACATTCCTCCAGTGAAGGAGCATCAACCCATACCTGAGATCGAAGATATCACTGAGAATTTGGAATTATACAAGCCTGAAGCCACATCTTTGTTAACAGGCAAGTAGGGTTGTACAAGCCATCATTTCTTTATTTCTTTGCTGTTTTTGTTTATATTGGACAAAAATGTTGATCTTAGGAACACATGACGTTACTGCTTGGCTACGGCTTGGCTACCATGAGAATGAGACTTTGATTTACTGCCACAGGTCAAGTCATTTCGAGAGTTTTTGTTTTATTTTAATATTAGTTTTTAGCGTACCGGGATGTACGGGTTGATGGTCCCAGTCAAGACAGCCTATCAAGAACAGACGGAAAGTCTTCCGGGCAGCTAAAGGGCGCAGAGACATTCCAAGACAATGAGCCTGGAAATAAAGGAATTGGATGAAATCAGCGGCCCGATTACACAATAACCTGCTCTGGGAAGAGAAAAGAGAAATCTTCTTGACATTGTGCTCAGTTATAAAAATTTTGAGATGGATGGATCCATGTTTAACCATAAACCTCATTCTCGGACGCTGATTTACAAACTACAATATTCATCTCGGAACGACAACTTTTACCTTCTTAACGCCTTTTTGAACCACCACGAAGTGCAATAGGTACGAAACTTATTAGTTTGGGTGTTTTTTATCCTAGACTGTCTAGTGAAATAACTTTCATCCTCAGCTTCTTTAGTTCTACAGCAACTGACTCGTCCCTCAGCACCATGTCTACCTCAAGCACCCAACCGACAGCCGCTTTGTGCTTTTCAGAACAGCACATCGTCAACCTAGGAGTGCCTATCGAATACGGCAACTTTCACCCTGGCTGTAGCTTTGGCAAAGCCTGTGTTGAAGGTCAAGGGGCATCCTGTCCCATGGCGATGCTACTCTCAGCCTACCAGGAGTGTGGTTTCTGGGATGCCAGTGACCCCAAGCATCGAGCTTGTTACTTTGGTCAGCCTTGTTGCGTGACTGGGGATAAGCTATGCGCTCGCACCATTTACCTTGCCAAGCATAGTCACGCCTATGGCTCTTGTTCTGCTTTCAGCGGATCAGACCATGAGTACTGTCCTGTGATCTCCGATCAGGAGCGGCGTTGTCTATTCCCAAACTGCTCAGCATGTGGGATCCTAACTGAAGCAAGAGGCCTCGTTCTCATTCATCGACGTATGCTGGACGAGTGCGCGGTGGATGAAGAATTCACCAACATGGACATCAAGTGCATCAAGAACAGTCTGGCTGGGTATATGCGGGCTTATGAAACCAGAAGGGAAATGCATCTTCAGGAGTTGTACAAACAAGGTCAAGCAGCTTATGAGCTGGAGATGAGGTACGCCAAGGGGGAAGACTTTCCTCAGTTGGCTTTGAAACCGGACGCTGGACGTAACAGATGGTGGAAAAAGACTGTAGGCCGTTTCATTAAGGCTGTCGTCCGTGTCTTCTCCGTTTGATATTGTCAAAGTTCCCCGACTGGAGTCGTGTGCTTTGGACTTCTACTAGTCGTTCGCTTTAGTCACTATGAGTCAAAGTGTAATACTGAGTTTCTTTCAACTCTGCGTGCTTTAGCGGAAAATGAGCACACGCGGCGGTATTAAGTTAATAATCGATGGAATTTGACAGGATTTGTGCTCAATGTTACTTTTCAAAGTCAATAGGACAAAATAGTTCATCCCACCAAGTTAGTCATTGAAGCAGTGAGCTTTGATTGAAAGTCCTGGTGTGGTGCAGCCCTTACTGGTCAAATCCTTCTGCCATTGTCATCGGTATGTATTGCTGTTCGGTCTACAACTCCACATGTCTCAGCCAAGAATTTTTACTCTCGTCATGAATTGTCATAGGGTGCTTCAGCTTGAAATGGACCGTAGCAGGGAGATAAAACATAACCCATGGAAAAAGAACATGGTCCCTGTCATATTTCAATTCTTCCTAGGCCACTGAAGTTGCAGGGTATTGTGATCAATTTTTGTGATGGTTGTATGATGTCCATCAGCGTGTGTTGATTGGTATCCCGTCATATTACTATCATGCTGCCGTTTATGGTACTATATTACCCAATCGCTACTTCGGTCTAGTCACTAGTCCAAAACCACCCTCGCAAGATTAGCAACGGCCAGTGCTAAGAAGCAGAGGCCGCCGGTGCTTCGCATACCTGAAAATGGCAGTTTAGCGTGTGTCTCACGTCGTTATGTTGACCCACCGATAACGCAGATCGTTCCCTAATGGATCTAGTCATGCAAGCCAGACACCCCGACGACGTCGATTCCACAGACTATTTCGATCAAGGTTGAGAAACAGCCATGGCTTCTGACACTTGCGAACAAAAGACAGATAAATAGAAGAAAAACTACCTGACCGAGAGGTCTGCTGAAAGGGCTATGCTATCTGGTTATCTTCATTGTGTCTCTGCCTTTGAGACACAGCTCCAGCATCCAGCACCTCTCGACCTCCACTCCGGACTCAGCCTTACTAAACCCTGAATCTATGACCATTTTCTCGCTTATCGCAGCAGTTGAAGGATGAAGTTGACAGACTGCTAGAATCATGCGTATGATTGACTGAGCATACAAAGAAAAACGGAACACACTGTGGATGGCCAGTTGACAATGCCCTCTTGATATACCTGAAATAGAGCTTGTGTCCAATGCGGACGTATGATGCTCCATCCAGATCGTTTCGGCTGACAATAAAGACGGAGGCGATTGCGTACAAGTCATGACGTCGTTTTGTGACAGATAATAAACTAATAGTTACCTTAATATTTTTGTTGAACCCGAATGTTTTCAAAACAGAAGTTCTATCATTGTATCACATGCAATGAAGGGCAGGGACTCGTTCACATCGACGCGATCCTTAGAGTGAGGGAAATCCTTCAGCTGAGCAAGAAAGCTGTGAATTTTCCATTGATAGCACATTCACTTTACAGGATGATGCTCGAGATTAAAGAAGAACGGCACGAGTGATGGATGATCGAAAGCTTAATTAATCTACCCAGGTTGGTGGAAGAGAGCCAGTGCAATGGTTCGCATTCCATCTACATGGATCATACAGGCCTCATTCTGGTAAACCTAAAGTTATTTTTTTTTTAGAGGGTTCAAGTGTATTACGAGAACCTGCGAGTCTGCGAGCCGTCTTGGTGAAGTTCGACCACCATTAGATGAGCCGCATTTCAAGTTTTCGTTATGCCGCTTGCCACTTGACGATTCTGGGACTGCGTCGCCTGTCGTGCCGGCTGACTGACGCGGCAGCACAAGGGATTCTGTGACGCTACTGCCTGTGAGTTCCCGTTGGTAGATGCAAATTAGCGGTTGCCAAGACAGCACCGAAGTATAATGGTGCTCCGGAAAACGGCCGTATGTGAGTGACGAAGAGATCTACCAGTGGCAGGAAAGGCAGGTCAGAGCAGGGCTGGGGATTTACCTTATTGGGGAACACATTTCCGGTATATGAACTGATTCAAGAAAGCAGACCAAACTGAGAGACTGAACAAGACCCAGCCAGGGTTCAAGGATCATACTTTCAATCATGGGAAATGAGAGCAACGGGAAATTCTCGTTGAAATCCGAATGATCAGTCTAAGGGCAAAGAGAGAAGACTTTAGAGTTGCGACAGACGGGCGGAAAATGACTGCAAGGGTGAGACGCACCGATTGTGTGGAGGAGGATTAGTGGCTCCGGAAATCGAATCCCCTGTCCCGCGTCTTATCTCCTACAAATCTTTACTATGCATGACGACGTTTTGGGCATTGAAAAAATCGGTTGGTTGCAACTCTGCACATACTGGCCCGCGAAGCTCGCTAACCGAGATCATGGCCCCGGTCGGTGCTGGCCACAGAGAATAAAATAAACGGAGAGAATTTGCCGTCAATTGCAAAAGTTCTGGCCTGATTAACATGGACCTGCAGCTTTGCGGAGACTCTGAACCACCCAAGGGTGCTTCGCCAAAAGGCTGGTTGGAACTTATGGAAGGCGAAAGAGGCTCAGCCGATCGCGTGGTCAATCCTACTTCCTACGTACGAGAATCCCAAACCCACTTATGCAGCTGCTAAAACACCTTGTTGATGTATCAAGTTGAGAGACCGACCTGGTTGTCTTTTATTATGCCAAATTAATGGTTGCATCAACGAGCTGCGTGTATTATAGAAATCCGGATGAAGTCCCTCCGTCAACGCCATTACCGCCACACGTAGAGAAAAGAAGAAAACTCGGTTCGGCTGTCAGCTTATTCTTTGATTTCTCAATAATTCATATTCATTTAGCGTTTTGAGTTACTCTCAAGCATGTGTCGCTGTTGGTGATCAAGTGTGTCGATCAAAAGTAAGTCGATTAAAGCTGTCCACAGTCTTGTGGGTCAGTCATAATGACTTTGGCGAAGGTGATAGAAGGTTATGCGACCAATTGCTTTCGAGCCTGGCAGAAATTGACCCTCAAATCCTTGGGTTGATTTTCGTCTGTTGCTTAATTTCTCCAGACTTTGGGGAAGAGATCGTGCCACCGCGGCAAAGGATTTTGCTTGCTAAGCCCTGACTGTAGGCATGTGTGTGATGGTCCGCTACTACTTCAATCATCAGATGTAGCCGGATCATCCGGTTTCTCGAGGATGTGCAGTGGGTGTGAAGCAAAAACCCATCATTGGTTGGTTAAGCTTAATCGTGCGAAATGAGAGAAGCTTTACGTGCACACCATTGCATACGACCGTGGTCTCCCAATCAAGACCCAGGTGCCTTAGCCAAATTTCATCGCTGCCGTGCTGAAACAAGGTTTAGATCCCGACAGCAAGGGCGGCTGCTTACCGCCGCGAGAGAGAATCGGAATCTTGAGCTGCTCACATGCGAGCATCGGGTTTTGCTGGACTGGCATACACTTTGCAAGCCAAGGACTAACCGCCCCATTTTCTTACCTCTCTATGCTGTGAATTAGCCCTATAGGCCCATACATTGAGATGATGCGTTGCGTTATTCCAACTGCGAGTGCAGAAGCTCTTCAAACCCCTGCTAGTATGGCCCAGTCACTTCATATTTCTCGACTCGCCGCCACTCCTAGTTGCCGGTCATACACCCGGTGTGCCGGTCTTGTGATGAGAATGGTAAATGGAGCGCAGGGCTGCTTCCTTGACTGGTAGTCTCCGTGGTTCGCTTGGAAGGTTTTCGGCGTCGTTTCCGGCTCCGTTGTGCCTACGTCCAAGTCGTCTCAGCTTAAGGCTGGCAAGAGTCGTTCGTGAACATGGGTACAGACAGTGGCCTGTCTGGAAACCGCTTTAGGATCACTGTTAAAATTTCTTTTTTTCTTGTTGATTTTCTCGAGGATTACAATGGCACATATTAGTCTTGATTTCCATCTGCACTTTGGTCGATTGCAACTGTTTGCTCCAACTATACATGACCGGTCCCGATGCGTAGGCACTAGTCTGTAGTTTTCCAGTCAGACAACGTCGACACTCGTTTACCTTACAATACGTACGTCATGGCGGGCGTCGCCAAAGAGGCCGTTGTGGTGAGTAAAGATTGTGGTTTGGTTTTGTTCTCAGCAATTTCATACACTGTTCTGCTCGACTAACATACAGCACCAAAAAGCCCATCGAGGCCGTGCTCCTGGGGCTTGCCATCTCCCTAGTTCTCGCGCGTTTGTCTCTTCGTCTGATCCTACAGCGCCAAATGCTCACCAGTAGCGATTGGATGCTCGTTGTTTCGATTCTTGACGCGATCGCGCTGTTCTCAACCGATGCCATGGCTTATAAATTGGGCGGAATGAACGATTACGACCCCACAGCTCCAGAAGCTCCAGAGGACGAGCAGATCAGGCTCATGAAAGTTTCATTTGCCGGTAACTACTTCTATGATACTGGGATTTACTTCCCGAAGCTAGCCTTGCTTGCCTTCTACTTCAAGCTGGTTCCGCCGACGATGCCTCTGCTGCGAAAAGTCCTTTACGGGACTAGTGGACTGACGCTGGCCTTCGCCATGACCACTTGTTTCTTGGACACCTTCTGGTGCGGTCCTGATGTTTCTGTAAACTGGGACTTGGAGGGCGCCTGCTCAACATTCGACTCCAAGTCGGTTTTTCGCATCGATTGGGGAATGAACTTGGTGTCGGATTTGCTAAGTATGACCTTTCTCTAACACATACATGTGTGGTTTTTAACTGACAATTTCAAAGTCTTCATTATTCCATTCCCGCTGCTCTTCGGCCTTCAGCTCAGCACAAGATACATCATTGGTCTTGCAGCTACGTTCTCCACAGGCATGATTACAATAGGAGCCAGTGTAGGCAGATTTGCCACCGTCGAAACCATCAAAGCGTGGACCAATGTTTGTAGGTTCAGCTTCTCATGATTGATTTCTGATTGAGAGAACTGACCAAAGAATAGATGTGCTATCCATGACAGAGATCGCGGCCGCCATCATTGTGGTATCGCTGCCCGCGCTCAAGCCCCTTCTTCATCGTCGTGGATTAGCCACGTCGAAGTATGGGACTGGCCAGACAGAATCGGACGGACTGGCTTACAAGAAGCACCCAACAGCGACCAGTCATAGCCATTTCAAACTCTCTTCGGGGAGGGACCCATATGAGGCGACGACGCGAGTGGTTGCCGAGGACGAGTCGGGCAGCGAGGTGGAATTGAACAATCTGGAACGATCGGATGTAATTTACAAATCGGCTCGCGTGAGCGTAACATACCAACGACGAGAGGATTTCGACAAGAAGGCAAGCCCCTAGAAACCTGCATGTTAGGGCATTTCCCCCGGCACGAAGCAAGGGGAGGGGTGTGTGTTGTACATTAGGAATCAACCGCTATTTGCTGCGGGCCCGGCCCGGACGGAGAGCGGCCGAGGGGCCAATAATGCCCAGCCGGCTTTAATCACAGCTCTGCGCGTCTGCGGCGTGGTTGCAGGAAAAGATTAAACAATACTACCTTTGTAGAGCACTTCCCGCCGATACGAAGCAGACAGAGAGAGGGTCGCCATTCTCTAACACAGTGAACAAGGGGCGACAGAGCGAAATGAGAAATAAAAAAGGGTCCTGGGCTGATTTGCGCACCAACACGCCGTCCACATGTCTGTGCAGGTTCTGCGACCTCGCTTCCGCAATGCTAGTCCCAACGGTCGTCTCACCCCGCTTAACCTGGGATCAAACTGGACCATCGACTTTTTTCAATTCCTGAAGGAGGTCGGTTCGGATCCAGCCAATAGTGATTTAACCGTTCACAACGCCCTGCAGCCACACCCTGCTTCTACTGGCGGGTGGGTCAAATTCCCTTGGCCTCCGTGTTTAAATGATTTGAGATGCTGTCCCGTGAGTTGCCGCCATTGCATCAAGCTACTTTCCTTCTTCAAAGTTACTGCTCCTCAGCCTCAAGTCAAGATGGTGTACTTCATCGACGGAAAGGATTGTATGGTAGGTCGCCCTGCTAGTTTCGGACAACTTCCTTTGCTAAGTCTCTAACTAGATATCTGAATGGATTCTGCTGGCAGTTTCTTACGTTTTTGTCGGCCTACGGGTGTATACACGCCTCTTCCGCTTGCGTGAAAAGTTGGCCTTATCTGAATACCTTCTCCTCCTCTCGGCTTTCAACGCCCTCGGCTTGATTATATGCGACACCTTGACATACCGGCTCGGTGTGATGGACAACTGGGAACCATCTGTTACTCTGTCCAAGGTAGTATGAATCTGCCCATTAACTTACTTTGCTAACGACTGATTCCGTTTTAAGATATCCTTCGCCTCCAATTACTTCTACGATGTCGGAATGGGTTTCCCAAAGATGAGCATGCTGGCATTCTATTGGGTCTACTTCCCTGCCGACACTAGCCCTGCGATGCGTAAGGCATTGTGGGGCATCACTGCGTTCGTCGGTCTTTCATACATGGCAATCCTCTGGGACGACACATTCTTCTGCGGCAAGGACGTTTCCGTTCAGTGGTCTCAAGAGGAGGGTGCTTGCAGTGTCTTCTATGCACCCGAGCCATTTATCCTCAACTTCACTCTCAACCTAGCCTGCTACATCTTTGGTATGAGTTCCCGTCCACTCAAGTGGCCCCAAACCATACCACCAATATACTCCATACTGACCAAGACGTGTACAGTCTACGTGCTTCCTCTCACTCTCTTGGTTCAGGGTATTCTACAGCCTTCCAAGGGTCTCACTATTGCTTTTATTCTTGGTCTGTTGACCATCTTCACCACCATCGTCCGCTTCATTACCCTCAAAATCGGAACGGGACAGGAGAACCTTGTTTGTAAGTCGAACGCTTTTCTTCTCCCACTACCCTACGGCAACGGGCTAAACCCTGCCTAATAGATCCTATGAGCATCCTCGAAATGACACTTGCCATTACTGTTGTCGCTCTGCCTGGTCTGAAGCCTCTGTTGGATCGATCATCAAAGAGTCCCCCATTTGATACGGTTGAAGTCGAAAACCAAAACAAGAACTTCTCCTAGATGAGACATGCAAATATAGTCCATGCGCATATTATATCGATGAACATGAGTTAATACTCAGTTAGCCTGTGGTCTACTCATGGTTACTCGTTGCATTGGCCAGATCGCCATCCCGACATCATTCTCGAATAGTACATATTTCTAGGTTCGAGCGGATGGCCATGAATCTTAAAGTGTAAATAAAGCTGCACAAGCGATCTTCAGACCAATTTGCATTTATTTTAATCGTAGACACTCTTAATTGTATAAATCCAGTATTGATAGAGTCCTGCTGGTCTTGTTGGCTGGGGAAATGGAAGAACATCTGAACAATAGAAGATTGTTTCAACCATGTTAGCAAGAGTTCAATAAAAACTTATCGGAAACAAACCTACTAGCGAAGGACTCCTGTGACAGACTTACTGAACTTTCGGTGGGCAAACGCTAGTACATGGGGCCAGCAATACCTGAAGATGTAACACGCCCGTCAGCATCAACTCCTTTCGCTATACATGCTGCATTGTACGTGAATCACCGAGTTCATCGTAGCCTAGTCCCTGCAAAAACGAAGCATCAGAGTAGTGGACTTGTGCTGTTGCCTGCCATTCGATGTTGATGTTGTTTCTTCGGCTAGCTCCGCTGCAATTCCTGCCACATCAATACCCCCCAAGAGATGCATGTGGATCAGTACGTTCGATACGTAAACTAGGATCAAATGGCTTGAAAGGGGACCTGCGATTGATCAGATCATCTCTTCAGTAGACAAGCCACCACTCTCGGTTGCGTAAACTGTATTTGTACAGCCGAAACTAATGCTTTCAGTCTGATATCTGTCTTATCTCCATAATTTACTTATATGTCTAGTTCTTTGTATTTAACAGCTGTCGTAAAGTGAGGTTCTAGAGCGAGATAGTGGCGCAGGTGGCCGAGCCCGCCATTTCTCACATGCTTCGAGTTATACAGTAGTTTGTATAAGGGACAACCTCCTGTCTCGTAGATGGTTTTAGATGGTTTCTAGAACAACTACCTTTCCATTACCGCTGAAGTGCAGACCGAGGATTCCACCACAAAATCGGTATATGGGTCAGATCTTTTCGATCCGAACCCTCCCTAAGGTAGTCGATGCTAAGAGGCTTTGTCGTTATACGAATCTTTGAGGAGCCAAGACGGGCTTTTTGTGGCTTTCTTACTGGACTCTGTAGTTCGGTTGGTCACGCAAGGCTTTGGCTTCTGGCTGTGGCAACAAAACTCATCACTACCAACGACTTAGACCTGGCTGTGACGATATTGACCAGATCCTTTGAATACAACACGGGTTCACACACTACAGCATGTGGGGTAGACGCTATGAAGTGGATATAGTGCAGTATTTGGGCGAAGAACATCAATATGTTTAGACCCACGCAACTTTGTTCCCACTGCATCATATGCTTTCCCTTCATTGTTTGCTCTCTACGCCGTGGTTCGCCATTGATTTGTTTTGATTCAACGTGTCGCTCCGGTTTAGCGGTCGCGTTTTTCAGCTGGGGATTACGGGATAACACCAGAGTCCGTCGGCACTAGATTGCTGCCGAAGACCATGAAATGCTGACTCGTACCTTGTCATACCTTCAAGCGCGCTATCCATTCTCTTCATTGTCAAATAACTCCTGAAGGAGCCACTTCAACTTGCCAGGGTACGTCTTTAGCGACCAAGACGGCACATGAACCGCAGCAACAGGCTGGGAGTAAACTCCAAAGACTAAGCATCATGACCCAGAATGTCTCGCGACACGTTATTGCGCTTCTTACGGGAGGCTAATTATCAGATTCGCCATATTTGGAACGCGCAAGTATGGCCTTGAGTGAAATGAGTGGCAACGCGAATGGATTGGTTAATTCATCCTATTAAAGAGAAACTTATCTTCACCTGGACCTGGGAGCTAGCAGCTCGATATCCACGCAACAAATAGAGTTTGGCTGACAATATGAACACGACATTATCAAGGCACTAAGCCTGCAAGTATCAATCCACCAAGCTTAAGCCAGGGCCATTTGCCCCACGCTTGAAATACCCTAGGCTCCGACAAGGGTTAAATCACGGAAGTGGATATAATGCTATAGTAGATCATAAGGTCTTTAGGCCTTAAGCTCGCTCGGACCTTTTGAATTGGTTACTCTTCCCGCGCACCCAAACGCCCTTGGCCCGATACTGACTCAATCATCGAACTAGAGTGGGCACGCAGCAGGGCTTCTGGAGCAGCCTTCAGAGATCAACAGAGCTTACTGCTAAACGCAGACAGTCTAAGGTGTCGCGTGAATGCGCTTGTAATCGTAACGAACACGTGCCTGGAGATACTCAATCGTCTCGTCCAAGCTTACGCGGGGAATGTTGGGGTGCCAAATGCCTCAATTCTTGGTGGGTCCAGCTTCTAAGTCGGCATCCCAGCCAAATAGAGTGATAAGTTCAAACCCGGAGCTGCGGTTGACTTCTTCTCTCCACCTTCCCTTCCATGAAGTGCAAAGTCCTTACTGCAATGGCGTATGTAGGTATTAGCTGAGTCCAACTAATCGATGATAAAGCAATTAGAAATTCTGCAAAAAGCGGCTGTGACAATCTCGTCCCCTGCCCCTGAGTGGACAGTCGCTGAAGAACTCTTGGCCACGGTAGTAGTGGAAGAAGTGGTCTGAAGGCTGTCTCACATCGTACAAACCTAGCTTGCTAGCTTCCTGGTTTAGCCACGCCACTCCACCACTACAACGGTACAATGTAGATCATCTTCCGTACTGTTCAAGGGCTTCATGAAAGAGGATCTCAAAGTCAGTGTGTAAGGGTTGCGGCCCCGCTGCATCGCGTGCGCCCTGGCATGCGAGCCATATTCTAAACGAAGCTACTCGCATTGAGGGTTTGAAGGTAATCTCGAATTGGCAAAAGCTTTGATACTTCCCCAGCTAAACAAACAATCCTTAATTCGTAGTCGCTCCTGATTTGGCAAGCATCATACTCAGCGGGTTTATGCTTCATCAAGTCCAGTATCAGCATCACACTCATACGCATCACGAACCAAAGGGTGCATCACCGCGTTCTAATCGGGCTGATGATTCTCTGCGCTGTTGTGAGCTCAACAAGCATAGTTGTGGTCCTAAATCAGTGCCATCCCCTCGACAGGTATTAGGACAAGACAGTGACAGGTACTTGCCTGACGGCCGCTAGTATAACAGCAATGTCCTATATTTCTTCAGCTGTTAATCTCATCACTGACATCAGTGTGGCGATCATTCCCATTTTTCTTTTCCGGCATATTCAGATGCGGTCGTAGCTCAAGCTCTACATTCAGCTTATATTCGGACTGGGCCTTGTGTAAGTCTTTCTGCTCTCGAGTCTTCGTTGATATGGGCCCCTTATGAGTGAATCCACTACCCCGTTGTGAAAGAAGCAGGGCTGACAAGAGTTGGATAATAGGGCTAATGTTGCTAGTATTATCCGACTCGGTTTTACTGATGCATACATGGACACCACCGACTTTCTACGCAAGTAAAATTATCCCAAATTCACTATCATCATTTCTCCTGGGGCAGCAGAAGCCGACTTGCATGGCATCTGACTCTCCATCCTCAAATTAGATGAAACAGGCAAAGTTGTGCTGTGTACCGTTCTCGAATGCGGCTTAGGCATCACTACCGGTTCCCTTCCAATATTGCGAACCTTTTTCTCCCGCCTGGCCAAGGATTATAGCACGTACGCAGAAAAGCACCACAAGATTAGGAGTAATACCAACCTGATTACTTTCGGCCACTACAACGTCCAAAAACGATCCGAATGCGAAAGCGATATGGACGGAACTGTCGATAAGGGAGGAAATGAGAGAGAAAGTGACGGCAGCGAAGTTGCAGCCGCAGAAGCCAAGAATAACACGACCAATACTCACAGAGCGATTACGGTCACAACGGACTTGCATCAGACCTTTGACTGAATGGATGAGATAAAGCCTGGAGGAATAAAGAAAGCAAGTGAGTTAAGCGCTGGGGATACTTCGATGTAGAGAATGATACAGGGCCAGCGGGGCGGAGAGGCAAGCAACAGAGTTATAGATATAATGAAAGATACTATACCCATTCATCAAAAAGTGGTATTATCGCGCCGTAGATGAGGTAAAGACTTCTTGAATGGAACTAGAGGGTTGTCAAGGTGCCATCTGAAGTACTCTCGACACTGTGATTTATTCGACATAAATGTCTCAGTGATGGGCGAGGGCTGTTGGTCCGATGGAGTTATTTGTTTTCCTGTTGATTGATTTGGCAGGGAAGAACAGTGTCGTGCCTCGTCGCTTTTACATTTTTTACTAAGAAGCTAAGTGAAGTTCTCACATAGATGGACATGATGCATGCGTTTCATGCGCCTGGACGCAGCGTATGCCAGCTTGAGTTGATTTTGAAAGCGGGAAACGAAGAAAACAGGATAGCAACACGAAGAGAATCACAAATCAAATACTGATGTACAATGCTAGTTTCCTGGACTTTGGTATGCACGAATATTTCAGTCATCTATGAGATTTTCGAGTCTGGGCATTGGCACATTCTGTATTGCAATTTCCCTCAAAATTGATCTTTCGAACGCACATGCATCTCACTCTACAGAAGTCAATGGCCAGGAAGTACTCATTGCATTTAAAATGTATGCGTTCCTTACACGGAGCACCAACGAAAAAACTTGGGCATTTAGTTACGACCTCCCATTTCAAGAAGAAACCAAGAAGAAAATTCTAATCCCAATAGTACTCACAAAAGCCGGCTATGTTTCGGGCCAAGCAACATGCAAACTCTCCTATCTCAATATGATGCTCTGGTTCTTCTGGGCGTCGTGCCAAGAGTGGCAGTGCCCAGAGTCTTGGCGGTCGAGTGGGCAACGATCGTCCTAATGCCCCGATGTCCGGCCCCGGGGACACCCTAACTGGCGGTGATCTTGTCCGGTTTATGTGCGTGGTGACCGATCTTGGCGCGTTTTGAAACGGGCTTCGAACGATTTTCCACGTGTAATACGAGTTTGGATTTAAAAACCTGACGAACATATTTCCAGATTGATTGCACCCGTGCTCCCTGTGAGGAACCTCGAGGCAAGAGGGTCCCCAATGGCTATTATCGAGCGAGCCTTGGCACAACGAAACCATGGACGACAATCGGCGGAACTGTAAAGCGCTATGCAGCATAGGTAGTGGAGGAAGCTACAGCGTCTCCTCGTAGGCCAAGACCCCCTTAATTAGCATTTAGCCTTGATTATGAGGTTCGACATAGAGAAAGAGGTCTACCCACCATTCATTTGGTTGAACTTAGTTGAGCACACAGGATATAAGGAGCAGAGTTACCTTCATTGGGATCATAATATGTAAAAACAAGCTTCAATATTGATAATTGACCAACCAATCATTTGACCGCTACACTCGTTTTTGGACAGCGCCCGTTCTTTACCCAGCAATCATGCGTACCGAAGCCTTCAATTTGCTTGCGGCTCTTGCCGTTGCTTTCCCTACCGTCTCTGCCTGCGTTGGCAAAGACGCCCTCCCTACTGCCACCAACACTATCAGCAACTCTGAGCCCATTGAGGTTGCCGCCGGCGAGTCTTACGACGGGAAGCTGGCCCGTTTCGACCGAGGATCCGGTGCCTGCAAGGCACAAACCGAGGGAGGTCAGAAGGACGCCGTTTTCATCCTGCGTAAAGGTGCCACCTTGAAGAATGCCATTATCGGCAAGGACCAGATGGAGGGTGTCTACTGCCTCGGTGGCGGCTGCACCATTGAGAACGTCTGGTTTGAGGATGTCTGCGAGGACGCCATCTCCATGTAACTCGTGCCACTCTGTTAAATAGCCCGGACAATGACATGCTGACTTACTGCACAGCAAGGAAGATGAGGCTGGCATGGAAACTCGCATCATTGGGGGCGGTGCGTACAAAGCCAGCGACAAAGTCGTCCAGCACAACGGCTGTGGCAGTGTTAGCGTAAGTAAAATAAATCATGGCCTCTCTCATGTGTTTTTGTCAGCCTGAGATTGGATTCTAACGAAGATCAGATCTCCAACTTCTACGCTGAGGACTACGGCAAGGTTTATAGAGCTTGCGGCACTGTGAGTAACCCATGACTGATAAAAACTTCCTTGGCCGTTAACTAACAGATGCTCAGTGTAATGCATGCAAACGCACTGTCACCATTGAGGGTGTCTCCGCCTACGGTGGCGGCGAAGTCGCTGGGATCAACGAGGAGACTGGCGATGAGGCCACTCTTGTCAACATCTGCACAGACGCCAAGACCCCCTGTCAGCTATACAACGGTCCTGGCGAGAAGTCTGGTTCTTGTTAAGTAAGCTCAACCAGCACTCTGGTCCACTCAGGGCCTCTGTGTGTCTCTTTGGCACCGGGACGAAGCTTCCTCGGCTACTGAGACTGAAGGCGGGCATGGACGATGGTTCGTGTATGTATTTCTTCCCACAACGTTCATAAACACTTCGATGGCCAGAGACATATAAATGCATTGTGATTGCAATGACAAATGAAAATTTAAATATCTCAATGGATATCGATGGTGATCCGGCGATAGGTAGTCATACATCGACAATCATTTCCTGGGGGCTGTGGCTTTGTTTTGAACAGCTACCACTTCCGTCAGGCTCTGTTTCCAGTCAAAAAGTTGATAAGACGTCCTGCCGAAAAAGTGGAGCAGGGGACTCGTTAATAATACTGATAACGAGCCTGCCTACTTATGGACGAGTATGCGTCTTTAATTCGCCAACTGAGTGTATGCCTTGTTTTGGATCCACTGGTGCACGCGAAGCTGTGAAAGGGATAGATCTACTCAAACGGCTCCCATGTACTGTTTCTCAGCGACTGCTACAGGCTGAGGTCTGGATAGAATGAGCTTCAAGACTAGTAGTAGGCTAGCACCTCTCAACTTTCCTGTGCTGGCTGTGCATCCTTGGATAGGCTTTAAGATGCCCATGATGTCGGAACTGTGTTGCTCCAAAGCACTGCTTTATGCATGGTGCACGAGAAGGGAGGGTTGCGCCAGTTTAGTTGGTAATATGTTCTTTTGAGGTCATTACAAAAGAGACTAGTCGTTATCCCCATTCCATACGCCTAAACAAAGCAACACTCTAGGTATCATGTCTATCCCCGAGTCTACAAATAAAAGGCTCCAATGCTAACCGCCAAACTCCATGCAATGCAAGTGTAAATGCAATTCCCAGACGCCAAGCCTGCGGCGCCTGAATCATCGTCGCTTCCCTTGTCCGAAGAGGAGTTGCTCGGGTTGCCCGAGGACCCCGGTGTAGAGCTCGTCGCTGAACCGACGCCCTGCGACGAAGTAGTGAGCGCGTTGCACGCCGTGCTGTCGGGCTCTCCGCTGCCGACCCTGCCGCCGATGTTGGCGACAACAGCTTCGGAGTCGCGGACGGGGATGCTCGCTTTTCCGTCGCTGCCCACCTTGACGGTGATGTCGTTGTTGGACACTTGGGTCAGCTTTCCGTCGTTGCCCTGCTCGAAGCTGATGCCGTTCCAGGTGGTGCCGCTAGTCGCATCGGCGCCGTCACTGGTCAGGTATGACAGGTGCAGCTCCTGACCGGCGAGGGAGGTGGGCAGAGTCACATCAACGGTGATGCTGCCCTTGTTAGCCTCCGAGACGTTGGCCACCTTGCCATTGATCACGACCAGAGAGGCAAGCGAGTCGCCCTGGTACACGGACCAAGCCTTAATGTACTCGTTGTGGGCGGCGGGGTATTCGGAGATCTCGGCCTGCGCGACACGGGCAGTGCACGACCTGCCGATGGTTTGACCAAAGGCAGCCATGCCGTAGTAGAGGGGTCGAACGAACCGGTCGCGTCCGAACATGGCCGTCGGCTGCCAGGCGCTGGCGTTGCTGTCGAACGTCATGTGGAACTGAACAGACGAGATGTTGATTGTGGCAGCGTAGAAGAGGAAGTTGAGGGTCCAGAGAGCGGAGGCGAAGGTGTTACTGAGTCCCTCAACGCCCAAAGGCCCGACGACGGACATTTCTCGCAGCGCGAACGGGTGAGTAGTCTGTTCGGCCTGAGTGATCTGGGCTTCGATAGCCGAGTCGAATTGGGCCTTGGTCGTGTCAAAGCGCATCATGTAGTCGAGAGTCAATGGGTAAGGGAAGGATCCGACAAAGTAGTAGTAGTTGTGCTGGTTCCAGCTCGTGATGTAGCCAACGTCGGAGTTGTTGGCCGTGTCGTCGATTCCATTGCTCACCAGGTCTTTGATCTCGAAGCCGGTGCCGGCGACCCAGGCCGTCGACGCGGAGGCTTCGAAGAAGTTGCTGTGCAGCCCGCGCGGCTCCAGGACTTGCCCCCACACGGCGTCGGCGCGCTCCCGCCATTCCTTGACGTACTCGGACCCCGTCCACGAGCTCGTCCGGAACCCGTTATTGCCGTAAAGGTCTGGCTCGTTTCCAAATTCGAAGGACATGAGGTTAAGATTCGTGCATCGATCGATGATCTGGGAGACCATGGTGGTGAGCTGTTCGAGGTAGTCGGACTTGTCGTATCCCATGTTCAGGCCCCAGGTAATGGGTGTGCCTTTGGGCATCCGGTTTGCGATTTCCATGAAGCGGGGGCCGATAATGAAATTGTCTGCAGGGACATTGCCTGCTGCGGTCGGCCGCGGGTTCGCCTTGATGAGCCATTCGTCTTGCGAGTCGTTGTAAACCACGTAGTCTTGTGTGTTTCCGCCCAATCGCACGTACGGTGGCCGGCCGGTGAAGTTGGCCAGGTTGCTGAGGAGGTTGATAGAGAGGTCATTCGGCGTCTCGTCGCCCATGAAATAGAAGAGGTGATCGAGCTCAATGCCAAAGCCGGCGAAGGAGGGGTCAATGTTAGCCGAAACATTATTAGGGACCTCTTCGGAGAGCGTCAGCGACAGGACGTTATCGGCGGCGAGCGCGGCGGAGATAAGACCGCAGCCCACTAGGAGGCGACTCTGCAACGGCACCATGTTGGGCTAGCTGCCGGTGGTTGAGAGTGGCTTGAATTCAGGTGAGCGGGCTTGGGGGTAGGACAATGGTGTGGTCCCGGGAACATCGTGAGAATCCAGCAAGAGGCGGGACGGTCAAACGACTTTAAAGGACGTTTGGTCGTGGGAGCTTGACTAAAGCAGTTTCATCGACCACACACACCCATTTCATCATTGTAGTGGATCACCGAGTCGGAGCATTTGGGGGCCTCGTGCATGCGTCAGTCCAAAACCCTTGCTGGAAGCTGGTACCAAGACTGGGCGTTTGCTCCAGTCTGACGCGTACTACGTAGGTCGACTGGCAAAGGGCTGTGTTTGGAGGGAAGAGACTGAATGATGCCGAGTAACCCAGTTTTCTTCCCGCTCCGCGTGGCAGATCTGTTTTGGGGACACCTCACCGAGGCCATTGGAGAAAGCCACAGCGCTATGAGAGCCTAGACCACGCGCCGCGAGAATGCCATGCCTGTTTAGGCCTCTTCGATGCCGTTGGTACCGTGATTGCGATAACCCGTCGGTGGGTTGATGACATCAGGGATAGGTTGCACGCCCTGCTGGCTCAGTGGGCCAAGCGTTGGCGGAACTACTTAGTACATATGGACACTAGCAGATTTGTTCTCGCCCCGCAGAATGTGCGTGGGCAGCAAGGAATGCGTGCGGTGATGTCAAACAGACGTTGGTTTGTGGTTTGCGCAGAGACGACACAGACGGGCCGCAGAACAGACAAGCTTGCAGGGATGAGGATGACTATTCGGCTCGTTTCGGTGTTCTTTGGGGAGGCCGATAAGATTGAGCGCTTGGTGTGCTGTTCCTCCAGCCGGTTGCGGTTAGGAAAAGTGCCAACGGTCAGCGCAACAAGCCGCACCATAACCCGACGCAACAACCCGGATCGGATAGCGTGATGCACCGCAAAGCCCGCGGGAAATTCGATAACCACTGGCCTCTTTGCTGTTCGTCGTGCGGCGTCGCATCAAGTCTCTAATTTTTCCCGTTTCCTGCAGGAACAATGGAGCAGCGTGCCGAATACTGTCGATCTGTTTTTTGTTATCCTAAAACGAAATTAGAAACAGTCTGCTCCACCGCCTGCTGAGGCGGTATGGCTCTTTGAAGGAGATTTACAATGGACCTGCTTATCAGGAGATGGAGTCGAGACTCTTTACGCCGGCATGTCAAACTAACGCAAACGCCAGAACAACAAAGTTTTGCGACTCCTCCTTGCGTTGCGACTCTTCTGACCAACGAGGAGATGGCTGGGAACAGGCGGAGGATTGGGAACAATACTGCTAGAGCGAAAACCCCATGTCGACATGTAGCTGACGTCAACTTGATGCAGGGGATGGGGCGGTTATGGTCACCAGGCTGTCCCTGTTTTTGCAATTCGCCAAGTAGAGAAGCGTCACAAACGATAGCATGCGCGCTGCACGAAACGCCAACACTCTTTCCTCATCTCTTTGGTGGGCTCGTTTTTGCGACAACGTGACGACGTTCTGGCCACGCTGACCTAGGCGCGAACGTCCAACCGTCGGCGCCTCGGCTGACGAGCACACAAACTCGGCCAACAGGATGCGCGAAATAGCGCTCATGTGGGGAAACCAAAGGTTTTGTTCAGAGCGCGGTACACGATGCGGCTAGAAAATCAAGAAAGCCAAAGAATTGAAAAAGTATGTTTATAACTTGTGTTTGAAAGCCCCTTAGCAAAGTAGAAAAAGGCCACGCCACGGGTTTCGGGCGTCTGTCTGCCTTTCAAGTGCCAACATTCATCGCTACACCGTATCAGAACGAGCCCACGCTCGGCATCCATTCCGGCAAGCGCTTGGGAGCCGGGAAGATGACTTGCAACTTGAAGAGTGACATGGCCGGCCTTGAGATCTGCTGGTCTCCACAACAATGACTCTGTCTTACCCACTGCCCTACCACGTAATGGTAGCCTCCGCTTCCAGCTCCATTGCTCCCGCACCAAAGACGAGTCTTCCTGTGTCTCATTCGTCTCGCCGTCCTGTAAACTTTTTCCTCGGGGTCGTGTTTTCTTGCATGCTCATCCGGGATCCACCTATGGCGCCGTGCCTTGGCAGGCCGGCTCGCATCACCCCCCGATGATTGGAGCTCCGTGCCTATCCGGGATTATTATCATGATTTCTTCCTGCAAGTCTGCGGAAACCCGAATCTGGCCAAAAGGGACCGGATCGTCGGATGTGCCGGCTGTGCATGCCAATCCGGCCGACGGAATGTTCGCAACAGGACCGGTCCCGCATCCGGGCATGGCCTGTGCATGAAAGGGCACACTAGGAGTACAGAATTACCAAATTGAGGTTAACCTATTGATTGATTCTTAGAGAAAAGAAGAAAAAGTATCCCGGAGACACCCAGCTGGGCGATTGGGGAGAATCAATGCGCCTCTCGATGAGGTCTCGCTCTACCCTGCTAACTGACGTTACCCTGTCTGTCAAACCTAGGTGTAGGCTTTACACTTCCTCATTCCGCCCTACAAGATCCAGATCGGGATATGTGATTGCCCTTGTCTTACATGAAGTTATACTTCGCGGCAGCTAAACTGTCTCAAAAAGGCGCTAAAAATACCTCAATGCTTGGATAGCGAGAAATTTAGGCTGCTCACCTGACGTTCCGACCGCATTCGTCAAATGCGTCGCAACCAAGTATGACTCCACAATGCACCTTTTGTAAAATTACTGGTGACAGACCACGTTTGAGGCAGCAATACAGTAAGCTTTGTTCGAGTTGTCTTGTATTAGATAGTATCACAATGGGCTGCTTGGCACCCTTCATGAGCTACTCTACGAGGGTGTGTCCAGAAGCCATCTCTGCAAAGTCTCTAGTAGCTTAACAGTACTTACAGGCACCAGTCGGGCAGTAACCGTGACTGCAGCTGAAGCTGCAGAGTCCTTTGTAGCTGTCATCCAGACCATCAGCAGGGCAGCCGTCGCGTCCGTCTCCACCGGGGCTCGTCGTCTGCTGGCCATACGCTGAGCACTCGCACACGCCGTCAGGGCAGTAACCGTTGGAGCACGAGAAATCGCAGAGACCGGTGTAGTTGTCCGACAGGCCAGACTTGACCGTGCCGGCGACGCAGAAAGAACCGGTCGAGGTGGGTGCGGGGGCGGTGGAGGTGGCCGTCGCCGTGGGAGCCGGCGCGGATAAGACGCACTTCTCCTTGATGTAGGCGGCGGCATCGCTGGTGTAGAGCTGGAAGTAGTTGGTGTGGGCGGTCTCGTTCGTAGTGCGGCCCGCTTCGTACGCGCAGATATTGTCACCGCCATTGCACCAGGACCGCAGGACGCTGGCGAAATTATTCAGGTTCGCGATAGAAGAGCTAGGGCGGGTCATCTGGCCGCTGGTCCCGGAGCCGGCCTCGACGTTATAGCTCTGGTCGGCGACGTGCGTCGGGTCACCAAAGAGTAGAGCGGCGCAGACTGTCGCGGTAAACGTGAGTCACTGATCTATCTGCTCGGCGGTTGTGGAGAGGCCTTACCCTTGTCTCCAGGAAGAGTGTTGGCAGCCAGTCCGGAATCGGCGAGAATGTTCGCAACAATGTTGGCACCTTCGCTGTAGCCGCTCAGAACAACCTTGGAGTTGGGACACTTCTCAGTGTACGCGTTGAGCTGTGAGACGCCAGAGGCGCGGCCCTGCTCAACCGCGCTGGGGTAACCCTGCGGGTTGGTCGCATCGAACTGGATATCTTCATAATCGCAGCTAGAGAGGCCATTGCAGGTAGCGTCGATGATAAGCTGCTGCCGGCCGGGGTAGCCTTCGTTCCACCCGCGGGCTAGGAAGATGTGCAGGTCTGTGCAGGATCCGGAGCCGGTTGACTGGCGCTTCCCGGGGGCTGCGGACGCCAGGAGGAAGAGGTTGAAGAGGGCGGTGGCCTTCGGTGATAACATGATGGCAGATTAGTATTAAGGCGTTATAGATGGGCTGAGATATCCTTAAGCGAGTGACAGGGTTGACGAGAAGGCCGTAAAGGAGCAAGAAGGTGTGGGAAAGGAGGTCTGGGGAAGACGGAGTTTTTATCCATCCCATCTTTGCGGCTGACTGTGGATTGTGGGATGCCGTGGCAGGCCACTTGTCGCATCTAGACATATCTAGATTAATCCCCTGATGCTTCTCGCTCCGCCGAGTAAGCCGGTAACAGGATAATTGTGGGTTACGTCGGACCTCAAGTTCCAAAACAGCAAAAACCCGCGATTTGGCGCAACTGCAGGGGTGCGTTGGAGGGACGTGCATAGGCTTGTTGCTGGGCAATACGAGGAAGGCATCGAAGCAACGCAAAGCTCACCGTTAGTCTAGTGGAGGCCATAATGTGATACTTATGCAGCCTTCAGAGAGGGGCGCGGCATTAAGACGGGGCGAACCAAGATGAGTTTCTACTATGTACATAACCGAATGTTGTAGTTGTTTATAAACAGACAGGGCTGGACGCGTTACATGATGTACGTACAAACCACCTACCCAGCCACCGAAGCCAAGCATGCATGTGTGAAATTGCAACATCGGTAATTGAAGTGTTGCAATTCGAAGGCACTGTGGCACTCTATTCCCCAACCCCGAAAAATCCTCTACCCACTGTTACGTCCGCACTGATATCAGCCCAGTAAATGCCGGAGACAACGCTCTCTGTAACTCTTACGTTTTCCTCGCTTGTTAGGCTGATATCCCCACCAAACACAAAAATTCTTGCTACTGGCATTTCCGTCCATCGACTTACGTTGACAACAATTTTGTCAATCGTAGTTCAGTCAAGGAATGTGTAAGGCTGAATCACCTTTCACTGCTCCACTCGGTCACTGCACCACTCCGCGATGGGTCGGGGCTCAAACGCCCCGCACAGCCAGTAACAGCATGTTGAACAATGACGAAAAGAATCGGGGAAACCCCGTAGATCATACACACGATCCCTTATAGCACAGCCCACGGCGCTGGTGGACCAAACCCACCCACATCATCATATACCGGCTACTATAGTGAGCGTCCGAATTCTCCGTCTTCAATCACAACACGCCATATTTTCATTCTATCTAGACCCCTCGCGTCTCTTCCAAAGTGATGACAGACGAAGTAGCTCATGAGGCAAAACGAAAGGCCCTCAAATTGATCTGCAGTCAACAGCCAACTATGACATTGATCTTACGATGTGCTGTTCCTACCAGTATATCGAGTATCACTTGGCGGTATGAACTAAGGCAAGCCCTGCGAGTACGGAGGCTGAAGCAGGTCAAATGACTATACTAAGCAAATATGGATCTTGTCAAGGAGTGTAGATGTAGTGAAGCACAGGTAAGGATTCAAGGTCCGTCTCAAAGGCGTTCCAACGAGGCTATTCGGAGCATCAGCTCTCGGGAATCAAGCATACCTTTCCGGAAGAACCACAAAACAAGTTTGGTGCAATGCGACCTCCCTTGTATGGCCCTCAAGCTCTGCACGCCTGCAAAGTTTTATGACGAATGCTGGACTCCCGATTTAGTTGCGACTCATTAATTGTGGGTCTTCCTTCACATGGATACCGTCGACAGGGGTCAAGAGACTGGCATTTTGCTATCTGGACATCTCACCACAGGTCAAACTGTCAGAGACAAACTCATCGTGACGTTCCCATCCATCGCTCTTACTCAAAAAAACTTATGGCACGCCTGTGACTAGTTCTTCCCAGAACAAGTGTCAAGAAGACTAAGTTAGGAGGTGCAACAGTGTAACTATCACCGTCACCTCCGTCGCCCGCCAGAGGTTAGTTCTCCCTTTTCACACTTCATGAAGCCAGTTTCCAAGAGAGAAGACTGGCTGCACAGAACAACCGTAGACTTATACGCCTTGTCACAAATGAACTGTTTTGAGATATCGACAAAAGGGGGCTTGTTCCTTGATTCCGGAGTCGTCAACTGTCTAGAGCGCGATCGACACATTGTAATGGGAGCGAGGTTTCATGGTATCTGTTAGTAAAGTGCTTCGCAACGACGCCCAGATTGACATTAGATCATCTTCACAATTAAGAACGGGATAACTATGGGGAACAAGTCACACAGTATCTGCAAGTCTGGACACACATCCGAACACACAAACAACTCGATAATTTACAACTGCACACAGGCTTCGGTTTTACCAATCAACTTTAACTTGCATACTGTTTCTGTAAAAAATGTTTATAACACGAATCAAACTGCGCGATCCTCCCGTTGAGAGTTTCTATGCTGTTTATATCGTGTACGTGTTGGCTGATGGGGCAGAGACTCTCTCTCCGCTACACCATGGTAAGCAGTCTGTTGAGTTGCGTAGGAACTGCTGCTTCGCCCGCTAGGAGTGCGCTTCTCTGACGTTTCTTCGCTCGTTTGTCCCCATCCACCAGATCTTGTGAACACCAAGTCCCGGTACTCTGTACCGTCTTCTGGGAAATAGTCTAGTTGATCGCGTCTCTGAAGGGGGATATGGTTGAAGCGCCAATCCCAAATAGCGGCGTAACATCCGCGGTAGGAGCCAAACGCCACAGCAATTCCAATGGCACTTCCAGCTACTATGTCATACCAGTTGTGAGCCTGATCAATGGTTAGAGAACAGGCGATAAGCAATGCCCCAAGGAGTGGAGCGAAGGTAAAGGCGATCTTCCAGAGAGCAGGGCGATAGTCGGCCCACACCTTCAGCTTGGCGTTTAGGTACAAGAATAGATAGACGTAGGCTGCAAATGCGGCGGTGGAGTGGCCGGAGGGGAAGGATGTCATAGCATTTTTTAACTTGATTGGGTCCGGTTGAGTGCAGACGTCAACCGAGTACATGACCTGTTGGAAGCCCACGGCGTTGAGCCCGGTCACATTGTTGGTGGCTGCCCGAGAGATATCTGGCATACAAACTGCGAGGAAGTAGGGTCGAAATCCGCCAATGAGTTGCTTGATGACAACCTGAATCAAAGTTCCAAGTGAGATTGAAAATATGAGGCCAATAATGCCGTTGTTCATGTCCCAGATGCTCCTTACTCGGAATTGAGCCAGTATAATCACAACGATTGGGATGATGGCGGATAGCAGTGCGGATAACCAGGTGTCGATAATCCAGCCGCGGTCCGGATATGCGAATTGCGGATAGACAATATCACCCGAGCCGTTGAAAGTGATAGGGAAATTACGAACTGCTGCCAGAGGAGCATTGTAGATCTGTCAGAACGTGATCAGCTGCTGTCCCACAAGTCGTCGCTTCATCCTAACTTACGCCGAGAGCGGCACCGCCCAACGCGGACATGACCAAAATGTCAAACCAAGTGAGCCGAAGCCATGCTAGAAAGAACTCCCATGAAGCCCTCACTGAACGAATGGTGTCGCGAGTAAATTCGGGCACGGGATTGTGGTCATCGCCATGGATCTGCTGCATGCGACTGCGTTGACGCATGGTGTAGATAGGTAAGTCTGTAGAGCAAGACTATTTGGGTAGATGAGCTTTTGCGTTTGTTATGCTGGATCTGTTCACAAAGGAGCCGTTTACTTGAGAGGGTACATGTATGGAGGAACATGCACTGTTGTGAGAAAATCAAAATATAGTGAACCTGGAAGCTCCTGTATCCATCTAGTGAGGGGTCATTCAGACACAAGTACCACACAAGGTCTGGGTCGTCCCATCATTTGCGCTCAATATGTCATAGCTGGCCACAGCGCACGGTAGACGCGTTGTCGTTCTGATACGAACGGGTCTGAGCATTCTCTCTCGCTTGTGGTTCGGCGTTCTGGGCGGGATAGCTCAGTCAGCCGCACGGCGTTCAGTGGACAGGAAGTTTAGATGAGGACCTGGTGCAAACTTTCGACATGGGGAGCTGCTTATTGATGGACCAACGACATTGTAATGGCGAGCCAAGCTGCTCCAGATGCACGGAACTTGTAACTCAACTTGTTTGGCGCTTATTACAACTTCTAGAAAGCTCTGTTGACGAGTTAATTATCCGATCAATTGATATGATGCGTTCGCGTTGCAGCATCAATGGATGCAAGCTTAGTGGAAAGATGTCCTCATGGCTTTTGAGACAACGATCTCTGCTGCTTTGATGCATGGACATTTTACAAATTGGCGAGAAAACGGTTCGTACTATGTTGTCCACGAGGACAAGCTCCCTGATCCTACGTATGTTACCGCTCTGGTTTGATGGCCGGGGTGATCTTGACTCTGTCCCCTGTAGCCGTTTGAACAAAACCAGACCAAACCTCATCATCTACCAAGAACGCCTCGCCATTTCCAACACGAAGCCTTAGCTCCCCACCATTTCTTGCTGTCACAGTCGCGCCTTTCAACGCTCCGTCTTCCCACTCAATATCAACTACGAAATTTCCTCGTGCGACCAAATCTGTCGCCTTGCCATTTGGTATAGCTTCAGCTGGCAATGCGAGAAGAATATGTACGACGTCCGCGTGGCTCTGGAGAAGCATCTCGGTGACCCCACTGGTAAATCCGAAGTTTCCGTCGATCTGGAAAGTCTTTCCATTGTCTGTATTCCAGAGGTTCGCCGTGGGAAAATTGGCAAACCAGCCCTTAACTTCCTTCCAAGCATCGGCACCACGGAAAGCTCTTGCATACATGTTGGTCATCCAGGTCCGGCTCCAACCTGTGCTCCCCGAGCCAGCTGCCCTGCCACGGTCCAAGAGTATCTCAGCTGCTTTGCTAAGTGTGCTATTAACTAGGGGTGAGAATTGCTTTCCTGGGTGCAGGGCATATAACGGTGAAATGCGTCTGTGCGCAGCATCTTTCTCTTTGTACTCATAGCGCCATTCTAGAATTTGACCTTGAGAGCCAACTTGAGCAGGCTTGATCAGCCGAAGAAACTCTTTGGCTTTTATGAGGTCAGGATTTGAGTCAGGTATCTCGAGGATTTTCGCAGCTTCTATGATGGCACTGAAAACATCGTGCATAAGCTGATTATCCATCGGGATGTCGATGTCCATAGGTTCGGCGCGCCCCGCAACACTGAAGTTACCCGGCACAATGAAGTTATTTTCAGGTGAGAGAGAAGGGCCTGTGACTCTCCGACCTTCATGCTCGAAAGTGTAGCATTCATAGAACGTGGCGACATCGATGAGACACGGATAGGCGATAGTGGAGAGAAAACTCTTGTCACCCGTGAATCGATAGTGGTCGACCATGTGCTGAACCAACCAGGCCGCTCCCATGGGCCACATTGTTGAAGAAGTGTAATTATTAGTTGCTCCGGGGTCGCCCCAAGATCCAGATTGTGGCGAAACATGATTCCGTCGCAGCCATACATGCGCTTCGCCATCTCTTTGCCTGGGGAATTGGCAATCTTCATGAGATCGAACAGTGGCTCTTGGGTTTCAATTAGGTTGGTTTGGCCCGCCAGCCAGTAATTCATCTCCGTGTTGATATCGATGGTGTATTTCCTTCCCCAAGCGGCTGTTGTCTTTTTGTTCCCAATTCCTTGCAGATTCGCAGGCAAATCAATGTCCGCCTCTATGTTCCGAGACGCTGCAACAAGCATATGACGACCGAAGTTCCAGACAAGAATAGTGAGTCCAATGTCTTTGCTGTCGTTACGTGCCAAAGCAACACGCTGGTCTGTGGGTATAGAGGCAAGACCGCTTGGGGACTTGCCCAGGTGGATAGAAGCGCGTTCTAGCGGTTTTGTTGAATCGGCAAGAGCTTCTTCTCGCAGCTTTTCATAGCCTTGGGAGGTCGCTGCATCGAGTTTGCGCTTGATTACAGCGTCCCAGTCCATTTGGGAAGAATACCGATAGTTGCTCTCGGCATCGAAAAACACATCGATCGTCGTCGCCCCATTTATCGACACTGTTGAACCGGCAGCACTTACTTCAGCTGTAATGCATATTAGCCCAAAACCACCAATTTGAGAGTAAGTGGCTTGCGGTATACCCCCAGGAGCGGTGAAACAGGCTTGACCCATGAACAAAATGGAGTTTTCTTCCAAGGACTGTCCGCTTGAACCCATCATGCTTATAGAGTCGACGACGCCAGCTGTAGAAGCAACATTAACAAGAACATTTGCCAGTCTGCTGAAACTGGCGTTCAAGTTCAAAGCTCCTTCTTCGCTTGATGTAAATCTAGCAGCAAGAGCCCCCGCAGGGCAGCTCGCAACATACTCTCGACTGCCTCAACAGATAATCAGTATCCGTAGCTTTTGGAACAGGCTTGAAGAATATTACGTGTAGTTCACGCCATCATAAGAGTAATCGACGCCGGAGTTTCCGCGTCCAGTATCTAGCCATCGAATATAGTTGTCCAATTCATTGGTATGTCCGAAATTGAAGTCGAGGTTTCCAAAATACCCAAACTGTCGCTCAGACTGCTCGGCAGGGGTCATGTTCCGCAGGACTAGTTGCCCCCCTTCAGTGATTTTTCCAGCAAGAAACAGCTCGCGAGCAATCGGTAGGGCGGCTAGGGCGTTTGGTGGGGTGCGGTCTTGAATAGGACCAGACCAGATGGAGTTCTCGTTCAGGGTGAGAGTCTCATTAGCGCCGCCCCAGACAGTGCCTCCAAGGCGACCGTTGCCGATGGGGAGTGCGCCTTGTTCCCATTCTGTCGTTGGAGTTTTATACCAAAGGAATCGACTTCCACCAAGTACTGCGAGCACGTTGATTGTGGTGCCCATAAGGATGACCTTTGCGAAGAAACGTGACCTACGCATCGCAAACGAAGTCATCAAACTGTCTAGGATATATCAGACGTTGGTGGTGTTTTGTTATGGCAGGTAAGTATCAGTGAGAGAATACAGATTCATGCTGTTTGTAACAGTCACATCTTCACGCACTCCGGCTGTTGCAGACTTCGCTACTAATATAACCTTATTGCAGGGGAGGTTTTTCCCGATTGATCAGCACACGCAGTGGGGAACTAAGAATCAACGCTTGGCGCAGAGCGTGAACCAAGAGTGATATCGCTTCTGGTGTGCAACCATTTGGCTGATCGTGTTCAGATCGAAGACCATACTCGTGGAGAATTTCTGAGTGACACACATGCAGCATAAGATCACCAATAGTCCGCCGGCAATAGGTAGTCTCCCCGCTGGATAAATGACCTATGTAAAGGGCTTCTGCTGAATGACTTGACTCCGAACAACACTCGCCTATCTGACCAAAAAGGGAATCCGACCAGTTCAGCACCACTTGCTTAACAAGTATTCCTTCGCATCTGTGTGCAGATCAAAATCCAGCTCGGTTTGTCTGCGCTATGTCCGCAATGTCACTGCGTTTTTTTGTCCTAGGAGAAAGGAAGATTGTCCTTAGAAGTTGGCCTCTGGCGCTTGTCATTATTGTTTCCTCTATCTATCAGAACAGTGTCATTATCAAATATCATTGGGAAATACCCATACAAAACACCACGCATCTCTTGACGTGTGTATAGCTCAGGTTAAACTTTATTGTCTGGTTTCACCTCGAATGTGGCCGTGACAATGATCCCTTTGTGCTGTCCGCTCGACTTGCTGTTCAGGCTTTCATCACGGCCGCTATTTGAAGACCAATGCATCGGCTCGGAAGGCTTAACAATCTGCTCTTCGCTCGAATTGTTGTCCAGCTCGGTCATGTTGTACTTGTTGTATCGTCTTTTGGAAGGTAGCCCGGATCGGTCAACACTCTGTCTGCCTCCTATGGTGATTAGTTGATGGCCATACTTGTCGCTGAACCCTGTGTATTTCTGCTTCGCCCCGCTGCTCCCTTTTAAGTTCTGAGCCAGTGTGCGGAACAGAAGAGGGGCCTGATGCAGGCCGCATTCACCGCAATGATTCCGACGAACTATAGAAAGGGAGTGATGTTAGCCTAACGAAGTTTCCAGCGACTGCTTGTTCATTAAGCTTGAGTGTGGAATTGTGCATAATGTTTCTCGGATGGCCCATATGGTGCTGACATTGATGCCTTCGATATCTCTTAGTGATAAGATGCAGCGAAGAAGAGCTGCAATCATCACAAAAATTCCCGAGCAAAGCAGAACACCAATTGCTAACTTTCTCTTAAGACTGAGTTTAACCGCCCAGAGCAGAGGTAAGGGTATTGACACAATGAGCATGTCCGTACTGCAATTGATCTAGTCAGTAGTGGGTGTTGAAGGCTGAGTTGTCTCTTTACTTACGATATGTTGAGCACTACCAACGTCAAGTAGTTGGCCACAGCCAGTGTGCACTCGTCTGAAGGAAGTGTTAGCAGACGTTTCAGATTCTCCCGCATGCTGAAGTTTGCGTACCTCCTGGGTAAGGAACAACCTGCCAATTCCTCTGGACTGGAGTACAATGACTCCAGATGACAATCAACACTCCGCAATAGGCCAATATTGTTAGCCCAGCTGTCCACCTGACAATTTTCTGCTGTCTTGTAGCAAGCCTAGTGCAGCTTGTCAGTCAAGAGGATACGGACCATAGGTGCCAAAGAAAAGCAGATACTTACGTGATGCGACTAAAAAAGAATATAATGCAAGCTTTCAAGCACCAGATAAGAATAACATAGAAGTACCAGCCCGCCAGCAGACATTTCGAGCCGAACTCAAACTTGGCTATCTCTTCAGGCATCAAGGTAGCACCAATTTCGTCCGTGATTCCAATGTTGGTTCCGTTTTGGCCTGCGCTGGCATGTGAAAATCAATCGCAACAATGACGGGAAGAGATCATACCTATGAGCTCCAGCATACATAGCTCAAGCTGGTAGAAGAATTAATCAGAGGTCGGTCCATTTGTGACGGGATCTCAAACTCATAATCACGAGCCATCTATACTTACAGTCCAGAAAATAAGGCAAAGGATGGCGAAGTAGTCATCGCCTTGCCAATGGAACCCAACTATCTTCCAACGCGCAAATATTCGGAGCAGAATGACCAAGACCCTGACCCCATAATCCGTCCAGGCTTCTGTCTGGAAAGGTGTTGCCATCATGAGCGTGGTGAAAGGAGCGAAAAGGCTAAGATGGTCAGACACTCTTGCAGCTTCAGGAACAATCGAGGTGTGTATCGGAAGCGTCTCTGTGCCTCGACAGTGATGGGACGTCTTGGATTAATAGCGCTTTATCTTGAGTGACTCTTGGCTTATAATTACGCACAGAGCGCCTCATACGTTTGGGTGACCCTTGAATCTTTTCGCCCCTGCCTATGATGGATATCGGCGTAGTGCAAAAAGACTTGACTATCATGGTGTGTACAAACGTGACATTACCCCCTGACCAGCAATGCCTAGGATTATGTCCAAGAAGCCAGGTACATCTGAACCAAACGATCGACATAAGTGAAGGCCTACTTTTTGAATCATCCTCCGTCCCAGCTGAATATCATAGCGGCGAATTCAAGCTAGGTGCAGGACGCAGCCAGGCAGCATGTTGGCTTTAGGAGTATCGAAGAGAGCAACCATCAGTAAGCCTTCTTCTCCACACGCCTAAATTTCACAACTTGTCATGGTTTCCATGTACAATCCGGCATCCCTTTTCCAGGTTGGCCTTGGCTATTCAAGCATAATGCCCCTGGGCGACTTTCGCTAGCTATGAGGCTCAGCACCCGGAACCGAGCCCGAGAAGGTCGCAAATCCTCGAAACACAACATACGGAGTAGACATTTGCCTTTTCAGCCAAGACGTTGTCCCCTTGCGATTGAACTTTCGGTACATATCCTCAGCCCATACCGTCCTAGTCGATAGGCGTTTTGAAAGTCAGCACCTTAAAAGTGTAGTATCTTAAAATTGAAGACCAAACATGCTAGTTTGAAGCCCTAGCTGGCGCAGGAAATAAATCATCTTTCGAGAACACTTTTGCCAAGTGCCCCTACATAAGAGGGGTGTGGCTCGCAAGGGTTCAGAAACGCATATACGTGATGGAGAACACATCATCCTAGTATAGTATCTTCAGCCACAATAGACGCGCGTGACAGAAGTTCATATTCTACGTTTCACTACCTAGGTTACATATTCCCATGGTAAAGAGTTTGTTGTTGGATTTGCCTGCGGGATTGGTTCCCCATCGGGAACACTCCAATCCCTGACAAACGCCTATGGAGCAAGTATCTTTACAATATGACCCACTTTTTCTCGGCCTAAAGGATGGTCTGCCAGGGCTTGATGAATGATTTTGAACGTGCCGCTCCCGTCCGCTTCCACCCGGCCCCATTTCCCGATGCTAGCAGTAATGCTCTTTGTAATGATCACACTGGGGCCCCAGGGGCTCAGGGTCTGGTACCCCTCTGGATGCAGTCAACTATCAACAGGTTCTCCGCAAGTCAATCGCTCGACGGCTTTATCGCACAATGCGTCAGTCGCAATGAGCTGTGACGAAGCTCTTTTACCATCTCAATTATCTTCTAGAACTTCGGCTCTTAAGCAATGACACCACAAAATTTGATGTCAAAATCGAGTCGTGATCAAATATTTCGATTGTCGTCGTATAGTAGAATATGAAGATGCAACTTTCCACTTGCTGTGCTGCACCCACACTACGGTGGCAAGGTGGGCAAGTAAAGATGCTTATGGTGAACCTTGTGATGATTCTCCTGAGCTACAATGCCAAGCTGGATCGTCGGTCTCAGAGGCTGCAAAGCTCGAGTGTCGGGCCGCAAATGTTGGACTGCGAATGTGAGACATAACTAACTCCCAGTGCTCACAGTCAACAGTGGGTTCCCCATTGGTCTCTAAGTCCTCACTACGATGATCATCATTCGGCAATTGTCCGTGCATAATCTCTGCTAACCAACATGGAGTCCAGTCCTAGCAAGCATACATCTGCACCAGAGGTTAATAGCGCAAATACAGGGTTCGCAATACTAATCTGGCTAATTCATATGTTGGAGTCCCCGAAAGACCCTCACAGAACCCTCGTTTCTATCTTCTTACTCGGATGGGGAGGGACTGATCGTTCGCCCGAGAGATCCACCACCAACAGTACTGTTTTGAGTTTGCGAGAACCCTGGGCTATAAGCCAGCCAATGTGGGGAAGCTGGGCCGGACACTTTCTGCCGCGACAGCTTCTCCTGTACCCCAAGCTCTCACTAGTCGGGTTCGTACAACAAAGTCATTTAGCTTACGTAGGAGTACCCTGTTGTCATGGTAGTACAACGGAGCAATTTCCTTCTTTGGTTTGCCGAGATATCCTTGGCAGCGGCGTTGACTTCCTGCACCTGTTCTAATAGGGAGTCATTACATGTGTGCTAACACTGACATTGGCGGCTGGCATGCAGGTAGGCGTTGCCCAAAGAGTGCGACTCGGGGAGAAGTCCTGAAGGACAGACGGTTGCTGCATACAAGAAGACTGGCCCGAGCTGTTGATAGAAGCTCACTAGTTCGCTCAGTTTTTCCTCCAAAAGCAAGACTCATTATTTATCATCGTCAAGTAATTCAGACAGCTCCCAGCGTAACCGTGAGTATGGGGTCCATACCAAAAGACATTACTTACGACTTTGTCATTTGCGGGTGAGCACTGTACCTATCCGGATCAAGCTGTGAAGCACTTCTTCACTATCCCCCGGTGATTGACTTTGTTTTTTTTAGGGGTGGTACCTCTGGATGCGTTGTTGCAAGCCGCCTTGCTGAGATTCCAGGGACCAGTGTTCTGGTCATCGAAGCTGGTCAACACAACGAACATCTCGAGAATGTTCACATGACAGGAGGGTAAGGCTCTGACCACCTAACGTCTCAGTGTGACCATTCTGGCGCGACTAATGCCCCTCTCCTACCCACAGATGGTCTCAACTCTTTGACAAAGGAACCGATTGGAACGTCGTCAGTGAAAAAAAGCCTGCTGTGAACAACCGGCAGGTGAAGCTTAGCCGCGGCAAGTTCCTTGGCGGCTGTTCCGGCTGTAACGGCACTCTTTGCATCCGTGGCGCGAAGCAAGACTATGATGATTGGGGAATCGATGGTTGGGCCGGTGAAGAATTCTTTAAATACATTCGCAAGGTCAGTTCATTTGGGATCAATCCCCAACTTAAGAGTATATGTTTCTTCCACCATGATGTATTTAGCATTCAGCAGCTGCGTTGTCACAGATCGCTTCATTGGAATAACTGCTGACTTTCTTGACAATCATGGTAGGCAGAGAAGTTCCACGGAAAGTCTTGGTTCAAAGCTTCCGGCGACCATGGCACCGACGGCTACTTGAATATTGAACCTCACGACCTCGCTCCTATTTCCAATCTCATCATGGACTCGATGGTCTCCAAGGGGCTACCTCTCGACCATGACATGTTTTCCCACGGAAACAACCCTCACGGATGTGGACATGCTCCCAGAACAGTACACAAGGGCTTGCGAAGCACCGCCGCGGACTTTCTTACCAAAGAGAACAAGAAAGACAATCTCCATCTAATGGTTGAGACGCATGTCGAGAAGGTCATAATCGAGAACGTGGAGGACGAGCTCAAGGCAACTGGCGTTAGAGCTGTCAAGGCAGATGGCTCCGTCGTTGAGATCAAAGCCCACAAGGAGGTGATTGTTAGCGGCGGTGCCTACTGCAGCCCCAATATCCTGAATCGATCCGGCATAGGTGCGAAGTCAGAGCTGGAGGCGTTTGGTATTCCGACCCTATTGCACTTGCCGGGCGTTGGTAAGAACCTTATGGATCATCTTGTGAGTACCTCTATCCATAAATATTTATTGCACCCAAGTTGCTGATGAGTCCGTTTCTCTTAGATCGTTTTCATGTTCTATGAGACCGAAAAGGCTGGGCTTACGAACGATCATCACGTCTACCACGGTGATAATTTCGCCAAGACGTACGCTCTCTGGAAGGATCAGCAGGCAGGCTTCCTGTCATCTTTCCCCTTTGGTGCATTTGCCTTCGCTCGTCTCGACGAGCGTCTTACCGATTCGGAGCTGTGGAAAAACGCTCCACGTGCGCCTGGCCGTGACCCAATGGGCTTGACACCGAAGCAGCCAAACGTTGAATTCTTTACCACGGAATGCTATGGTGGACCGAAGCAGTACGACCAGTTCCCAACTGACGGAAAGTATGCCTTCAGCATGATCGCGGAGCTGTTCGGCCCTCGATCCCGCGGCACAGTGACCCTCCGAAACACGGATGCCAAAGCTGTCCCGGTAGTCGACACTAACTACCTTGCCGACCCTCTTGATGTCGAGGTGCTGGCAGAGGCCTGCCGCTTTGGCAATGAGATCATCATGGAAGGCAAGGGCACCAAGGACATTGTCAAGGGCTCTTGGCCGAGTGATTTGGTGCACCATAAACACACTACTCGCGAGGAATGGATCCCCTACGTTCGCGATAATGCGACAACTTGCAAGTTCCTTCGACAACGAAACTCAAGTGGATTTACTAATGGACATGTTTAGGTTATCATGCCGCCGGAACTTGCGCTATGGGCAAGACATCAGACCCCGATGCCGTAGTCGATCCTACGCTCGCCGTGAAGGGTGTCAAGGGTCTTCGAGTGGCTGATTGTAGTATCATGCCTACTCTCCACGGTGGTCACACGCAGATGCCTGCATATGGAATTGGAGAGAAAGCTGCCGACCTCATCAAGGAGGCGTGGAAGTTGTGATCAAATTAGGTAGAGCCACGACACAACAGAAGAATGAAATCGAAGTGGAATGAGTCAAACATCTTTTTGCAATTTACTCCTTTTTGAAAACAGGCATCCACTCCAAAGGCGCCTCAATATCAAGCCACTTGCCACCCTCATAGGTATTCGTGTTGCCCTCAAGCAGCGGCTTCCACTTACACCTTCCCTCGAGAGTAGGCAGATAAACCTTAATACTTCTCTTTTCAGGCTCCAACACGGGGCACACCAAGTACTTGTCTCCAAACATGTACTGCTGGCCGATGCTCCACGTTGCCTTGTCGTCTGGGAACTCGTAGAAGAGTGTCCTCATTACAGGAGTTCCCTTTTCGTGTGCCTCCCTCATTAGAGACCGGGTATACTCACGTAATTCCTCGCGGAGGAACATGTACTTCTTGCAAATTTCAAAGACCTGGGGGCCATAAGACCAGACTTCATTAGGTGCACCGCTGCGGCAAGTTGCGCCTCCAGTGGTACCGTGCTGTGGCTGCTCTGGCTCACGACAGCCGTGTAGGCGGAAGACGGGACAGAATGCGCCCCATTGAAACCAGCGGACGAAAAGCTCACGGAATTCCTCATTCCTCGGATCGCCGCCATGGAAGCCTCCGATGTCAGTGGTCCACCATGGAAGGCCGCAGAGACCCATGTGGAGGCCAGCAGCGACCTGGTTTCGAAAGCTTCCCCAGGAAGAGGCAATGTCACCGCTCCAAACAAGGGCACCATACTTTTGGCTTCCCGCCCATGCGCACCGAATGAGGTTAACAATATTCTCCTGTCCTTCTGCCTCCATACCTTCATAGAAGGCGCGTGCATATTGGACCGGATAGATATTGCCAATGGAGACGTTGGATCCCAGGTGATAGCGGTACGTGTCGAAATCGTACACGGTGTACTCAGGCTCGGCCTCATCAAGCCAGAAAACACGGATGCCCTTGTCGTAATAGTTCTTCTTCGCCTTCTTCCAGACATAGGCTCTCGCGCCAGGGTTTGTCGCGTCGAAATGGGTAGTGTCTCCCTGGAAGTTCATGGCGATTCGGATACCTCGATCGGATTGGATAAGATAGCCCTTTTCTACCATCTCGTCCCAGTTTTCAGACTTGTGGTCAACAGTAGGCCAAATTGATACCATCAGCTCGATTTTTAGCTCCTGTAGCTCTTTGATCATCGCGTCTGGGTTGGGCCAATATGTCGGGTCGAATTTCCACTCTCCTTGGAGCGGCCAGTGGAAAAAGTCAATAACAATGAGGTCGATAGGCAGCTCGCGTCTCCGATACTCGCGCGCCACTTCCAGTAGTTCCTCCTGAGTTTGGTAACGTAGCTTGCATTGCCAAAATCCAAGACCATATTCAGGCATCATAGGAACCTTGCCGGTGGCATCGGCATAGGCCTCGACGATTTCTGCTGGCGTGTCACCGGCCACGATCCAGTAATCGAGGGCGCGAGTAGACTTGGCCTCGAAGCTCATGATATTACGACCAAGAATTGCCCTGCCGACAGAAGGGTTATTCCACAGAAAGCCATATCCCAACGATGAGACGGCAAATGGAACACTAGCTTGGGAATTTCTGTGCGCAAGCTCAAGGTCGTGACCTTTGAGATCCAGAAATGGTTGCTGGTACTGCCCCATGCCAAAGATCTTCTCTTCAGCATTGACGCTTTCAAATCTTGCTGTGAGGTGGTAGTCGTTGCTGTTGACGATGGCGAGAAACTCGCGAGCCTCGACATCAAGAGCGCTGCACTTGGGGTCCAGGACGTCTCGCCGGTGGCGGGAGTACTCCTCGAGCAGCAATTCCCCCTTAGAGTTCCACATCAATAGCTTTCCGCCACGACTGATGGAGGCCTTGATCTTGCCATTGATGATTGTGCCGACTTTGTCATCGATAGTTATTTCGACTTTTGCCTTCCTGGGCTTGAGCAAGGCCCAGTCCTCAGCAGGCATCTCACGGGCTTTGGTCGCCCGAACTCTGAATGAATTAGGTCCCCATGGTTCGACCCAGAGCTTCTCTGCATCGTAGGTAAAGACTAGCTTTCCGTCTTGCTCCCGTAGTCCCATTGTTGTTCTTGTTGTCTACAGCTGTAAGTTGCCAAGCAAAATGAACATTTGTTGGTGGGGGCGGAGTGTGGTTTTGAGAGACTGCGTTGATGGGGGGAGACTGCCTGATGAGGGGTATTTGTCTACAGGTCAAATGCGGCTCCTTCTTGTAGGTTACGGAGCAGCTATTTCTAACGTAGGGGGAACCCCGAATGCGGAGCTACTCCTGTTGCCATGAACCGATGGATGGAGATCGCAGGCTAGGACGATGCCACGACGATGACAGATGACATACTGCGTACCTAATTGACCACTCGGAAGCAATCAAAGCCGCCGTGTCCACCGGCGGCATCGGATTGCCCCGCATCTCCTGAGCGAATGATTTGAATTGAGGGGAAATTGGAGTTTAAAAGTTGGAGGCACGATGGCACTGAGGATCAACCATAGCGAATGTGAATTTGGATAAAGCTGGTCAGAGAGTAAAATTGAGGCTAGAGGTTTTTGGCTGAACCGGGTATTTGAAGCAAAGACTTTCGTCCCTTTCAAAGCAATGGCTTTCCTACTGCCCAGAAGAAAAATTCCATGTATACATCAATGTAACTAAGACGGGAAAATTCTCGCTCCTCATCTGACGATGGCTAACGTTTGTCCCAATCTTGAAATCCAGCGTTCTCTATGACTACATGTAAACAATGTCAACCTGTCTTCATTTCCGTCTCGCGCCAAAAGACTCCCTTGTGTGCACTCTGTCAATATCATAGGGGTTCCCATCGTATGACTTTCGCCGAGTTGAAGCAAGACTTATCGTTCGTCGTGTGCTCTGGCGGTGAACGGAGGAATCGTCCCCTGATGAGGTCAGGGAATCAATCGCATCGTTCAGTACGACTTCTGCGGAAGTGGTGTTTTCCGGCTCTTTATCTGAGGTTAGATCGTCCGCTTGCCTCAGTCGAGCCATGAAGGCTTCTGACTGAGCGGCGAACTTGCACCGAGCGCGGATAGCCGGTCCATACTTGTAGAATAGAAACGGAAATGGCACGCATGCAAGTGCCAAGAATGCTGGTATCGAAGAGGCCCAGTTGGTTCCGAGGTCTTTATACATGTAAGACGTGAATAGAGGAAACGCAGCTCCAAAACAGCTGCGGATAACAGAGTTGGCAGCAAGTACGCTTGCTGCAAAAATGGTGTAGGAGTCGATGAGGTAGTTCATGATGCTCAAAAAGAGGAGAACCATTCCAAATCCGAAAGGTACGCCAGCAGCAATACTAACCATCCAGTGTATTGATGGGTTGTTTGTCCAAGCAAACCAAAAAAGCCCAACAGGAACAGCCACGCCTCCCACCATGGCTGATCTAAGGCGCGTTTCCGGAGGTGCAAACCCGCCGTTCTTTTCTTGAACTCGTTGATATCGGCCATTCTCGGGTATGGTGTAGATGATGGCAAAGATCATGCCGACCATGATTCCAAGGAACGCAAGACCGCCGATTCCCTGCGACCAACCTCGCGCTTGTTGATAGACGATTGGAAAAGCGGCGAAGAGCATGTAAAGAGTTCCATAGATGATGGCCATGTAAAGCGAGAGAAGCAAGACGATAGGTTCCCGAAACAACAGAATCCATGGCCTTGACAAGGCAGTCTTGAAAGACTCCGCCAGGCTAATCTTTCCCTGTTCGTGTTCGATCTTGCTCACGTAGCATTTTCCCGTCATCTTGGATAACTTGGCAGCTCGACAACGGAGTAGATACGGAGCGTAGGTCTCGGGAACTAACGCAGATCCTAATAGCCATAATGTCCCAGAAAAGGCAGCCAAGAAGCCCATGACCCAGCGCCAACCAGCTGCAGCTCCAAGAAACCCACCAATAATTGGTCCGAGAACAGGTCCTAAGAAAGGTGCAGCTGCGAACAAGGCCATAGCCAGACCTCTTTCCGCAGCCGGGAACATGTCCGCAATAACACCACCAGAGTTGGCGAGAGGCGATGATCCGAACGCGCCGGCGAAGAACCGGAGGACGATGAGAGTTGTAGCCGAGTTTGCGCCGGCACACCCGGCGTTGAATGCGGTCAGCACGGCATAGGTGCCGAAGAACAATGACTGGCGTCCAAATAATTCACTGAGTGGCGCCCAAAGTAATGGTCCAATAGCAAATCCCAACACGAAAAGGGAGACGCCCAATGTTGCCACTTCTTGTGAGATTCCGAATTCCTCGATGATCTGGCGGATGCCGCCCGTATAGGCGGATGACAGCAGTGCCACTGCCAACGTAGTCAAGGAAACCATCATGGTAATGAACCATTTAGTCGTCTGACTGAAAAGCATGGGGTTCCGGGGATCGTTGGGGATCCATTGCACCAAGAATGGGTCCGCTTCAGTTCCAGAGCCAGAGTATTGGTAGTTGGCTACTTCTGGTGTGATCCCTGCTTGATCTACAACTATGCGCCAGTATGGAATCTTCATGCGTGTGGGATACTCGCCAGCTTCTCCGACTGGTGCTTCGGTCTTTTCTTGCGCCATCGTGTGGCAGGTTCGAGGATGAGGCGGCGCGTTGGACAGTTAGGAATACATTCGGAGGACGAGAATTAAAAGACCATGATAAAAGTACAAGGAAGAGGGAAGTGCCAAGAGTAATCGGTGGCGGATAGGGGGGTTCCAAGGGAATAAGACGGAAGAAACCTATTTGTAGCTGGTTGGTTGAATTCCTTCCATGGGACGACCAACAAGGCGATGACGAAATGCGGAAGATCACAGGGTCACAACCTGAACGGCTTACGGGTGGGAACTACTACTGAATCCCGTTTACCCCAGCCCACTTTTCAACCTCCTTGCTAGCCTGATGTCCAGTTGACCGTTTAATGTTTTTCTGTCCACGTCGATATCTAGTGCGCACGATCAAGCTTCTCCGAGATGAAAGGTTGACTTTCACTAATTAGAATCACATAGTTCAGTTCGTGTCCAGACTTCCAATGTGACACCACATCATGGTGACGACAGAAATCCGGGTGCTTTCCCTAAGTTCGTTGCCAGTGAGATGCGTGGCTGATGGAACAGGCCGGCTCCGACTAAGCCTAACTCCGGGCCTAGTGCATCGAGGTGTGGTCCGGCAGATCAGCTTCCGCTAGGTGATCATAAAATTATGCATTGCCGTTCCGAGGCTTGGGTTTATAGCGTAAGCAACGCAAATACTCTCGGACGACGAACTGAGGACTGTTAATAAATTCATACCGATTTGACCATGACTCTGGGTCTCTGGTTGTAAAAAATATTGCAGTGTTCTAGGACGTGACTGAGGTTCCAAGAACTGTGATCGAATGCAGATGGCACCTACAGCTGCCATGGAGGGTTGTAGTGACATCCACCCAGAAGGGCTTTAGCAGTCTTGAGCCAGTTGTTTATACCTCGTTTAGGGTTCAGAAAGATTGTGACGGCAGTTCATCTGAATCTCGCATTGGACCAATTTTGCTTACCAATACATCTATTTTGAGTATGTATACGGGGGTTGCACGCGCCAAACTACTCGACGATTCAACCCTTCGTCCCAGTCTCTGGCAGCTTGACTTCACACCAAAACTGGAAAAATAAATAACACCACAGCTGGGCACCTTTTGACCCGACATATCACCTCGGTTTTAGTCGGTTGTTCATTCATAAGACAGATGGCTGCGCAGATCGGGCCCACTATGTGCATAAAATGGCATAAATGCCGATTTTTCGGGATAGCGGTCAACCGGAGGCTTTGCATAACTTGCGAAATCAGAGTCGGGGCCCGGACCGGACTTGGATGCACTGTCTGAAGCCTACCTTCGGCGCTAATGTTCAAGACTAACACTAGGCTCGGTGATGACTCAACGCTGCACTAAACGCAGAGATTGATAAACACAGACGCGGCTTCTAAGACAAATCCATTCGTTCGATCAGCGAAGCAACTACGGATACTCCGGCTCAGTTCACATGTTATCGTCTCCTTTGTATTTAAACACGTACGGAATCTCGCTGGCGAAGTCCATTATGGCCGCTCTGCGTTAACATTTACCGACTTGGCACGGTTTGCATACAAGGCCATTGGCCGCCTTTCGAATTTGATACAAATTGCGTAGTCGGTGCTACATGCTTCTCAGCCGAGAGACAGGGGCCGATAATGATGACATCAAACATTTGCTGCAATGGCCTTGAAATTGAACCAAGGACTGCGCTGGTTTCCAGGAGTCAGTAGGACTATGTAAGCATGTAGCAGGTATGCGCAGCTAAGTCTGTCAGAAAAATGGGAGATCAGCTAGTTTTATCAACGAAGCTTGTTGCTTGAAATATGCGGGCTATAAATAATTATTTCATTGTAGGTATAATATGGACTATAATAGGGACAGCAGAGGCACTCTGAATGCTTGCTACCAATAGGGCACATGCGATACCGTGCACTGATGTTGAAGCGTTCTGGGTCGAAACTGGGTAATATTCATTGAGCCCTCCTGGCTCAAACTCATCTCCGAGTAAGAATCCCGAGAAGTCGTTTAGATAAAACAATGCCACACGTCTGTCAACAGGTGTCACAATACACTCGTGGTGGAAGGCGATCCAGCCTAGATAGACCGCCATTGCTTTCCACGCAACCTCGCCCGGCTTTGTCAACGACCCTTTATAAGCGGCCTCGCGTAGGATTCCACTCAGACAATACATGCCAATCTCAACCTAATGTACCTACTGCGTATAGCAAGCTCTCAGCAATGACAGGTGATACATTGACAGATGAAAGCTTTACGGTTGAGTGCAAGATGGCACTGTATGAACTTCACAGCTCATCTCAAGTCAGATTCTCACACCAGTAAACGCACAAATGTTGTATCACTATCGTGTACTCGCGGGTATCTCTACTTTTTTCACCTATACATACCACAAATGCCCTGAGCTCAAAGAATTTGAAACTAATATGACAGCCCAGCCATGTCTGTGAGGGCCGAGTAAGCAAGGCAAGGATAATCAGCCGTAAGCGACGCTACTACTGATACACCGCTGGATCCACTTGCGCCCAAAAGACCTAGCTCGAAGCCAAGAGCTCCTCCAACCTTCGGCCATCCAACACCGCCGGTAGGCTTCTTCGCAAAGCCACCCCAGACGCCCTGCATGTAAGAGCTAAGTTTGATCTGCTGCTGGGTTGCGGAGCCGAACTTGTTGTACTCAGGGTACGTGCCGAAGACTGAGGGTATTTCGCTCGTGTGGTACGCGCCAGAGTTGGCGAAGATGCTGGTAGAGGGGAATGAAGCATCGTAGCGGTACCGGTAGGCAGTGTAGCCGTTCGAAGCAAGGAAACTGGACAGCGTGGAAGTCGTGCAAGTAAAGATCGCATCAGTAAAGATTCTGTAAGACAGTCAGCTCGCTGTAGTCGCTTAGGTTCCTTTGGTTTCATACCTGTCAGCCACAGCATACATATCGGTCATGCCTTTCGCAGAGTATTGAGCAAGGATCGAGTTCTTGGTGTTAGTTGAGGTGACTCCAATCTTGGACATCGTAGCGTCCATGGCAGAAGTCCCATCCCCTGCGGTCTCAACGGCAAGGAAGACACGAGCTTCGTTGAGTGTAGTCCCAATCAAAACGGGAATCTTGGGCCACTTCTTGGAAGTGATACTACCCCGAACATCACTGACCGAGGTACCATCGCCGTTGACTGGAGGGAACACCAGCGCTGCCGATTCGATATACGCTTTGATATCTGCAGCTGGTACCTTTCGCAGGCATGCAATGGGTGAAGACTCGCTCTGGCACTTGAACTGCTGCAAAACTTTCTTATAGCTGTCCGATCCGGAGCCTATGAGAAGGGATTGCTGCGATTGCATGATAGCAGCCGAGAACGGCAGCGGGCTTGGCGGGCTCGCAAGAAGCTGCTTCACAGACTCACCCCGGCGGACTCGCCAAAAATGGTTACACGCGAGGGGTCTCCGCCGAAGTTAACGATGTTGTCTTGCACCCACTGCAGAGCGAAGCGCTGGTCCAAGTAACCCGAGTTTTGAGACCCAGTTGCAACCTCGGGCGAGTTGGAGAACCCAAAAACTGATATGGTTAGCATATAGACGATTGGGTAGAAGACGAGATATTCTTACTGTTCGTTCGGTAGTTGATCGTCACAACGACCACGTCCTGAGCGATGGCAAGTGAACTTCCATCATAGATTGGTAGACTGGCGGTTCCAAATTGCAAGTTTCCCTTTATGAGTCAGTGGGGCTGCTAGGTCATATGGATTCATTTTACGAACAGGAAATAGCCAGAACATGACAGCCTTCTTGTTAGAAGATGATGCGCTGGGAGGTGCGAAGACGTTCAGGTACAAGCAGTCCTCACTCTCTTCAGGTAGAGGTCCAGTGGGGTTGCCGAAGTATTGCTTCTGCAAGACTTGCGCGTTTCCACTATCAGTGAACTGCTGGATGCATGCTGGCCGAAATGCCTGGGCAGGTAGTGGAGTTGACCATGAAGGCGCTGACTCGGGTGGGGAGAACCGTTCCGGAGGCGACTTGGCGAATGGAACTCCCAAGTACGCATTGGCGTAGCCTGTTGATCCAGCTTGGCTTGCTGGCTGAGCTGTGGTGCCTATAATGACGCCAGATGATATAGTTACACTTGGGCCGGCATTTGAGGCCGGCAGGCCAAATGCTCCGAGAAAGAATGTGGAGGAGAGGAGAACTTGAGCGAACAATGATTGGCGATGATTACCCATGGTTGATGGGAATGGCGTATGTGAGACACTAGAGATTGGTCAAATGAATGAGAGAGTTGATGATGCTCTTGGAGATGATGGTGGTTCTGGCGGCATTCCAATGTTGTCTTATACCTTGCTCCCCCGACAGCTTTGATAATTTCCACCACCGGCCTTGCCGATAAACAATGTCCTTGACGCCACTGGGGGAACTATCGAGTCTTTGTGCTGCGAAAGGCGAGCTCAGACATTCCGCACGGCCTATCAAACCAATATGGCAAAGTGGTCCCATCAACTCCACTGGCGGTGCTGCTAAAACGTTCGAGGCTACTTCCGGAGTGAGACCCACGTGTTCGTCGCATGCGGCCAAATTAGGCTCGCGCCGTAGATCAATTCCATAAAACGCGGGCCTATGGGTTTCTCTTTTCTTTGATTATCTTCGTTGTCCAAATGCTGTTCTGGGTATGGCCATGCCGATGGCGTTGGGTGCTCCCGAGAAACTGGAAAGTCTGGACCGCCAAGCTTCTAGTTTGCCAAAGGCGTCGACTCAAAAAAGACTAACTCCATGGAAGGCAGTGTGGTTCAGTGGAACTGTTGTTTGTAGAGCCACGGTCAACGGGAAAACCGAAAAGACATCATCGACAGCCACCACCAACATTGCCATGACGTTTTGGAAGAAAAAGTTGACAGTCGTCCGCTCTGTTGGAGCCCACGTGGCATATTTCCTAACTTGATCCTGTTAGCGCCCACAATACTATATTCTGTAATGACTGAGTGCCGCTATTAATATCTTGATTGTTGCTGTTCATTGGGGCGGTACGATCACAAATTACTTAGCGCGACACTGAAGAAAATTGGCTCAAAATGCTGACAATAATTGTAGCACTTGGATTATACTAATCTAGCCTTCCGACGGGTCTATTCTCAGGTCAATGAATCTCGCCGTCCACAGTTTAGGGCAGCCCTTCAACATACGCGCTTCTGATAGCGATGACCAATGGCAACACCGTAGCGTTGCCTGCTCCCGGATGTAGAATATCCAGAGTTTGGATTGCAAACACCTCCGATCGCCAGTGAAACGAGTAGATAGAGGACGACTAGTCGGTACAAGAAGCGCGGGCTTGTAATGAATTATTTTTTTGCGAGCCTCGCGCATTTCGCCGCCGGCAACAAACACCAACTTGAGACTGAAGTAAGACAACAATCCCGAGAAGGCCCATTCGTACAGAAGTGCGGTAGAACATTATCCAAGGGCAACAGTTGTGCACCCTTTGGTAGCACTAGTAACCAACCTAGTAGTAGAAACTAGCTTGTTTTCTGCTCGCCCCCTTTCCCCAAAACACAGGTCGAGATGTTTAGCTCCAAAGACCAGGGTTAGGGAGGAAATTTCGTGATAAATGATCAGATGAACCCAGGGCGGACCACGTAGACAGGATGCAACTTTTTGTTCTTGCCCACTGTACAAGCCTTAGTTTAGACTTTAATGCCGGCAACTCCCTTCCTTAACGCTGTTATTGTGTACATCCAAGACGATTCAAAACACAACGTGCATATCAAGGCTGGATCGATCGCGAAAAGCATGTCAACATAAGACTTGATATGATAGTGACATTCATAACAACATTGGAAGTAACTCAGTCACTCGCTAGTCGGTTAGCGGGCCTGCCTCATTCTGCTAATGCTGCTGCAAGGTCTTTGACCCAGATCAAGCCGTTGCCCAGTGAGGATACGAGAATCGGCTCAACTCGCAACGTTTCCACAACAGGGTATAGCTCGTCCCTTCCAAACACTCTGCAATGCAACGCAGGGCCGAGTTGAGCGTCTTCTTCCCCAGATGACCCACTCACGTAGGGGCGGCATTTGAACTGCATCACAACGGCTGCTTACCTTGCTACGTCTTCAGTCTTGGCATTACCGGATAACCACCCAACGTACAAGTTTCTGCGCTCGCGGGCTTGAAGACAACAATGTCTGATTGGTTTCGTATGTATGAAGCTCCCAAAACGACTTAGCCGGGCCTCCTTTCCCCTCTAAGCCGAGGCATCCAATATCTACAGCTTGCGGGGCAGATGCGGGGGTTGCAGCTCTCTGCCGGCCGAGTCTCCGTTGCGCATGATCCTAAGACCTATCGATCTGCAGTGGTATCAGGTTCCGCGACATCTGCTAGATGAGTACCATCCATCAGGGTCCAATGAGGCCATGAAGTTTCGTAATGTCGGAAATTCTCCCCAGGACGTCCGGAGGTCATGTTAGATGAGACATGGAGTTGAGCTACACTTACATGAAAAATGTTGAGACGAGAGACCCAAGGTGGTCGTAAGCAGCACATGCCCCTCATTCTTACACACTGCCCTGGCGTTGTTGACAAGTCTTGTCCCGAGGCTTTTGTGTTGGCTGCAACCAAAGAAGTTGCGGAGGCTCCTCCGACCATTCCCAATTCGATGTCCTGTCGCGAAACGGCGATCCTCACGTGGCTCAGTTTTTCCTTGGAACGTTGAGCTCACCATCTCTGAACCACCAAGGTTGTGGATGGCTTCTAAATGCGACTGGCGGATGAATCTTACTACCTGCCTGAGAGCGCGATGGGATTTGGGTAGCTACTGAGTTATGTTTGATCGATTTTGAGTGGGCGAGAGATAGACTAGACGCGGAAAATGGCAAACGAGCATACGCACAGTGAAGCATAGTTTGTGTAGATGGACTAGACGACCTCAGAGAACATAAATAGCTCCTGAATCACCCCGAAAACCGACTATTGACATCGTGTTCAAAAGCCTCAAACCTTCGTCGCTCAGAGCTGACTCCATCACTCTTTCGCTTCAAGTCCAGACATCCCCCTGAACCGCTTCTTCTCTCGAGTACCCTAGGGACCAGTAAACCACCACAAATCATTACCAAAATGAAGTTCTTCGCCATTCTCTCCCTCGCTGTTACCCTTGCCGCCGCGGCCCCTGTCGAAGTCGCCGTCGTAAACGCTGGCGCCACCGACCTCGAGGTCCGCCAGACCAGCTCGACCCGTAACGAGCTCGAGTCTGGCAGCAGTTCGGCCTGCCCCAAGGTCATCTACATCTTTGCCCGCGCCTCCACGGAGCCCGGTAACATGGTAAGCGAGACAAACGTTGGCACACCATCGTGGACGCTGTCGTGGCCTCGCAGGCCCGAGTTTTGAGTCTGAAGTCTGACTCTTGTGTAACTTAGGGAATTAGCGCAGGCCCGACTGTGGCAGACGCCCTGGAGAGCCGGTATGGCGCCGCCCAGGTCTGGGTACAAGGCGTCGGCGGCCCATACAGCGCGGACCTGGCGTCCAACTTCCTCCCCGAGGGGACCAGCCGTGCCGCCATCAACGAGGCCAAAAGGCTGCTCACCCTGGCCAACACAAAGTGCCCCAACTCGGCCGTCGTCGCCGGCGGATACAGGTAGGCCCAACAGTCACTGCCCCCTTTTTGAGTGCGAGCGATCGCTGACATGGGATGCCGGCAGCCAAGGAACAGCCGTCATGGCGTCGTCCATCTCTGAGCTAAGCTCGACGATCCAGAGCCAGATCAAGGGCGTTGTGCTGTTCGGGTACACCAAGAACCTGCAGAACCTGGGTCGCATCCCCAACTTCCCGAGCTCCAAGACGGAGGTGTACTGCGGCGCCACCGACGCAGTGTGCTTTGGCACCCTCTTTATCTTGCCGGCGCACTTCCTTTACCAGACGGAGGCTGCTGTGTCTGCGCCGCGATTCCTGGCTGCCCGTATTGGATGAGACGTCCAAATCTGCTTTGGGCTAGTTGGGCTCAGTCGGATCCGAGGGGAATTTGAGGTACAGCCTCTCGGTGCCACAGCAAACCTGAGTCGTGTTGCACGCGGGCTGGTGATGGCAAGCAGCCATGGACGGTTATTGCGGGCCAGGGTGGAACGGTTGAAACGTTGGACCAAGTATTGCCGTTCGCTTCTTCTCAGTCTTTTCTCTTCCTTCAGTCGTTACTATTAGTCGTCTAGTCATTTGACATTGCCTGGTTACTGCGATGAACGGGATAAACGCAAATTACTTTGTTGGTTTCTAAGCTAAAGGGGGTATCATTGAGTCATTATTCCTATGTTTGGTTGTGCCATGTTTTATGCCTTGACCCTGCTTCGAAGGAAAGCCGCGTGCCTCTGCGAGTGGTATTTGACGTCGGCGGGATGCAGTGGGTTGTATACGATGCGGCACGTCTTGCATTCCATGAAGGCGGGCTTTGAGGAGAGGTTGATGGTGGTCTGGACTGTGACGACTGGTTTCGTCCGTGCTAGTGGTTTCTTTGGGACTGTAGATGCTTTCGTGCCCTCGTTATCTCGAAGTTCGTTGAGTTCTTTCCCGCTTCCCCTTCGTGTCCTTGTCCCCAAACCTCTCCTTGTACCAAGTGTATCAACGCATCGATGTCCTTCATCGTTATCCTTCGCATTCTCCACGGGGTCCGATGAGGGCTGTATGGGCGTGCTGGGGCGCAGCCTTAAACGACGGGGCTCTTTGATCTTTCGGAACACTGGTGGTGATGACGGTGGGGTGTTGACCAATTTCTCGGAATCGGACAGCGGGTCAGAGAACTCTGTGGCCGAACTCGACCGGCATGGCTTGAAGTAACTAAGAATCGAGCTCTTGGGTATGTTGCTCGACGGCTGCGCGTGTTGTGTCGGAGGAAGCTTCGGGAGGTCTGGTGTCCGTGTGGCTGGCTCCGCGTCGACTTTGCGCTTCTTCAGAAGCCCCGGACTGGCATTATTTTCTGCTGGGCGTGATCGTTTACTGTATGTCCGCAGAGTGCGCCTGGTCGACGTTAGTCCGAGTTGTGGCATGTGTGGCGAGAACAAGATCGTACCGTTTGTCAGTCGTTGGTCTCTGAATGTCGCGTCGGGTGGGAGAGCTGTACTGAAATTAGCCAAGTTGCTGACATGTGCTGGACCAACTGAAATCACATACAGCTTTGCGCATTCTGTCTGGTCCATCCCTCCCGCAAAGGAATTGGCGGAGAGTGGCGTTCTTGAACTGTTGGTGTCGGCTACAGATGCAGATGTGACGCGACGCGCGTGGTCGTATGTTGTAGGGCGCGAGACGAGATATTGAGGGTATCTGGTGATAATGGTGGTACTCTAACGGGAAGAACAGCTCAAAACGTGCGATTAAAAAACACTGAAACCTATCATAATCGAGGCAGAGAAAAGAAGTGCGAAAAAAGGCCGAGGGTGTGACTGGAAGTGTCTCGTCTTTTCGTCGAGAGGCGCGACATGGTAGATGGGGAGCTTCCGCTCGGAGCCCCACCACAAAAGCGCGCCGCGCGGATGACGTGCAGCTAGACGCGTCCGAGTCGCGTAGCATAAATTTTCCCGCGCCATCACGTGTTATCTTTCCCCCACGACAATGAATTTTGGTTTTCTTCAAGGGCCAATGTTCATCGAACGCGACCCTTCAGAGATCGGAGACTCCCGTGCCGGATTGCTGTGGGCCATTCTATCCTCCGCCGCCGCCGCAATATCGGTGACAGGCTTCGATACGACCAACGAGAATTCACTCGCGAGAGCCCACGACCAAAACTCGTAACACTGGTCACATTTCGTTCATAGACTATGATAGACCCTTCAATCGTCGTCGTATCCCTTCGTCTGTATCCGGCGTCTTCGTATCGAGGAGCATTGTCTTGTTCTCTCCCGATTTGTCGCCGTTGCCGTCCTCGCCCAGCACCCACGTCTGCATCACTTCCTTGATCTCTTCTGGTTCATTACGATTTGCCTTGGCCTCCGTCATCCTCCACACGTATCCCGAATACACGGCGACCTCTGCAACGAGGACAAGGATGGAGCCAGCGAGGGTCAGGAAGATGCGCGCAGTGATGCTCCACCAGCGCGCCGCAATCCATATCGTCGCGGCGACGCCGATGACGCTGATGAGGAAGTTGAGAATGACCATCATCTGCTTCTGCACATCGCCAAGCGTCACCTCGTCATCACCGTTGTCCGATTCGCGCATGGGTCGGTTCACTTCGGCAAAGGCGTGAGCCCTCGTCGCGGCGTTGGGGAATTGTTGAGAAAAGGTTTCCATTCGAGAGGGCTGCTTCATCATGCGCTGGTATGTGCGCTCCTCTTCTTCGCGTCGCAGGCGAGCCATCAAGGCCTTATACTCGGCGGACTACAAGCGAACTGTCAGCGGATTGGTATCCAACGAGCGGGCGGTGCTGAAGACGTACAGGCTCTGGTTTTGGAGGCGGCGGAGGAATGTACACCCTAGCGCCTCGGAGCAGCCCTTCCAAGCTGAATCCGTCAATGCCCTCGCTCTTCAGGTCTTTCCATAGATCGAGTATTTCGCCATGCGTGATGGGGTTCCCAAGAGCAAGCTTCTCGGGAGTCCGCTCTTCTGCCTCAACTGTCGCTGCGGGAAGGGCCGATGCATCTGACGTCGATGCCTGGTGCGTTGCTGTGTCTGTCTTGGATGCGTCCGACTTGTCCCGGCTCGATCTCACCTCAGCCAACTTCTGCAGGCCTTCGGCGATGGAAGGTGTTATCGCGAGTTGTACCATGTCTGCTGATGTGCTCTCTCACTTTGTCACTTTCTCTCATGCGGACATTTCGAGGTGATGCTGGTCGCAGACAAAGAAGAAGATGCCACTGTCAGATCGGAGTAATTGAAATGCGCTCGTCCCTCGTCTGGCATGTCGATTCGACCGATGCCACCAGGTAAGCTCAGCAGCTCCAGGCGTGGTGTCCAGTGTCCCTCCCACCCAAAAGCTCAGATCATCATCAGGATTCAACCACTTACAGCGTACCAAAAGCTGTGGGACCCGCTTTTTCCCCAATAGATACGCACGTCGGCCCATCTGTTCCTGGTCGGCAAACCAATAGGCAGCGGTACGTACCTTACCTAAGACACAGCGAAGGGAAAGATCGGACCCGACATTCTCTGGTTGAATTTCTCGGTGTGGGAGAGGGAAAAATAAAAAAGTCATCGACTATCATCACCCTCTACAGCTGTCAATTGCCACAACGTCGGGTCTCGAGCAAGGTCTACGCGATACAGATGCTGTCGGACCCTCTGGCGAATCTTTCCGCACTCCATTGATACCCTTTGGAGCACTACCGGAGCCATGCAGCTCCGTCCGGGAGCAGCCATGCTGCGCAGCACCACGTCAATAACGTCACGATCTCTCCTCTCCTCCTCTCCCTCCCGATGCGCGCAATGTCGGCGACCCGCCCCCCTCGACCTCCGGTTACCTCTGACTAGTGCTCTGTACCACTCTTCGTCGAAACGGTCCTCTGCTTGGGGTGCCGCCGTCTCTGTCGCATCGAACATTGCCGCCAATGCTGTCAACCGCGTCATCCCGAAAGGGGATATGCACATCGATCCGCTGCGGACGGTGGCCAAGGAGATGAAGTTCCTGACGGGCAACATTCGGAAGCTTCTGGGCTCCGGCCATCCTTCGTTGGATCGTGTCGCCAAGTACTACACACAGGCTGAGGGCAAACACATGCGGCCCCTCATCGTCTTACTTATGGCGAGAGCCACCGCCCTCTGCCCAAAGGGCCCCCGACTGCACTCCGGCCAAGCTATTGGCGGTGTCGACACGGCGATATCTCCTCCCAACATCCTCGTTGACGTCAATCCAAGCTCGCCCCTTACGAGTGCTGCTCCCGAGCCAGCCGAGGTCGACTCTGATATCCTCCCTTCCCAGCGTCGTCTCGCCGAGATCACCGAGCTGATCCACACGGCGTCTCTGCTCCATGACGATGTCATCGACCATTCCGTTTCGCGCCGCGGATCCCCTTCGGCGAACCTTGAGTTCGGCAACAAGATGGCCGTTCTGGCGGGCGACTTTCTCCTCGGCCGCGCATCCGTAGCTCTGGCTCGCTTGAGAAACGCCGAGGTCATCGAGCTCCTCGCCACAGTCATCGCGAACCTTGTCGAGGGCGAGTTCATGCAGCTCAAGAACACTGAGCAGGATGAGCGGAGACCCGTGTGGTCGGAGGAGACAGTGACCTATTACCTTCAAAAGACGTATCTGAAGACGGCCAGCTTGATTTCCAAGTCGTGCCGTGCTTCCGCAATCCTCGGTGGTTCGGACGCTGCTTCGGTCGAGGCAGCGTACGCCTACGGCAAGAACCTGGGTCTTGCATTCCAGCTCGTCGATGACATGCTCGACTACACAAGGAGCGAGAAGGAGCTGGGCAAGCCGGCCGGAGCCGACCTGGAGCTGGGTCTCGCGACGGCCCCACTGCTATTCGCGTGGAAGACGACGCCGGAGCTGGGCGCCCTAGTTGGCAGGAAGTTTGAGCAGGAGGGCGACGTTGCAAGGGTAAGCGCGCGTGTAGCGACATGCTCCGACTTTTGGAGAAGAAGGTTATGACTAACGCGGTTTCAGGCTCGCGAGTTGGTTCTCCAAAGCGACGGCATTGAGCAGACGAGGGCACTAGCCCAGGATTACTCAGAAAAGGCCATTGCAGCCATCAGCGAATTCCCTGACAGTGAGGCCAAGGACGGGCTTGTTGAAATGGCTGTGAAGGCGTTGAAGAGGACAAAGTAATGAACTGGCCGCAAGGGCCGGCCGCTACCACCACACCATACCTGTACAAAACAAAAATCCTGGAATGCACGCATTATGGTATGTGCATTCGACACTGTATAACAGACCATCTGGGCTCTTTGCAGAGTACATGTAACGATATTATACAACTAGACGGCGGCGTGGGGGTAGACGAATGGGATTCAACGAGGTCGAGGTGATACAACCTTTAGCTCAATACCACACACAGCTTCCCTTTTTTTTCTTTTTTTTTACACAGGGTTCGGCACGAGGGACGGGTGTTAGAGAATGAGCAACTTTCAAACTTGATTGTGTTTGCGTTCTTGCACTAGGCCGTCAAAAAAATTGGCAGAACTGACTTACATGTCTGATTGGCGAGATGGGAATCTTTTACTCGATCGAAACACGGCCATGCGGAAAGTTTAAATCCCGATCAGCAGTCCGTCGTAAACTGGACGGGGCCTAGACAGCGGGCGACGGCGGCCAGCTCCGTGGAGATGCGGTTTTCGTTACGTCGCTCCGTTGGGATACGTGCAGCGTGGCAGCAGGAAACGGCACGATGAGACGCAGGGATCGGTCAGGGACCAGCGAAGCTTGATCGGAGTCCAGTCCCAAGCTTCCAGCATGTTGGAGGCGTTTACTTGTTGAGGACAGACGAATACGGCCCATGTCTCATCCGATCCGTGGCCGGGTAAGAAACGGAAGGACAAAGCACGAAGCACACAAACCCACCGTTGATGGGGAATCCGAAACGATTCGTGATAAATGGATTGAAGACCGAAGGACGGCAAAGAAACAGAAGCGAAGGCCGGTTATCGGGCCTAGGTCGCACTTCTGAACACGCGAAGACATCCTCGGCTGGATATGACTCGGTGCCCTGGGACTGCGGGTGGCTTGTACCCGAGCCGGCCGACATTGGAGAGTGCATGTGCCTTTTCCATTCGCCCATCTTGTCCGTCCTTCAGTCTATGACCATCTTATGACCCGACGATACTGGTTCTTCGTTGTCTTCATTGCGAAACGATCGAGTAACAGGAACTACACGCCAACGGCAAGTGACGGGCCATGGAGTACAGACTGGGGAGGCCAGGATCAAAATCAACCCCCGGCTGTCATGTGCTGCCGTCACCGGCAGAAGATTCTGCACGAGGAAAACTAGACTAAAATCCGACGGGGCGCATAAATTGGCGGGTCAGACTCCCCGAAGTAGCGATGTTTTACTCGATCATTACTCGATCGAAACTCCCAAGTGAAGCTTAGACGACGCCTTTGATGCAACAGCAGCAGCGGAGCCTGAAGAAAGCCGCGCCGATAAGCACACAGATCCGCGATAAGGCCAAAAGTTACACTAGAGCAAAGGGACAAGGGCCCCTGACTTTCCCGAGAACGGCCGATGAAGGCCGTGGTGGGCTCGACTCTCTCCGTCACTGACACGTACCTTTGATTCGTTCCCCCATCGGATGACTAAGACTCTCCAGATCGGGGAACGGCTGCATCCGATGAATGAGTAGCCAATCAGTATCGGCTGATAACGACATCGAAGACATTAAGGGTCCCCTCCCCCTTATCATAGAAAGGTCTTGATAACGCACCCCACACAATAACGGCAGCCTTGAACGCAAAGCCGACAGCACCGTGCAGCCAGAACGGTGGGCAAGTGGGATGGACAACAAACGCTGCCGGGTAATGGCAGATGGGAAACCAACACGAAGGGAGGAGACTTGGCGGCGTGGACGGAGGGTCTCGGTGGCTGATCCCTTCTGACCCTTTGCCATTTCTGGCTGGTCCTTGCCATGCCCTTTGTCCTTTGTCCTGTCAGAGAACGTTGTTTATCTTATCAGGAACTGAAAATGGAAGCCCAGAAGACCGGATGGAAGGGAATGGCTGGTCTGGGGACCCGTCCGGCGTCCAGCTCCGTCTGGACTCGAGGTGGGCTGTGGATCGAGCAACAGACGACTTTCTTCTCGAATGGGATTCGGACGGCAGCCCTTCTTTTTTTCCTCTTCGCACTCCCTCCTTTTTTCACTGTCTCTTGTCTTCGTGGTTCCATAGTCATTCTTATTACAGCTTCTAAGAAGCTATCTGCATTCAACTCATAGTGTAGGCGTTCGGTTACCCAAGACCGCTTACTTTCACTTGCATAACCGAAATATTCTTTACACCCAAGACTCACATCTCACTCATCTCGCTACCTCAAGCCACATCAACGGGTCTTATCTACCTCACCACCCCTCCACCCCGCGACCGAGATAAGCTTCCCCCTTCCCCAGAAGAAGCAACAAGCTCTCGCAGAACGTGCTCCGCGGGGAAAGCTGTCCAGGAATCACTATATTTCCCTTATCGGACCTTCCCAAGCTCCAAAACGAGCTTATCACCAACCCTCCCAGCTCTCTTCATCATGACTGTCACCCAAGCCACCACGACGCCCCTTGTGGTCCTCGTCTCAACGCGTGCCGTCCTCACCGCTGCTGAAGATGACCTCGTCCTCACCCCCGCCACGATAACAGTCTCTCCCGACACCGGCAAGATTGTGAATATCGTTCCCGCCGTCCTCCCCAGGACTTCTTTCCCTGCCTCGACGATCTACATCGACTACGGCTCCAAGCTCCTGCTCCCCGGCCTCGTCGATGCCCACGTCCACCTCAACGAGCCCGGACGCACGGAATGGGAAGGCTTTTGGACCGGCACAAGGGCCGCTGCCTCTGGTGGCGTGACGACCGTTGTTGACATGCCCCTCAACGCCATCCCGCCCACCACGACAGTGGCCGGGTTCAGGGAGAAGCTCTCGGCGAGTCAAGGCCAGTGCTGGGTCGACGTTGGTTTCTACGGCGGAGTGATTCCCGGAAACGCAGATGACCTGTTGCCTCTTGTTGAGGCCGGTGTGAGAGGCTTCAAGGGCTTCCTCATCGAGTCGGGTGTAAGTGACACGCCCAGCGAGGCTTCCAGGAATCCCCAAACGTTTACTGACAGACACCCCCACAGGTCGATGAATTCCCCGCCGTCTCCTCGCAAGACGTGGCCCTGGCCATGGAGAAGCTCAACGGCACGCCCACCACGCTTATGTTCCACGCCGAGATGATCCCGCCCATCGCCGACTCGGTAGGCGACGCCGTCCAGCAGTCCGAGCCGCCCCTCGCCCCAACCGGCGAGCTCAACTCCTACCAGACCTTTCTCGAGTCCCGCCCGCCGTCCTTTGAGACGTACGCCGTCGAGGAGATTCTATCGCTCGCGCACCTCGCGCCGGACCTCCACCTGCACATCGTCCACCTCTCGGCCACGCAGGCCATCCCCCTCCTCAAGGAAGCCCGGGAAAAGGGCATCAACATCACCGCTGAGACGTGCTTCCACTACCTCGGCTTCGCCTCGGAGGACATCGCCGACGGTGACACGCGCCACAAGTGCTGCCCGCCCATCCGCGAGCGGTCGAACCGCGACGGGCTGTGGGAGGAGCTGGTGGCCGCGGACTCGTGCATTAAGACCATCGTCTCGGACCATTCCCCCTGCACGCCACAGCTGAAGCTGCTCCCGAGCCACCTCGAGGCGTCGCCCGCAGCCGAGGACGCCGACGCGCCCAACATGCACCATTCGGACTCTGGTGTCGACATGACGATCCCCGGCGAGAGCGTCGACAAGATCATTGCCGAGAAGACGCTCGAGGATGCGGCGCTGGCCGTGGCGGACGCCAGCTCGCGGGGTGACTTCTTCGCCGCGTGGGGCGGCATCTCGTCTGTCGGCCTGGGGCTGCCGATTGTGTACACGGCGGCGAGGGCGCGCATCGCCGCCGAGGGCAAGGAGACCGCGGCGCCGTCCATCGTGGACATTGTGCGGTTGTGCAGTCAGGCGACCGCAAAGCAAGTCGGTCTGGCGCACCGCAAGGGCGCGCTCAAGGTTGGCATGGACGCCGATATCTGCGTCTTTGACGACGCCGACGCGTGGACGCTGCGGTCTGGGGACATACGGTGGAAGAACCGGTGCTCGCCATGGGAGGGCACGAGTTCGCGGGCCGGGTGCGGGAGACGTGGGTGCGCGGCCGGAAGGTGTTTGAGTACGGTGGCGTGAACGGGGGTTCGTCTGTAAAGGGCCCGTTGGCGAGGCTATTACCGAGAAGCGTGTTGCTTGAGGTATGCCGCTGGTCTAGAGGGGCGATGGGATGGGAGCATTTGTTTTCGCGAGCGATGTCTTGGGTGTAGGCGTCGTGGATTTTGACGAACGGCGTTGGCTAGTTTGCATGAATGATTACACGCGACATCAACATGACTTGACCTGAGTCAGAGACTCTTTCGAAGGTACATATCGCTTGATAATTGTGGATGACGCACTCTGAAAGCTCGTGAATGTCGGTTCTCATAGATCAGACTTTGTGACCCTTCCGGGTCGGGCCCGAATTTGCTCAGGAATCTGGGTAACGAAAGATCCCCGGGTCTGAAGGTTCGCATGCGAGCCTCGATTGGACCTCCCTGTGAATATGGGGTTGCATTCACCTAGAATCTGAGGTGAAAATGAGGGGCAGCTGAGCTCTAGCTGGAAATTTTAGTTGCAACATCCGAATCCACGCAAGGCTGGGTCTTGTTTCATTATAGCAGTAGTCTTTAACATGTCTACAACAGCTTCTGTTTAGGTTTAATATGATAGCCAACAAGCCGGGATTATCAACTGTTCACAACGGTACCAGTGCCCACCTGTGGACCATTCTGTGTGCGCTTGCGACAGGACGAACGATGATGTTCCAGGGATAAAGATGGCGCACGCCGCCAATACGAGCACTCATGGGCAAGGAAGGAAAAGGACTGAGATAGTAAACCACGAATTGACAAAAATTTCCCAAGAACAACATAGCCTTTCGGAAAGGGTTGGAATCCGTTCCGCCAAACAGGGTGCATCATCCGACAACAATCTTCCGGTCTGGTGCCGAGACTGTCCTTCTGTTGTTTTTGGAGGAAATAATCGCTGGCGACATCAGATTATATATCACAGACTAAGCCAATTCAATGGAAGCGAGTAGAGTCTTGAACTTAATTCAACTAGATGGACCATTCCAATGAATGAGAGGAGCATACTGAGGGCAAGGAATCCTGTGTGAAAGACTCTTTTCTGCAAAGGTATGCATGTCAAGTCGACACACCTTTCTTAGCTTCATAATAGTTCGCGATAAGCTGCAACCATGTCCTCATCCTTGAGATAGCCGCTAGCGCCATCTAAGCTAGGTGTAGCATCCGCAACCACATATACTATACCCCTCCTCCCAGCCTGTCAAGTCGGCACCTGCCATGACGTTGCCGTTTTTTTCTCTTTTATTCTTTCAAAGCAGAAATTCTCCGAATTACAAGTTCTCTCAACCTCTGCGGGGCTACGGCCAAGATCTTGGTCCAGTTACCGACCGACCAGCGGAAACCGATCACAGCGTCCAGAGGAAACAACAAAAATGATGAGCCGATGGCGATGGCATCATACCGCCACGGCGGGAGATTTTGCGCAGCCCGTAGTCGCCGCTTGTTGCTTCGTGCCTTTCGCCCATCTAGAACCTAGACGATCCTAACCGAATTCCCAGCGCTCTCCGTTTGCGTGATGTCCCCTTAGTGTCTACAGATCACGCTTGGTGACGCTACGAATGGTATGCTAAGCAAGGCTGGGCGCTGCAGAACCGGAATCAAATCGTGGGCTTGGAGATGAACTCAGCTGGGGACTTGAAGGAAGCCAAAGAGCTTTTTTTATGGGATCTTATGTTTTATTGTTTTATTTTCAGACTGTTATAATCGTAAAACGGGCTCGTGAGTTGAGATCAATGGTAAGTTTGTGTTTGAGAAAACATTCTTTTGCTATTACCCACTTCGAACTTCCTAGCATCCCGATTATGACTCCACGAAAACGCTAGTAGATACGGCCTCAGACGTTGTTGCCCTTACGTCACTAAGTTGTTTCCCGACCCTAGTATGGGAACCGGATATTGTTCTAGATTGACAGTCATTCTCGTGTACAAAGTGTTTCACGTTTGAGAGACACAGCTCAGCGTTGTGTAGCGACAATATAATCTTCCGTTTCACGAAGAACCTAAAGTCTACAGCTATTGAATACAGTCTAGGTTATATTTGCTACCAAGTTCTGGACCTGAACCTTGTGTCCGGCGAGAATTTCGATCTGGTGAGGAGCGAAGCTATTTCCGCCACTGCCAATACTGGGACTGAAGGTTTCCGAACGGTCAAAACAATGCTTGAAGAGAACATTGACAGTAGGGAGACATGAGCATATCAAACCTATAGTGACCTCAGCTGTGCTAGTGATGAGGTTAGCTTAGTGAACGATTCCATAGTTACATACAAACTTGGAAATAGAGTCACATACCCGAGAAGGTTGAATTGGATGAAATCTGCCGATTCGTCGTTAGAGTTTTCAAGTTGAAGTACTAAAATCATGCGGACAATGCTTGCTGCTGTGGCAATGCCTCCAGCACTGAGCATAATGATGACCTTTAAACGCTTGACCCGCGACATCTTTAGTGTCCATGTGGCGGGATGGGTAGACAGAGAACGGCCAAGTCGGTCACGGTGCTGACGACAGTGTCAGCAACGAAGATTGCGCGCTGGTTCAAGCAGGTGGCTTCTAATGTTAAATCCCAAAACCCCGCAACTGGATTGCAAACAAGCGCCTTGAGTATGAAAACAGGTAGAATGTATGCCGTCATGAAGGCAATGACAGCGTGCGTCGCAAATACTGTTCGCTTGTGTGGCCTAAAAACCTTTTTTACAATCATAAGAAGGGCGAGCTTCGTAGAGTAGGCGCATGGACCGTAAACAAGACTGTCGGCATACAGCCCCAGGGAGAAGGTCAATCAGCGGCTCTCATGAAAGAAATCTGATAACTTACCTTTTTGAACCCAACGAGATTTTCATCTGATATTTCGTAGACGTGAAAGCCGCCACCATAATAGTGCACTTGACAGTAGACAGTGAGTCTAGGAATCTGCTTAAGCTAAGCGTTATCACTCACTCACAAGTGCCGTGGCGCTAAAGGCGAGAGACAATATCTTTTGGTGTATCAGTAGCCTGTTACTACAAGATTCGAATGCACATGAGTCTCATACCCAAGCCAATACAGCTACCCCTAGATGGTGTTAGTGTTGCACTAATGAATGCGTACTCGGGGACACCATAGCTTACAGTCGTCCACGCAGAATGGCGGTGCGATAAGTGTTTTGACGCATAATCGTAGCGACATAAACAAGCTGACGATTGCAACTGAGACAATTTGCGATACCAGATTGATGGTGTGTAGGTCAACCTTTGGATGCTGCAGATTGGACATGGTGGCTACTGACGGCAGGACTGCCTCTTCGTGGTCATACGCAACATACTAAATACAAGAAAATATGAATGTACAGCCATGAGCAGTCTTTGAGTTCGAAGTGGTGCTGAGCTGGACAAGATTATTTAAAGAAAAGAGGGAAATGAGCCACATGTGATGGACACAATAACATGGTACGATGTAGTTGCAATGCCGAAATACTCGTTAGAAAATCAGCTAGGTTACACGACTTTCCGCGTACAGGCGCCCGCACGCACTTATAGCCTGAGTTCATGCATGGAAGAAGTCTGTCTGATTTGCACAAGTGTGTTTCATAGATGAACTTTGAGGTGGCTACCGACAGGACTAGGATGTCGTTTTGCACCTCGTGTACAGTTTAGGGGAAAATGACAGGGACAATGATGTAGAAAGTGACCCTAGCTGTGCGTGCGAGCAGCTACCGAAACCGAAGCAACCTCCTTGCCAAGCGATTTTGATTTCGCTTTTTCTTTCACTAAATCGGAGCAATACGCATCGTATCGCGAATAGCTGACGGTTTGAGCAAAGGCTTTGCGGGCTCTTTAGCCGTTCCATTCGACCGTATATACACTTGGGGAAACAACATTAGTACATCCTAAATCCTCGCGTTTTGAGGAACTTGATCGAGAGCCATAATTGAATAACGCAATATGTGTCGTTCGAAAGCTCACCTCGCAGCAGTCAGGCTTTTTCAATGTCTGGCCGCATCGAGCTTTCCGCAAGGTCTCTGGAGGGCCTTGGGCGAAGCCATCTTCTGTAAATTATTCACGTCATTGGTCAGCATGACTCGAGCCGCAAGTCAGTTGAAGTGACCGCGCTGTTGGGTGCTTCGTACCATAGGTATTGATATCGTACTGTAGGATCTAGCGCACAGGTCAAAGGTGCTACCGTATCGGGTTATACGTACTGTAATCTTGTTTCCGCACAGGGTAAACTTTGTTACACTGCTTGTAATGGGCAGCTAGTCCAAGAAATAATACGTAGTAATCAATAAATCCGGCTTGGACCCCAGCTTAAGGACACATAGAGACCAACGGCCATGTCGAAACTCGGAAACCAAGCGCCAAGGCGAAACGTTGTTTGAAGCATATAGAACCTAGGTTTTCTTTTTGGTTCCCTGGTTCTTTGTCTCAATGAACCATGATGCGTAAGAACAAGTACCCATAGGAGCTAAGATCAGGTTCTACCACAGCGACTGTACCGTGCACAACTTCTTTGAGGTCGATTTGCATTCCTTGGCGACCATAATATCGGGAAGAAAACAGGTTCTGCAAAGACTGTTCCAGCAGACTTGACTCAGAGTGTTTTATGATTAAGGCGGGGATAATGGATCTTGAAAGTCAGGCAGCTTTGTCAGTTGATCTCAGTGTTGGCTGCCGTACCATATATTTCTTGGAGTAGCATCCAGAAAATGGGATGCATTTGCATTCAAACTGTCAACTACATTTCACTTCTTTATCTCGATCTGAGAGTTAAAAAAAACTGGTCTTGATTTCGTGAACATCACCAATGACAGTCGTCACGGCACTCTGATAATAATCACCCCGACGATGACACTTTACGGCAAGCCCACACTGAGAGTTTGAACATAAAAACATGAACGAATTCCCAGATCACTACGATTCCGTCAAATCTCCTGACTCTATTAATCCGTTACCTCCTGTCCTTCGCCATGGCCTCGTCGCAGCAGCAACAATGGGGTTCATCTCCTTTTTGGCCAGCTTCCTTTCATTGGCTTTCCAGATGTGCAACCTATCGTCATCGTATCCTAACAAATCGCCGCGGGAGAAGAATCCGATTTTTGAGGTTAATTCGTCAAGACTAATGAATGCAGCATTCCTCACAACCGGAAACTGGGACACAGTTAGCGAGGCTAAGGTTGCAAACGTCGCGAAAGGGACATGGTGGCAACGGGCGGTCGATGAGCCGCCAAAACAGTTCCTCGCCTTGATTTTCAACCAACTGCTTGCCAACCTTCAGCAAGCGCTAGCCTTTCTGCTGAATGTTGAGTGGTTGACGAGAGACAGCATCGAGGCTGGCACAAGCACATGTTCAATGCAAGGATGGTTGGCCTCAACAGGCAACTTCGCATCCTCAATCTTCGTTTTGGGTATTGCGTTGCACACCTATACAACAATCGTCTCGACCTACAAAATACCAGCCTGGGCTTTCCATACAGCTATACTTCTGACGTGGGGGTTTACCTACGGATTAGAGATTCTCGGCATTGTTATTAGAAAGATTTGGATGGAAGAGAGTAGCCCGTACGTCAGGGCCGGCGCATGGGTAGATTATTGAGAGCGAATCCAATTTTCAACCTGCTAACATAATGCTAGTGCTGGATCAACTCTAGACATCAAGCCATCCCGTTTTCTCTCCACGATCTCTGGATATTCGTTTCGCTGGTTGTTACAACCGTAATCTACTCAATGGTCTTCCTGCACTTACAGAAAGTATCTCGAAAGAGCGTCGGCCTTATCTCTGTCTGTGGTACAAGAAGACCAGCAGGAAGCCACGACAGCAGCGCAACATCAGGAACGACAAGACGAACCGTTTCATCAACGACGGGTTTAGGACAACTACCCAAAACACTGGCTTACACCCACCAACATAGATTTTTCTTGTACCCGTTGATACATTTTCTTTGCAGCGCGCCTCTAGCGGCAGGTCGCTTGGCATCCTTGGCCGGTTGTCAAGTTTCCTATGGCTATCTCTGTTTTGCTGGTGCTTTGGTCGCCTGCAACGGCTGGCTAAACACTTTGCTCTACTTGTCGATCCGGCAATCTATTGTCTCTTCATATGGAAGACCAATATCTAAGCAAATTGGAACAGAAACCTTTCCACCCATGTCTGGCAGACCTCCCGAATTCGGCACCACGATTACCATTGTTGGTGGAGCCTACCCGAACATAACAAAGAACCGTTACAGCAGGTGGTTTCAAAGCATGGGTTCCACGAAGCTCAAACTGAGCAACCTCAGAGAACTCAAGGTTAAAGCAAGTGATAGTATCGAGATGGAAGGATCCAACATTGGAGAAGGTACTGTCACGGGCATGGCCATCAAGTGCGATACAGTTACGACCATATCTGTGAGGGATGATACACTGACACCGCCCGTAAAATCCAAAATGGCTGTTATGGAGAGGAACTTAAGCGGCGCAAGCAGTTCCATTGGCAGTTCTTGTGTTGCTGAAATATAGAGTTTGGGTTAATCAGAAATGTATGCCTCAGAGCGTTAGATGCGCTCCATTTCGCTGTAACGTGCGTTGTATTCTAGAAGAGATACTTCCCTTAATGTCACTGAATCGAATGCAATCAGAGAAGGCAACTCGGTTGTGAGTGGAACTTGAGCTGGTGGGATCATCATATCGTCCAACTTCGGAATGCGGGAAGTACGAATAAAACCCGACGGCATGAACGTAGTGCTCCTGGATGCCAGGGAGGGTCTTTGAAAGTCAATCTGCTGAGCTATCATATGTCGCCCAGAGGTTTTAATTAATAATGAATCGATGACAAGGCATGGGGCGGTCTTGAAGTTAACCATGTTGACGAAAGGTGCGTGTTGCGGGGTAGCTAGAGTGGGAGCTTTGACAGTAGGGTGCTCTATCCATCGCTGCCACTGACACGATTTCTTGATGAGTTTCCATTGCGTTGCGCCACATTCAATGACAACAACGGCAAGCCCGACAACTTCGCGTTGACAGCCGAGGCCCTGTGGTCAGTCCTGCCAGGCATGGCAATGGCCACGAAACCATCCAGGTGGATGATCTCGTGAGCCCTCACCATGCCACTGCCCAGCCAAGAGCGTGAGCGTCATTTATAGATGCGCGAAAAGCCTCGATGATCTTATTCTGATGTACAACAATGATAATTTTGTTGATCTGGCCCCCATGACTACACTAATCTTGAGTGGCAGCCCAATGCGCTGTATGACTCGTATGTTCAGTTTCGCGGGTCGACGCCTGACTCTAATCGGTTTGAGGTCCTCTAACCCTATAACTTCAAAGATTGCCAGTAACGCATGGTTCTAGGCAACATCCCTGGCAGTCTTGAGAGCTGGCTCGGCATCCCATCTGTGCGGACCATGCACCTCTATGTTACACACTAGTACCAGACAGCTGCCCACCTTGTGGCATGGGTACGAGTCGAGACCTGTGAGATGGCCAAGAGGCTTGTCCATGCTATCATGGTATAGATTCTAAACTCCCCTTTTAAAGACTGATTTCGATAAGTGGACGAAGTCGAGCCTGAGTTTCCACGGCGAGTGACAGATGACTGCCGATAAACCTGATAGCAAAAAATGCTACATACTATAGCTGATCGAAGATAGTTGACCTGTCGTACTTTTTATTCAGGTATGCCAGACGATTCCTCGAGACGCGGAGCCCGATAGATCGTTATGAAGCCGTTAACCCTTTCCAACCTGGAAACTGACCTTCACAAAGTATTCAGTACAGAACCCATCGTGGTCAGAACGGCTTTCCGATCTGCTCCAAATCTCCTACGTATAACGCTTGGAAAGATGTGAACTAAGCCTCTGAAGTAAGCTGCAATGGCTCACGTAACATTTTACGAAGGTCATTGGAACACAAAAGGCCTAATGTCGATACTGTGAACTCAACCAGCAATACAGCCTCCAAAATAAGACCAATGTTTACGGTTAAGCACTTTATTCCACCCAAACCGGAAAAGGTTGACATTCTTGCAAACTGGACATGCTTGGCCCGATAGCTGTGGGGGAAGTACGAACTCGGGTAGGGGATTCATGATTGTAGGTTTTCAGTTGAACTAAGGAATCTGACTGCATAAGGCCGCAGAGAGAACTCCCACACAAAGCATATCGACCATTTCTGGCTTAAGTGTGCTAATCTGCAACGCAGCAAGCATAGGTGCTAGCTTATCAACTCTTTCCAACTGCTTGAACCATTGGAAATCATCAAGAGGAGACCAGTGTTGCACAGCTACTCATCAAACTCGTCCTATGTATCAAAAACACCCACTACTCTACACTAGGAAAAAGTCGTGTGCAATTCGTTGCCAAACAAGATTGGTTACTTCATTGGGTTGATGAAGAAATGATCGTTCGTCATGGCCGTGACATCGAATTTCATCCCGACTGATATCAACCCTTCCGTGCGTGGCACACAAAGCATCCCAAAGCTTGGTTTGAACTTCAGACCCGGATCGATTCTTCGATATTTCATAAGCTGGTCCCACGGCTGACGTGGGTGCTTGTCGGCCGTCTCAGGGTGGACGTTTGGAACCTGGCATCGGAGACAGCGACAAACGACGTCCAAGTCGAGGGGGACTCCACCGTCATTGATCCGCAGAGCTTTCCATCCGTCCTCGATCCATGGTTCGTTGCCCCGGATGATAATGTTTGGGCGGAATCGCTCAATCTCGATCTCATTCTCTCCGGCCTGAACGAGTCGTCCATTAAGCTCCCCTATGCTAGCCATGGATCCGACGAGCACAGGCATCATATCGGCAAATTTAACAGCCTCGCTACGGCCTAGAAGCTTGGGCGCACCGCAGCCACGAAGCACACGAGGTGTTGGGCCCTTGAACATGAGGCGAATATCTATGTTCAGAAAGTCTGAGATTGGCTGAGTCAGACTAGCTGGATACTCCCAACCATCTGTCTGTTCTCCCCAAATGCCAGCCTTCGCCAATTTAGCGTTTTTGCTAAGCCAATCATTTGTGGGATGGGCCGGAATATCGAACTTGTAATCTCTCAAACCAATGATGAGTTGATCGGTATCAGGGTCATAGCTTGTTCTGATTAGGGTCAAGTTGGAGTTGGTTCGGATGGTGATGAACTCGCGGGTCTCGGCTGCGATGAACATCCAGCTGCGGTCCAAGTCTAGGCCAGTTCGGAGAAGTTGTGTAGACTTGACTTCGAAGCCACGGCATGATTTGACTGGGTAGACACGTAGAGCCACGATTTCATCGCTTGCAGGTAAGGGAGGCAACGGTGGTGATGCAGTTGACGTACGTCGGCTGAGTGACTTGCCCAAGAGGGGAAGGAGGTGAAACGAAGTTGCCAAGCCAATGGTGACGAGAACTAGTGTCAGCGTGTGGACATAAGATATGTCTAGCAGGGCCATGTTGTTTTGGGTCGAAAAGCAAGAGGTTGGATGCAATTCCTTGTGACAAACGAAGATGGACAGATGGAGGCTTCAGAAGGGGTTTAAAATGCGATGCTGACTAAGTTATTCTACTTACAAATGAAGGCTTATTTTCCCCAATCCCGTCCCGCCCAAAACCTCACACCAAACCAGAGTGCGTGACCCTATGGATAGTCTTCCGCCAACCACAAAAAGATTGTGGAGTCGTCAATAAGACAGTTTCTAGTTGATTTGTCAGCGATTAGTCTGAGCGGGCCTGATTTATTGCGAGACCGAGACGAGCATCCACAGTCGGCGCAGTCCCGCGCTAGTCGTTTGATTCCAACCACAAGCATTCGTCATGTATTCTACATAGATACAATTATAATGAAGACGTCTATCTATGAGACTCAAATCAAAAACTTTTTGGAATTGACGAAGTAACTAATAGTTTGAGGCAAGAGTCGGTATTCGACGATGTCAAGGGGCACGCCAGAAACCTTTGTATGCACTCCCAAATAAGCCGCTCCTTGAAGATTACAGTGTTTGTAAAACATTCGAAGAAAACAACATCATTCACATTGACGCATCATACATAGCTATCCGAGGCATCTCGCCGCGTCTGGGCGTCTGGCTATAGCTTTGGGGTCATGATAAAGGGTTAACTCACCTGAGCCTATCTGGATGGCAAAGCCATGCAGGACCCAGACAATTTTTTCATCTTTTTTTTTTCAAAGGGGGGGTGGGGGGTTGGCAATGGATGGAAAAAATGAAAAATTCAATGAAGATTGTGGGATATTGAGTCCGCTAGCATTGTTGACAACCGAATATCACAGCATACTGGGTGCGAATGTAGCTAAAGTGGTAGAATTGAAGCAGCAACTCATGTGTCGTACTATCGAGGGAAGGGATCGCAAACAGTCGTGTTGAACTGAAACAACAAAATCAAGCTGATTTCCTGTATCAGCCCGCAGATGCTAGACTTCATTATTGGCTATGCCACCATCGCAAAAGAGAGAGAATAGGTCCGAGCTTCTGTGATCTAGTGCCCTCTGCACCGTTAGAGACAACAATAACTGTAAGGTGATAGAGTTGATTAATCAGTGTAGCTACTACCAGAGGCCGCCTCCACGACCGTAAGCTTCGCAATACCTCCGCCCCTGTCGTCTTACCTTGGGTCTCCGTAGTTGAACTCTATTATTCGCATGCTATCGTCAGATTGGTTCTTCAATATCCGATAATTTATCAACGGTGGTTGAAGAACATCGTGCTATTATAATAACAGATATCAAGTCATTGTATTTATGTCATATTTGATGTGTTGAAGGCTGTTTGATCTAGTCCCTAGTCATCTTACTTCAAGGCAGCTTCAGACCTTTGTAGACAACGTCTTCTATAGTACCGATTACATGCTTGCATGCTTGTCTAGCAATTGTTGTTATCATCTGCAAGTCCCTCGCCTTCTGAGTAGCTTCAGTCGTTGCTTCTATATTAATGGAACATGTCTAGCGTAAGGGACTGTTAAGATCGATAGATAGACTAGTATCCACCGTTGGTTTGTTAGCATAAGGCACCTGCACCCAAGATAAGAGTCCAAGGCTTCAGGATGCTCGTGAAAAACACACACTTTAAGAGTTGCTGTATCCAGAGAAGCTTAGTTACTACTGCAAGTAGCTCACTACTTATGACCATAAACCACTTTTGGCTTGTACAATGCCTCCAAGTGGGCCTCTTCTTCCTCCGTCAGGAATTTTCCTTTCGCATTGAGTGTGTCATCAATTTGTTCTAATTTCGTAAACCCTACTATGGGACTGGTAACTCTTTTATTGATCCATGCCAGTGCAACGTGGCTCATAGGCCAGCCTTTCTTCTTGGCGACCTCTGAGACTCTAGCTCTGATGGTCAAGTCCGATTCGGCCCGTCCAAGTGGACTGCCAAGCTTGTTTTCAAATTCCTCTCTCTTGCTCCGAGCGCCTCCCTCGGCAGAGGGCAATCGTGTGAGGCGGCCATTGCAGAGAGGAGACCATGGAATGAGACCAACTCCTGTTTCGTTGCAGTACCGGATCATTTCTCTTTCCTCCTCTCGGTATAAGAGATTATAGCAGTTCTGCATACTGATGAACTTTGTCCATCCGTGTAGCTCGGCCGTGTACTTCAATGGTTGGACTTAGCTGTTCTGCATAGGTGTCTTGAATTATCAGAACAGGCTTACCTGCAAGCGAGCAAACTGGTATGCCCACATGCTACTTGCACCGATGTACCGAACCTTGCCTGACCGGACAAGATCATCCAGGGCTTGCAAAGTTTCTTCCATGGGAACAAGAGGATCGAAACGATGAATTTGCAAGACGTCAATGTAAGACGTGTTGAGCCTACAAAGTGACGCCTCAACAGCATTGAATATTGCTGCCCTCGAAAGCCCAAACAAGTTTTGGTAGTCTTTCGATTTCTCCAAGGTTGGCGCATAGTACGGATCGGACACATTCTCACCCACGGGCCAAAAACACTTTGTCATTAGGACGACTTTTTCTCTAGGAATGTCATGCTCCTTGATTGTCTTGCCAATTATTGTTTCCGACGCGCCGTTGGAGTAGATGTTAGCTGTGTCCCAAGTATTGATCCCTTTGTCATAAGCGGCTTTGAGAAGGCAGATAGCATTTTTTTCGTCAAGTACCCAGGGGCGAGCACCGGACGAATCTCCTAACCCTGCGCATCCAAATATGGGGACAGAAATGCGGAGGCCTGACTTGCCTAAGTGACGGTATTCGCATTTCGTGGATTCCAGTGACTTTGCCAAACTGGGGTGGAGGGATACAACAGAGTGTGCCATAATGACGGTGAACGTGCTTCCAAATTGAACGTGTGACTAAAACGCTGATCAGATTTTATATTCGAAGATTAATGGAAAGAATGGCGTTCCAAGCCTACCTGTTGTGTAAGTGACAGACATTGCACAATGTTTCAGTTCCATGGAGTGGTGCACCTCCCACCCAAGCTCAAATCGAGTGTTAGACTACCTAAAGTTAATGCAAGAGCGATAGCTAATACAGCTCGATAACTCCTCTTGTACTCGTGATAAAGGCATGTGGACTAAGGAAAACACTCACCAAGGCCTTAAAATGATAGTTTTACGCAGAAAAAATGACCGACTACGATGAAAGGCTCTACAAGTTGGACAATACAAAACGAGTTTCTCTGTTATTCCTTTCCAGGTTTATTCTCGCTGGGTTACCCTAAATAGTATTATAAGCGAGCTTGAGCACAAGATGTTTTGCCTTTTCGTTTGACAATTTGGTAAACGAACCTAATACAGCTCTGCGAGTCCCTGCGGAGTTTGTTTGTCATGTGTCACCATTCTACGACGAGACAACTCTAATCACCGACTGCCCACTTTCCAAGCCTGGACCCATTGCGAGTCATACTAGCTTGTGTGATTGAAACAAATGGTTTTTGTAGCTTTATACACGTGTAATACAGAACTGGCAAAGTTTATGAACCAAGACGACATTACCGCCCTCCCTCAAGCTATCAAATATGAGGCCACGGCAGATTTCAAGTTTTCGATCTCTACATGGCTTGAGCACCAAACTTTGATCCGGGAAGTATCAACGAGGCGAACTATTGGTACAGGGCATATACAACAGGGTTTTTTGCATAAGTAGTCTCGAACTTGAGCTGCATTCCCATGAAACTCTCATCTCAGGCATAATGGGCTAATACTTACTAAGCTTCTTCCATGATGAATCTTAATTGTTAGAAAAGTGTAGCCGAAAACACCAGGGAGCACTGAACTGTGAGAGAACCGGTACGAAGACTAGTAGCTTAGGCCAGCCATTCATAATTCGTATCGTTAGGTATCAATCGACCTCCAAGTCCAACCCAACATGACTCAATCTGAGGTGGTATCTTGAGCTAAAATTTCATCGACTTGATGTTTTGTCACTGCAACCCGGTACTTAATAGATTTGTAGCTAAAATCATTCGGACCAAGTATTCTGCGTTTTTGAGTTTCTTTTGACTCGGTCAAACTTCCGAAGAATAGAAAATTCACGGATAGAACTAACAGTCATAGATAGTTGAGGAAGAGAGGAGTAGCGCTGGTAAATGCCGATTGGAAGTGTCCTAGTTCCAGTTGGAGAAGGTGCCGTGTTGACAAGGAGTTTGTGACTAGCAAGTATGAAGTTCCTACAGAGTTTGTTTGGAGAGTCTCGCTGTTTGATTTCTGATGAAATAGGTAAAAGGTTATGGTAGTTTACAACCCCACTTCTTCGTAGTTCCTAGAGAATCCTCTCAAAATAAAGGAGAACGTCCTCTGTACTCATTGCTTCCCATCTAGTTCCCAAAAGTGATCAAAATTGGCAAACTGATATTTTACATTTGGCCGGCCAGTCACAAAGAGTTGTCATGAATAGCATTTGGGAACATTCCGCTTATATTGATCATGAGGTGGCCTTGTCTACAGGCTGCTTTACCAGTCTTCCCATTCGCATACATCTGCGGAACGATCTTGCCGACGATGCCACAAAGCAGTCGATCCAGGACTGGGGTTTACATGTAGGCGATGGATGGGAGCAGAAGTCCGGCTCCTCATGGAGCCCGGTAGGTAACTGGGGTGCCTTCATTTTCCCTGAATCGCTCCCAGAACGGTTGGGTGTAATCACATATCTTGCAAACATGGGAAACATTCATGACGGTACGTCTTCCAGTTGAGACTCGTGCCATTGCAATATCTAAACACTTTAGACCTCTGCGACAATCTTTCGTATGAGGAAGCCCTCGAAGAACACAACAATCTCAGTCAAGCGATGGAAATCAATGCCGTAGGTTTCCATCGCGGGGCCAAGACTCATGACCGGTCGATGAAGATGAAGAAGTACCTTTCCAAGTGTCTTCTTGAAGCAATAGAGATCGACCGCCCACGTGCCTTGCGCATGATTGACTCGTATCGATCCAAATGGCTAGATGTAATGGAACGCAGCACCATCAACAACATTGAAAGCCTTGATGAATATCTTGTTTTTAGAAATCTTAACGGCGGCATGGAGTAAGTGAAACCAATCAGCAGCTTCAACTGAGCAAGTGACTGACATGGCACCAGGGCTTTCTGGAGCATGGTGGAGTTTGGCATGGCTATAGACATATCTGAAGCCGAAAAGCAGCAAATTCAGCCACTTTTCGCGGCCGCCGAATCAGCGCTTGTCCTAACGAACGATTATTGGAGTTGGGAACGAGAGTGGCGACAGGCCCAACAGGCCAAAGACCCAAGAATCGTCAATGCTGTATATCTGTTTATGAAAACCGAAGGCATCGCAGTTGACCAAGCAAGAGAAGTGGTGCGCAACCGAATCCTAGCTTACGAGGCCGACTTTTTACGTCTCAAGACCGAATTCTTTGCACAGAACCCCAACATCTCCGCACACCTCAAAAAATACGTTGAAGTCTGTGGTGTTATCACGGCCGGCAATCACTACTGGTGTGCGAATTGCCCCCGGCACAATTCCTGGCGCAATGGAAACGCTTCCCCTGTCAAACGAAGCTTTTCTTTCTCGACCAGTGACACCATTTCTGACAATTGCACTTTGTCGCCGGCCCCTGCTAGTTCAAGCTCCATATCGCACACGTCGTCGCCCACAACCGACTTGACACTATCAGAAGTTATCGGCTTCACCATTCTCACTAGCGATGATCAAAAACCCCTAAAGCTCAGCGACAGTGCCCTGGAAGCGCCGCAGCATTATATTCGCTCGATGCCATCCAAGGGCTTAAGGCGATCGCTGGCCGAAGCACTCAATCAATGGCTGGTTGTGGATGATGTTTCACTCGATCAGATTACGAATATCATAGATCTGCTGCACAACTCATCGCTCATTCTAGATGACATTGAAGACGAGTCGCCGCTTCGTAGAGGCTTACCAGCGACCCACATGGTATTTGGTAGGGCTCAGTCTATTAACAGCGCAAACTTCATGTTCGTGCAAGCCGCTCAGCTCGCCCGGGCGCTGGAAAATCCAGCTTGCCTCGAAACCTTCCTTGCGGAGCTAAAATGTTTGTTCGTCGGTCAGAGTTGGGACCTCTACTGGAAGTTTCATTTGCAAATCCCAACGGAGCATGAGTATTGCGAAATGGTTGACAGCAAGACCGGTGCCATGTTCCGGCTACTCACAAAATTGATGTTTCACTCGAGATCTGTGCTCGCAACTGACAAGGTGGCGCAGCTCTTGGGTGAAATGTGCGACCTGTTTGGCAGATTCTTCCAGATCAGAGATGACTTTATGAATCTCAATTCAGCCGAGTACTCGGATCTCAAGGGATTCTGCGAGGACTTGGATGAGGGGAAGATGTCTTACCCTGTGATTCTAGCTTTGCGACAGAACCAAGAACACCGGGACCAGCTCATGGGCATCTTCAAGCAACAGGCAATGAATTCTGCCAGAGGAGCCTCGAATGAGCCTGTGCGTCTCCCGCTCGAGACGAAGCGCTACATTTTGAAGCTTTTGAAGAGCTCGGGTGCTATGAACCTGACATTGAAAAAACTACAAGAGCTCGAGGCTGCTTTAGAGAATACGATTGATGTTTTGGAGAAAAGGTTTGGAGAGATGAACCCAGTTATGCGGGTTCTTCTGAGTAGATTGAGTGTTCGCGATGTCGCTCTGTAGAAATTATTAAGTGTAACTTTTCTCATTCTGAATCGAATGATGTTGCTTTCGCCAGAGCTCACCGAACCTGTGATTTCATACCATGATCATAGTACAACACGCGCCTTCGGAAGACCAAGAAAACAAACAACGAAATGCAAGGGGAAAGCGTGACTAAATATCAACCATAGAAAGTATAAGTACTAAAAACGAGCTAACAAGGATGCATCCCGTGGAAAGCTTCTTTTATAGATCATCTTCTTCCTAGTTATTTGTCACTTAGTTTGAATCAACACACCTGCAATGATCATTTGCTCTCAAGAATATCAAGTCTGATGCAACTAATATTTTGAACTTGTATATAGGGCATGTTCAAAAGCATATAGAAAAGACTAAGCCGTGGCTTAGTCCTTCATTCTTTCAAATTCTAAGCCCTTGAAAGGGGCGGTAGCGGACGTGGTATGGAGAAGCTTTCCAAAGACCCAATAACCGCGCATCTCTAACGAAATCTTCTTGTTCGTGGACTTGCTCCCAATCAAAGCTCCACGCCAGTTTTGCGATACAGATTCGAATCTCCATGTACGACAGGTGGATACCTATGCAGGACCTTGGTCCGATAGAAAATGGCTTCGATGCCTCCTTGTAATCGTTCCCAAACGTGACATCGTGGCGTGGGTGATCCTCAGGGAGCCATCTCTCAGGATGGAATTCTTTCGCATTGTAAAACCACCTCTCATCACGGGAGGTAACATGAGTTGCCGTGGCTATAACGGTCTGGCAATTGTTAACGCAGTGATCTCACTTAGATTTGGGCCAAAATTCATTACCCCTTTTGGTATCCATTTCCCAGCAACGTTGGCTCCAGGGCTAACCCTGGGTAAGCCAAAGGGCGCGGGATTAAAGATACGCATTCCCTCCTCTATTACGGCATTGAGGTACTTCAGTGACTTCGTAGATTCACCGTTAATCTCGCTATGCTGTCGGAATGCTTGGCGTACCTCCTCCTGGAGTTGCTTGAGATAGTCAGGGTTTTGCAAGAGATGGTAAGTAAGCGCAGACATAAAAGTGGAGGTGGTCTCAGTCCCAGCAGCAATCAATGTGCTGCCTTGAGAGGCGAAGAAATCGATGTTAGCTTCTGGAGCTTTCTCGCGTAATAAATGACTGAAAAAGTCGAACCTCTCGATATTTCCTCCCTTCTGAAGCCGCTGAGCAGCCGCATGACGAGCGTTGGCTAGATACTTATTGCGCATCACTTTGCTCCTCTCATTCACTAAGCAGTACCTCACGAGGTTCTGAAATGCTTTCCATCGACGACGTACCACGTAGCCAAGGGCAATTTGAAACCCGCTATTAGCAAGCATGTGCATCCATTCATTTCCTTCTCCTACTATTTGTTAGCTTTGATTCAATTTCAAGTATCAGTACTGCTACTCACCTCTCTCAACTGTGCCAAGCTCCTCGCCGAATGAAAGATCCGCAATCACGTCAAAAGCAAGCCACATGTACCATTGACTCATGTTCATGCCCTGCTGAGTATTACCATGTTTCGAAATTTGATCCAACAGAGAGTCAATATGTCGTATAACAATATCTCCCTGGTTACGAAGAGCGGAAGCGCTGAATCCAGGGGCTAGCCGTTTTCTGATGCCTTGATGAATATGCGGATCGACCTCCGTACCAATTGATCCACCGACGTCTGATTGTTTGTAGAAAGTGACGAATTTGCGAAAGAATTGGGGGTGATTGATGTTTGGCTGTCCATAAATGTCCTTGGTTGATTGTGGATGAGCGCATGAGAGCTCGTTTGGACCAATCCGCACAAAATCGCCATATTTCTCATGGAGCGCTTCTATCTCCCAAGGCCATTGACCCGAGATCCTAAGGTTATTAAGAATCTGAAAATTTCATAGGCATAGGAGATCCTACCATTTGCGTGACACCCAGAGATCCTGAATACGACCAGAAACCGGACCTTGTGTTGGTTAACCTTGAGAGTGCTTCTTAGGGTTAGATTCAAAGAAGCACTAACCCGGGAAACTAGACAGTGGATGAAAATAGAGGTTATAGATCGATGACAGGACGAGGTACAAGATACCCTATTGGGCTTAGTTCTGATCTCCAGTTCCGTGAAAATGCAGACTTGATCATGACTTGTTGACTTACTAAAGCAAAGGAATAAAGAGTAACTATTGCACTGAATGAAACTATCCAAGACATCATTTTGGTAGAATTCATGAAAAATTGGTACATATTGGTCCACGTTACAGTTACTGACAATTTTGTATGGGTCACAAGATAGAGAACAACGGGATTCCGAAGTGATCAATGAAAACCGGCACCATGGGGCTATGGTATCGGAAAACCGAATGAAAATGATAGTCCAGCATTATGTTTTCATCGGCAACCAGGAACTGTTCTTTCATAATGTGTTTCAGATAGAGACGATGGCTGAATTAATGCTCACTATCCTTGAGAAAGCTTACGATTCCCTCCAAAAGTCCAATGTACATGCTTGTTAGAGCATGTTCCTAATCAGAGCCGGAAACACAAAGTTATGAACTAACAGGATAAGTTCTTTAACAAAATTATTTTGTATTTCCTGAGTCATTCAAATGTAGGAAGTACTAGTATAAAACCGATTGGACCCTTGCGGACAACATCTCCACATTTTGGTTACTCAAACAAACGCTTGTAATCTGTGCGAACATGATAGGGCGGGGGTGCTTTCAGAGATGGTTTCACCTGTCAGGGATAACAGAAAGTCAACTATCAACGCCTAGTACTTGGAGTCTGCTAAAGTCTAAAAAACGACAGCCGCTGGTCTGTGCAAGTAAAGCTGTCGGATGCTATCAATGCATCTCGTATTTATGAAGAGCGAGCAGACCAACTTAACGCATCAACTGACCCTTTCACGCAATGAAGAACTTAGAAAATAACACTTTTGGATCAAAGGTGGATACTGCAGTGGAGATTCTGGGCCCTGGTAATAACGAAGTCAACTAGCACCCGATGCGATGTAGATAATTACTTCACCGGGTGTCAAGGAGTTTCATCGGCACGCTAGTCTGCGTAGGTAGCGCCACGGTGTTGTTGTTGTCGTCATCATCGAGAATTGGGAAAGTTCCAAGCCGAAGCAAGGCTTACCCCGCTGCGGATTTTATGCGTCTAGAAGTCAGTCCTCAAAGGATACCGATAGCGTGCGGAACACTAGCTCTGGTTGACAATCCAACCCTGAAAGCTCGATATCATGTGTCAATAACTTTCATCGACTTCCGTCCCTTCGTTCACTTCTAATTTAAGAGGTGGAGTTCACGGAGACAGTTGAGCTCATCAATCCATTATCTAGCAAGCACGCCTATCAGAACCATCCTATTCCGGTCGAAGTATCTCTAAGATGTCCAAGTTTATTAAATTCTCAATTCCATTTCAAAATTACCAATCAGTACCAATGGCCGATGCGGAAAGGGACAATCATGGCAGCCGATCTAGCGAAGAATCCAACATCGCTTTGATAGAGAAAGAACCATCTTGCCACAAGAAGTCGTCTCGAACTCGAAGGGCTCTAAGCTATATTAAGATGGCAATGAAGGACCCAGTGTTTATCGTGGGCCTTCTATTCTTCCAAGTGGGAGTCGGAAGCCTGTTTCTTGCTTGGCGTCATTCACATCGCTTCAATGGACGCTTGAAGGACATTGCAATGCAGTGTAGGTGGCTACAGTCTCTCAACTGCACATGAACTGACTAGATTAAGCGCCTTTGTTGGATCGCATCGAAATTCCACTGGTCCCACGCAAAAGCTATGCTCAATACGGTATGGGAGGGCCCGAAATCTGGCGTGCCGAGCCTAGCGAGGAAGTTGATAAAGCGTGGGAACGTGTTACAGCTGAATATCTTTTCCCTGTCAAAGAGTCGGAAATTACAGCCATGCGCAAAGATCCTTCTGTTGTTGTGCCAATGCCCGACAAGTACAAGACCGACGGGGAGACTACATACATGGCTAAATCGGCAGTCTTCCATAACATTCACTGCTTGGATTACATCCGGAAGGCAGTCTATTCCAGCCACTACTACCCCAATGGGACTGACGACAATCCGTTCCATGCTTATCACACAGCACATTGCATCATGATTCTCTTCGAACACTTGACGTGCTCAGGTGATCCTGGTGTATACCTCTTTCGCTGGATGGAAGAGTTCAATCGCCCGATTGCCGACACGAATATTTGGCGCCAGTGCTGGGATTTCGACGCTGTTTTAGACACGCACAATAAAAAGGCGATCAAAGAAATGACTGAAACGGATGTTCGGAAGCCTAATGGTGCGAAGGTTGTTCCAGCTCCTGATGGTGTTATGAACATTATCAGAAACTACCAGAAGACTCACCCTGATTATAATCCCGGACAGTAAACACTCCAACCCATTTACAAGCCAAGGAGGAAAAAAAAGGGAAAATTAGAGAAAAAAAGGCAGAAAGAAAATAGAAATACTTGGAAGTATGACTATTGGATTGCGGGTGAAAGTGATTCTAGCACAAAGTGGGGGTGTAACGCACAGACTGGATAGTTCTCCTAGTTACTGTTCGATTCATCTTTCAGACTGCTTCTAGAAGTTACTTAGTACGCCCAAATTCCATCTTCCGATATACCTCTGAATCTTTTTCAAACCCTGTGTGTCTCCTCAGGATGGCATTTGACTTGAAGTATTCATGAGCAAAGCTTGCTGAACTTGCCTAGTTGCAAAAAAAAAAAACCCCCCACTTCCCCTGATTGTGGGACATTTGGCCTGAGAGCCACTGTTGATTTCGATGCTGCTGAACTATGAGATTCAACGCAGAGATAACTGTGCAATAAAAATCGGTCTTCTAAGACTGAGCCTATTTTCATTGCAGCCAATTTCCGACAACACTATTTCTACTTACAAGTAGCTAAGATTATGGCTAAGTTATCTCTAGTCTTCGCACGCGCTTATCTGTCGTATGCTGAACAAACGTAGCCTGTGTGTTGCACCAAAAGTTTGCGTTGAACAATACTCTTCATTTACTATCTAAGACGCAGTTTAACCCTGCTTGACTCGAGTCATACATCTATACCCTGTCCATAGATAGGAACTGGAAACATCTTTCTCCCAATCGTACATCTCGGCGGCTTGCAAATCAAATGAATAAACAACTTTCGCAAGTGCCATCCTTATTGATTGTAGTGCCACAGCTCGCCCAATACACATTCGCGGGCCAAGGAGAAATGGGCAATGCGAAGAGCGGACATCACCAGCAAACTCAGTGCCCGGGCCATTGTTAAACCAACGATCTGGACAAAAAGCATCGGGCCGAGCCCAGTACAACGGAGATCTCTGGATAGTATACATATCTGCAGAAACATTGATACCTCGTGGGATATATATGCCGTCAATAATGACACCCGGCGATGTCCTATTTGTCCCTTTGCCGTTTGCAGGCGGGAATAGGCGCAGTGCCTCCTGTATGCACCCATTGAGCATTGGAAGCTGTCCCAAATGAGCTGCTTGTATGTCATTGGGTGAGGTATATCGGTGTTGAAGCTCTTCTTTTAGTGCCGCTAAGTATTTTGGGTGACGCAATAGCAAGTTCATCGTGGCGGAAAGTGAAGTAGCAGTCGTGTCGTAGCCAACCATGCTGCAGCGTTGTTAGTATGGATGCAAACAATCTCGCAACCTAGTTATCACTTACACAAGGAGAGACGCATTGCTCTTTAGCTCCTTATCGGTCATTTGAATGTTTGTTTTTCTGCATCTCATGATTGCGGTCAGAAAGTCCTCGTTGCTGTCTTGACGCTCATATCTTCTGTTACGATAAAGATTCGTCAGCTAATCGGACCAATAGTCAAAATGTTGTTTGACCCACTTCCGCAACTGAGCTGATGGCAAAATATCGGTCGGGAACCAGAACAGCAACGGTACTAGACTAATCCAGATATGAATTAAAGCCTGTGCTCCAGGTATAGCAAGCAGAACTTGAAAGGCCTCGAGTAGTGGGCTAACCATGCAGAAGGCTGTTTTGAGCCGCTCAAACTTGCCTGTCGCAGTGTCAGCTATTTATGGACTAACTTCAACTGAGTATACTTGTTGGAGTGCCCATACCGAGCTGATCTTTCAGTAAAGGTTCTCCGAAGGACAAGTCGCTGATGATGTTCCATATTGTCTGTGACAAATGAGGAGTCAAATCTATGACTGCTTCATTGTGGCACGCTTGCTTAATCCTGTCTACTAACTGATCGGTGTGGTTTTGCTGGATTGGCTCCTGATACAGCAATGCGCGATCGGTGAAAGCTGATTGCAAAGCTTTTTTTAAGCGCTGATGATCCCCAGGAACAGTGGCAGTGAGAAGGTTCGTCGCCGGCCAGATTATTTTACCCATCATCGCTTCTAGAGTTCCTTCTTTAGTGAAAAATAGGCCTTCTTTGGCTGACGCTCCGGGCCTATGGATAGCGGTTTGAGCTTCAATTGTGGCAAAAGAGACTTCGGTGGGCGACAGCCTGACGACAGGACCTATATAAATCAGTCACCGAATATAAACCACTTGAGATATGCCAGTTATTTACCATACTTCCGGTGGAGCTGTTGGACATCACGGTTGAGTCGTTGGTTGTGTACAGCGCGCATTAACCATAGCTATGGAGTAGAGTGTGTTGGCATTGACTGGCAGCACTCTGGGGAATCCACTGGGACCAAAATACTCACCGGAGATACTTTTGCCGTAAAAGGCCCAGGGATTATGGCGATTGGGCTGAGATAATAGTTGTATAGAAATGAGTAGGCTAGTCCAGAGAGAAGCTACAATCCGACGTTAAGATTTAATACATTGCAAATGCCATCACACACTCACAGTCCCTAAAATGAATTTGAGAACGTCATTGTAGCCGAGACTTTTACGAAGGAGTGTAACTGAAGTTAGACTGATACTTGTAAGATTTTGAGAAACATCGCCGCCATCAACGACTATCGAGCTAGCATGCAATAATGAGCCCATTGTGTGTCTTGGTCTGCCAAAGAAGCTGTGTGATGTAGTATTATACAATGATGTATGCTGAATTGCCACGAACATCACGTCGCAGAGGATTACTGCCCTATTGTATTGGCAAGAGAGCGAGTGACCCGATAAACAGGAGTGAGTTGCAGGGTTCATCCTGCTTCACAATCATAGCTCTCTCTCTCTCAAGCACTGATAGAGATAAACACACAAACAATACGAATGGAGCGCTTTTACTACTCATTATAGGTTTGAGTCATTGTAGTCGTGCCGATGGCATAAGGTTTAGGCGATGCTCTATATGTACAAGCGGAATTTCATACCCTTGTTGAACATTGTATCAACATATCACAGCCTAACAATGGCAAAAAGGGGCTTCCAGATGAGCACGAGGCCATCCGACACAGGCTCTAGTTAGGCTGTATGTTTGTCATCACTATTTTTTTATTTTTTGGGTTCTGTTAAAGTTATTATGTTTGTAACCTTGTTCTTGTTTCTTACAAGTGCTGCGCTGCTTAAGTCCTAACTATCAGTGATGCCTATAGCCCTGTACATTTGTGGGTCGTAGCACGGCAAGGCTTGCTCTATACTCCGGAGTATCGTTTGTCTCATTGGATCCTTCAAGCAATGAGTCTCTGATCAGGGTTTCCAATACGCGCATAAACAAGAACATCCTCTCCTGACTGTGAAACCCAGAGTTGTAGCTAAGTGTAAATCTGAGGCGACCACGGTACGTGTAGCAGTACACTGCAACTGCTTCTGTCTGATGACCCAGAGTCAACCAGAAGTCAACGATCTCTATATCGCCGTGAACTTGTTGCAAGAGCCCATCCAACTTTCCCAAGCCACTGTACTCCACTGATGCCTGAGACGGCCTCTGTGGCGAACTGTTCCGACTCTTTTCTCCCCCTGCACTTTTCACACTGAGCAACGGCTGCATAATCTGAAGTGCATCGGGGTTCCGCTGGAACGCACGTCGCTGTTTCTGTATTTGCCGGGCTGCATCCAATATTGACTCAGGGTTTTCGACATATGCTGGGCAAGCAACAAAGTAAACTGTTGCTGCGTGCTGCTCGGTATTGAATGGATGTTTGCACAAGGACCTAGCATCCACTACGACACCGCCTAGCCAATTGCCCTCTCTGAGACTGCTGTGTTGCTTTACTGCCATGATCACCGTACCGTTCATCAGATCGTTCATGGATATGTTGTTCGCTTTTGCCGATCTGGAAACCGCCGAAGAATCCTCGCTTGAGAGCACAAGACAAATGGTACTAACTCCGCTGGCACCAGGACCTGGACGATCTGCAACCATATACAGGGGATGGGCCTCTCGAGCTTTCCAATTTTTCAGCACATCGGTGGCCCATTTCCACATCCTGGGAGAAGTGTTTCCTACGGCCGCTGCGATATCTAAAGGCGGGGAAAGTCTCTCAGCCTGGTTTTCAAATTTTGGCGAGAATGGGAATGCTATCAAACTGCATAGATGGTTAAGCAGCATAAGCAAACCAATTCCATCAACGTTCTCGTGAGAGGCACACAATAAAACCTCCTGGGTGTGAGGCAAAAAGTGCAGTTTCATCCCAGTGGTAGGGAGAAGGTTCGAAGACAGTTTAAGTGCCGATTCAGCCGAGAAATGGACAAAAAAGGTTTTGGAAACCCATGCATCCACATCGTCTGGCTCAAGGGTCGATACCTTCATCTGGGTGCCTTCTGCGACAAGGCCAATGGATGGCTGGTCGCACCGGAGCGAGATCCAAGCTCCGCGAACTCGTGACTTCGCTTCAGCTTCGGACATGGTATACCGAAGTTTAACAGAAGATGAGAAGTAATAGTTAATTTGACCTGGGACGCCATAAACCTGTCGCAGTACAAGCTTTTCTCTAGTATCTTGTTCTCGGGTGTAGCAACCGGATGCCTCTCGGATCCACTCACAAGGGTGACGGTCTGAGGCAGTGTGGTCTCGATTCATGGCGGGGCAGGTCGTGGACTTGTTCCTTGACAAAGACTTGGTATGAGAATCCGCTTTAAACTATACTTGTTGCGTCGGCAGTGGATCGAACGACTTTATGTTTTCTTATATACACAAGATATATCTGTAAGTAGTCACTGGGCATGGTGTCCATGTCATTAACCACGGGATTGTGATTAAGCTTGCTAGGTGTCCAAGAAGGAATGTGTCCACTACGTTTTTTACCAAGACCACATTTGTCCAAAATTTGCGAGCCAAATAGTTGGAAGCGTCAATATCCGAAAACCTCGGAAAACCTTCGAGAACGGGTGGAGAGGGATAGGTACGCTTGGTTGCACCATTTGGGCTAGTTTAACAGTAGACAAGAGATTGACCTTGAATGAAAGCTTGCTTTACCCGGAATTAATATGCCCATCCGATACTTGACTCTGTATTTCCAGACACTAGATACTTTCAACACTAGAAGCCACAGCGACAATGAAAGTACTATCAAGTGTTCATCATGAAAGCCATAACGAGTGAGGATGATATTATTGCTTAGGCAATGCATACATAACGAATCTATGCGGACACCTGGCAAAGCTTGGCTATGTCACCGACGTTCACATGAATACGCGATTCCAACGATATTTCTTACCCAACTATATCACAGCAGAATAAACTGTGATTCTTGGATGATTATGTTCCCAAGTTTTATGGCACCAATCAACTTGCGCTGCGAATTTGGAAAGTGATGTTCAAGGATGTGGAATCAGAGCCCGAGGTTCCCTGCAGGTGATTCTTCAAAAATCGGCATTTAGCGGAAGCTAAACTTGACTGCTACAAGCTTAGAAATGACTCGTCGATATTTCATCTGCACGAACACAGTGATTAGATACTGCTGAATGCTAGGTTGACTGTTCAACCAAATGATATGTATCCTCAACCTTATCAAGCCCTGTTGGACCCGTGAAAATGGAGGTAAATTAGAAATAACAGCCTATCCAACTTTACTCTCCATTCATGTGAACTCTGTCTCATGGTCTCTCCACCCAATAGCCTTGGGTTCCAATATTTTAGAAGAGCAATAACTTCGTATCATATTCGCCGTACTTTCTGCTTTAAAGTTCCTTCTAAGTATAGAAAGCATAACTCGCTTTGTTGGTGGCATCTAAACAAAAGAGCCCGTCACAGGTATCATTTCGCGAGTCATTCCGATTCGCCTTTCTCGTGAAATGTTAAGCGCTCCCTTGCATTAGTTCTTACACAATTTCAAATCTTTTTTAGAACGCTTACTGAAATACTGATACCTCCTATATTTCCTTATCCCTCGGGAATTGTAGAGAAATACGCGATAGACCTGTAACCTTGGCACCAAAACCTCGACACACTCTGACGTGAGTCGTAAACAAAGTCTGCCAGGTAGACGTAGATGTATTTCTAGCCGCTTCAACTACCCTGCAGCAGTCTTTTGGAATCCTGGTGAACTCTGAGCATAATTATGGGCATTCATAGGCTGTCGCAGACCCGTTACGTATGGCAAGACTAACAGGTTTCCAGAGGCGGGGTAGAGCCAATGAAAGCTTACGACACTGTTAGAGTTGCTCAACCACTAAACAGGTTCTCTGATACCTCAGTTACCTAGCTACTATCGGGTATACCTGAGGTACTAATGTTCACTTTCGATACGTAACTATTACTGCTACTAGGTAAAAAGAATATGAGTTAATGATGTCCTATCAGGTGTCGATTAAAATACAGAGGAAAATTGGCTTTCATGGTTTATGTTTCAGCTATTGACAACATAGCATCTTGCCGCATTCGAGCGAATACATCTAGGTTATATTACTACTCTACTTGTTAAGAAGGTTCCAATGTATCCCTGCTGCCATGATACCGACCTTGACAAATGTGCCAGTCACTCAATCGCTCATCTCTTGGTAGACTGGACTGCTAGATAGACGGTATATATACATAGTGTTCAGCTTAGGTAAGGGAGTGCTCTAACTATGTGACCGTTTGTTGCCATGTTTTAGTCTACACTAATATTGCTGAACCATTTGATCTACTTTGAACCAAAACTCCCTCTATCGATACTTGACATATGTTTCTGAGCCATGATTGACTCGACGTATTTCATTGATTCTGCCACTTTGGTACGGAGGCAGAAGTATCTACTCCGAGGGCTCCTCCTCATTACTTTGCTGCTCGTAGCAGCATTATGGATGAGCGTAGATCTTAGACGAAAACGCAAGCTCTCTTTACCCGTCGTAGGGAGAAAGACAGACACAGACTTCAGATTAGCACTAGACGAAGGCCGACGGTTGGTGAGTTTTTTTTTTTTTTTAAGATCGAGGGGTTGAGGAATCTGTCGAGAGGCGTTTATACTGATATATCAACTACATCAGTACCCAGACAGGGCGTTTGTACTCCCCTCCGAACCGCCCATTGTCATATTGCCTCATATTCTCATCAACAAACTAAAGTCGGCTCCAGAGTCAAAACTCTCCGCAAACAAGGAAGTCTGTCGCCGCGGCTTAGGTCAGTACACTGACCTGGGGACTCCTATGCCAGAGCTGTTCCACGCCATCCAAATCGACCTCACGCGTCATGTGCGGGATTTAGTCCCTGTCATGCAGAAAGAAGTCATGTATGCATTCGACAAGAACTTGCGGTTCGATGACGGCGAAGAATGGAAAGAAGTAACGGCCTTCGTCCTCATCAAGCGTATCGTCACCATCATGAACGCGGTGGGTTTTGTGGGCAGTCAGCTATCAAGAAACGAAGAATGGCAAGAGATTGCATACAACTACTCCAGTGATCTCCGGAAAGCATTTGACGCACTCAATGGTTGGCATTCGTGGCTTCGACCAGTTGTTCACCCCCTCATCTTCCGGCGCATTGGTTTCCATGCCAGGCGTCAACGGGTAGCTGAAATTTTGAAACTGTCGATGCGCGCTAGCGACACAGAAATAACCAGAAACCCTTCATTGATGGACTTTATTCGAAAAAGACTTGGACAAGCACGAGCTGAAGATTCTTGGCGCCTTGCGAGGATGCAACTTCGAGCGGCTCTTGCTGGATCAGATACAGTGGCCCAGACTTTGACAAACGCTATCTTTGATATTGCTTCGTTTCCTGAACTTGGTGATCCTTTACGCGAAGAATTATCTACACTCACCTCATCCTTACCGGCTGGCAAGTGGGATATGGGCATGTTAAGGAAAATGTCCAAAATGGACAGTTTGCTGAGAGAATCAGCGAGGGTCGACGCGGCGTTTTTAGGTGAGCAATGCCTTGAGCCCCTCCCCACAACTTACTGACCACAGAGGGGATGATTGCAGTTGCCATGGGTCGTGTGACGACAGCGCCGTTGACCTTGGATGATGGATCTGTAGTGCCCGAAGACACTACCGTCTATTTTGATATGTACCACACTCACAGGTCATCAGAGATACAACATGGCACAGACACAACAGCATACGACGGATTTCGCTTTAGCAAAATACGAGAAGAAACCGGTTGTCCAAACAAATATTTCGCAGCGACAACTGGCCCTGATAACTTACCGTTCGGTCACGGAGCTCATGCATGCCCGGGCCGGTTCTTTGCCGTTGCAGAGATGAAGATTGTCCTTGCGCACCTAATGCTCAATTATGACATCAAATTAAAGTCTGGTAAAAGACCGGAGACTAATTATAGAGGAATAGCTGTGATAATGGACAGGAATGCTAAGATAATGATCAGAAGAAGATAGTTACCATTAGTTGGATGATACTACAAGAAATCAATTGTTCGTTGGGATATCAATGAGCGCTGCCGTAAGTAGCCGTGTCTTGGCAAAATGTGCGCGTCTCAATCGATTGCTCTCCCGCAACGCAGGCGCAGACAGATCGATTCTCGCAAGTGCAAAAAGACAAACTTCGACTTGAAAACGTCTGCCATGCAAGCTACTCGAACTCTCTGTCTCTATTGGTGACGAGTAAAGCATACTTTCAGACTTAGTGGCAGATGGTGTGACACCTCGAAGCTGCAGTGATCAAAGTTAGGTATCTATTTTGACAGAAGCTTGCTGCCAGGGGAGGTGTGTAAGCTTTGTATAGACACGAGCAAAGAAATTTAATTTCCTAGCCCTCGGCTTCTTTACGCGGATAGCAGAATTGCAAAAATATCCCAAGAGGGGTGAATTTGGCCGATGTATTCAGTAATGGAGCCACCGGACAGCCTGTGTGGCCAGCAGTTGTTTCTCTTGGTGATTCGGTCCCGGTGTTTTCGAGAGACTTAAACTTTGAAGGTGTGCCCACTGCGACAAGTTGTGCATGGTCGTCTTGGAAGGCTAAGCCAATCGAGCCGATATTCAGCAAAGAGGGTCGGAAAAGTTATCTACGGTCTATGAATCACTGGTTAGTTTGCTTCTAGCCCGCATCGTACGATCTGAATCCCGGACTAAGCGTTGGCATTACTCAAAGACTTGATCATTTCACGCCCGCTTTCACATGTAGAACATAGTTCATCATGAAATCTTTCTAGCAAAGTTCCAGGCCCAGCCAGGCACCATGTATTACGGTGAGCTTCAACCTAGAATCATAAAATTCGAGTCGCATAAAGAGTCAAAAGAGAAGGTTTACAAATCGCTTGACTTCATTGAAAATCAAGACATGTCAAAGTCTTTTAGTATGGAGCGAAGATGGCGAGTACAGATATCAATGGCATCCCAGGTGAGATCTTTCTGCTTCCCTATCTCAAGTACTTATTACTGATTTGATGCCCATAGAGAGCCTTCCAGCGTCTTGAGGAGGTCTGTGAGAGCAAACATACTACTTTGAAACTTAGCACTTTGATGTCCTGCTGTAGAACTAAGACCTTCTGCCACTTACCGGGCTTCGCGAAGTCCGATTGCCCAAGGCGTTACAAATCACGATACGCTTACGCGACGGATCCAGGCCGAGAATCAACTCGACTCTAGGGTTAACGCGGTGCTTATGTCGCTTCCAGCTTCACAAGGAGGGGACATAGACCTGGTGACGTGGGAGAACCTTGTGAGATGACTAGACCACGATGTATTCTAGTTATCGAGGGTCAATGGAACTCGTTTTTATCAAGACCTGAACTATCCACTCTAGTATCCAATTCTACTCGAAAACTGTCGTTTTCTTAGTTGTTGACTGGCCTGCAGCTTGTGTTCAATGAGTCTAGTACGCCTACTTCGCTGGTGGCAATAATGAGGTTCACTGGAACCCGGTGGGATAGCCGTGCAGACCATCCTGCTCGCCATGAGCCCAAAACGCGCCATCAAGCAGGCACAAATGCCAGCAGAGGGACGATAGTACCTGTACCTAACCCGTCTCTGGTGCGGTGCGTGTCTAGATATCTGCTACTGTGATTGTGTTATATGAACAGAAGAACTGTTAGAGTCTGTCGGTTTGGCAAAGAGCGCTGATGGCCTCTAACCCGGAGCTGCTCGAGGAACCGATCAAATGTCGGCTCGGCTAGGAACTGCTCCCAGTATAATACGGACTCGGTCCCGCTCCCGACTTGGAACCCACTATTTCTGCCCAAGCGAGCAAAACTTTGTAAGCGAGGCCGCTAACCGAATGATGCGAATTGACGCGAGGCTTTCTGGGGAATCAGAGGCACAGAAATTGGGTTCGCACCGCCTATCTCTAAGCGAGCTGCCGGAAGCGAGGATAGCCGAAGGGGCCATCCACTTGGCGGCGGACCACCATTGGCTTCGCCCGTTACCGTGTCCATCACCTTTTCCCGCCATTCCAATCTCAAATGTGGCCTGTGTCCGACATTTCATAACGGCCTTCGCATCCGGCACGATTCGACGTGAACATGATTCGAGACAGCTACCCTCTTTTTCACCAAGCGAGGGCCACGTAATAACGGGCCGGCCGACTGACAGACTGGCGCAGATGCAGCTGGAATTCGCGACGACATTCCCCCGATTCGGCCTGCCAAGCTGGGGCGCTACGGTACTATGTAGACCACCTTTATTTCACTTGCATGCATCCAAACAAACATGCGCCGCCACCCGACCATGCCAATGAGAAAAGAGCACAGTCCGATGGTCAAAGAAGGGTCGCGCATAGAGGATGGCAAGATGAGCCTGGAATGGCCGTTTGCCAAACCTATCAATGGCGTCTTCCGTATCGTCAGGCTGGGAGTCCTACCAAATCTCACGCACGGCTAACCTCATCCGTCGCCAGACAGTCAGAATAAGCAGATTGTTCCCCAAACTGCCATCTATGATCTCCATCCTGGATGTTCGGTTTGCGCTTGCTGCATTCTCTCTCACATGGCGCGCCCATCCAATCTGATGCTAGCCAGCCCCCGGTCCTTGCACATTGAAACCCCAGTGCCTCCCGGTCGCGATGTGAATGCGACCAATCACCATCACTCGAGTCCTGTCGAGCCTTGTCTGGCTTCCATTGCATGTCAAACTTGCCAAAGCTGTTAGCAATGTGTTTTCCACCTCCAGGGCCCCCCTTTCTTTCACCTATTCTACCGCCAGGGGCTTGCGTTATCCAATCTAACAAGCCATGGGCATGTGCTTGCCTCTCGCACTTCCATCGTGTTGCAATCTGCACCCGAGCTTGAGCGGTGGGGGGCCTGTGGACATGCATGTGGAGGAGGATGTGCAGGGAAAACGTGCAGCTGCATCTAATCCCACCCTCGCTTCGCCATGACCGAAATCGCAAAAAGACCAACGCAAACCTGCGCAGCCAAGCGGCGCGCAACGCTCGAGCTTGATTGGGGGGGGGGGGCCTCGATACGTGAAAGGTCGAGAGGGTCCTCGACCACGAGGTTGCATCCAGCAGCCAACAAAGCCAGTCGGACCATAACACAAGCGGACATGGGACAGGTGCATGTCATCTGCCGCTTGTGTCTACTTTTCGTCGTGGCGGGTATCGTCTTTTCTAACCAGCTACCCGAGCCTTCTTCTCCATCTTCGTTTATATTCTTTCGACACAACCTGCCTAAAAGCGCATTCTGAAGACTTGACTTCGCATCAGCCGCCCGTAACCTTCGTGTCTTTTGGGTCTCATCACAGCCCATCTTGCTCTGCCGCGTCTTTTCTGTCTCGCTTTCCTCATCTAGTCCGCTTGCTACAAGCGTCACACATCACGATTCCCATGTCAACGGCACATATTTGATCGACCACCACCTCAACGCCGCTCCCGTAAGACACAGCTAGAGGATCCGCGCCGATTCCTGCTTGGGCTGCCACGACGCCACCCACCCCCGAAACGGAAATCGTGCGTCTCCGTAACCTTGGGTCTCCTCGAACCAGGTAGTTTGTAGGGCGCTCCCACACGCCCGTCAACTTCTCCAGAAATTCGTCTTCAAATAGTACTTTCACCTGTCTGCCCTACGCTTGTCGCGTACAAGTGCCAAAGGCTGCGACAACGCCCCGCCCGACGAAGCTGCTTGCAGCGTCCACCACCTCGTAGCGATTCTATATTAATCTTTGCTAAACCAAGTCTCCACCGTCGAACAGTATGCAAGCCTTGCGGCCGTAAGACAGAGACAGAAAGACCAGTGCATGGGCCAGGGCCTTTGCCGCGCCGTTGTGTTTGCCCACCATGTCTCAACCAGACCGCGACAACATCGGCCTTGCTCCGTCAAAGAGCACGCCTCAGCAACCGCTGCCGCCCGCCGACGACCGACTCGTTGTCTTCGACGTGGACAAGATCGACCGCGCCAGCTCCGCTGAAACCTCAATGGACCCGACGGCGGCGGCCGATCTAACCGGGCCGAGTCGCTTCTCACTCTCCGGCGCCGGGCACATCTCGCTCGACGATGTCGAGGCCGTCGACGTCCAGATCCGCGGCCTGGCCGTCACCGTTGACACCTCGCCTTCATGGTTCGACCCTGCAACCTACGCGGAGCTGGCAAAGGCAAAGTTTAACCCTAAATCAAGCTCCAAAACTCTGTTGCACCATGTCAACGCTTCCCTGCAGCCCGGGACCCTGACGGCCATCATCGGCGGCAGCGGGTCTGGTAAGACGACGCTCTTGAACACCATGTCGGAGCGCATGATCAGCGCCCGCCTGGCCCAAGGCGGCTCCATTACCTTCAACGGCAACGAGGGAATTCATCACGCACGACATGCCTATGTCATGCAGCAAGACATCCTCCTGCCCACTCTGACGGTACGAGAGACGCTGCGATACTCTGCCGACTTGCGATTGCCGCCGCCCACGACAGCCGAAGAACGAATGCGCATTGTTGAGGAAGTCATTCTCGAGCTGGGGCTTAAGGAATGTGCAGACACGAGGATAGGAAACAGTCAGCACCGAGGATGCTCCGGGGGCGAGAAGAGGAGGGTCAGCATTGGTGTGCAGCTGTTGGCGAACCCTTCGGTCTTGTTCCTCGACGAACCGACAACCGGCCTAGACGCGACGAGTGCCTTCCAGCTTGTACGCACGCTAAAGAGGTTGGCGACTAAGGGCAGGACCGTCATCACGACGATCCACCAGCCGCGGTCGGAGATTTGGGACCTCTTTGACAACCTCATTATCCTAACCAAGGGAAGTCCCGTGTACTCGGGGCCGGCCGGCGATTGCGTACTGTGGTTCGAGGCTATGGGTTTCAGGTTGCCGCCTTTCGTCAACCCGGCCGAGTTTCTCATCGACATCGCCGCCATCGACAACCGTACACCCGAGCTTGAAGAGGAGACAACTGCACGGGTCAACAAACTCAAAACTGCATGGGTTCACGACTCCGAGAAAAGGTTCGAGCCGTCAGAGAAAGCCGTCCAAACTGTCGGACGACGACAGGGCGCCAGGTCTGAAACGAACAAGCACGCCACGTATGGCCGGCAAATCAAAGTCTTGACTGACAGGACGTTCAAAGTCACATACCGTGACCCGATGGGCATGTTAGCATCCATTATGGAGGCCATCCTCATGTCTGTTGTCACCGGATACATCTTCTTCAACCTGCCCAGGGACCTCTCTGGCATTCGATCCCGCCAGGGAGCTCTGTACACCGCCACGGGTCTACAGGGATATCTGACGCTCATGTTCGAGGTCTACCGGCTTACTGTCGACATACCGACTTTCGACCGCGAGCACAGCGAGTCTTGCGTCGATGCAGTTCCGTTCCTCCTCTCTCGCCGCTTGGCTCGCCTCTTCACCGAAGACCTACCTGTGCCCTTCCTGTTCTCCGTCATCTTCTACTTCATGTGCGGCTTCGAACGAGATGCCAGCCAGTTCTTCATCTTCTTCGTCGTGACGCTGCTCAGCCACTATATCGCCGTCACATGCGCAATCACTTGCGTCGCGGCGTCGAGGAGCTTCCCAGGCGCAAGTCTGATTGCGAACATGGTCTTTACTCTGCAGAGCATGGCCTGCGGCATGTTCATCCAGGCGAACTCGATCCCGGTCTACGTGCGCTGGCTGAAGTGGATTACATACTCGGTGAGTACTACAGGCACAATGTTTGATACCCGTTCTGACACTACATAGTTCTACGCCTTTGGCGCCTACTGCGGCAACGAGTTTGAAGGGAACTTTTACGGCTGCCCGTTTGAAGGCGGGATCTCCAATCCGGAGTGCGCACAGTATACCGGCCGGTTCGTGATGGACTCTCTCGGCTTCCCAAGCAACTGGGTCTGGAGGCCTATTGTCGTCCTGGCGGCCTTTGTCGTCTTTTTCTGCGCCTTGTCGGCCGTTGGGCTTCAGTACATCAAGCAGGAGATGACGATTGCGCGTGCGAGGAACTCGGATACCGATCTTTCGGCCGGGAAGGAGAAGATGACGGCGCGGTCCATCTCCGAGGTGCGCACCATTGACGTGGGATTGGACAGCTTCGCACTGGCCCTGGAAAAGAGGGCGCCATCTGGAAAGAAGCTGCCGACCAAGACTATTCTCAACCCTGTCAACACCACGTTCCAAGCTGGCAAGCTGAACATCATCATGGGGCCGTCCGGCAGCGGAAAGACGTCCCTTCTCAACGCCATGGCTCTGCGGCTCCACAACAGCGTCAGCACCCGATACCTGCCGTCTGGTAAGCTCACGTTCAATGGCGCCTTGCCGTCGAACTCTGTCGTCCGCTCGATATGCTCGTACGTCTGCCAGGACGACGACGCACTCTTGCCGTCGCTTACGGTGCGCGAGACACTCAGATTCTCCGCTGGGCTACGGTTGCCATCCCACATGAGCAAGGACGAAAAGTACAGACGGGCGGAGGAGGTCCTGTTGAAGATGGGTCTCAAGGACTGCGCCGACAACTTGGTTGGGAACGAGCTTGTCAAGGGTATCTCGGGAGGCGAGAAGCGGCGAGTCACCATTGCCGTGCAGCTGCTCAGCGACCCCCGCGTGCTACTGCTCGATGAGCCAACCAGCGGCCTAGACGCGTTCACGGCGAACTCCATCATGGAGGTGCTGCAGGGTCTCGCCAACGAGGGCCGAACACTCATCCTTACGATCCACCAGGCACGCTCCGATCTGTTTAAGCACTTTGGCAACGTCCTGCTCCTCGCCCGCGGCGGCTCCCCCGCGTACGCCGGCTCGGCCACGGACATGCTGGGGTACTTCCAGCGGCAGGGGTTCGAATGTCCCACGCACAGCAACCCCGCCGACTTTGCGCTCGATCTCATCACGATTGACCTGCAGCACGAGACGAGGGAGGCCGAAAGCCGCGAAAAGGTCAGGAAGCTGGTGGAGGCGTGGCGAAGGGAAGCCGAGGCGGCGCCACACGAGAAGACGGATGGGAAGACCGGCACAGGCCGGCTGTCCGGCATCGACGAGGAGGACCGGAGCACTCAACAGACCGAGTCTACACCAGCAGCCCAAGTCGTGATCACGAAAGCCTCGGCCGACCGCCCCGCCGTTCCAGGCCCGCGCAAGTCCTTCAACAAGGCGAGCCTCGCGACGCCGGCGGAGCTCGGCGCCCTTGTCCGCAAGCGAGCGTCCTTTTTCACGGCGTTTCCACTGCTCCTCCACCGCGGGCTCATCAACTTCCGACGACAGCCGCCGCTGCTCCTCGCGCGCATCATGCAGGTGGTGGGGCTCGGCGTCATCCTCGCGCTCTTCTTCTCGCCGCTCAAGAACGACTACTACTCGGTGCAGAACCGCATGGGATTCGTGCAGGAGATTGGGGCGTTCTACTTCGTGGGAATGCTGCAGAACGTGGCCGTGTACCCGGCGGAGCGTGACGTCTTCTACCGCGAGGACGACGACGGCGTGTACAGCGTCGAGGCGTTCCTCGCGGCGTACTCGGTGCTGGAGCTGCCATTCGAGATCATTAGCTGCCTCGTGTTCGGGGTCCTGGCGGACCTGGCGGTGGGGTTCCCGCGGACGGCGACCATGTACTTTGTGTGCGTCTTCTCGTGCTTCGGGGTGGTGTCGTGCGGCGAGTCAGTGGGCATCATGTTCAACACGCTCTTCAACCACACGGGCTTCGCCGTCAACCTCACGTCGGTCATCATGTCGGTGGCCAACACGATGGCGGGGATCCTGTCCATCGACATGCCGCGGCTGTTCAAGATCTTCAACTATCTGTCGCCGGTCCGGTACGCGACGCGGGCCATGGCGCCATACAGTCTCGACTCGGTCACCTTCACGTGCACTGACGCGCAGCGGCTGCCGGACGGGCAGTGTCCCGTGGAGACGGGCGAGGACGTGCTGAACTTGTACAAGCTCAACGTGGACCCCAACGTCAACATTGCGGCGCTGGCGGCGTGCGTCGTTGTCTACCGGCTGGTCGCGTGGGCGCTGTTGCGGGGAGTGCGGACACGGTTGGACGGGTCCAAGAAGAGGAGTTAGAGATATGCATGCAGCCTCTTGGGCGATAATGTTTGTTGTATTTGATTCGCATTTGCATTTGCATCTCTAGCGTTCAAGCAAGCGGACTAAACTATTTTTTGTTTCCCTGATACCTCTTTATTCTTTCCATCGTGTCTGGTCTAGTTAGATAAGCGTCATTCACTACATCTGTAGGAGAAAAACCAAAACCCCATCTTTCAAAAAACATGTCCTTGTTATGCCCATTGTCGAGTCCCATGCTTGTGGAAGCGGCCAATCGAAGCTATGCTGCAATCAGCCAAACAGCCGAGCATGGCTTGCCCCTCCAACTTTATCGATAGCCGAGCAACGGTTTCTAAGGAGCATGATCCCGGTTGTCATGACCTCAAGCCTGGACTCCGCCGGGCGGTGATGCAGACGCTGCGGTGCCGATAAGGTCCCGATTCGGAATCTGCGCAGCATTTGCAGTGGAGCTTGCTGTTGCAGGTTTCTCCGCCTGAGCGATAGCGGCGCCGAGGATGTTCGGGAGCTTGAAGGAATAGCTTGGAGCTTGGGAGGGGGAGCTGCGCGCGCTGGGATCGCCGGTTCGGATGAACTGATACGCACGCCAGACTCACTCGAGTCACTCACTCGCGCTCACTCGCTCACTCACTCTCACTCCCCATTTGTCATACACGTAGCGTAGCACATCATCGCCTAAACCTCGCCTTATCTTCCACCTCGACTCTTCGTCTTCCTTCTTCCATCCTCCCTCTTTTCTCTTCATCCTCACACCATCTCTTCTTCGCTGCCGTCAATTGAGACACACCGAGGGGCCGCCACTCTTCACTACCAATTCCCTTCCTCATTGGCACACCATGTCCGAGAAATTGCCCCTCGCCCACCCGGCGCCGGCGCACGCTCCTCCTGCCCCGCGCCGCGCACGTCGGGCCGCGTGGTGGTCACTCATCCCCGCCGCCCTCGTCTTGGCATACTTCCATGCGCCGTCCTCCTTCGGCCTCGGCCTCGGTCACGGGCATCATCGCCAGGGCTCTTCTCCTTCGGCGGCCGGCGGGGGTTGTCACCAGGTCGACCCTCTCTTCCCGACCCTGAACTCGACCGGCCTCTCGCAGCTGGAGTCGTACCTCGACAGCCCCAAGTTCCGCAATGAGACCGTCGCCCGCCTCGCCGGCGCCATTCAGATCCCCACCGAGTCCTTTGACAACTACGGCGCCGTCGGAGCCGACGACCGCTGGGACAAGCTCTTCGCCTTCTCGGCCTACCTCGCAAAGACCTTCCCCAAGGTCCACGCCGCCCTCAAGCTCGAGCGCGTCAACACCCACGGCCTCCTCTACACTTGGCAGGGGTCCGACGCCGACTTGAAGCCCACCGTGCTCATGGCCCACCAGGACACCGTCCCCGTCGCGCCCACCACCATCGATAGCTGGACGCACCCGCCCTTCAGTGGCACCTACGATGGCACCTACGTCTGGGGCCGCGGCGCCATGGACTGCAAGAACTCCCTCATCGGCATCCTCGAGTCCGTCGAGCTGCTCCTCGACGCCGGCTTCGCCCCCAAGCGCACCCTCGTGCTGTCCTTTGGCTTCGACGAGGAGATCTCGGGCGAGCGCGGCGCCGGCCACCTCGCCTCCTTCCTGCTGGACCGCTACGGCAAGGACGGCGCCGCTGTCATCGTCGACGAGGGCGCCGGCTTCGACACCCAGTGGGGCAAGAATTTTGCCATCCCCGGCACCGCCGAAAAGGGCTACATCGACGTCGAGATCGTCGTCCGCACTCCCGGCGGCCACAGCTCCATCCCGCCGCCCCACACGGGCATCGGCATCCTGGCGGAGCTCGTCACGCTCATCGAGGCGAACCCTTACAGCCCCGAGCTGATCCCCGGCAACCCCTACCTTGAGAAGCTGCAGTGCGGCGCCGCCTACGCCCCAGAGTTCCCCGACAATCTTCGTGACCTCCTGCCCGCCGCCGACGCCAAGCAGGTGTGCAAGAAGAAGACGGACCGCCTGGCCGAGGAGGCCGCCAAGGCCGGACCCCAGATCAAGTACCTCTTCACGACCTCGGTGGCCACCGACATCATCGAGGGCGGCGTCAAGATCAACGCGCTGCCCGAGCGCGTCCGCGTCGTCGTGAATCACCGCGTCAACGTCGGGGACAAGACGGCGAGCGTCAAGCAGAGGCTCGCCGACATTGTGCGCCCCGTCGCCGAAAAGTACAACCTCACCCTGCACGCCTTCGAGGAGGGCGGCCAGACCGAGACGCCCTCGAGCATCACGCTCACGGGCAACGACAAGCTGCTGGAGCCCGCGCCCGTGACGCCCACCGAGGTCGACGGCGTCACGCCGTACAGCGTCCTCTCCGGCACCACGCGCGCTCTGTACGGCGAGTCCCTCATCGTCTCGCCGGGCCTCATGACAGGCAACACTGACACGCGCTACTACTGGGACCTGACCAAGCACATCTTCCGCTTCTCGCCGGGCTACGACGCCGAGAGCGACGAGTGGGCGGGCATTCACACCGTCGACGAGAAGACGAGCGTCAAGGGCCACATCAACCTCGTCAAGTGGTACACCATCTTTGTGAGGAACGTTGACGAGGCCGAGTTTGCTTGAGCGCACGTGATTTTGGACCTGCCTGCTATCATCTTGTGTACGGACTATATAGAATATAGCTAGTGGTCAATAATGATGGCTCTTCGCTCTCTCTTCTAACTTAGATTGCAGTGTCTTGTGCGATTCAAGGCGCTTATCTTGCTATAGTCTCTAAGCACCGTTTAATCTGTTTCACAGCCCCTATCGATGCTTTGCCCATTAACCCCCGTCGTCGCACTTTTTCTCGGTCTTTTCCAAGTTGAAGTGGGCCCGGGACGTCTACAGACGTTTGATTTACCATTTTCCAGCCTCTTCCGGCCATATACTCCGACGTTAGTATAATTAATTGCCGATACACGTGTATCTCCTTCTTCTCTCATGGCCAACTTGATTGAGAAACCATTCGATTGGTGGGTTCTGATGCGCATATTACATTTGTTGTCATCTCAGTTCCCTTGTGACAATTGACAGGCGGTTTTTGGCTTTGAGTGTTGCTCACAGTATCCAAATCATCCGGATTTGACATAGGAGCATGACGTGACGACCAAAGGGAGGAAATGAAGAAAATTCCCAAGTCACCCAGAAACTTGAATCACTCAAACCATGAGGCTTAGTGTGAAACTGATATAGAAATACCGTCAAAACAACTGTTTAACATTTGAAAACACTCATGTTGGCGCAATATCTTCTCGCCTTGTATCCCATCTCATTCTCAACTACTTTCTATTCAAAAATGTGTTTCCTCCCAGATCCCCAAATAAGTGCAGCCAATAACAACGGTAGCCGACTTATTGCCATTTAGCACTTTCTGCAGGCTCCGGTCTTAATGTCACAGCAGTCGCAGGCGGATCCATCCTGAATGCAATGTTAAATCTTGTCCTGTTGCACACCGTGCACGGCTTGTTGGTTGGCGGCTATGACTTACGCTGAGGTTGGTGCATCCAACAGGGCATATTGAGACCGCGCAGTATGACGCGGTGAGAGAGACTTTCCAAAGTTGGGGCTGTTTCGTTCAGTCACATTAGTAAAGCAATTCTCCTCAATTCCAAGGTTGCACGGGACTCACCGGGCAAGCTCCAGGGCCGTTATGGTTCGTGTAGCAGCAGGTGTCCCAGTAGCACTGTTGTGTTCGACAATGATTAGCCTTATGCTTCCAAGCGTGTTGAGGCACTAGCCTGCTACCAAGTCGGCGTGTGTGTCAGCTCGTTCTTCTATCCTTGGTCTTACTATTGCGGAGGCCTGGTCAATCACCACGAAGGCGAGGACTGTGGCGAAGAGAGAGTTTGAGACCTGCATGGTGGAGAGTCTTTTTGGGGAGCTGACTTGAGTAAAGAGTGAAAATTGGTCGAGACCGGTCAATGAGTGAATATTGTGCAGGTGGCTGGAAACGAGAGTAATGTGCCAGTTTCAATGTGCTGCGGACAACAACATCAGAAACCCATCACGGCGAAGATGCAACATGACTTATATATCGAACCAATGCGTCCTTTGTTTGGCTATTCTTGGGTGCACAGTCCAGATTGGGGCCGGCTAAGGGGTCCGGACCCAAGAGTCATGTTGTGATACGGGCTCGCCGGGGCAGCCTTGTACTGACAAACGTTCGAGAACATTGCCGCGCTCGCACACGGATCATACCTTAAACAGCTTTTCTCTTTTTACCTGAACTTGTTTATGCCGCCAGGCGACATTAGCACCAAAACAACATTCAGAAAGACGAGATAAGTTTCACCAGATGAAAGAATGGCTTCAAACGCAAACTCTTCTCTTCTTTTTGACACTTTCAGTATCATTCAATTCTTGGGAGTTGTAGAATCAGTCTAGGTAGCAAGGTAACGAGGCGGTTTCTCCACTTCTACCCGAGAGACTCGGGACGAACATACTGCAAGACTGACTATGCGCCAGGCAGGGGTTCTCCCAGAATAGTCAATGCAACGTCAACATCCACTGTAACGCTCACTTTAATCTACCGGCGAGGCCGCAGAGGAGAACTGCACAAAGAATCTACTCTTATAGCTGTATTGACCGGAATAAGGCTTGCCGCACCGACTCATGCACAGCAGCGCGCCCAAATGAACACCCAGATCTGCGTTCCCCAAGATGCCGGCAAACTGCCGGCTCCTAGATTCCCCTCTCTCGGTGGACGCGATCGACATTATAATTCGGCATAGCTTTACGTGTAGTGCAGGCATGACCATTTCGGGAAGTTTCCGGGGCGTGTCACGAGCCATTCCCTTCACCTCGTGTATCTCCAAGAAAAGAGTTCCCGGGTCCGCACCGCAACTTAATCATTAGGGGCTGTGCTTTTACTGCGACCATGACAGCCAGCACGTGTTGTCTGTTGCTTAGCATCGTTTAAAAGAACGACTACTGTCCACATCATCTGGTGGCTTCCCTTGTGAGATCACCTCAGTCTTCATCGCCTTGCACAATCTTTGATCCCCGTCCTTTTTTTACACCTACACACGTCTGCGTGTGTGCCACACTCTTTTCTTATCAACACATCCGTCCAACCCCTTGTTCGTTAGGACAGTTCGTCAAGATGAAGGCTTCAATCATTCCCCAATCTCTGCTCTTCATGGCCTCCGGTGTCGCTGCCGCCGGCCGCTACTGCTCATGGCCCCTCGAACGTAATATCGAGAGCGTCACTCCCATCTGGACTGAGCCGCAGCTTGTGGCCGGCGTTTTTGTTGGCCCTTCCTCGACCACTGGCACCATCGCTGCCGGCTACGTGTACACCTCGTCGTGGACCATCACTGGTGGTGTGTCTGGTACCGCTGGCTTGTAAGCTCTAATCTCTCCGTTAGACATGATGCCCCATTACAAACCCCAAAACTCTGGACTTGTGATCCCTTGTCCCAGACAAACAGTTTGATTTGCTTCCATCTTGCTTCTACATTTTTCTAACCTACTTTGGAACAACAGGGCTGGCATTGCAAATATCGGTGTCTCGTCGTCTTACGGTGTGACAACTGCCAAGGGTACCTCCTTGACCGTCAGTATTGCGTGCCCGGCCAACGTGCGTTGCGGCATCACGGCCTCCACCTACGTCCTCGAGATCAATGGTACCGAGACCATCTACCGGTGCGGCAGCAAGAACATGTACGACACGTCCTACCCTTGCTCCGACACGGCCGACTCCCACTGCCCGACGACATTCTGGAACACCACTGACGGCGCGGTGAAACCCTTCACTGCTGTAAGATACTTTTCTCCCTTGATTTTACTTTTTGTCATGCTATGATCGAGGTCAGGAGCCGACAGGAAAAACATACTAACCGATGGTATTTCCCGCTTTTAGTACCTGCCGCTGGCCAAGAGCAAGTCAAATGTCGACCAGCTTCTTGCCGTCAACTACAACGCTTGCACGGCAGGCACGCCTTACGATGGAATCAAGCCCTGCCCGGGATACTAAGCGTCTTCAAGGGTCCAGTAATACAAATTTGTGGAGTCTATGAAAGGGGAAACGGACCACGTGGGCTTGGACCAGAGGTGGTCGAGTCAAGCAGTGAATAGACTGGACAAGGAGAGGGGGAAGCATAAGCTAAGGCTTATGTAAAGGGTTACAAGGGCGTCTAGGGCTTCGCTGTTTCACACAAGGTGGTTTTAAAATCGGGTTTGTATGTTGCCCTGGTCCACGATGTCAGCGTTGGGGGGTGTAAACCCCGGAGCATCCTTTAGTCCGTTGTCATTAGGCTTTCAGAAGATTGCGAGATGTATTGAGTCCGTCTTCTACAATCGACGAGTTTCCTTCGAGCTTTCCGCCCGGGCTGCAAGCGGTGGATGGAATGCGGGCAAAATGGAGCACCTAGCTTAATTGGCGTTTTGCTGTAATGGAAGGCTAGGGTCTATTGATAGCAATAAGTGTACCTTAACAGAATGCACCGCATATTCATCTTGTACAGTCTATTTACCAGAAAAGCATTATTTGAAGCCGTCGCAGAAGAGAGGAAGGTGAAAGAATAGACTTGTTATCGGTGCTGCGCAGGGTCGGACACATTACTATCTATGCGGCAATTTATGCAGATTGCAAGCCAATCATTGACACATCAACATATGAGTAGTACAAGAGAGATTTGGAAGGTAAACGGATATTCCAGAGCAAGGATTCGAAGATGTCGAGGACATGCTGAGAACCGTGAGGCTGGACTACCCATGTTGAAGAACGCTGACTGTTCTAGTCGAGCCATTCAGTGTGATACGAAGTGCGATAGCAACTTGCTGTTGTTGAGCAAGGATGGGAGAAACTTTTGCTGGCATTGACTTGCCATCCGTGTATGTTGGGGGGCTAGAGGTTCAAAGCGACTGGAGAAATCAATGGACTCTGTTCTGTAAAACAAAATGAAAATGTGATTTCGAGATTTTCGGAAACTGCAAGCAATCTCTTTCCCGAGATGGCTGATCTTTCGAAAATGTAATCAGCAGAGTCTGAACGACGCTGTAAAGGGTAATATTTCTTGGCTGTTTGGGCCACGTCTGCTTACCCTCCTATCATGTTATTTTGTGGTTTTCCTACTATTCAAGTGGCGAAATCCGTCCCAGCCACGCGTCTGACACTCTAGGTGATTGCACCTGTTTTGGCCATTGGGCTAGGTGGTGTACACACCCTTCCACCTAGGCTAGCCTCACTTCGTCATTTTTCGTATGCGCTGCCCGGGACAACAAACAAAGCGTTTTGAGACGAGAGGGATTCCATTAACTACCATCTTGCTAAACATAGTTGGGAAACTATACGAGTCTCTCATGATTCATTTTAGCCTTATATAAGACGATATGTTAGAATGAGATACTCCTACTACCTACTGAAGCGATCCTGTTTTGCACTGTCGCCTGATGATAGTCAAATTCGCATTCAATGTCAGATCAGGGCGGCGCTTACGTTGACAAGGTATGAGCTGCGGTGGCTGAGGAGGGAGCCAATTGACTCACTATATACGTTCAATAATCAGGCTGCGATACGCATGCATGATGCGAAGACATGAACCAATAGTTCTTTGGTGGCTTATGTACGCAGCCCTGCTGGGAGCCTAGCCCAAAAGGATGACAGCACCACATAAAAGCGGCATGTGTTCCCAGGCCTTGCTTGGTTGTGACACGATCAAGAGCAAAGCTCGCAGCATCTAGCGAGATGACAAGCAATTCGGATGTCTTCTTTTGCTTCGGCCCAAGTCCCGGGTCTTACATTCTTGACACCAAGAAGCGATTTCGATGGTGAGCTTTCACTTAAATTTCGCACATTGCTTGCCAATCCAAGGCTAACCGCATAAGTTAACCGTGTAGGGATGGCATGCCTTCTAACATGATGAATGAGTTGACGAATGTCCGCAAGATACACTGGGCCGGCGCTGGGGAGAATGGCGTCGCAGCCTTTTCATATAAGGACCTTGAAGACAAGTTTTGGACATGTGTGTACCAAAGTTCTATTCCTCACACCGTTCTCCATCGCCTCGCCTATGCCGTTGACAATCATGGATCGTGAGTACTTTAAATACTGATCACCACTTGTAATGACCGCAGGGACCTCGTCAGAACTCAAAAGTAGACTCCCGCATCTCCAAACCTCTTTAGAGGAAAAAAAGTCTCGATGCCACTCGTCGGAGGCTTCGTTGACATTTGGCCCAGGCAAGGGCTACGTCATCTGCTGGCCGACCATCAATGCGGCCAACTGGAATAATCTTATCAACCAAGACAGTATCGGCAACGATATCAAGAGCTTAGACCGAGTCCGACACGTGGCGCTGGGCGTGAACGGCTCTCACATTATTCTTCACGGCACGAACCGGTGGCGGTACGCCATTAGCAGCAACTATCCTGTCCTCGACGCCATCATGGATAATCTCTCTGGTTCCATGAACGTCACGGTAAGCATCCTTTCTCGCTAACGAATACCGCCAGCCGACCCTTGCTGAGATGTGATTGCAGTTTGTCGCTCTGAACCCCTGGAAAGCAAACGAGTTCCTCCTCATCGTCGATAACGACACGGCATACTTTGCGCTGGACAGCCGCCTGGAGAACATTGTCACGGAAAACTTGAGAGAGTTGGGAATTGACTGCAACTCCGTCGTCAAGTATAATCCGACGCGGACGGTGGCTAAGCCACGTCCGATACCGAACATTAAGAACAAGGAGTTCCTGCGAGAGATGCTGGGGCATGCTTTTGGCGGGACTGTTGGGGCTGTGGCTGCAAGCGTCATAACGGGCCTCGGTTTGTCTTGCACTGTGATGTAGATGTCACATAAAAAGGAGTTAAATTTCGTTGACCTTTTGGATCCAGATGTCTTCTCTCGTGATTGCAAGGCTAAATCATCGCACACTTCTGTGGTCCCACAAATAACAGGGCTGGAGTTTCGTTCAGCTACACACGACCATACATACCGGAGAACTCGGGATCCAGTCTGGTATTTCTTAGTTAAAGTAATGAGGGATGCATCAGTAGCTGTATCAGGTAAGATATTAGTAACGTTGTTTCTAATTGAGCGTTGTAAAGTTACAACACATCACCTTGTTCAAGGAAGCCCTAGATCTTTCATTTCTTTCTCGGCAGTGGGAGCTAGCATGATCGGGGAACAGTCCATGTCTGCTGGACAGAAATGCAAGATCGCCCTGCAAACAGAACGGACTCTGAATACGGTGGCAGGAAACATCGGGAGCCGCGCTTACCCTCAGTCAGACGCAGCATATGCAACTATATAACGTGGTGACTTAGAAGTTGTATACTTGGTTCCCACTGAACAGAGATGGCCGGTTAATGATCTACTACCTGTTGCCTTCCAGTCCATTGTACGAATGCCATCTGTGCAAAAAGGGGTTGAACCATGCGACTATATTGCCGAAACGATACGGAGCTACCATAATAGGCCACCAGCAAACAAGGCAGTCATTTCACGTTCCCTTGCAAGCAATCAAACTTTATTGCGCTGGACTCCTATGGGCTGCGGAGACTGCCTCAAGTTGAAAGCATTTCTTGTGAAAAAGAAAGACACGGCCCCAAGCACGACAGTCGAGGTGCAGATGCGTGGAAGGGGTCGCTGATTACCTAATACGAGGCAATCTTTGTTTTTTGTTCCTGCCTGCATGGAACAGCAGCTCGACGCCCAATTCGCGTCGTATGACGCCTGTCCCAGCGGGCAAGCGTTCAACGGCAGTGAGACGACACTACCTACCGTACCTACCGGCAGAGGCCCGAGCTTCCTTCCCCCACAGCCGCTAAACTCAAAGGGCGGTAGCGACGGTGGGCCCCGCCTGCCGAAGCAATTTTACACCCGCGATTTTTCAACGCGTCCCTTCCCTCCCGGTTCGCTTTGCCCCAGGGGAGCACCTTCCACGCTCGCTCACCTACCTCTGAGGAAGGGAAAAAAAAAAGTTTCCCCGCTACCCGATCCCGTGTCGTGACTGCTTCTCCTCCACAACCTCACGTCAATCGCGACCGGAGGAGCTCCCCGGCAGAGCTACCTACCTACTACTCCCCTCCGCCTCTTCAGGCGACGACTGTTTCTTGCATCGTCTAGCCGTCGCCGGCGATCTCTCCCTCACTCAGCCATGTTCAGCTCCATCTCGAGGATTTTCACAGGACACACACCATCTAAGAACTCGTCTCCTGGACCCGCGAGACCCGACTACGAAGACAACATCGACAGAACCTTTCCCTCCACCGCGCCCGCCGAGTACCCCGATGGTATCGACGACCGCCAGTTAGCAGCAATGTCTTCGCAGGAATGGGGCCAAGACTCCGTCTTGGATCTGCCCACCGCCTCGGACAATGACGAAGCTCCGGACGAGATCCACGATGGCATCACCGACTACGTCGACCCCTTCTCTTCCATGCAGCCATTCTCCACACAGGCAGTACCCGACGAGGACATCGCTGTGCCTACCTATGCATCGAGCGAAGACGATGCCGCGAGGAAGAAGAAGTTCAAGAAGGGAAAGAAGACCGACGAGAAGAAAACTCGCACCAAAAAGGGGAAGAACAAGAGGAAGTCGTCCGACTTGGAACAATCCGAACTAGCCCTTCCAACTCCCACCACCACCAGCGGCCCCACGAGCCACTCTGCCGCCGAGGAAGCGATTGTGAGCGACGGCGAAATCAACGAGGAAGAAAGTGCATCGGCCAACCAGCACAAGAAGAAGCGCAAGCGGAAATCGAGAAACTCAATGGACTCGAGTGAACCTCAAGACTCAACCCGCAAGAAGAAGAAAAAGAGGCGCTCTGCCTTGGAGGACATTGAAGACGTCGACATGGAAACACAGCCCGAGGAGAGTGTGCCCGAGTCGCCTGCGAACCCCGCCGCAAACGACACGGAAGGTCGAAGTCCCGCCTACGAGCGCGACCCTGTTCTAGACTCAACCTTGAAGTCCGAGCCCCAACGATCGCAACTCCTGGGAGTTTCGAGACAACTGTTCAGCAAACCCTCTGGTACCCCTGCTGTCGATGCTAGCGACGACGAAAACCCCGTCTCCATGTCGTCCCCCAGCGTCGCTGCCCAGAGACGGCGAAGCATGTCACGGGGATCCCAGATTTCTGTCCTGAGGCAGAGTCTTGCCCGAGAAGCTGCGTCTCAGCCCGGAAACATCTCAGAGGCGGTTGAGTCGGCAGACGGGGCCTCGCATGAACATGGAGAGAGTGCAATGGATTCGGACGGTGGATCCCTTGCCGACAATCTACCCCCATCTTCTCAGCCGCCCAGAGAAGACACGCCAAGCTCGAATGGCGCTGACGCTGAGGTCACCGAAGAGCCTCAGCTGCCTATCAGAACATTCCGTGATACTTGGAACAACCTGGCCAGTAAGGATACCGGTCGTGACAAACCGACTGCCACACCGGGAACTTCTCGTCGTCGGAACGTCGATGCCGGTGCACATATCTCCGAGACCGGGAACTTGCCTAGTTCGGCTCAAAAGTCCACTCGTTCTACAGCGTCTAAGCGACAGCGCTCAAAGCCAGACTTCTTTGAGAATGAGCCTCTGGGAAAGGATGCTGGAGGGAGCCAGGAGGCCACAGGGAACCAGGACGTCGTTGAAACGCAGAACCCCGAGGAAAATCTTGCTGCTTTGTCGGAGCTCCCTTCTACTGAGGTGGCAGAGCCTCCCAAGAAGCAGAAGAGGACGCGAAAGTCGGCGGCGTCTCGCGCATCGACCGCAGCCGACACCACTACGCCCAAGACGAAGGCTACCAAAAAGACGGCAACCCAGAAGGCAACTCCTCGCCAAGGTACGGGTCAGGGTCAGTTCCGCACGGGCCAGTTCACCATCGACGAGATGCGAAACCTCACGCAGGCCGTCGAAAAGTACCGCGACGAGCACAACTTGTCGCAAAAGGAGGTGAACGATCTCATTCAAATGAGGAACCGCAAGAAGGTTGGAAGGTCAGACGGGAGTAAGGATGCCCAGTTTGACGGCCAACAGTTTCTGGACATGTGGGCTGTCATCTGTGCTGCTGTTCCGACCAGACGTCGTCAGAAGGTCATCGACGTCGCTCGTCAAGAATTCCACAACTTCAAGGCCAGAGGAGGAGGATGGACGCCTAAAGAAGATGCCAAACTGGAGGAGCTTCACACCAAGCACAAGGGCTCATGGGTCAAGATTGCGGACGAAATGAGCCGCCATCCCAACGATGTCCGAGACCGCTATCGCAACTACGTTATATGCGGCGGTATCGAAACTCGTATGAAATGGACCGAAGAAGAGGAGCGGGAGTTGGTCGAGCATGTCGTTGCCTCACTGAGACGGATTGACAAGTTACCTGGGAACAGTCACAAGAAGCCTCTCTCTCTGATCAACTGGCAGACTATTAGCGAGTTGATGGGCCACAGGCGCAGCCGTCTTCAGTGCGCCAAGAAGTTCAAGACGCTCAACGTGGAGGTGGGACCTAGGGAGGTTTTGCAGTCTTCGCAGCCGGCGTCAACAGTCACCTGGACACTGGAGAAGGCTCGCAAGCAGATTCAAGAAATGCCACCCGAAGACAAGTACGAGCTGGTTCGCTCCATTCTGGCCGGGGCCGCAGGCCGCGACAAGGACATCAGGTGGTCGAAGCTTGTCGACTTGCAGTTTCGCCGGAAATGGCACAAGCCAACTCTCAAGTTATTGTGGTATCGTCTGAAGCAGCAGGTTCCAGACCACAAGGGAAAGTCGGTTAGAGACTGCGCCCGCTGGTTGCTGGAGGATGCCGAGGCGAATGCCCCACGAGACGGCCGGTTCCTCGACGGCGGACACTCCAACGGCGATTCGGAAGACGAGTTGCTTGTAGTCGACCCTCCGAAGAAGACTCCCGGTCAACGGGGCACCAAACGCAAGAACCGCAGCGAGGAAAAGGTGGTTGATTCTGGTGGCTCGGACGACGATGACGACGAGACCCGGCTGACGAGCTTCGATTCACCTTCTGCACAACAACAGCCTTCTTCGGCGGTCTCGCAGCGGTCCACCCCACTCCTGGCGTACTCCCTGGAGGGCTCGCCCCGTGCGTCTCCATCCTTGCGACCCGCGGCAGCCCAACACAAGTCCAGGCTGGCACCGATCGAGATTGAGACGGAAGCCGTCAAGCCTAGCCCAGCTAAGAAGCGGGTCAGGCTCTCTGGCGGCAAGTCAGCGCGGCAGCGGTCTTTGGAGGAAGACGGCGGCTCACCAGAGCCCATGGCCTCCCAGTACGCCGCTGAGGACATACCCGATCGTCTGAAGGAGAAGAAGGAGGCAACGCGGCGACGTATCTCCTCGGGCAGCCGACTTCGATCCACAGCATCACTTCAGCCCGAGTCTGTGCAAAATAGTGATGTGGATGAAGACATGCCACCAATTCACGTGCCGCCGTCGACGCAGCCGCTGAGCCGCAAGCGCAACATGTTCAAGCTCTCGCAGGGCAATTGGGCCAGGAAGACAGGAGCAAGTGTGCTGCCGGGGGAATCTGTAGAGTCAACAGAGAAGTCCCTATCGGAAATGGAAGCAACTAGTGGACAGACTTCTCAGGTAGAGAATGACACGCCGGCAGACACGGCGGCATCTACCCCGGCTGCGAAACCACGCGATGCGAAGCGCCGGCGCAAGAATGCGGAAGTCGCAGAGTCTCCAGCTTAGAAGGTTGCCAAGGCACTGCGGCGCAGCCGGGGCAGGTTGGCGCTTGTGAAATTACGCAAGCGGAGTGGAGGAGGATGAAGTCTGGTGAGGCTTTGGTATGGACAGAGGAGCACGGAGCACAGAGCACCGGGCATAGTCAAATGGGATGTTATTCTTCAGTCGGCGTTTGGCGAACCGTCACGGAGGACGGGGCCGCCGGTTTTCTGGGGCGTGTGGCCGCGCCGGACGGGCTATGCGGGGACGTGGCATGCCGTCATGGTCCATTTATTTCCATGTATCAATACTTGCGCAACGAGTCGCGTCCGGCTCGATACGCTGAGTTATCGTCTAGGCTGTATGAGTAACATCATTATTGAAGAGTTTTCCGACTTGATGTCGTCGTTGCGTGCCCGAAGTCGTGAAGATTGACGTCACCCGTTCCATGACTCGTTGATGGCCTGCAGGACCATGCGATAACGAGGGACTGAATTTTTTTTTAATTTTTTTTTTTGGTCCCTGGAAGATGTCGTCATAAGCCGTCGGAAATGAATCAGCCAGCCATCGGCCATTAAGAAGTGTTATGGTTATCTCCGACGCCGCCGCGACTGACGTGCCCAGTCTGTTACCCGCCGTCGCCGCCGTAAGGCTGTTATGTCGGGATTTTTTCCCCCTTCCTTTCTTCGAAACAAGGTGCGCCTATCCCCGTTACCGCACGAGAGAAGAGGCGCGCCAGCGTGTCGGGCTTCTGGTGCGGAAACAATTTGGGGGGTCATGGGCTTTTTTTGAGACCCAGAGGATGAGAAACGCATTGCAGAATAAGGGGGCAAGGGGAGACGCAGCAACGTGCGCTCCGCAGCAACGGCGGTCATTGACCCGATGTTGTGGGAGAGTTGGCTCATGGCTCAACGTCATCCGCCGGGGGTGGAAAGTGTGGACGGCGGCGGCAGCTGGGTCTGAAGGGAAATCCCCTCGGTGTAGGCCCGGCATCCGGGGAAGAGGAGAGGAGGAGGAGGAGGAAAGGACGTCAAATCATGGAGTCTGGTGCGACGATGCCTTCGTTGGTCGGAGCAGACCGAGCGAGGTCTCGAGAGCATGGCGTCATTGCGCGGCGACTCGTCGGGGACGCGAGGTGAGGGACGGGGTGGGGACTGGACGTTTCTTTCTCATCTTTTCATCGACGCAAGGACCGGGTCGGTCAGAGGCCGTCTTTCGGTTCCGAGCGATTATGTCAGCCATGCCGGGGGGAGCAGGGAGCGAGACGAAGCATGGGGTATTGGGGGTGCTAGGTATTTGGTCTGAAGCAGTAGCGCGTGATGTGTGTTGTGTGGTGTTGAAGGATCTGTCGCATCGTGACAGTTTGGGCTGGACCTGCATCGGGAACACGACGATGCATCGACGGGCGGGCGGCAGGCAAGTGCGGCAGAGCGAGCAGACTCGAGCGCGGAAAGACACAAGAAAGGGGAGCGAGCGAGCGAGCGACGGAAACCATCCGATCAGCCCACCGGAGAGACGCAAAAGCGGGCCGGAGGGGTGGGCCCGCGTGCGGCGTGGCCGTGGCCGCACTTCGGGCCCTTAGGAGATGGGACCCGGTTTTCGTGCGTGCAGAGTGAAGCTCGACAGAGCGACACCCTCCCCCCCCCTCCCTTGCGCTGAGTGCGCTGAAGGGACCCATTTCCAAGGCGTACGGCCGAGGCGAGGCGAGAATTTGCGCGAAAGATGGGTAAGTCGGGATTCGCATGCTCTCTCCCTGCGATTTGCGCTGCTCGTCTTTAATGGTGCACAATGCAATGAATGGGCTTGGCTGCTTGCTTGCTTGCGTGCTTGCTTGGCGGCGATGGTGGTGGTGGTGGTTTTGTTTGGTGAGGGTTGTTTGGGTCAGGGTCAAGCAAGCCACACACACACACACACACACACACACGGCTGACGCGAAGCTTGTTTTGGGTCACGGCTGCAGATGGGTTTGGAGTGGGCTCTCACTCTTTCGATCTCGGCCAAATGCACCGCGGGAGGGAGATAACTATCGTCACCTTCATCTCGCGCAGGCTCTTTTGTCTCACGCGCACGCCCGGGGGGAAGAGGAGGAGGGGAGGCTTTCAATCTCTTCGTTTCCCCTTTTTTTCCTGCTCCTCCCTATTCCCACTTCTTCTTATTGAACTCTGTCGTCAAGGTGTCTCCCCCCCCTCGTGTTGGTGTTTACTTGCCTGTCGGCCCTTTTCACGGCGTCTTGAGGAATCGAGCAGAGAGAGCACGCCCCCCCTTTTTTTTAACTCCTCCATAGTGCCCACCCCTCATCAGGCGCTGACCCGGCCGCGGTCGAGTACTATGTAGCCGCGGGCTTACCAGCACATTCAGTCGCTGGTGCTTGGGGGTGAAGCTGGCGACGGGTCTTGGTGGCCGAGTCTCGGTCTTTTTCTGGACTCACATCGCAGAGAACGGACCAAGGAGGGGAGGGGCCCGGCGAGACGGTCGCGGGTCCTGTCGAGCATGGCGGGTGGAGGGGAAGTTGCACGTCTGGGACACTGGCACGTTGGTACGGTGTCTGGCTTGAGGCTCGAGGCTGGGGGATTCTGAGATGCGAGCCGGAGTCGTGATGTTCGCTCACTGCTCGGTGAGGGTTCTCAGCCTCTCGATTCCCTCTCGCATGCCGTCCCGACCAAGAGGGACCGCAGACCCAAATGGGGACGGGATCAAGCCACACTTTGTCCCCTAGCTCGCGAGCTGGCTGCGGCGGCATCTGAGTGCCGGACCGAACAGGCAGGCAGGGAAGCAGGGATCGCAGCGGGACAGGGGGGTGAGATAACAAGGGAAGAAGGAAGCTACCGCACACTTGTTGTCGGTAGTGTATGTGGAAAACCAGACGAGCAACGGTGCAGGGCGCGACAGGGACAGGGGTCACTCTATATTCGGACCTTGGGTGGGTTGGCCCTGGCATGCCACGCCGTGCCGTGCAGGCATTGCAGCGTTCAGGATAGGACGTTTTTCGGCTTGCCGATAGCGTCTGGCGACCTGACATGCATGTACATACATGCACGAACGACAGAGCCATCCTCGTGAGATGGCACGATAAAAGGACCGGAGTCTGCTGATTGAGAAATGCAGACGTCGTGGTCCGGCGGCAGACAGACAGACAGATAGACAGACAGCCTTGCAGAGATGCAGCCACATGCAGACGCCAGACGCCGCGCATCAGCTAACAAACGGGTGGTGGCACAATTAAAGCCACGCTATTCCCATTGGCAGGCCGTGCCATGCCATCTGGCATGGCATGGCATGGTTATGTAAGATGCCGCCCGTGCGGTGGAGATCTCTGAGGCGGCCGCGGCGGCGGCAGCGCGGTACTTGGGGTTCCTGTTTTTTTTTTCCTTGGTAAGGTTCCCGTCTCTTGTTTTTTATTATTATTGTCCCCTTCCAATCAGATTTTTTTTTTCAATGATGCTTCTCGTCTCCTCTAGACGCACCAGTCTGACTCTGCGCGTCCCGTCCGGGCAAGGCTTGCACGTCCATGCTTCCCACGGCGGTTTCTTTCCGCTGAGTGACTTGCCAAACCTGCATCATTGGTTTTCTTTCGTCCAATGTGTTACCGTCTATGATGTGCCATGTGGGAAGGGTGTGGCCCAGCAATCTTTTCTAGAAGAAACTGATGGTCGGTCCCCTTTATCCCCAATGGACCGCGCAGGGAACCTGACTCTCTCCCGCGGGCGCATTGCCACATTCTCTAGCCGTTTATCTTTGTGCCAAACCTGCATTTTCGCGCCGTGGTTCGTCAGCCAGCCAGTCGATCTGTCGTCAGTCGGCAAGCCAAGCAGGCTTCACCCCGAACCTTGACGGCGCAACAGCACAGCATAGGTAGCACAACACATTACAGCACGTCAATCGGCCTCCCGTCCCTCCATGTCCATGTGCATCGCGGTGGTGCAGAGTATTGCCGGTATGTAGAGACACAGGCACACTCAACGGATGGGGCGAGGTTGCGAGATGGGAGCTGCGAGAACCTGGATCCCGAACCCTGACGTCAATCGGAGGCTTCGGGATCCCCACCCACGGCCAGACGGCGGGCGGATCCCCTCGTGCCTTTTCTGCCGCCTGCGCGCACTAAACAGATTGCGGCCATCGCCAAGAGTAAAGGGTCCGATTAGTTGGTGCAATTGTGGCCCGTCCTCTCGCTTCCTGTCCGTGTACACTCCCTACAGTGCTGCAACGGGCAAGATTCTGGACAGGGGGCCGACAAGGCAAGATCCATCCGGCGGGTTCCAGCTATCAGATTGCTGTCGTGGCCCTGGTTCCACCCCCTGGTCGTCTCTCTCGGCCTCTCTCCCAGACTGGCGCTCCATGGCCAATGTCGTTTTCGCCCACCCGTGAGCCTCAACTTTAGTCCGACTCCTCTTAGTGGCCGAGCATTGGACCGAGAAAATGTGATGAGGTTCAACGTCAACGTCAATCAGCTCATGGGGTCCCCCCCCGACACCGCACCGCACCGCGCCCAGGAACGCACTCACTCACTTACTCACTCCCTCCCTCACTCATAAACAGCAGCACATACAGTACCATGGGCAGCACAGTATACACAACGCTCACTCCCACGCCCCGTGCCTGTACCCGGTACCTCTGCGCCCCGCCCGGAGCTGCTCGGTGCAATGTACCTTGGACCACTGCCCTGCGGCCCGGAAAAGCTATGGCCATGCCACCACCGTGAGGTCCTCCCCCCGCCCCTCCCATGTCATCGTCGCCGGCGCGCCCAGACGAAAGGTTTGCTGTTCCTGGCACCACATCGACAACGACAACGACCCAGACATGTCACCGCCCGCCGTACTCACGGTATCTCCTCCGTCCCACGCCCACGGACGGGCCTGGGGCTGGCCAGAACCTCTCACCCGCCATTCCGCCCACAGTCTTCCCCCATCCTCGCGCGTACCGTACGCTGCTGCCCGCACTTTTCCTGCTTCTCCCACGGGCCCCCGACTTTGCCCGCCCGGCGACGTGCTTGTGGGTTTTTGGGGCGCCTTTGTGCGCGTGTGCCAGTCGACGGTGGGGTTTCCCCCCTTCCCGATTTTTTCTCTGCTTGGTCAGAGACGTGATCATGAGGCATGAAAAAAGCACCTTTTCCATCAGTCAGTGTGGGCACTCGCGCGGAGGCGAACGGGGATGTACGGGGGAGGAACGGGGTGAGGAACCGCTCACTCCTTCCACTTCTAACCCACACGACCTTCCAAACCTTGGCCGGGCCTGCTGACTGGGGAAGCGGAAAGTGCCAACCTGAGCTCATCTTCCCACCTCGCGCCTTCCTCGTGCCTGTCGTGCCTTGCGTGCCGTCCAATACATAAGGAAATCCCGTCTCCTTCCCCTTCCGCTTGCCCTCCTGCTTCTCTCCTGCTTACCATCCCACTTATATCCAACTTAATCAGAGTTTTTAAAACTCAACCTCCCTCCCATCATCCATCCCTCCTCCCCCCTTTCTTCGACAACCAACAACAATAACAACACCTCGTCAACGAGTTTGTCCATCCGTCACACATCCTCCCCGGGATTGCGACCCAAACCAACAACAACACCCTTCCATACCAACCAGTTCCCGACGTCTATCGTCCACAACTGCCCAACATGCAGTTCCCCAAGCTCGGTGGCAAGGGCGTCGAGCACAAGGACCGGAGAGAACCCGAGGGTTCTGTCCCGGGTTCCGATGACGTTGACATCATTGCTGAGCAGAAGGTCACCTTCGCCGCCTGCTTCCTCGGTCTCGTTGCCAGTATCGGTGGTTTCATGTTCGGATATGTCAGGTATGTCTCACACGCGCCCTTACCGGCCCTTTCCCGCCGCCCCGGGTCCGAGACCCGCGCGTCTTGCTTCACTCCAAAAGCGACTTCCGTTTGCTAACTGCCGCCCCCTTCAGTGGTCAGATCTCCGGCTTCTTCCTGATGGAGGACTTCATGGAGCGCTTCGGTGAACCCTCCAACGGCACCTACATCTTCAGCGCCGCTCGCCAGGGTACCATCGTCGGTCTCCTCTGCATTGGCTGCCTCGTTGGCGCCATTACCTCCGGCAAGCTTGCCGACACTCTCGGTCGCCGCCTGACCATCTCGCTCTTCGCCTTCTTCTCCTGCATCGGTACCGTCATTGAGATTTCGTCCACCGACAAGTGGTACCAGTTCGCCATCGGCCGCCTCGTCAACGGTGTCGGCATCGGTGCTCTCTCCGTCGTCGTCCCCATGTACCAGTCTGAGTCCACCCCGGCCATTGTCCGCGGTGTCATTATCTCGACGTACCAGCTCTTCATCACTCTCGGTATCTGGCTCGCCGAGGTTGTCAACTATGCCACCCACAACAAGGTCGGCTCGGCCTCGTGGCGCATTCCTAACGGTCTCGGCTTCGCCTGGGCCCTCATCCTCGGTGCTGGTATCCTCTTCCTGCCCGAGTCTCCCCGTTACGCTTTCCGCCAGGGTCGCGAGGATGAGGCTCGCCGCAACATCGCCAAGCTTGCCGGCGTCGAGCCCAACGCCAGGTCCGTCAACGCCCAGATCGACGACATCCGCGCAAAGGTTGCTGAGGAGAGCGCCGGCGCCGACACCAGCGTCTGGGAGATCTTCACCGGCCCCCGCATGCTCTACCGCACCCTGCTCGGTGTCGTCCTCCAGGCCGGCCAGCAGCTCACCGGCGCCAACTTCTTCTTCTACTTCGGTACCACCGTCTTCTCCGCCACCGGTCTCAGCGACAGCTACGTCACCCAGCTCATTCTCGGTTCCGTCAACGTTGCCTGCACCTTCGGTGGCCTGGTCGTCGTCAAGAAGTCTGGTCGTCGCATTGCTCTCATTGTCGGTGCCCTGTGGATGATGATGTGCTTCTTCGTCTATGCCTTTGTCGGTCACTTCGCCCTCGACCAGACCAACCCCCAGAACTCCCCCGCCGCCGGAGCCGTTCTCGTCACCTTCTCCTGCCTGTTCATCGCCGGTTTCGCCACCACCTGGGGTCCCCTCGTCTGGGCTGTCGTTGCTGAGCTGTACCCTGCCCGCTACCGTGCTCCCGCCATGGCCCTTGCCACCGCCTCCAACTGGCTCTGGAACTTGTACGTCGCACCCCACATTGCCATTTTTGAATCTAGCTAACGCGTTCCAGCCTCATGTCCTTCTTCACTCGCTACATCACCGACGCCATCGACTACCTCTACGGTCTCGTCTTCGCTGGATGCTGTGCTGCCCTCGCCGTCATTGTCTTCTTCTTCGTCATCGAGTCCAAGGACCGCACCCTCGAGGAGATTGACACCATGTACGTCCAGCACGTCAACCCCATCACCTCCGCGAAGTGGCGCGGCGAAGCCCGCAAGTCCCACCCCAACGAGTCCTCGAGCGAGGCCGAGAAGGCCGAAAACGCCGTCTAAGCGCTCTGCCCACTTGGATACCGCTCTTTTGAGCCCTCTTTGCATCATCCACAAGACATTACATTCGGCATACATACGCTGCATGCACCAATGGCTCTATAAGCCAAAACTTGTATCATACAACCTTCATTGCGACGGCGTTGGGTGGCATTCTGTATTCTTTTAAAAAAAGGAGTCGTTCATGAGGAATGAGAAGTATTTAATTGATCAATAACTGAGCTTTCTACTGTTTGGCTGCCTTTATCGTGCGCAACGTGACAATGTCTATGCACTCGTGTGTTGATTGCCCACCACAGGTTTTCCGTATGAATCGAAAAGTAACGCATCTAACCAGCTAGCAGAATGTCGATTTTTCGTATTCTGTGGTTTATGGCCCCATCTAAGCTCGTGTATATATACTGTTCGTTTAGTTTGGGCGTCTCTTTCCTCGGAAGGTGCTCTTCCGTCAGGCATGGGCACCGGGTCTTGGCCGAAGAATGCCAACACCCATCGTTTCAAGAAACCATACGGCCGGAGTCGGTCTCTGCTAGATGCTTACGTGACCATGTTTCGAGGACCGAACTCTGGCCCTGTGTGTATTGTTCAGGTGCAAGACTGTTGCTCAAAGCCGGTACAAAGCCCGGAAATTCCCGTTCAAACCATCTTCACCTCAACAACGCGGCGTCATCAAAGAAGAAAAACTTTGCCGGTCTCTCATTTCTGTCGCAACCTCGTGACAACGGCATTGTACGCCGGCTTTGGCGCGTATTTGACGTCGAACAGGAGCGGTTTTGTTGCGCTGGTCCACGAATCCTGTGGTGCAGCAGGGGTCAGCGCTGTGCTTCGTTCCATTTCCATGTCGAACTAAGCAAAGTCACGCGTATATACAAATCAAGGACAGAGTTCGAGCAAGGATCAGAGATTCCATACCTTATCGCTGACGCCCCAGACCGTGATGCCTCGGCATTTGGGCACGCTGAGACACGCGCCGACGACCGTCGCGTAGTCGCTCGGCGGGGCGCCGGTGATGTCGAGCTCGGTGATGGCGATCTCGGAGACGCGCGACGCCGCGAGCTGCTGCAGCGCGCCTTGGATTGTGCTCGCCTTGTTCGCGGCCAGATGTGTCTGGGAGCCTTTTATACCGCGTTAGCCATCCGCTGGTCTGATTTGAGCCTACGAAGTCCCGAGTCGGACAACACTCACCTATGCCGTCGATGGGGATGCCCTGGCCGATCCACTGGTTCACCTTGGCGACCACCGCGGCGACCTTTGCCCAGCCCGCCCCGTCAAGGTTGTAGTCGTTGATGTAGAGCTTCGCGGCGGGGTCCGCGGCCCGCGCCGCGCGGAAGGCGATGCCGATGTACGCTTCGCCCAGCACCTGCGAGAAGATGGTGCTCCGGAGGGTGCCGTCGTCGTTGAAGGCCTCGTTGACGACGTCCTTTGTTTCACGGGGTCAGCAGAGGGATCTCATGGTCTTTGGCCGTCAGGGGAGGAAAAGACCAACCCAGGACCGGACCTTGCCCTTGTACCGCCCCACCACAGTCTTGATGTGCGTCTCGACGACGGCCGTGAGCGTCGCCTTGTCCTTGATGGCGGCGACCCACGCCGGCAGGGCATTGTGCCACAGAAGCGTGTGGGCGCGGATTGTCTTGCCGCCGTTCTGCTGGGTCCAGTTGACGAGGTAGTCGGCGTTGCCAAAGGTGAAGCTATTGCGCGCGGGCTCGGTGGCGTCCCACTTCATCGAGTACTCGGGCGTCACCTGGCCAAAGTTGCTCTTGATGATGGCCGCCGTCTTGCCCTTCTGGAGGATGCCGTTGTCGGTCGACACGCCAAAGTAGAGCTTGCCGCGGGCCTTGATGAGCTGGTCGACGCTGGTTGGCGACTGGCGTTCGACGACGGCGGCGGAGGGGCTGTCGGTGGGCAGGGCGAGGACGGCCAGCGGCGCGAGGATGACGGGGAGGGAGAGCTTCATGGCGGAGGATGGAGGTGTCAAGGTGAGTGGGAATTGGTGGTCGTGAGGGGGCACTGGGACGCGTGGTTGCGTGAGTCCGCGGCGGGAGCTGGCGGTTATCTAGGGTTGCCTTTCCATTGTGACGAGAGCGGGCGGTCTGAAGGAAGCTATTCCAGCGTCGCGCCCCTCCTCTTGGCAAACATTGGCAAATTGGTTACGGATACAATGCCGTGCGCCAGAGTGCCGGAACAAAGGGGCGAAAGGCGCCATTATTGGTGCCGGCGACAGCGGCGCAGTGGTTTAGGTATGTTGACCTGAATCAGATCTGCGGTATGGGGCGGCACTCATGGCCCTGGAATGCAGCAATCTTGGAGTGCGAGTATCCGGCCCGCCGATCATTCGTTCCAGTCGCATCGATTCACGAGGGCTAGCATTTTTTCGGCGTAGGTGTCTCAGCAAATGTCTGTTTTCAAAAAGAAAAGCAAGAGTTGCGGCGAGGAACGACAGCCAAAAGGGCCGCGCGGCCGGGAGATGGGATTCCGTTCGACCGGTCCTCGCTCATGGCCGCAGCATTCCTGGATCAAACGTGACGATGCGACGGTGGCCAGCCGCATCGGCGTCGTTGCGGTCGCTGCACGGAACACCGGCACCGTCAGCACGGAGTGGCGGCCCGATCGGAAGACCCCACCCGCCGGCCCGAGAGACTCCACAGGAACCCCCCGGCCGGAGCTTCTCGGAGTTAAGAGGGAGCCACGGAATTAGGACAGGAAGGGAGTAAACTCCATCGCATTTCTTACTATTCATGAAGCAGTTTGCTTGTGAGAGTCTATTTGGAAGTGAGCGAAAGAAGTATAAATATGTCCAAGCGAGACATGCAGTTGTCCTGATTGTTGTTCTAGATCACCAGTCACCTACACAGCGCAGAGATCACAATGGCTTCCTCAAACAACGGCACGGCCCTCCTCGTAATGGACCTCATTGACAACATCGTCACGAGGCTGCCAGAGAACAAAGACTTCCTGCCCCGCGTAGCCCGCGCCATTGCCGCAGCGCGCGAGAAGAACATCCTCATCATCCACGTCACCATCGACTTCCGCCGCAACTATCCCGAAGTCCCCCATACGAGCCAGTTCTGGTCGCGCATCGTGTCGACCGACGCCTTCGTCAACGCCGAGGGCCAGCCGAACAAGGGCCTCGAGTTCGTCCCCGAGGCCGCGCCGTTGCCCGAGGAGATTGTCGTCTCGCGGAAGCGCATCTCTGCGTTTTGCAGCAGCGACCTGGAGGTCATTTTGCGGTCGATGGGGGTCCGGAACCTGGTTCTAGCGGGCGTCGCGACGAGCGGCGTGGTTTTGTCGACTGTAAGAGAGGCGATGGACAAGGATTATGGGATCACGGTGTTGGAGGATCTGTGCATGGACCGTGACGAGGAGGTCCACCGGGTCTTGACGACCAAGGTCTTCCCGATCAGCGGTGCTGTTGTCAAGTGGGAGGAATGGATTGCACAGCTGTAGCCCGCATAAATTTTGGTATCGATAGATGATGAATTGAATGACGACATGTTCTCTGCTACACGCAGATGCCTCTTCACACTCAGTGTGCATATACTACGAGGGATAGTCATTATGCATTAGCAGACGGCCTCGCATCGCTCGACTTCGGAAGTTTCAGCATGTCGATGCGCCATCAGCAAGTTCATGAAGCGCCCGTAATGGTAAGCGCTAACGACCACTGGAGGCAACCATACGAAGGATGGTACATTCGCAAAACATGGTACACTTGTAATAAGGACAAGCTTGGAGACCGATACCAGTAAGTCGACCGACCATTTGGTATGTCTGACGTTCGTTCCTAGTGTTACGTTATTCTAACTTGTGAGAGTCTTTTACTTCCATGGTGTCCCACGTTGTAAGTAATAAATCATCAGCAAATTGCGACGATGACAATGTTTTCCAAAACCCAAAGCCTACCTGAACTGCTAAACTAGTACGATTTGTTGAACATTTTGTTTACCGCCCCAGAGACTCTGCAATCGATCCAAATGCTCTTCTGGTGATTTATTTTGTTGATCCCTCTTTTCAAACCAACGATCGTCCGTCGGCCAGATATCATTGATCCCAAACCACCCAACGCGAGGATATTCGTTCTCGTTTTCTTCCAGCACAACAATGCCTTCTACCCCTTCACAACCAAGGTTAACAACAAACAGCAACGCAAGTTTGAATCCAGAAGCTGGGAGTAGCCTCTGGTCTTTTAGACACTCAAAGACCACTGCTGTTTGCTGGCCTTCAAAGCTGAACTCTATGTTTCCCCATTTGTTTGCGGACGGTGTCGGGATGGGCCTGAGCAAGCCCCAGACTTGAAGCTTGGCCGATTTGACCTCGCTTAAGGGCTCATCTGGAGACCCAAGGTCAATATCCTCGTCCAGGATCTCAAAAAGCTGATTTTGACGCCATCTCTTGCGCCTGTGTTCTCACCAAACCGCCTGGCCCTCAAATGATACCCAACTCCAGGAAGGCCCGGATTTTGAACGAGAGACGGAGCTCGAAGTCCCACTAGAGAACCACATTAGTCCCAACGGCAAGTCAGACTTCCACAAACCGCATATGTATCGATCACCTGAGATAGAAGCAAGCTCTCTGGCTATAGCTGATATAGCCGGCAGACGGTCGGTGCGATATGCCAGGTCTCGGTCAGAGTAAATCTCTACAAGGTTGTACCAATATGACGTAATTGAGGCAGTCCAAGAAGATTGCTTGCCAAGCCGTAAGATAGACATGATGGTTTCAAAAAGGTCTTCGTCAGAGTAGTTTGTATAGGTGTTTCATTTGCCACCTGACCAGCCATCACACTCTTGAGTCACCGACTCGGAGCAATAGCATATCCAAGTCGTCTGGTTGGCACGGTATTGAAGTCGACGGCCGGAAAAGAGCATCCCTTGAAGCGTCCAAGCCCTCTTGTACCAAGGCTCGATTTTATCCAGTTTTTCAGGCCGGAGGACGATGGGCTCTCTTTCTTCGACTTTCACAATGAGATCGATGAGATCAAACTGAAAGAGCGTGGTGCCACGAACTCTGTGCAATTCATCTATGGATTAATTGACCCCATTATGCCACTCAAGGGCACTGAAGTCCTGGATCATCTTATCGTCACAACATTGGTATCAAAATCAAGAAAACCCTAGCCACTCCGTAAAACCCGTTCCTTGCCTTGTTCCCATCAACTACATCTCTCCGTCCTTCTTGTTTCTACGAAAAAGCTTTCCGAACAATTTCTTCTTGCTGCCCTCATTATACTTCTCGGACCTCTCGGACTTCTCGGACGTCCCAGACTTGTTGGATCTGTCGGACTTGTCACGGTTCTCGGGCTTCCCGTTCTTCTCTTTATTCTCATTGGCTGACACGGGAGCAACGGCGACGTCCTCACTAAGGAAGGTTTTCAGGCCAATAGCCTCATCGCTGCCGCTGCCGTCACTAGACTCCGCCTCTACTCGCTCTTTGAGCTCAGCCATAGAGACCACCTTGCCTGGAGTACGCGATCGGGACGGTGCTTCGGCAGTTGCAGGACTCTGGAAGTTTGCGGCCGACTCCGGGCGACGGACCTTCTGAGTCTGGTTTATGAGAGTAGCTGCAAGCGTGATTAGTTGGCTTTTAGATCGTTTTTGGAAGACGCTCTGGACTAATACTCACGCGGACGTAGAGAGATCGCTGTCATAGAGGCCGTGGGACGAACAATGCGCTTCGGGATCGAGAAGTCGGAAACGGTAACGTCTCCGTTCGTCCAGATGACTCTTGGCGGCGGATACGGGTCGTAGAAGTTGGGTCCGGCCGTATGGACGGGGGGAGGAGGGGGAGGAGATTGAGGGGGTGCCGGCGCTTGAGTGAGAGCTGGGCAGGGGCCATTGTCGGCACTAACGGACGTGCGAGAAGGAGTATTCGACCGCGTTGACTTCTTCTGGGGAACAGGAGGCAGCGGCTTTGTGGGCGCCGGGTGAACTGGGGGCGACCATGGAACCGGCGCGGGCAGCGAGCGCTTTTGCCGGGGCGGGCGGCGTGTTGGAGTATCAACGTACTCCATCTCCTTGGCGGATTCCGACGCCGCGACGAGAGCGGCGGTGCGAGGCGACAGTACCTCTTCCATCTCACGATGGAATTCGGCGTTGACATCCTTGATGAGACTTGAAGCCGAACGGACGACGGCATCGATACCAGCGCCTGAGGTGGTGCGATCGCCGGGGGGTGTTGTGCCTGCCGGACTCGGAGACTTCATCGCGCTGATTTTTAGAGGCTTTGGGTAGATTTGAGATGCCTGGATAAAGGGAAGATCATTGACGACTCTGCGTCTACGGACCTGGAGCAGCGGAAGATCTGTGTTGCGCGCCTCGATTGCTTTGGTGACCGTGTCTTTCTGAGAACATTCCGGTAGCTTGGGCAAAGGCTTTTGGCTAAAGTGATTAATCGAGTTGACGACAGGCGAGGTAGTCGACGGACGAATTCTTGAAGACGATGATGGGTTCTCGGCAACCGAGGTCAGGGAAGGTACTCGAGAGATGTTGTTGCTTTGATAAAGAGGACTGGAAGGAGCCTTGGGCAATGACCCCTCGATGCGAGAGCTACGGACATGTTTGCTGACAGTAGGGCGACCCGATGATGAGTTAGTTGCGGCGGCCGGAGTTTGGGAGCGACGAGAAGTGGATGTTGAAACAGAGGTGAGTGATTGTGAGCCGGCACTTGCGTCAGAAGCAATAGAATGACGGTCGCGTGGGTCTGCGATAGAGCCAGTGACCGAAATCGACACGGTGCTGGTGATGCTGGAGGGCGCTTGTGAACGATGGTCAGTGTTATACTGTTGGAGTTGCTCACTTGAAGCATGGGGATGAGCAGACTGGGTTGTGGGGATGTATGAAAGCGATTTAATAGCGGGTGATTGTTGCAAGGTTCTTGCCCGTGAGTGAGTGACATTAGAAGAAGGGCTCCCCTGCTGAGATAGGGCCGAGTCCTCTTGTCCATTTTCACAAGCGGTGCGCGCCTGCGACATGAGGTCAAAGGGCGTATAGAGACGCTCAGCCACAGGATGGTGGACAACGGTGACAACGCTGTCTTGTGAATAAACTGAAGAGGTATCTGTGAGGTCAGCTCCGGCATCAGAGATGCTTTCCAAGATTGTCTCATCGATAGGCCTTTGTGTCTGAGCGTCGTCCAATGTCTGCTGAGTGCCCAACATCCGCGTGACCTGAGGAGGCGCGAAGAATTTGGTCTGTGCTGATGCCGGAGAGCTGCTGATGGGAGACACAGGAGCAGGAGACAATCCGTCATAATGCTCGCTGCCAGGAGAAACATTGTTCTCGGCTCTCTCAACTGTGAGAATTGATGAGTTGGGCCCAATGACGGTACGGTAGGAGAGCGCAGAGTCAGGACGGGACATATGGGTCGCTGCCGCGGATTGTCTGTGCCTGTCATTAGCGATTCCTTCAAAATGTGTGGAAAGTTTTCGAAGTGCTTTCTCCGTGGTCGCATCAGTAGACGTTGTGGTACTAGTTCGCTGCAATGCGGCGGCCGATGATGGTTGCGTGACTGTAGCATCGGTGAAGGTAACGGCCGAATAGTTGGTATCTCGAGGGCATTGTTCAATTACACGAGGGTTAGCAAGGCTAGCAGTGAAGATTTCTGTAAGAGGTGCTGCATTAGCAGCTCCTTCAGAAGCAATGAGACGATGCTGTCTTGGGTCTGAGTTTCCGTGAAAAGAAAATGGCGGACCAGACTGGAAAGCAAGGGATGTTGTGAGCTCACTTTTGCTGTGTGTATGAACGGTGACAAGGCAGTCAGTGTCCTGACTGGTGATAGAAGCCGATGGGTCATTGAGCAGCGAGCCGGTTGCCACAGTTTGGCTGAGAGTGAAGCTGTCTATTGACGTACCGTGCCCATGGGTTGAAAATGTCGGAGAATATGAGTCGCCAAGGAAACGAGCCGGCAAAAGGGGAGACGAAGGGGTAAGGTTCAAAGGAAGAGGTGTGAACGAACGTATCTTTGCATCTTTGTTGTTGAGGGCTGAGCCGAGTTTCAGAAATTCAGATCTCTTCCAGTCTTTGCCATCGTCTGGCAAGAAGTTTCTCAGAATACCTCTTGGAACGCGTGGAAGCAGGAGGAATTCTTTGTGGTCCTCTGTCCAGGCCCAGTTCAAAGTTGGCCTGCAAACGGTGCAGTTCGCTCCCTCCATGTCAGCCTTTGCTTTGGCGATGAGATATTGGCGAGCATACTCCATGGGGGACAATCGCGGAGGAGCAAGTCGGAATTTTGGGGGCGCCTCGTTCTTACCGACGTAGACGGTGGGATGCTGGGGCTGGAGGAGATAAAAGGGTATGTTTGATGACGCCGAAGAGGAGATCAAGTTCGAATGACTGCGCAAGGACGCTGCGTAGGTTGAGATCCGCTCGATGTCAGCTGTTCCACTGCGTTGAACCACGACCTGGCTGAAATCTGAACCGACACGTCTCATTTCCTCGGGGGCAACAGGGTCGGATATCTGAGACTTGTCGATACCAACACTTCGCTTGGTTCGCAGCTTAGTCGCGCTAGGGACGGATCGAAGGGGCGCCTTTGGACGAAGGGACCCGCTGGATCTCGTTGGACGGAGAAAAGATCGGGTAGCAGATTCTGTCGGAGTCGCGGGTGGCAAACCGAATTGGTCAAGCAATTCCTTGAGCGTCGGGAGCTCTGGCATGTCCTTCTCGAGTTCGGAGGTAGCTACAAAGTTGGCAAAGGACTTGACCTTGTGAAGAATGTTGGAGGGGGTACGCGGTCGCTCAGATGGCGCAGGGGGCTTCGTGGGCGTCTTTGCCTCCTTGGCAGGCACCAAAGTCTTGTGCATATTCCTCTTTTCTGGTTCTTCCGGGTCACTATCCCACGTGTAGGTTGGAGCTCCGTTTTCGATTTTTGCTGGCAAAATGAGGCCATAGAGAGCAAGCTGGTGTTTCTCCCAACCTTTCTCCAGTTCGATATGATGCGCCAGGGGATGTTCGTGGAATTTCGTCTTGGACAGGTCATTGGGAGAGCCCAAAACAGGAGGTTCATCAAAGTCGCAAGCCAATATGCGACCATCGGACTTTGCACCTGAGATCTCGCGACCAGGGCAACCCGCGAGGAGAGGTGTCGGAAGAGGCGGGGGAGACAAGTTTTCAACAACCGCCGTTAGGGGAGGAGTCTCAGAGGTCGATTGAGGGACGTCAACGGGGGCGGGTCGAGGGTGACATCGTTTCAGGAGGCTTGAGAAGTGCGCAGATTTGCCTGAATCACTCGAAGTTCTGCTTAAAGTCCGGAGCCGGGAATGAATATTAGAGGATACTTGATGGATCGGGTTCGCGGTGTGCGGAGGCGAATTGTGCGAGTGCGGCTGCCGCGGCGAACGCTGAGCGCCATCTCTGTCTTTTGACTTTGACGTGGGAGCCATTATTGCATTGTAGTAAGTTTAGCAATGCTGGTGATATAAAGGTAAGAGGATGATGTCGAGGGTGACGCTGAATGGAATGATGCGAGAAATTGAGGTGAAGCAACGATCCATACTGAGATGGAATCAAGCGATTTCCCAACAAGGGCAGATGAAGATGCGAAAGGAATGCCGCCAGGTGAGAGCACTGGTGAAGTCAGTGTAGAGTAGAAAAATTCATGATTTGTCCACAATACCTCAAAAACTCCAAGAAAGCGGGCTCGTGAATTACTTGGTTGGGTGTATTGGGAGTACAGGCGAGTAAGTGAAAGTAAGTTGGAAGCAGGGTGGAGGAACCAAGATCTTTGGCGTCAAAGGCCACTTTGGGAAAGAAAGAGATTCAGAATTTCCAACAGAGAATCAGGAGAGCAGACGTAGATGAGAAACAGACAGATGCCTGAGTGGGAAGGCGCGTCAATTTGCAAAGTTGGGAAGGAGCGTCGATGAGGTCGGTGCACGGACTTTGATTCTTGGTCCTGCTCAGTGAGAGTGTAGAATGGTATTGAGATGACCTTAGAGACCTTCGTCTGTGTAAAAGTCTGAATATGGGGGACATTATCCAGAGACTGCGTGGTTAAATTCCATGTATAGTAGCCATATTTTTCGGTTGTGTCAATCCATTCAAGAGTCAGGATCATGTTGATATCTGGGATTCCTAGCCTTTGACTGCCAGCCTAGTTATTAAGTCTTGTTCATTTGTCATGGTAATAGAGCATGTGCCTGCTTGAAAGCAATATATTTTTTGTGCGACCAACATGAATTTACTTGGATTTTCTCAATGAGATGATCAACAAAACATTGAATATGAGCGTTTCTCTGCTGTGGGTCACATGGGATGAATAGCTTCTATTAACAAGAGGAACATACTCTCCTCTACATAGTGTTAAAGTTGATACTGAAGAGCAATAGCGCTCTATCCTCCAAAATATAAATTTATGTACTACACAAGTCTTACTACTTTCTCTTCCTTTGATATTTATAAGTAATTACTCCAGTAGACCTTGATCAGTGCTCAATAGCTATAGATAACTGTCTCAGAGGCAACTACCCTCCCTTATTTTATGTGACTTATACTATAATTTATTTTTGCTTGGTGAAGTCTGAAATATTCCCGTAAGTTGTGCGCATATCGTGCTCTTGGAAGAGGCATAGTCTCATTTTGTTCTAAAGCGTTGTAACAATTAGCTCGGCGGAGTATACAGTTGACTGGCCTCCTTATTGTACCGCCGATAACCTATCTCACACAATGTGACTGCTTTCGCTGTTATAAACGTTTCCGTTTCGCTAGGAACGAGATGTAAATCAAGTATAAAAACGGACGAGACTCAGTATATGAGATCAATATATATGCAGTCAATGACTTCAATAGATAACATCCTAACGCATAGCTCTTAAAATATTCTTACTCCTTCCAGTCTCATGCAACAAGAGCAGCCTCTCAAGTACTAATACAAAGACTGGAAAAACCATACTGTAATTAAATCCCTCACCTCGGTGCTGGGTTGAAATTCATGTTTCTTCTCCCATCATCCGAGCAGCAAGCGGAAAGGTAGCTAATAGACGCGTCACTATACACGGTGCAACACTGTAATATTTAGTCATTCAATCGGCAAGGAAAAAACCTTTAATGGTACTAGGGTGCCATACAAAGGTTCCTGGGCCATTAGTGTAGGTTGTGCCATGAGGAGGTTGGCAGCAACTTCGTGTGTAGCCATCGTGGACCGCGCCGCCAGTAGTTTCTTGACAGACGCCTGCGTAGAATGTCCCACTGCAATCACTGATGCTTGCTACCGTGCTCGCAATATTAGCCCTGTAAGAGGTCAGATATAAGTAGCCCCTGACCAGCTGATAGTGTTGACCTACGCGAAGACAACGACTGAGATAGTCTTGGCGAGCATTTTCGGGCAATTATTAGGTTCGATGTGTTCTTCCTGTGGCTGGTATTTTGAGGATCTTCAATACAAGAATTCTGATTGCAAGATGAAAGAGTGCTTGGGTTCAAGTCTATTGAACCAGGAGGCAGGCCTACTTATACCTCTTGCAGTAAATGACTAGCGCTCAAAATACAGCTTCATTGACACTTAGCTTTATGCACAACGTTTAATGTTGATTACATGACAGCGAAAGCTCTTGGTATCTTTGAGTGAGTCTTAGTTCTAATGGAACTGAAATGTTGGCTTTTCGGAAAAGAGTACATGCCGTGGTCCATGGCGAACCGGCGAATAGATGGATACGGAAGAAAGTTTGAACTTTGCCAAAATTGGGACCAGGGGTGCTTCTCTAACCGCGACATCCAACAAGGGTTGCTAAAATTTTTTTGATTGTCTATTGGCTTGCCGTGCCGATAGCCGTTAGTCACCGAGAGAAGTCGTCTTTATGTCGAAACTATCTGTCGCGTCTACCCTCTTGTTGGTCTTGCGCCAGACTTCGTTGCCGATTTGAAGTTCACTCTGAGAGAAGTTCGGGCAGATTTACGGGTCTGTGAGCTACAGCGTCGGTGTTGCTCTTTATTATGTAGCTCTTGACGGGTTTTGAACCCTAAACTTAGTATGCTGTTCACCACGGCACCTAGAATACGTCTCCTCAATATGCCACGTTCCCCAGCAAGGTCAAGATTGCTATCACGCGTGGCTCGGCACCGGGAGAATGATTCGACCCGAGGAATAGTTTGTGGCCGATATCACGAGTGACTGGAAAATATTTCCATTGAATATCCTTAGAACGGGGAATACGGTCCTAGTACGAAGAACCGCCTCAAACTCAAATTGTGTAGGGAAGCACGACTCATTGTCTTGAGTGGGGCGTCGACGAAACTCATCCTACAGACATAGAGTCAGTTGAGCCAAATATTGTCTTCTACCTATTGGAAATATGATCTCGTGATATGTACATAGATCTTTTAAACGAAGCCATCTTCCTGGCAATTTGGAGACCCATTATAAGTAAACTCGGGGTTTAGTGCAATTAGGGTGATCAGGTTGAAGGGACGGTCAAGATGGGGACGTGCGACTTCATCACCACCGGGAAGAGGAGCGTCGCACAAGGATGACGGTGGTATGTGTGGACCTAAAGCGGCTAACCGGCTCCAGCCATATGGCTCATTAAAACGGATCCCCTTACTGGCCTTGTGCCTGTAAATACATTTCAGAGGTACGCATTCGGACACAACATGAAAGTTTCCTTCAACTTGACAATAAGCTTGGGTTCTCGGGATAGACTGTGAATTAGATAGGTTACGGGCTAGTGACTGAGATATGCTGTCCATGCACCCTTACATGGCACTCCGTACTTTGTCGTTAACGATTTCCCATATTGTATTTTCGGGTGCCGCGGGTTCTGACCGAGTCTGTGACGGCATTAACAATGCGGACTAAGTACACATGAAACTCATTAGTGCTCCCGCTTTTTTGAGTCAAGTAGTGAGCAAAGAAAGAAAGCCCGCGGAAGGCGAAACCTCAGGTGAAATAGGGAGTAAGAGTGTACTTTCGTCGGACAGCGCATATCAAACCCCAGCAAGCGAAGACCAGGCAGATTGCAAGGCATCGTCACGAAGTGACGCTGCCAGACAGTGAAACAGAACAGTAAAGATAAGGATCAAGCAGCAAGAAGGCTAATCTTCTAGTAGTTGTTCATGGTTAAATTTCTTGTCAAGAGCCAGGCGTAAGGTCGAACAAGCCCCAAGCAGCACGTCGATTTCTCGGACCACTGCAGCACTGTTGAGCCACAGGGTCCTAACGCATGATCTAGCCCGGTCTAGTATCGCCTTTTTATGCGGTTTTACTATGCCCAATTCATTGGATTAAAGAGTGATACTATACCCACCAGTCTAGACCGTGGAGTCATTGTAGGAATCATAATATCGGCGACAACTGACAGAAGGCTTGAGGGATAAAGAGCATTTCTTCCATCTAACTTGCTCTGATTCTGTCAAAACAAATCTCCAGCTGAGCATCAAAGTATAGTTAACTTGTGTCCCAAAAGCTGTCATAAATGATAATATAAATTGGACAACTCGGAGGTCTGTCCGCTCTCTCATGGAGGGGGTGGGTTAGATTAAATAGAGTACGTACTCTGGTGGAGCGGGGCGAACGGAGTGGACCCGCATTGGTTCGTATGGGTTCTATCGAGCTATTTTGTGCGTCATGCCAGGGCAAAAGAAAATATCGAGACTTGGGACAACATCGGTCTTCAATCAAGTCCGCGAGAGCGAGTTCAAGACCCGTAATTGCCATCGAAATGAACCCCGAAAATACCGACCCTTCGACTCCCCAACGCCCTTTGCCATCCCCCCTCGATGAAACTGTCGTCACGCCGTCGCGTCTCGGCCTGCTGCAGACTCCGCCTCGGCGTCCTGGCCGGGGTCTCAAGCGCCCCATTGAAGCCGGACCCGATGCTCCCGAGTGTCGCGAGGCTAGCCCTCTTCGACTTCTCCAAACGCCCCCGCAGCGTCCGCCACGTCGTGCCCGGTTCTCCACTGGGCTCGTCAATTCAGCAGCTTCTGGCCCGGCAGATACGATACCTCATGCTGACCGGCCCGCCTCGGATCGTGAAGAGACACCACATTTCGCTCCCGATACGGAGCAGGAAGAAGTGCATCGGGCAAAGCATCGCGACGAAAACACAGTAGAGCACGAGGTAAAGCACGAGGAACAGCGTTTAGAAGGCAAGCAAGAAGTCCATTTCAAAGAGCCGCAAAAGGAAGAGCAGCATGAACACCCGGAAGAGTATGACCAGTGCCATCTGGAACAGCATCAACCGGGACCGTACCAGCTTGAAATCGAATCTGAGCCACTTGAGCTATTGTCTCAGTTTGGAACGAGCCAAATGGAAGCTTCCCAGCCACATTCTTTAATGTGGCAGGATTTTGGAGCAGAAGAATAGTTAACTTATTCTACTTCGTTGATTCAAGGAAAAGAATTGGATCTCAGTGCGCACTGCACCAAGTAGCCTTGTGCTCAGATTTTACGCCGCTCATTCGCAATCATCAAATCGCCCCGTGTCTCTCACGAGTGGTGCATTTTGTGAGGGATACTTCCCATGTCTCGATGTCGCGCTTCGATTCTTAGTTCGTCAGAATCTCCGCTCTGCATTATTGATTAGCAACGTGAAGGGCGGATCAAGTGACATCGATTTGGAAAAACAAAGTACCGTAATCTGATTTCCGAAGAATATTGGATCTTCCACCCTCAGCTGGAAGGTTAGCTTTGATACTTCACGTAGGTCTTTGTAACTGACACCTTGATGAGTTCCTGTATTGGGTGGCAATAAGAATGCATCGAAGGGGTTGGATCATTCCTACCAAAGGAGAGTTGGAAGGGTTAAGTGAAGTTAACGAGCGTTCCGAGGTTCAATCCATGCTGGAGGGGAAACCAGAGTGTAGGCAAGAGTAAGGGATAAGCAGGAACACGTCATAATCGCTTTCGTTCGCAACAATGAGATTATTGCTTCATCTTCTATTATCTAACAGGTAAACACAGAATTGTGTGTACATATAGTAATGGATGTTGAAGTGGAAGAAAACAACGGCCTCATAAGACACGTAGATGTAGCCCAGTAGTGTGCTCTTTAGTATTTCTCAAGCTGAATTTTATACTCAGTAAGATAGGAAGAGTGTGCTTCGTACTCATCAAAAACAGGGGGAGGCGACTCGAGGAGGGAATTACGCCAGGATGGTTCCCTGAGAAAGTTTTACTTGCAGGTTTAAGATAATAACCTTCATGTCCTAACAGAAAGCATGCAAGACTATTGGCTACCGAACATCTACACCATATACCCTTCGGAAGGTTAGCGGTAAGGTCTTGAAGCCCTTGCAGTTCTATGACATGAAATAAGAATACATGTAGTTGTAAAAATTACCAAGTCGTAGCAAAGGTGAAGTTATGCTTCGGCCTTCTTCGTTGCTTTGGTCCGGAGTTTCATCATGAGATAGACCATCCCGTAGCACCCAAACACAAAGGTTATGACAATGCCTGCGTTCCTCCACCCATAAGACTCCTCGTTTAAGTTGAGAGTGCGAAGGAAATCCCCGCCATGGGTGTATTGGCACACACGGCAATCGGCCAAGTCTTCCGGGTTCAGGAGATTGGTGCCACGTCCCATACCTAGTTGATAATCGAAAAGATAGGCACCGCAGGTCTGGTTGGGGGCTGGGTTAAACACTGCGAGCTCTCCTTCGCCGCAGTCCACGGCCTTATTCCACGTTGTGAAGATGAGCAGAGAGCTCATAAGGTAGTTGAAAGGATCGATGTAGTATATCCTGTAGGACAATGTTGTCAGGGACAGTCAAGCTTATATTTGGACCATGGGTCCATGTTGATAAATGCTTACCAGTATTTCCAGAAATTCTGGATTTGACTGTACGGGACCATGACGCCGCAGAACGATACCAGGGTTGTAATGACCAATGGGTTGACAAGAGATGCAAACACGGCGTTAGGAGTATAGGCGGCGATCATCTGCCCAATGCCGGTGTACAGACATTCGTACATTAACTGAAGCAGTGTCAGTCTCATAACTTGAAAGAGTACCAGTCCCAATGGCATGATTTTGTAAGTAACGGAAAGTCTTACTACGACGAAGAACACACTACCAGCGTGCTCGGCTGAAGATGGAAACCCGCACGTAAAGTACCAGCAAACGTAATACAACAGCGCACAGACGATCAAGTAAGGAAACTCTGAGACAATGAGACCCGTAACAAAGGGTGCCCAGTGATACATCTTGCTCTTCTTCTCGCGGGCTTCGTAGATATCTCGACGGTCGATGAAAAGCGGCTGGAGCTGCGAAATGACACCCGGCGCCACAAAGATGAGGTTGAAAACACTGAACAGATTCGATTGCAAGTCCGTCAACCGGTTCTCTATCATCCAGAACGAGAACCCGTTCAATAGAGCGAGGGATATGTGCAAGGCGAACTTGTTGTTGAGGTATTCCGTATTACGAAATAAGGAGACATTCATGCGGTGCGTGACGAGCCTGATTTGCGTCCACATTGACGCCGCAAATTCCAGTCCGTCGTCAAGAACCTCTGATTGTCGACTGGCGCCTTGTTCGATGATATCATCGAGATCCTGGATGAGTCGTGCATGTTCAGGAGATTCCAGCCAAATTTTGTTCCAATCTTGCGCAGATTGGTTTCCGGCTCCCGAGACCACGTCAATAATATGCTCAGCCGGGTTCGCCTCAGGCGGACAAGGCTCTCCGTAACGAGCAAAGTACTCATTAACCGTTTTCGCATTCTCGCCAATATCTCCGAAGTAGGTGGTATTCCCACCCTTTGAAAGCAGTAATAGACTGTCGAATTGGGAGAACAGCTGCGCTGAAGGTTGGTGTATGGTAACAAGGATCGCTTGTCCAACCGAAGCCAGCTTGCGGAGGAAGCGTATGGTATTGTAAGCAGCCTGCCCATCAAGCCCCGAGGTAGGCTCGTCAAGGAAAATCAGAATGCTCGGCTTGGCCACCAGCTCGACGCCGATTGTGAGCCGCTTCCGCTGCTCTATAGATAGGCCAGCACCAGGCCGGCCCACGAGGGTGTGCTCCAGGTCGTTTAGTTCCAGAAGGTCTATTATTGTATCCACATATCGTAGCTTTTCAGAAACTGGCGTGTTTCGAGACTGGCGTAATAGGGCAGAGAATTCAAGGGCTTCCCGGACAGTAGCCAATGGTTCGTGCACATCCAGCTGCTCAACGTAACCTGCTGAGCGTTGAAATGAAATGGGAAGTGGATGGCCATCAACCAATATGGATCCGTGGATCGTGCCTTCAGTTTTCCTCTGAGCAAGGACGTCGAGGAGAGTCGTTTTGCCGGCGCCAGAAGAGCCCATGAGTGCGCCAAGCATGCCAGGTTTTACGTATCCCTGTACGTTATTTAGAAGAACACGGTCGCCATCCGGGGTCTTGACGGTATAGGTCAAGTTTGTCCATGTGAATATGCTCTTGTTCCGGATGAGTTCGAGGCTGGACTCGTCATCCGAATTAGTGGGTACAGACTTATCCAGAGGTTTTTCAACTTCTCTAGACTCCTCGTCTAGATGTCCCAAAATGTGACGGGACTTTTTCTGATCCTCTCGGGGGATCAACAGACTACGACCACCTTCTCCAAGAAGCTTCCACCTCGACGTGAAGAAGATGGTAAGTGCGACGTAAACAACCCACCACGCGCAAATGATGCCGACATTGCGCCAGACGTGGCTGTGGCTGAAGGACATGGCAGCGAGATACTCGTCGCCCGTGACGCTAGTAGCCCCGACCCTCGCGCCAGCAACGCCGGCACATGACTGTCCTCCCTCACCAGCGATGTAACCGGGGCCGTTCGGGACGAGATTGGGCCCCACACATGCGAGATCCTGACCGTGGAACTCGTTGCCGAGAAGGGCCTCGAAGCCATAGGCCATGGGGTTGATCCAGAAAATCCAGCCGAGCCATGGATGCATTTCCGATTTGAAGATCATATATCCCATGTATACGAAGAAGGAGACGATTGTCAGGCCTGAAACCTTGGTTGCGGCGTCGAATGTCGGGAAGGCAGCGCCGATGAGGCGGAAAACCGCCGTCATTGCCATTGCGGTGACGAAATTGGTAACCAAGTAAGTGAAGAAGGCCGCGGCAGACAGCTTGAGACCGACCATAAAGTATAGGACAAGACCAAAGTGTGTTACCTGGAAAAGGAGAACCGGGGCATCCGCAAGGATTTGTGCCACACAGATTGCGGCAGGCCTATAAAGGGCAAACGATCTGTGTTTTGCCAAGATAGGCCTGCCGGTGAATGAATCCGTGACTTCGGAAAGAGCTAGAAGGGCGTTGTAAAGAATCGAAAAGAATAAAGCGCCCCCTTTGAGAAAAAGGCCAAGCGAATTGTCCGGAGCAGCGTAAAAGAGGGAGCCGCCGATCAGAGACTGAATGACGGTAGCACCCTGCTTCATAATAAGAGTGCTTTTGTCACCCCGCAGGATCTGATACTGCCTGGTGACAGCGGCCTTGACTTGGGTGAAAAAACTTGAAGTGACAGGCGAGCTGTTGGATACCCGCTTGTGCTTTTCGCGGGCGACCATCCCCTTGAACAGCGCTGTGTTATCTGCTGCATCTGTACTTGTGGGGTAAAGTTGCGATTCATCCATCATCTTGGCCTTGATGGCTGAGCGGTCGTACGCGACACGGATTTCATCGGCGGTACGTGGAAATGTCCTTTCGAAACCTGGGGCAATGACGCGCTCGGTAGGAACGGTCACACCAGTCAGGAAGTCTGAGCGATTTGAGCCGGAGTCCCTCAGGAAACCCAGGCTTTCCATGAAAGGAACCGCTTCTTTCTGTAGGCCGTAGAATATCTGCTTGCCTTCGTCGAGAACAAGCACTTTATCGAATTGTTCGTAGATTCCGTTGCCCGCCTGGTAAAGCGTGATGATCGTTGTAAGCCCTAGGAGATCAGTCATGTCTCTCATTGCCTTGATCCATTCGAGAGCTGTGCTGGCATCAAGACCTCTTGTGGAGTTGTCCCAGCAGAAGACGCTTGCGCGAGTAGTGAGGCACTCAAGGATAGATACGCGTTTTCTTTCGCCTCCAGAAACACCTCTGGTGTAGGCGTCTCCCACTTTCGTCGAGGCCGTATGGGATATGCCAACAAGCCGCAGCAAAAAGATCTTTCTGTGTTGGACGTATTCTTCAGGTGTCTTAATACCAGGCGGGAGATGTCGGGGAACCTTCATGCGGGTGGCAAAGTTAATAGTATCCTCGACAGACAACGCCGGGTAAAAAATTTCATCCTCGGTATTCATTATGATTTGGCCTTGGTACTGCTTAGCCTCCTTGGCGGTTATGTTTCCGAAGAACACTTCCCCCTTGACTTCTTCGTAGCCAGTTCGATTGTTGGAAAGCACATTTAACAAGCTCGTACAGCCAGCACCGGGTCGCCCGAGAACGAGCAGCATTTCGCCTGGCTTGACGCAGCCAGAAGAGTTGTCGATTATTGTCTTCGTCGGACGAGACTTGGTGCTCTTTTGGAAAGGGTTGAGCTGGGAGAGAACGTTCTCGTTGAACATCGCGTCACTGTGGATTCCTGTGATGGTGAGGTTTTGCCAGGTGACGCCTAGCTTTCTGGGCTGCTCCCCACTTTGTTCACTCGTGTCGTTCGTTGATTCCATTTCTTGAGAGACTAGCGAGTTGTGTTGAAAATTCCGAAGAGGCGACTTTGTGCCGTCAACCTCGTTCGTTGTGTTGTCTACCATGTCATCCCCTGGAACAGCTTCAGCGTTCTTGGCTGGCGAAGTGAGTGACATCTCGGTATTGGGAGGTCTTTATGTGAGACAAAGAATAGAGAGGAAGAGGCGACAACTTGAGTGGATAGTCTGATAACCTAGAAGTCCTCTGAACACAGGATTCCGAGATATGTATAGTAGTCTTACGCTGAAGGCAATGGATGGAGAACACATCTTTGAACTACAGAGTATCGAAATCTACGCATCATGTATGTGCTTTGTAAGGTGATAACTGCCGCGCTGGTGATGGGAAACCCTCCGAAGTGGGGCACAAACTACGGAGGCTTTTTAGATAAGAATAAAACAAGACTATACCGGAAATTTGAAGCCTTTCGACCTTAGGCAACGAGTCTTCGCAGCATCCACAAAGTGAAAATCCCATATGTGCTGACTACTAGAGAAAAGGCATGACCCGGCTTCAGCACAGCTTATGTGGACATGCATGTCAAGCAAGGGGCTTCACGCATCTATAAAGGGTTACTCACCAACCTTCGCCTGTCTAAGCACTCTTCGGGAGTCTTACAAACGATCATTCTGTCAGCGAAGGTAAATTTTGGTTCAGCGGAGAATGGCGGGGACGGGGGTGTGTGCTTGTTGCCATGGACATTCGAATTAGCGCTGCCCCACGTAGAGTGTCAGGTACATCCATAATCCTAGAAAACGTTGGCCTCAAATACATGATCCTTGATTGGAAACATTACTAAAGGAGTTTCTATCGTGCACCTAAAGCTCGTGAGCTGACCGCTGTGTTAGATTGCTAGATTAAAACCCTTAGCTCTAAGCCGCCTCAACCTCGAAGCCTGTCGCATCATCACGAGCCATCAGCTTGACACGTCAACCACCAATGCCTAAGCCACAATGTATGAGAGGATGGAGAGTAAAATAAAGAAACAAAGTGCTACGGATGACTATGTCCAGCCGCCGGAACTCAAAATGCGACCGTAAAATGATCTGCAAGCGTCAGTGATTGAATCAAGGGCCCCAAGGTTTGTAATGTGATCGGGCATTGACTACCAAGAAGTTATTTGATTAGTGATAGTCGCCAATTGACCAAGGTCTCATTTCAAAAACCCTCCGCGGAGGCTTTAAAAAGACCACCACCCAGTGCCCGAGTCCCGACTAGCTCGTCCATTAGGCCGATGCTCCTTTCTCTTGCATCCAGTCGGAAAGAGGTCCCAGAGTTTTCTACATTGGCCATTACTTGTCGTTCTTCTTATTTTCCCGCTTTCGTCAGGGAATGGGCATCGCACCAATCCACCCATCACAAAGGCGCGTCTCTTGCGATGGTTGTAGAAAACAAAAATCGAGATGTCGGCGACTACAACAGATAGACCCCAAATGCTCACGGTGTATGATGCTGGGGCTAGATTGTACCGCTGGACAGCAGAAGAAAGTTGGAAGACCACGACAAGCGGCCATCTCCCCTGAAGATCCATTCGGTATACATCCCACCTATGAAGGCCGTCCAGCTGTACCAGCCAAAGAGCCCAGTCAACATGGATTTCACTCGAGTCGCCAAGGGAATCTTTGGTCAGTGCAAGAGCCTTGCGACCAATATCCAGGCAACATTTTCTTGGATTTCAATTCAACACCGATGCCAGCCGTTTGGGCTGATGAAGATCCACGCCCAGGCGCAACAGCGGCAACACAAGCGACCACTTCCTTTCCTAAAGATTTTCTTCCTTGGCTGGTCGCCAACGCACTGGACGAAGTCATCTCAACTTCGGCAATGGACTCGCCTTTTGACATAGAGTCTCCGACAGTGCCTTCACTTTACACCCCTGCGAAGAACCCGTCTCCTATTGGTGTCATCAGTGACTCTGGATGGGAGGCAAAGGCCATTACACCTTGGGCTAGCTATGTTGAAGCTGATGCTCTCACGGGCTCGGATGTTCTGACTAGACTCTCTCAGATAAACCTCGAACTACATCTCCGCGTGGTTGCTATCGACGCAAACAAAGGAACTATCAACCTAGATTCCATGCTCTATCAAAATGGACCTCTGTTTCTCAACAACCTTACGCTGGCCGAGTTCCTGCTGAAGTCATCCCAGGACTTCTTAAGAATCATCGCACATCTCACGCCCAACCAACCGATTGGCCCTCTGCTACAATCCGCCCAGTCAGCCACATATTATCAGAATATGCCGCCATCGTTATTACCGTCTTCTCAAGAGAAACCCCTTTTTTGGCCATACACTTCTCTACCTACAACAACCCAAACGGTATCTTCGCCACTCGTGTTGATCATGACGAGTATTTTCACCCAGCTCCTTACACTGTTGGAGGCGAACCTTGAGCATTTGATACCACGCATCAGGCGGATACATGTCGAACCAATCACAGCCGTGCCGGATCTAACATTTGGAGGCGTTACCCTTGCGGAACCTTGCACACAGGGCATTGTTTTCTCAAATGCTATTATACACCTCCTTGAGAGAATCGAATCGATTCTAGGCATCGGCGAGGGTTCAGCTGGTGAAAAGGGCTTGCTTTCGGGAAGACAGAAAGAGGTGCTTTGGAGTGAGCTGGGTGGGGATGTTGGAATGGGTCGTGGGTATGCCGTTGCGAGGCCGGGTCATGTGAGGAGGTCGTTCCAAAATGTGATATCTATGTTTGATCAGGTCCTGCAGCGTCATAAATAGTGACTACATTCTGTGTGTTGTAAGCAGATAAACATGACCGCTATGAGTAACTGTTTCAATGTGTTTGAGAAACTCGTTTAGTTTCATGCTCCATCACTGTATACAAAGTATCAAGAGAATCTAGTCAACAGTCATCCTTGATAACACGTCTATCAGCTTTGAAATCTTGAGACTGCGTTGCACTGAAATTTCAGAGGGATTATACCCGGCCTGGGAAAATTTTAGCCAGGTTTTTGGTTCAGGCTGGGCGGATATCACATGTCTCTGAGTCATGTGATTACGAATGGGTAAGCCGGAGCCTGTACTAGGCTGCCGCATGTCAACGTAATACGTCCGAGGCTCTCGTTTCGGAACTCCGTTCGGTCACCCTGCTGTGATAGGCTGGATTCCCGTGCCCCAGAACTCCACAAAAGCAATTAGGCTGGTCGAAAGCCGAACCTTTTCTTTCTTGACCAATGTGTTAAAACAACGTCATAAAGAAAGTGATCCCAGACGTGGTTTTCCTGTCACTGACAGTACTTAATTGCATCACATATAAGTGATTACTCCAAATCATAGTTCTCCCTTATCAATTCGCCAAGAAAGGACAATCATCGCGATGGCCGCTTCTGTTGATACCTCTAAGCCATACATCCCTCTGGCAAGCGCTGCCACCGATGGCTGGTCTACGGATAATGAAGCAACTGCCACATGTTACTGTGGTGCTGTACAGGTGGCATTTGTAAGTTGTCAAGTTCTTTAACCAATCTTTTCCTCCATTGCAACAACAACCCGTGTTGCCTCAAAAATACTTTTCTTCATGTTGACTGTCGCTGTTCTTCACGCAGCCCACTGTCAAACCTGGTCTTCTGACCGTTGCCGTGTGCCACTGTCCTGACTGCCGTAAAATCACGGCCTCCATGTTCTCGTCCATCGTGGTCGTCGCCGATACACACCTCAAGCACCTGCGTGGACGCAAGAACCTGAAGGAATATACACAATCAAAGACCGTCGAGACCGGCGTAAACATGTCAAACTACTTTTGCGCCACTTGTGGTTCGCTCATGTATCGCATTTCGGAGAGGATGCCCGGGGTTTCTCTCCTGCGGCTCGGTACCGTCGATGATTTCAGTCTGCATGAAACCAAGTTGATGCCGAAGACGGAGATTTTCACCAAGGACCGTGTTAGTTGGTGCAAGGCTCTTGAGGGTGCTGTGCAGTTCAAGGGGAACTCTTCTGTTGCTCAAGCAATGCTTTAGTTTGAGTTCTCTAGTTCGCTCTGGGTGCATGGTTGTTCAAGAAATGGATCGTTAATTCACCAATGGATTTATGCCATTTATACTATCTGTGTAATTAACGGGGTTCCAAGCATAACATGCTAGATGATTAAAGGCATTAAGTCAACGCACCCACTTTTCGCCCACCCACCTTTTTCGCCCACCCAAAAATCCCTCATCCCCATCACCAACCTCCCACTTCTAACTCCCACAACATCTTCAACCCTTATCTAAATCACTTCTTTTTTCCTCTATATCTTCTTAATGGCCTAATAGTTTAATATACTAAAGCTAAGGTTAATAAGACATTAGCCAATATAAGCAACAGCTAGTCTATCCGCAAGGCATCCTTGAAATAGGGTGTACCACGATCAACACTTCAAAGCCGGCTCAAAGGCACCTAACCTAGGGCAACAGCCTTTACTGACCTCCAGAGGCTCTCTATTAGTCAAGAAGCTAAGCTGGCCAGCTAGGTACAAATCCAGGCTGACCTTAGGCTTGCGCCAACACATCAATAAGTCAAGGAATTTGCCCAGCATATCCTAAATGCTATAGGAGATACTTAGCCTCTAAGAAAGAGATAAATAGAGTCCTTTATACAAAGAAACCTATCTATTAAGGTCCAGAGAAGTCAATCTATTAATTCTAGACACATTAATAAAGCATCTACTGAGGTTATCAGGAACTAGTTTAGATATCTTATAATCCCAGCAATAGTAGCCATCTAACTAGCTAATAAATATAATATAAATGAGACAAGTATCCTTGAGGGTTAAGGAGCAAATAGGCTAGTGCTAGGCAAGGCAGAGACTAAGTCTATACAGAAAAAACAGCCTGGATTGCAAGCCTAGGTATCTATTATTAAGTGTATCTTAGCTGAGGGCCTGGTATTACATCCTCTTATAATATATAAGGGTAAAATAGTCTAGTAGTAGTAGTTTCCTCTAGATCTTGGCCTTTATGATGGATAGGAGTTTATAGCAATAGAGAATGGATAGATAACTAATAAGACTACTGTTAAGTGGTTACTAAAGGTCTTCTTGCCACAGACTACCCCCTCCCAGCCTGATCAGGCCAGACTACTGGTCCTGGATAGGCATGGGAGCCATATAACGACAGAATTCATGTAGAAGTGCTATACCAATAACGTCCATCTGTTATTCTTACCGCCACACACCTCCTATGTCCTCTAGCTACTAGATCAGTTAGTCTTTAGCCTAATCAAAGCAGCCTATCGCAATAAGCTTCCTAACATTACTTAATAGAACAATTTAACTATTATAGGCAAAAGGTACTTTTTATCTTGCTATCAGAGGGCACGCCTAGCTAAGCTGATAAAAAAGAATATTCTAAGTGGCTAGAAATACACTAGACTATGGCCTGTTACTATAGATAAACCTCTTATGAGCTCCTTGCTGCTGCCTAAGGCAACAGTACTAGTAACACCACTCAATAAGGCTGCCTAAGGTACCCAGGGTATCCAGGATGCCCAGGATATAGAGGGATGGGCATCTGCTTCATCTGCTGTTACATGGTCTACGCCTAGAAAGATAAAAGACCTTAATAGTTAACTAGACTTATTCAGCAGGCTGGATCAAAGTATTACCACACAACGCTAGCTCTTCAGAAAGGTCAAAAAAGGCTTCCAAGAGCAGTCCTTCTAGCTAGCTACTGCCTAGCACCAGATACAGCGTCTTCAGACCCAAGTCAACAACACTGCAGCAAGGAAGAGGAAGGCTGTCAAAATCGACCCTAATACTAAGTTCACCAACATCAGCAATATCCAGCAAGCCTAGATTGATGCTGGCGAAGTTGAGGCTGATACAGATGAATCCAGCGTATCTGATTGCCCTAGTGAAGCAGAAAGCTGTATCATAGTTGCATCTGGCCCTCGTCAATAGTCAATTGAAATAGGTGGTTGTATTGCGATAGCCTCGTTTTTGGGTGGGCGAAAAAGGTGGGTGGGCGAAAAGTGGGTGCGTTGACTTAATAAGTAGGTCAGGAATCGCGCAGTGCCTTTGGAGATGTTGTATTTGTCAGAGGGCCAACCCCGATGCTTTTATACTGGCACGACTCTGTGAGTCCGTGTCAATATTTAAGATCACGTCATCATACCTCCCGTCCTCTTGGCTGAGCTGATACTGCTCGTCGCAAAGAGTAAGTGATTTGGGTGATTAACCCGATACATCCTGTACTCATCGGAATTCTGTTATTGTGTCTGAACGGTACAAAGTCCATTTCTATAGGTAGCATGGAATCAGACATTTGGATGAGTTTTGCGATGCTTGAAAATAATTAAACTTTGTGTCGCCAATTTGTCTTGCCCACAGGGTTCGGGGCAGATTAGTAAACCAAGGCGACAGGCACAATCCCTGATTGATAATTGAGCTGACAAGCACCGGAATCAAGTGCTGTTCATTCCACGTGTTAGACACAAATCAGCTAATATTCATGCAGAAGGCGCAGATAGCGGCAATGCGTTGCCGGGTGGTCCCCGAAGCACATGATTCTGACAAGATAGGGTATCAGAACCTCTGCAGTTTGGTGACTGCAGTGCCATCACCATCAGGCTGAGATTAGGCAGACTGAGGGACGCTAAGGCGTTGGCTGACCAAGGCAGAATTCAGGGCATGGATATAGAGCCAAGCAAAGGGGTGGCCCTGCCTGTGTTTGCGCGTCTTGGTTTGCAAGTTGGACATGTTGTATGCAGATGACTCCGTTATTACAAGGGCCAACTCATCGACGGGCATATGGCAGTCAAGCGGCTGCCATTTGAGTGGCTTAGGGGTCGTATAAGTCGGGGAAACAAGGTTTGGGAGCAGAAGAATGGACTCATGTTCTCTGACGGGGTGCCTGGGCCACGCCGGCGCCACGAAATCCACAGTGTTACTAGTCGGGCCAGGTTCAGCACCAACCAAGTTTGGTTCACTTTGTGGCTCAGGCTCATAAAACGAGCCGTTTGGATTCCACTGTGAGCTTGACGAGACCCTCCTTTAAACGAGATCATCAACGTCGGAACGGCCTTGCTACTCCAAAGCATACGACACCTCTCTGAATTAGCGCCCACAGATTGGCTACCACCATTTCATAACCAATCAGCTGTGCAGGTGTTCCCTCACGAGCGCTGCACCTCGTCTTGTGACAGGCTCAGGGCGTGATCGATGACTGCGGTAAGAACTGAAATATGCAATAAGAATTTCAAATGTGTAATAACACTAGCCATAAATACCCTCTAAACTCAAATTATATTACACTAGGCCTAAAACAAGAGGATATATTATAATTACAGTTCTAAATTATAGAACTTTACGTTATTATATATTTATTATATACTTTAATAAAAAAAGACTTTATATAATATAAATTATTAATTATTTTTTATTTTTTTATATAAATTCTTACTATATTTAAAACTTATATTAATATTATTATAGTTATTATTATACTTTAAAAACTACTTTTTTATTACTTATTACTATAATTAATTACTATAAATAATTTATTAGAAAATTTAATTATTTTATTATAATAGTTATATTTAGTATTATTATAATAAAATATTAAGCTAATAAAAATAAAGATAAAAAAGAAGTTATTAATAATAGTAATATTATAATTATATATTAAATATATTAAAAGCTTTTTTTTAGTTTAAACTACTATTTCTTATACCTTTTTTACTTTAATAAATAATAATTTTAAGTATTATTAAAATAACTTATAAATAATATATTTTTATAGTTATCTTAAAACCTTTTTATTAAATAAAAAGTACTTATTTATTTATTTATTTTATTTTATAATAATAATTTTAGCTAATAAGCTATTATTTACTTTTTTTATATTAATTAATTAATTATATCTTTAATCTAAAATAAAGTTTTATTATATTTTATAAAACTTTATAAAGTATATATTATTCTTTATAAAAAAGCTAAAGTCTTAAGAGAAATTAAAAGTAATAAAAAACTAAGTAAATACTTTACTAGTTATATTAAAGTAATTAATAATATATTTATTAGTATATATATTCTTACTATTACTTAAAAGAAGTAATATAATTAGAAAAAAATAGTTTCTTAAAATATCTTTACTATTATTTATTTTAATAATAGCTTTTTATTTATATTTACTAAAGCTAAAAAATTAATTTATAATACTAGTTTAATTAATTTTATAAATATTAAAAGGTTTAAAGTCCTTAAAGGCTAGTATTTCTTAAAGGATATAAGGTTTAGTACTTAGAATAGTATTATTATTCTTTATTTAAAAACCTATTATTATTTATAAGATTTTAAAAATATAAATAAATTACTAGAAATAGCTTAAGAGTTATATAATCTTTAGTATAATTATCTTTAAATAATTATTAAGTAAATATTTAGTTACTTAAAATAAAAGTAAAAAATAATTACTTTTTTAGCTTTAAAGTATAGCTTAAATATATAAATATAAATTATTTATATAATAATAGGTTTATATAACTTTTTATTTTATTATACTAAAAATAAAGGGTATAATAGTAATATAAAAAATTAGCTTAATATAAATAAAGTTAATAAAAAAGCTAATAAGTAGTATTTAGGTTAAAGTATAAAATAAATTTGTAAAAAGATAACTAAAGTAATATAAGAATAGTAGTAAACGTAAAAAAAGTAGAAATTACTATAATTAATTACTATAATTTATACTTTTCCCCTTTAAATATCTTTTACTATTTCTCTAATAAAATTAAAGTTATAAGCTTATATAGCCTTATAAGCTATACTAAAAACCTCCTTCTAAAAGGTTAGGTATACCTTAATAAGTAGCTAAAGCTAAAAATAAAGCAGTAAAACCTCCTATAAAGGCTCAAAAGCCTTTATTATTAAGTAACTAAATCTTATAGTTACCTCTAAGTTAAAAGTAACTTTATTTTATATTTTTATAAAACTAAAAAAAATCTTTTTTTAAAAAAATAAAGTAAAAAAGCCTTAAACTTA